TTCATTTCGGGTAGCTGTACTGCCTGTCAAATTACGATAATATAGAAATATTGGGAAAACAGGAATCTGTGTGTCATCTGATTGAATCCTCTGTTAATCCTAAGTCCATCACAAGTCCACCACAAGTCCACCACAAGTCCCTCACAAGTCCATCACAAGTACATAAGAAGTGCATCACAAGTCAATCACAAGTCCATCACAAGTGCATCGTAAGTCCATCACAAGTACATAAGAAGTGCATCAGAAGTGCATCAGAAGTGCATCAGAAGTCCATCACAAGTCCATCACAAGTCCATCACAAGTCCATCGTAAGTCCATCACAAGTACATAAGAAGTGTATCAGAAGTGTATCAGAAGTCCATCACAAGTCCATCAGAAGTCCATCACAAGTCCATCACAAGTCCATCACAAGTTCATCACAAGTCCATCGTAAGTCCATCACAAGTCCACCACAAGTCCTTCAGTCTGAAATCACGTGACTGGCCATCCATAGTACCGTCACAGAAGCATTCCTTTGTCATTGTTATGCAGTTCCTTTTGACTGGACTGATGAAAGGACTTGGACTGCACTTATGAACGGACTTGTGACTGGACTTGTGACTGGACTTGTGACTGGACTTTGTGACTGGACTTGTAACTGGACTTTGTGACTGGACTTGTGACTGGACTCATAAACTGGACTAGTGACTGGACTTGTGACTGGACTTGTGAAAGTACATGCGCTGGAGCTGAATACAACACTCTCATAACATATGACATTGTTCTCACTAAACATGCATTTTGTTTTGGTTTAATTATTTAACAATGATTTAACTAACACACCAATTTTCAAATGTGCACATCTTAATTTCATTGGCATTGCGTTTTCTCTTATTCATTAAAAAACACACCATATTTTTAATGCCCAAGAATGTATCTCGAACTGTAGTTTCTATAATTATTATCGCCTCACAACGTTAAATGAATAAACAATAAACTTAAGCCGTGTGGATCGTCAAAATACAAAATTGAGTAAATACGACGCCTTGTTCTATTGCATCTGTATAGCCCTTCTGCCATAATTTATGAGTAAATTGTGTATATATATTTTGCCTTTTGAAAGTCTTCTGACGCGCTCGGTGTACTCTATGAACACTGTAAATATCAAGGACAGAACTCCATTATTGTAATTTCTGCGCTCTTGCTTTATCGATTTTTCTGCAGGTTCATTAAAAGCACCAAGTTCGCTGGCTACAATGCATTCTGCGTTTTTAATATTTCACCTTTTCTGTCTTCTGACGCGCTCAGCATATTCTATGAAAATTGCAAATATCAAGGACAGAATTTCATTGTTACAATTTCTTCGCTCTTGCTTTATTATTTTTTTCTGCTGGTTCATTATTAGCACCGGGCCTGCTGGCTACAGTGGATTCTGCGTTTTTAATAGTTCGCCCTGTCAAAGCTAGCATTTTGACGTGCTCGTCATATTCTACGAATGCTGTGAATATCAAGGTGAAAATGTCTTGATTGCAATATCTGCGCTCTCGCTTCATATCATTTCCTTCAGCTTCATTAGAAAGAGTTGTTATAATTAGGCCCACTGAAGCTTTTTGACTACAGTGGATCGATCGTTAACGGAAGACAGTTTCGTTCCTTGGCGATGCCGCGCCATTTCATATCGACTTCTGACTGTTAGCAGTGGGCTGCATTGTTTACTATGAAGACGGAAATTCACTTCTGATTGGCTAGTTTGTTACGGCAATGTAACATTTTATTGCCATTATATTTACTTTGCTCGATATTGAAAACAAATTAAATGTATATACACTGAACATGTATACGTTTATGTGTGATATCATTTGTACAGTGTTTTTATCATTGCGTTGCCGTATTGTTCTGGATGTGCAGGTTTATCAGAATATTCTGCTTCCAAACTTTCCAGTGTCAACTTATGTAATGGAGGGCCATTTCTTGCGGAATAAAAGAATGCAAAAATCCTAATAAAAACGAAAAATAACCCCAAAATTAATCATGGTTCGGTGTGAATATTACCGAGTTGCCGTAAAGAGAAGCTGAGAGGCAGCGGCTTGATCTCATTGAGGGATATACCAAAAGTGTACATATTTAATTCAAACGCTGTTTCCGCTTCGCGGTTACCTTTGTATTTGTGAAATAAAAATGCCCATAGTTAAAACATGTATTCGGTCCTGCTAGTTTACTTTCTGCTGGATTTGTTCCATGATCGAATCACAACTCGAATCGAATTTATATTTAAATTACATGGCAATAAAAAGTTTGACCGTCTTCGTTTCTCTTAATTTTAAAAAGTCCGCAACAGAAAGCAGGAGGTCGTGGGTTCGAGTCCTACCGAGTGTCCCCCCCCCCCCCCGAAGAAACTCAATTCGGCAGGTAACACACTGAGTATACAGGGTGAGTAAAAAAAAAGCGAAACGCAAATGTCGGGACTTTTATTCAAGTGAAGTTCTGCATGTAGCACTCTGTAAATCAGGATATAGCCAAATTCATAAGCTTTCTTTTAGTATAAGAATCATTCAAATCACTCATGTACTTTTAAAGTTACGGAATTTTAAACACAATCACCATTTTAAAGTTCTGTCCACGGATCACAAAAAAGGTGTCCGTTCTTTCAGCAAAACGAACACAATTCACTCACCTCCCTATGTGATTTGCTTTCGTTGTGCTGAAAGAACACCTACCTTCTTGCTTTTTACGCTAATAAGCTTCTACTGTTTGGTATTTATTTTGTAACATATGTGTTTACAGCGCTTCTATAAATCTGAGAGTATCTTCCAAAATCCGGCTTGCAAGAAGAACCTTCTCCCAAATATTGAATAAACCCTCTCCCATTTTCAAACCATTGCTGCTGCTGCTGCTGCTGTTGCTGCTGTTGCTGTTTTTGCTGCTACTGCAGGCTGCTGCTGCTACCGTTGCTGGTGCTGGCTGCTGTTCCTACTCATGTTGCTGCTGCTGTTGCTGCTGCTGCTGTTGTTGTTGTTGCTGCTGCTGCTGCTGCTGCTGCTGCTGCTGCTGATGATGATGATGATGATGATGATGCTACTTCTGCTGTTGCTGCTTCTGCCGTTGCTGCTGCTGCTGCTGCTGCTGCTGCTGCTGTTGTTGCTGCTGGCTGCTGTTGCTACTCATGTTGCTGCTGCTGTTGCTGCTGTTGCTGCTGCTGCTGCTGCTGTTGCTGCTGCTGCTGCTGCAATTTCCTACTTCATTATTTTCTAACACTATTAAGAAAAAAGCCACATTACTATTATTAACCTCAATTATGAGTAAGCCTATTCCCGACGGATTTTGGTCGTTTCCAGCATGCATTGGACCATAACGTTTCTATACACATACTGGCCATTTTTTTTTTTTTTTGGAAGACATCTCGGTCAATCGTTGACCCTACTGTCCTCCAGTGTTGAAGGTCCACGATGTGTGAAAACCCACACGCTCACCACCAGTCGTGTTTTACAGTTTTTCCTTTGTCCTTGTAATATAACACTCTTCCATAAGTACAAAACCGTTTTTACAGTTGTTCCCTTTGTCCTTTTAATACAACACTCATCCATAGACTAAGCACATAACCGTACGATCCATGCAGGACCGTTTTCAACAAAAGACCCAATATACGCCCATCTAGGACTGATGAAAGTATGGCATTGTTCTCCCTTTGTGTGTCGGTCCATGGGGGTTAGAATACGTACACCACCTCAAAACCAACCTCTTGTCTTCATGTGTGGGCGATACGTCCTCCCCCTTCACCTGCAGGATATACGCCCATGCTTGACATCAACCGACAATATTGAAATATTTCAATACTATAGGCGCTCATTATAATGTCAATGTTCCATTAAGACCTCTGTTATGAATGAGAGAACATTACCTTTTCTTTTCTTTTTCTTGTATATAGTTGTCGAAGGATATATAATGCCACACATTTATTACATTGTATTTTCACTTTTCGATTTTGTTTTAATTCTTATAATTTCTCAAATGTAAACATCTCTATCACAGACTAAGAAGTTTAAATGAATAAAAAAAATATGGAAAGGCCCCTCGGCCATATTGCGCGAGTGAATTGGTTTTAATATTTTGCCTTTTGAAAGCCTGCTGATGCCTTCGAATTATTATAAACACTATGAATTTGAAGGACAAAAATTCTTAAGTACAATATCTGCGCTCTCGTTTCACATTTTCCGAACTTTCATTAGTGGTGAATTATGCAGGTTTGCTAATGGAAGCACGCTTGTTGGCTACAGGGCATTATGCGTTTTAATATATGTCGCCATCTGATGGTCGTCTAACGTCCCCATCATTATTCTACGATCACGTTAATTCAAGGACAAAACGCCCTATTTACATACAATATCTGCGCTCTCGCTTGACATTTTTCCAAAACTTCGTTAGTGGTAAATTATGAAGGTTCCGTAATTGGTCAAGCTTGTTGGCTACAGGGCATTGTGCGTTTTGATAAGTCGCCTTTTGAAGGCCTTCTAACGTCCCCATCAATATCAAAGGATTACGATAATACCAAAGATAAACTTCTATATTACAATATTTCACGTTTCATATCATTTTTAAACGTTCCAGGCTGGTTCATGATTGGCTAGGCTGCCTATGAGGTAAGCCTGTTCCGTGGTACACGGCTCATTTGTTGCTGAGGCGAGCTGTGCCGTGGTTTGTGTACTCGGCGATGTATACGATCAACATAACAGACTCTGAATCATATCGTCATACGCGGTACCGTTTTAGACGCATTCCTTGTTGTTGTTCAATACTCTACATGCGTAGCTTACTACCATTTGGGCGCGTCTCTGATGAATACAAACAACTTAACGAATTGTCAATCCTTGCACTAATCAGACAAGGCTTCGGGCAAGTTTTCGAGTTGAGGCTGTTACCCGATTGTTGTTCAGTGGTTTAATGCAAAGTCTTAATTCGCGTTGGTGTGTGAGTCGTGATACATCGTAGTGGGTTCGTACCCAGAATTCACTGCATCTTAGACAATGGACAAAGCAGCAGCTTTGGTTCTGATGCTGTCAGCAATGGCAGGTAAGATTTAATATATATCCCTGGAAGTACGTCCTCAAATTCCTGACTGGTTTGTTGGCAATAGCAGACAAGCTTAGCTAGATCAGGCGGGGACATAATATGCATCCCTCTATTTATTTTCCAACATAAAACCCAAAGTTGCAATAGTCGTTCTCCATGGAATTTGTACGTCGGCCGATTGTCCTGAAATTATCAGTTTTTGTTGTTTGGCCAATATTTGACAATATGATATGACCTCACATGACCTCAAGAGGGTATGTCACTTCAGTTTTGTAAATACATTCATAATTTGGGTTTTAGTCAACATTTTGGTGGTATAAAACCATCGTAAAAGGGCATTATAGGTCTACCTATTTGTGGGGGCAAACCGTCTTCCAGAGATTTTGTTAATGATATGTGCACAATACGATTCGTAAGGTAGTATTACATGGTCTGGATTTCTTTTAATTTAAGTCTTAAATTAGCCTACCCAAAAATAAGACAGTGTTGTCTAAAAAAAAAAAAGCGGACAAGGAAAAAGCCGCTTTTCGCGTCAATAGCGGCCACATTTGATTCCTAGCAATTGTACTTGGTCACGTGACTATTAATTTTAGTCTGTGAATTCTTTCAGGTTTGGGTTATAAAAGATTTTACATATGGTCCGCGCCTGATACAACTATATGATGTCTACTAACCTTGCATTTCTGAACTCTGTTCTTCACATTGTTTTTTTCTTTTCGAAGGCTCCAATACGCTATTTTTGTAGAATATTGTGAAGGATTGCTATTGTTTTGTGCAAACCTGGTCGTCCGAGGCAGACCAAAGTATTTTTTTTTGGGGGGGGGCAAATCTAGTTAAGAATGGGTAAACCACCAGACGTCACTGCTGAGGAGGTATTTGTCGTGTATCGGTGACATTTGTATGTAATCTCTGAAACTGAAAGATCTCGCGGCTCATAATGTGAGTACTTTTCATTGTGTTGCCATTTTGCCTTCTGTCGTATATTTGTTTTGGGGAAATGATTTCAAATTGTAACGACCCCATGAAAAATTACTTTTTGAATTTTATCTGCGGGGGTACTCTACGAGTAAATTTGCAAAAACAAAATCACTTGAAAAAATTCCGTTTACGACCTTTCATTTTCGATATTACTGTCCATAGGTCTCTTTCGCTGTGCGCCGCTAGTATAATTTCGCATCACTTCCATATAAAGAACGGGAAACGTTATAATGTTGCAAAGATCTCGATGGGTTCTAGATTTAACTGAGTTTGTCTGAGCAGATCACTGGTGCCATTCTATAAGCATCCGACTGGGCCAACGGTAAACGGCCAGGTTTATATTTTTCTTCACATTCTAAATCAAATATTTTAAAATTTCATTAAAAAGTTCCATCAAGTGATCATCAAAATTGTAGATATATACATCGACTTAAGGCTGATATGGCACTAGTCTGCATGTATCTTAGATTATCGGAAGGGTATTCAGAGGTACATTTTTGGCCGTATAACCCATTCAGGTCAGGCGATTGTATCACTTATCACAATTATTGACATGCTAGTTGCAATTTACAAAGGCCTTTTCCGGGATGCCTTTCTTGAATTAAAACTAACTGCAAATCTAGAATTTAAATGCGTAGTATTTCTATCGAGGCTCACAGAGACCCCACCAAGGATGACATTTCAGTTGAACAGACTATAGTCCCCATCCGTTGGTCATGGGTTCGAGTGACCTTGGATTTTTCTTTATTTCCTGTTTCCCTGAAATTGTGTTTGTTTGTTTGTCAATTGAAACATTTTACCTTTACTAATCTATGGTTTGGATGTTTTTTTAAGCAAACACAATTTGCCTTGTTATGGAACCATAGCGAATAATGTGTTGTATGGAAAAAAAAGGAGTCTACTGCCGAGCTCCTTGAGTAGCGCCCCCATTTGTCGGCCAACCCCCCTCATTCTTTGGAATCTGCGGCGGCCATGTTCAATACCTGTGCAGAGCAATTACTAATCGGTGATTCAGTAATGTGTTCTGCGTGAGGCCCCAGTATGTTGGGTAGTAAGAAGGCACTTTTGGTTTCATGAGTGGGAGCCAATTAAATCTTTCTCGTTAGCCTCATGGCGATAAAATAAAAATGTGCTTTTTGGTTTTGTTAAAGTCTGCTGTATTTAATTTACCCAAACCAAATATAGTGCTTTCCTGTTGTCTCCGATCTATGAACAAAAAGGGTAATACTAGTGTCATTTTTCCCTGCGAACGTACATTATAGTGGCGGTCTCGTGCCATCAAGTCTGCTTCATCGGATCGGAGTACAACCCACAGTCTGGTATCCCGCCCCGTTGGTTCTTACCGTACAAAGATCCCTGCGAATGCACCGCTGTACGTCTTGGTGGGATGAGCATCCCTGCTTACCGTATGGGGGCGCCCTACTACCTGAACGAGCTTTTCCTGAGCGAAGATTCTTACGAAATTCAAGCATACTTCGACTGTGAGCCTGCAGAGAACAATCCAGGTTAGAAGAATGTTTGGAAAGCATCATGCAATCGCGTTTTCATATCAGTACTACAAAACAAGGGAAATAAGTTTTGCATTTTCATAATTACATTGGAATGAAAATGTTCGTGAATACTTGAATCTTTAGTTACTCATCATTGAGGTTTATAAGATGAAAAGTACGTGTCATCAGGTTTTCTACCCCAAACCATAGATCAGATTAGCTTTCACGCAATGTATCCATGTTTTATTATTTAAATAAGAATAAGTTTCGTTTGCTTTACTTGCTTGTTACCAGAAGGGTGTTCAAGCCCGCAACCCCTCGGTATGGAGGACGGGACAATCCAAGATGATCACATCACGGCGTCCAGTAGTCGCGACTGTTGCCCTGCCAGTGATGGACGCCTTAATGACGACGGATGGATAGCCAAAATGTAGCTCGACATACCACACCTGACACTTCACTCTCATATCCTTATATAACGGGTTCTTACATACACTTTTAACTAAGATCAATAAAGGGCTTTTACATCATTATTAGTATTCACTCCGTATAATTATAATGTCACAAAACGCTCCTGAGTGTGTTTCATTGATAAACATGTACATGTAATTGCATCAGTGGGATTTTAGTTTGTTTTATTAAGGGTTTTTGCCATTGTTTTTCCTTTTTGTTTTTCCTTTTCATTAAAAATAACATTCCCGTCCAGAGCCCAACCTGGATGCGCATTTGAATTGCACGTATTTTAACGAGTTTCAATCATTGTGTTCGATTTTCAAATCCATTCCAAAACCGGATTTGCGGATTATTGTTATTTCATTGTTCCTCATCCTCTCTTCCCTCTGTGTACAGTTACGATACCAATCCCTGGATCGAGGTGGACCTCGATGAGCCTACAGTGGTGACTGGAGTCACCACACAAGGCTACTCTGTGCATGTGAAGAAATACAAGGTGTCGTATAAGAAGCAGCCCTCATCCGACTATGAACACGTAACAGATGGAAACGGGAACATCACGGTGAATATCTATCGTGACTAAGTCCTGTTGTAAAATTTAACTTTAATACGTAGGACAGTTTTGAAAAAAAATATTGTTTTGGGCTTTTATCGCATTGTAATAGCTTCAGCCTGTACGCATTGTTCGGTTCCAATGCAATCATTTAGCCATTCTGAAATCGTGTCTGATTATAACAATCAAAGAAGCATCGTCAGAAAATATTGATACTACATTCTCTGATAAAAAGGTTATTCATGAGAAAATAGCTTTCGGTAAAAAAAGGAAAAAAAGAAAACAAAACTTTGTGAAGCTGAAATTGACGCCCAAGGAGCCCAGTCAAGAGATGTTTGTATGGCTGAATATGAACTTCAAAGTGAGTCCCCACCCAGGCCACACACTTTACTTTTTATATATTTACTGTTTGTTGCCATTCTGTTTCGAAGGACGACTCCCTCTGTTGAGATTGCCCGCTCTTTTAATAGTCTTGGTCCAAGACGTTACTGCAAGGAAGCTATTTCTGTTACAAACGTGCGTTAATTGCATTGGGATTCATTTCAGGTGTTCATCGGTAACACTGACGCCGACACCCCGGTCACTAACCTGTTTGATGAGAGTGTGCTGGCCACGGTAGTGCGCATTGAGCCTACTGAATGGGACTTTACTGTTGGTCTGCGATTGGAGCTGCTTGGATGTCGCCGCGATTAATTCAGCTGAAGCATTCAGGTGATTCTGTTCGACAGCGCTGACATTTCAATCAATACAAAATGCGACATCTATACTTAATATTAAGTTTGATAAGTATATAAATTAGTATATTTGGTGAGAGGAATTTTTTTCAGAAGGCAAAAACAAACTGAGGATTTGGAATAGTCACTACATGCTCTTGCGTGTATTTTTGCCTTGAACTTAATGGTATCTCACAGGAAAACGCATGGGGTGACGTTAACAATGTATTTTAAAAGTAATCAACCTTTTCTCGTCACTTCAACCTTCCTTCGTGGAGAGCAAATTGCAAAATATACCTAAAATATAAAAGGTGTTCACATATCTGACAGAAAACAAATAATTTCCCGAAGGGGAAGCAAAGTTCATGGATGTGTTTAAATCACTTGGCCTTGTGTATCTTCAGGAGAGTTGTATACAGCGCTGTTCTTATTTTCAGAGTATTTTCGCTCTTAATATAGAAACGTCTAAACTATTGTGGCACTTTGTTGTACTTTGTTGTATAGTAAAAACAAAATGTATATTAAGCTGTGCTGACCATGTCCATGCAGTGCTTGTAATAACGCAATACATATCGAAATGAATAGTGGTAAAACCTCTCGATAATTCGGATATTTTTAGTGATTAAACTGAATAAAGGCCGGTTCATACTTCACTCGAATTCGATTGCGAAGCGCATCTGACGTCAGGATCATTCGCCGAGAAATTCTCCGGAGTTGAAATGTTTTTATTTTTATTTTGCCAATTCTAAGCGCGGCAAATTGCCGTGACAACACAAACTCGCGTTCACGTTCGCTTTCGTGCAGAGTATGAACGTGCGTTGAAATAAAGTAACCTTTGCTTTTAAATCTTATTCATTGTGGTATTTTGCTGTCAATATAAGACAATTTAAGTCACGATTTTAAATCATCGTACAATATTTTTAGGTGCACATTTTGGTGTTAGATGTATCGTGCATTGTTATGGCAATGTAACATTGTATTGCCATTTTATTTATTTTGTTCGATATTTAAAACAAATTATAAACTGCTTTATATTTACTTTGTTCAATATAAAAAAAAAATTAAATGTTTATATAAGTTTATGAGTAATATTGTTGGTAGAGTGTTTGACAATTTTCTCATTGCGGTGCCTTATTGCTGTGGACGCACAGGTTTATCAGAATACCCTGATTGCAAACTTTCCGAGGTCAAATAAAGTAGAGGGCCAGTTTTTGTGGCCATTTGGATAAGAAGAACGCAGGGATCTTAAAATATGAGAGTTACTCCCAAATATTCATACTTTGATGTGTATATTGCCGAGTTGCCGTAAAGAGAGGCTAAGAGGCAGCCTTCTTGATCAAATTGAGGGATATACCAATATTGTACATTTATAACTCAAATACTGTTTTCGCTTTGCGGTTATGTTCGTATTTGTGGAATAAAAATCCCTATAAATAAAACAAGTATTTGGTCCTGCATGTTTAATTTTTGCTTAATTTGTTCCATGATCGAGTCACAACTCGATTCGATCCGCGAATGCGCCTTACGAAGGATTAGATACCTGGATGGATTTGATTTGAATTTTTTGTTATTGAAATTTGTTTATTTGTAAAAGTGAGGACTATTTTGTCAGCAAGAAAATATATATGTTGTATTTTCTTTCCGCTTGTCAAGTTTTAGGAATTTTCTTGTGTTAAATGTACATTTCATTTACAATGCAATAATAACTCTGACCCTCTTGTTTTCTCTTCATTTTATGAAAAAACTAGACCTTTGCACTAAAACCCAGGAGGTCGTGGAATCGAGTCTCACACGAGCGGTTTTTTTTCTTCAAAAAAAACGTATCACTCGGGAGGTAACAAACTGAGTATACAGTGTTTAACCGTCGGTGTAGGGCAAAACTTTATGTTGATTTACATCACCCCGACGCAAATTCTATCTGATGAATAGGTATTTATGTATTTCACAAATGGCATATTCAAACTGGAACGACTAACTGGGCTTACGAAATTCCCATACACTTGCTATAAGTACAAATGTACATACACCGGATTGTTTATGTCAGATTATATGTTTCTGAAAGTAATCACTATATTGGCATTCATAACTAACATTGCAAATGATTCCTGCAACTGAATGCCCCATCGGCCGATGTTCAATGTTTGTCTTTCTCGGGCAAGGTCCTGAATTGACAGAGCTGTTAAAAGTAGAAATTGTTTGTTAGCAAATAAATTTGCTGAATTGTTAGAAAAAAAACGCTGAGAACAAATCACGAGCCATTTTTTTTCGCTAATAAGCTTTTATTGTTTGGTAAGAAATATTTTTTGTAATACCTTTGTGTTAAGCACAACTCTATGAATCTGGGAGTATATCTTTCAAAACCCGGCTTGTAAGAAGAGCCTTCTCCCTAATATTGATTTGAACTTCTCCTGCTGCTGTTATTGTTGCTGTTGTTGCTGCTGCTGTTGTTGTTGCTGCAGCTGTTGCTGCTGTTGCTGCTGTTGTTGCTGTTGCTGCTGCTGTTGTTGCTGTTGTTGCTGCTGTTGCTGTTGTCGTTGTTGTTGTTGTTGTTGTTGTTGTTGTTGTTGCTGCTGCTGCTGCTGTTGCTGTTGCTGCTGCTGTTGTTGCTGTTGTTGCTGCTGTTGCTGTTGTCGTTGCTGATGCTACTGCTGCTGTTTCTGCTGTTGTTGCTGGTGTACGTTGTTGCTTTTGTTGCTGCAGCTGGTGCTTCTGCTGCTGCTTCTGCTGTTGTTGCTGCTGCTGATGCCTGCAGCTGCTGCTGCTGTTGTTGCTGATGCTACTGCTGCTGCTTCTGCTGTTGTTGCTGCTGTTGCTTCTGCTGTTGTTGCTGCTGTTGTTGCTGCTGCTGCCTGCAGCTGCTGCTGCTTCTGCTGCTATTGACGCGGCGGCGGCTGAGGCCGGCCTCATACAATTTAACTCCACTTTCAAGCATCTAAGCAGTGAGGACCACTAGGGCACAATAACCTCCAATTGGAACATTGCTTTTAAAGTGATACAATAAAATTTCTCTCCATTACGCAGAAGTGTCAATACATCTGTGCACAGCTTTCATAGCCGGCTCCTAATTGTTTTATTTTTTTTTTAGATTGACTACCTTACAAAGGTGAAGAGCACCATCTACCCTGCATATAGCTGGGGCAGTGGTTGACATGGTGCCAGGGTGTGTCCATATGCCGGTGGGCCTGCACACCGTGTCTCTGGGGCCCACTGCTATTCCAAGATCCCCTACAGTTCAGCCTGGGGTCGCAATTTCACAAAGTTACCGTGTGTTGCCACGACGACATGTATGAGTCTGGATGGTGGAGAGGCTGTGTACTTCGAAATTTGGTTACCGTAAGCTTGATTGGACAAGCTGTTTCTGGTATAACTTGCCGTGCTTCAGGAAAGATGTAAACCGAGTGATTTTTGTAATTCATTTAAACTGGTTTGTTTTTAAGATACCAAGTTAGGGCATTCCGACTTCAGTCAGGAAACATTCGCAGCGAAATTCGCCGGAGTTGAAATATATTCAATTTTTACGAATTCGAAGCGCGAATACTTGCCATGACGTCACAAATTCGCATTCGCTTTCGCGCCGAGTACATGAACCGGTCTTTACAATTAAAGAGAGGAAATTTTTTTAAGTGCGATCATAATGCTTTCATGTGTGCGTTTGAGGGGCAGTTTATTTTTTCATCTCGCCTAGGGGGCACGTTTATGACCGTGAGAGGGGCACTCTTGGCATGGCTGGGGGGGGGGGGGGGGGGGGGGGGGTGTCGATCCCCCTCCCTTGTTCCGCCGCCCCTGCACAATCAATGAATGACGCGATATACGACCCATTTAATTAATACCGCGTCATTTTGACTTTTCAGAAAATCCGCTGAACCAAAAATCCACACATTGGTATCCGGGTCTCATTGTTTCTCGGATTTCTTAGAAACGACAGCTCCAGCGCCAAGTTCTTGGATACCCTCATATATTACTATTGAACATCCGGGTTCTCATGAACTACGCGACTGTAGATGGAACGTCTTGGAAAATCTTCGCCGTTTGGAAAATCTTCGCAGAAGTATTATTGTAATAAGAGTGTTGCATTTAATTACATGTATTTGCTTTGATGTAGACAAACACGATGATCAAACTGACAATTTTTTTTAGACAAGACTAATAGTTTTTTTTATATTCAATGACAAACACACTGCAATAGTTGAAATAAATACAAAGAGCAACATGAACAATAAAGACTGTACAGTAGTTTTGAGGACTTAAAAAGATATTCAACAATCAGTAGCATTATAAAAAAACTCAAATGTACAATAGGTTTGGGTTATAATCTGGTAGTCCTGATCCAAGTTTATAAGTTACTATCGCATTATTTTGTTAAGATAAAAGTGAAGACCCAGACTTTCAGTGTTTGCATTCTACAAAAGAAAAAGTAAAGATTGGTGAACAATCTGCTAACACACTGTCTCAGTGCATTTTCAATACTGATGTTTTTCTCTGAAAAATCTAAAAGAGAATTTATCCTTTTATATTTTAATCGCAACGATAGAAAATAGATACCATATTTTGGGCCAAACTTGGAGAAAGTATCGCATCATCAGTTGAGAGTTATTAAATGTTTCAGCACGCACTTAATAGGCCGTATTCACGAGTCCGCCATATTAAATTGAAAAAGGTAAAAACTACATTTTTGAACTTGCAAATAGAAAGGAAAGTAGTGAAATATAGTTAATTACAGAGCAGACTCTGCTCTGATGAATAATTGAAAATTTGTGATTAATGATACACTAATGTTTTAAGCCAGATTAAAAAAACAAATTAAAAGTAAGGCTTGGAACCAATAAATAGTCTGGCACCATCCCATTCAACAGTAGTAGTAGTACCAGAGTCGTATAAGTCTTGTAACCACAGTTACGTACTCAAGGCGCTGTGAATTAACGGTTAGGTGTTTACACATACGTGATTTTGTCGCAACAACTATGTCGCGCAGCAATGTCACTCACAGGCAAGTGTGAACGAACAAACACAAGATATATTGTGAGATTTTTGCAAAGTTGTTAACGCGATTAGTCGCACAACTTTGTCGCGTAAATGTAAACGTGCTCATTGATTTGTGCGGGTATGTAAATATGCGCAACATTATCGCACGACAAAATTGCACATGTGTAAATAAAAATCAGCAAACATGATCAAAATGGCTTTCTCGTGAATAAGGTCTACACTTTGGTGTTTGAATGTCCTCTTTCTATAGACCACATTTGAAGAATTCACACAGTACAGGGCCGTAGCCAGCCTGGTGGAAGGGAAGGGTATTAAACAGCTGATTACGCATGGAAATACATAACACAATTGTATACCGTGAGGGGGTGGGGGGGGGGTTTCATCTCAACACCAACTACCCAATGCCTATGAGGGCCTGTAAAAATATTGACACACACATTAAATGGAAGAAATAGCTATCCATACTTTTCACAAAACCATGATAATTAACAGATCTTCACTGGAGTAAACAGTCAGTGGCAATACTCAATCTGCACCGTTAAAAAAAACGTTGCCAAGCACATGAATTTCATCTGTGAAGCAGACACAGGTTTCTGGCAAAAAGGAACGTTTACAGCACGTGGGTAGTTGCAGCAGATGGATTTTGTTGCTGTTTTAATCTCCCTTATATCTTTCCTTTTACGGCCCTGTGGTGAAGGCCACCATAACTACTGTACACCGTTCCCTTATAAGGCCACCGTGGCCAGTCATGTGACTTGACATCATCACATGATCTAGACACTGCCTGCCATCTTTGGAGTGATTTCAGTAATCCTCATCATCGCTTTCCTCGTCAGGTTTTCGGCGGTCGTAGCCCAGTAACGTCTTATTCTCCTGTGGCTGAACGTCAGGCAGCAGGATCACTCCTATAGGATCAAATGAAGACAGTCATCAGGAGTGAAGCCAAGGGCGGATCTAGATCACAATATGGGGGGGGGGGCGTCAAAAACTTTGTTGGCCACCCAAAAAGTGGATCAAAAAAATTACGGTGTGGGTTCGGGGCCCGCGTAAGGGCCCCAAAAATTGTTTGGATTCTAGATGCTCTGTGGTGCCATCTGAGGCAATTTCTGACCACTTTAACCAATGTTTTTTGAGGAAGAGATGGTGGTGTGCTCATTGCCTGCCTTAATTGCGATGTCGGGCATGGCCCCTTCGGATCCGCCATGAATGGGGGTTATGTCAAAACAGTTGCAATCAGACAATCCATGCTAGAAGGAAGCAAGAATTACACCCGGTCACTGTAAAATCGGGCAAGAAGGGGGGGGGGGTGACACAATCTTTCTATGGGGTGTGCTGCTCAAAGCGACAATCATGGTATTATCGGACAAAAGGTGGCGCTCCTCATCCAAGTATATTTGCCAACGGACACATGATTCTGCTGACGGGACGATTTTGCTGACAAATATGATTAATTAGGGGGTGCCCCCCCTTCTCCCCCCCCCCCCCCCATGCAATGCCCTGGACACCATCACCGGTGACACACAATAACAAATTTTATCTTCATGCAAACTTGTATCCTCGATCCTGATTGGTCGATCCATGGCAACAACAGTGTGATATGAGGCTGTACTGCACGGTCCATATCGCACCCTGCGTATTGCGCTATTCCAAGATGTGAGAGACATTCCCGGCAGCTGCATGCGATAAACTGCTGAGATGTTCGTATAAAGCGTGCTAGTTCCAATTGTACTACGCGTCAAGTTTGCTTGAAGATAAATTCGTTATCACACTTGCGCTCGTGGAACACGGAAAATGTAGTGCGTCTGTGTCCCACATACTTCGGCCTCGTGGTATGTGGGACACTAGACGCACTACATTATTCCGTGTTCCACTCGCGCTCGTGGGATAAGTAATAATATACATATAAGTGTGTATACAACTAAATATACAGTACACCAATTCCTATACATTGATGCTAGAATGAACAATAATTGCAACAATGAATGAATTACTGGCCAGAAAAGCAGGGGTAATAATTAAGTATTTCAACGACAAAAAGTAAGCAGTAACAAGGTACTAACCGCTTTTTGCTAGTCTTCTCTCCAGCATCTCTGTCGTGAAGTTCTCATTGTTTCCTAATTCTTCAAACCCAATTATCCTGCAAAGAAAACAGAAATGTGACTTGAGACCACAGCTAAGTAAACAGGTCGATAGACAAATCCATGATTGCCACAAACTCGGACATGCAACTGGGAATTTAGAAAAAACGAGGAAATTCCAAAGCAAGCAAGACTTTGTACAGAGTTTTTCAATTTGTAATGGCATTCATGAGAAGTAAAAAACAAGGAAATCAGCGGATCCAAGGAAACGTTGCATGCCTGCAAACTGCACATCAACAAACTGGAATGACACATCCATTGTTTTTTGTTTTTCAATTTTACAGTTTCTCCAGTATTACAAGTACTGCATTTATTGACTGCATAAGAACATTTTTGTGTTAATTTTTTTAAGGGATGAGTTTGAAGCTTCTACAATTGTTCACGCCACTAAAAGAAACGGTCTTCGCTCCGTTTACAAGCACCCCCTCACTGGCAAAGGAAAGACAGTTGGGGGTGACCGACCGACGCCATCTTGCCTGACTGCAATTCATTTGCCGCGAAGCGCGGCCACTGTGTGTAAAATAGAACAAATCCCCTGGTGTACGTGCCTCACACACAAGGAACAGTGCGCGTCAACCAGCGAAATGTCCCGCCCATGGTACGTCGTTGTTAGGTAAAAGGGCGCCCTCATTTGGTAGCGCACGGAGCTCATATAACTAATTGACATATTGACTTGATATCACTGACTAACCTGTCTTTGTACTTTGCATCAATGAAGACAAGAATCGCTGGAAGAACTTTGATACCAAACTTGCCCACACAGAACTTGGCCACTTCGACGCTGACTTTGGCAAATTTGGTTCCAAAGTGTTTCTCTGCTAGAGCCTGAAGGAGAAAAGCAGAGAAGAGGAAAAGTTACGGCAATTGGTTTATTACTATTAAGCTGTTTTCCATTGAAGAAGAAAGTCTGCTCGGAAAGCGCATCTGTTTGCGTCCAAAAACAAAAAACCCTTTTCTGAGGTTTGCAGACGTAAACAAAACACCCTTTTTGGGGGGGTTGGGGGTTGGAATAAAACACAACTTTAAAATGAGGCCGAGATGTATTGGTTTAGAAAGGTCACACAAGATGGTGAATCGTCAGGCCTGTCACTTTGATACCATTCAATAATTCTTTTACCAGTTCGCGCTGGGATTATTTTGACAAGAACGGAACAAGGTGCGGGATTACTTTTCACACGACCTCAAGCCAGGCGGGTTGAAGCCATCACCCTCGGGCAGCACACTCATATTTCCAGCCTCGCTCGCTGCAAGCGGGTCACTGACAGATGTTTCCGGTCTCGCTCCCTGCATGTTTATCCGTCCATCCATTCAGAACACTGCAAAACCTTTGTATGAATACACGTCATCCTGCCCAAACTGGTTAAGGTCGGCACACACTGCTGGGCCTATATCACCCGAATGTGAATGCAAAGTTAATTGGACGTCATGACACAATCACTTGAAATTCAACGGATCGGAATTGAAATGTGTTCAACTTTTGCCAATTGGAAGCGAGAAAACTTAACATGCTTTCACCTATTCGCCATCGCGTTCCCTTATATGAACCGGACTTACTGTGCTGCTTTTCACTCTGAAACTGTATAACTCCTGTCATGACAAATACTTTAACTTTCCATGTTAAGAGTTTTACTTACAATATCAGGCTCACAACAGGGGTGCGTACCTATGTCCCAATACCTATGTTCCCCAACCCTTACCTCAACTCTAACCCTTATTTAAAGGATTTGGGGGAGCATAGGTATTGGGGAACATCAGGTAGACCCCTCCATAGCAAGCAGAGTTCTGATGTAGCTGATATCACCATGGGGATGGGTGATTGGACCAGCCAATTTATGGCAAAAACAATCCGATTAGTCTGCCTGCCTGTATAAATTGTGATTGCTGGACAAGAGCAATGAAGGACTTACTAAAGAAAGCAGCCGGTAAAAGAAAAGTGGACTCATTAGGATCAAGGCAATTATGTTTGGCAAACTGCATTCAAATCCATCTATTGGATCTGCCTGGGGTAGGCACATTGAAATACTTAATTAGTTTGCATTCATGAACAGGATTACGAAGCAAGCATTGCAGAAACCATGTACATAAATGCATGTAGCTGTTGCATTTTACTCAAAGTTATCTCCAATCCACCAACAGTCGCATTCACCAGCAAGTGACTAATGGACTTCGTTAAACTGAGAACTTTCTATTTAAAGTTCTTGATTTGCGGCCCGGACACTGAGGATTTGAAGTTACATCGGGCACATCATCATGACCAGTGTTAGCGATGTTGAAGATGGGACTTCTCCCGGTCTTGTCTTTGCGAACGGCACTGGGAGTGACTGGATCGTGGGGCATCGCAGTCCGCTGCAAGTGGCACTCAATATTGTCATTTCCTGCTTAGCTTTGCTTGGTAAACAGACTGGTGATCGCCGTCATGCTAGCAAGATGACAGGTCTTTAGCTCCTTCATCAATCATCTAATCAGTCTGCTGTTGACTCCAATCTTGACAGCCTAACAAATCTTGCTACCAAGATTGGATACAGATATGACAAACCCTCTTCTCCAAAGAAAGCATTTTCTTTGTGTTTCTAATCATATCCAATGAGGAATCTTAAATCAAGCTTTTAAAGTAGGTTTAGGCCTAGTTTGAAAATTTGGGACTCTCGATACTGTTTTCATCTACCCACTCACCCACCCTATTTGTTTTCTCAATGTATGCCTAACACAGGGGTGTGAGTGACCACTGATAAAAATAGCTGAAAACAGCTGAAAAAGGTGTAAAAAAGCTGAATTTTGGAAATCTCCTATACTTTTGTACACAGCAAGTGAAGGGAAATAGCTAAAATCCAAAACAAAAAAAGCTGAAATCAGCTAAAAAGCTGAGATTTCACACCCCTGCTAACAGAAAACGCAATTTTGTTTTATCTAAGCCCGATATCAATTTATCAAGTGTGAAAAAGTTTGTATACCTCAAGATGAGAATCCATAAGCTTGCACAACTTGAAGTCTGCTTTGAAGAAGTGAACGATGACGTTCCTCTCCTTTACTGTCAGATCTAAGAGGTCTTTCTCCTTTTTTATCTCACTGTTGGGGGAAAAAAAGAGAACATTCAAATAAATTTTACAAGTAAAGAAGAAATTTTGAAAGAATGTAGTATCCAGACGCCACTTTGTTGGTTGTTTACCATGTTTACAAAGTCTATGGAGAGTCAAGAATAATTTCTGAGTAGTTGTACTTCCTAACAGAATTGTCTTTTCAACATTTTTGCAATAACTGACCTCTATTGAGATGATATGATGAAAAAAAGTGGTATCAGGACGCAACATTCTTTCTGAAAATTTCTGCACTGTTCTACACCATTAACATGATTAACAGTGCTGGTTGAAAAATATGTCCAAAACACAACAAAATGAGTGAAAGATTTCTTGTTAAATAAACATGACAGAGAGAAGCTTTGGGATGTTAATGCATAATTTCACCAGTAAGTGCCGTAACCCTTCAACTGGTGATCGTTTAATTGCTGAAGCTGGTCTTTCAGCTGTAGCATTCGGGCCTCCCTGATGTGGGCGGGGACTTCTTCAGTCTCAAGCTCCTCAAAAAGTTTCTGTCAAAGAAACGAAACAAAAATGAAAACAAGTGCAGGATTGAGTAGCCTTGGTCAAGGCGCTAGTTGTTATTCAACCGGCCGTAGCGCGGTAAACGATATCCTCACTAGCGCTATGCATGCAGTGCATTGAAAATACAGCACCAACAGTGACCTCACGCGGCCACTGTTTTTATGCGAATCAGTTGGACCCAATCTAGCGCCTTGGTTCAATCGTCCATGTGAGGTTTTGGGGGTGGTGCTCATGTCGGTGCGCACCGCTTAACACGTAAACCCGTCACCTGAACATGCTGAAACAAAAACACTAAGCTTTAAGCCGAATGTGAGTTTAAAATTTGTCACTTTTAATGTCAGAAAATCAATTCAAAACAAATTCTACAAATCAATAACACTACAGATGGTTACAGTTACAGTTGAATTTGAAACAAAATTATAAAACTTAAATTAAAACTAATAAAAAAGGAAAATTTGAGATGAAAAACTGTTTCATTCGTCTTTCATGACGTCTTGAAAAAAAATAATGTTGAAAGCTGACCACATCTCCCACAAGCATGCCAAAGGATGCACGTGCAGCTCACACTATTTGGCACTGGGCAGTTTTTGGCATGACATACACCGGCTCCCTTACCCGACCCCCCCCCCCCCCCCTTTACACTAGGACGGTCCCGCCCCACTCAGACTGTGTGTACGACCGACGACGCGACGACATGATTGAAAATGCATGGCTAGTTTCACTTTCATGCTTTAATTCATCTTGTTTGATTATTTCGCACTAGTATAATAACAATGACCTCTATCAATTCAGATATTATTCCCATCTCTTATTAACAACTATTATTATTTTTACCTCCTCAGCGAGGGTTTCATCGTCCAACAATTCCTCCGCTTGTTGCCTTGAAACCGTTTTCTACGTCCGCCATGTTGTTTGTCAATTATTCAGTATTCAATGGAGCTGAGGGCGCTATAACACGAACTTTCAACTATAAAAAAAAAAATAACACATTGAAGGCACGCGGCAAAAAGTTGCATCTACCCCCCCCCCCCCCCCCCCCCCCCCCCCCCCCCCATGCTCTTCAAAACACTTTAGTTTTCTCCAAACAAAGTTTCAATCTGTAAGTTTTCTTTTTTTTTAAACAGAAATCTACTTTCTTCCGATTTTGGGCGTCTGCAGCATTACTCGGACACTCTCGATAGAAGTGACATTTAATTGAATGTACACGAACCATCGGTACCGATGGTTCGTGTACAAACCAGAATGAGCCAATAAGACAACAGCGCCGATTGTTTGTGCAATGACAGATACAACCAATGAGAGAGCATACAATCACTGGTGGTCATCGGCCCAGTGACCTTGCCTAGCTCAGCTATCAGTGAGATTTACGTAACGTTGCGTAACAAAGTGTATGTGGGGAAACTGTGGTCAGGGCCCTGGCCCTGCACAAGGCCATGCATGTGCATGCTATCTTAATATGTTAATGTAACGTACACTTTGTACAGTTGAAACCTTATATTAATTGCTTCTATTTCCAGACATTAAGGTTTGCTGCATGCACTATAATATATTACTTGGACATGGTTGTATAGCAAGGACCTATAGTTGTACCATGGAGGAAGGAATAGAAAAATACAACTTGGAAAACGATAATCTAAACGAGAGTATGCTGAAATGTAGCGCCCACTGAGAAAGAGAACTGGAGTTGTAATACATGCATGTCAACCGTGCAGACAAGTTCTGGGAGAGAATATTCAACCGACGGCGAGATTACTTACACCATGGAGGAAGGAACACCTCCATGCTTACACAAGCTAAAACTGTAAAAGATTTAATGTTTTCATATTCCTTGCTCTATGGTTATTTCAAATGGTCCGGCCGTGATTATTTTAAATAATCTGTTATTACCGATCATTAATTTTTGTCAAACCTGTTTTATAAACCAACAAACAATCAATTGTTGTTCTATGCATTTTAACTGGACTGGTGTTATCACCATTAAATCCCATATTCAAGGCATAAATAGATATTTGTTGATGTATGATGTAACATAGCATGGCGCCGCCACTGACGCGTGGTGTACTTTGCTTGTTCGTCTGTCGTGCTATCTAGAGCAACAGTTTTGTACTGAACTTTCACAAAAACCGGTATAATTTCATCGAGTTCTAAACACTCCCGTTCCTAAATCACGAGTTAATCCGATTCCTGTTACAAAGTTACAACAAAACATTATTTCGACATGATTTTCCTATTTTATTGCAAAGTGCATGGGTAAACCCTTTGAAAATATCCCCCCAAAATGAGGAAATAATTTTCTGACAAACTTCTAGTTGGGTATATAATAATGGTTTATCAGATTTTATCAACTTTACAGAATTCTTCAATGGAATTTTCCGATATTTATTTAAGTGCGCCACGTTAGGGAACATTCAGCCGTTTGTGTGCCCAATTTCCGGATGCCACCGTTTTTGAATTTCAGAAAACAATCTCATGACACCGAAATAGTTTACAGAGGTATAAACCGCCGCAGTAATAAGGAGTAAGTACCAGTATTTCACGGACTGAATTTGAAGTTTATCAACAAATAAGTTTGGCAACACTACATGAGGAAAGTCAAGGTAAACGTCGAAGTGTGCCAAGTTAGGAAACACCACTTTGTAATATATTAAGGAATTGATAGGGTACTGGTTTTAAGAAATATATTTATAGACTTTGAGCGCATTATGTTTAAATTAGAGATGAAGGAAGGGTATTTCCAAAAAGCAGAGCTTGTCGAGTAGTAGGAATCCCCTATAACATGAATTAATACATACATTTAATGAAAAAAGCAATTGCAAACAATTAAACATGTAAGCTGTACATGCCCCCCCCCCCCCCACCACCAAAAGCAGTTCCTTTGCGCCACCATATTCCCCGGAGCATACTTTCATGATATAATTTTAGAAATGTTGATACTGATTTCCGGGGCGGGGCAGATACGTGTTCCCTCACGTCCCCCCTCATTTTGGCGACGGATAAACCTAACCCAGCGTAGTTTTTTACTTTTGATGTAACGAAGGAGAAATAAAAAATGTGGGGTTTTTTTTCCCTAAAAGAGCCGGGGCGGAATTCGCCACCCCCTCGACTTTTTCCGCGATAGCCTTAAAAAATTTTTTTCGCAACCTGAGCTGTTATGACTTTTTAGCCTCGAGCCTTGCGCATCTTTTGACAACAAAAAAATATAAAAATCAGACCAGGGGTTGTTGCGCAGCGAAAAATTTCCCGGTGCCATGCGAATTTTCCCATATACGCAGCGTACACAAACCAGAATAACCATTCGTACATATGAATAATTAATTAGCCATAATTCCAGAACCCTTTGTCCTATAATCATGAAATTTCTTGGGTATATTTATGAAGAGTTGCTCTATGCATTTTCTTCGTCACTCGGGGGAGGGGGCGTGAATTTGCAGCACGTTAGTGCAAAGAGAGGAAAGGGGTGCGGGAAGGCAAAATAGGGGTGCGGGCGTGAATTTGCAGCATGTTAGTGCCAAGAGAAGAATAATCATTCATACATATGAATATTAATTAGCCATAATTCCAGAACCCTTTGCCCTATAATCATGAAATTTCTTGGGTATATTTATGAAGAGTGGCTCTGTGCATTTTCGTCGTCACTCGGGGGAGGGGGCGTGAATTTGCAGCACGTAAGTGCAAAGAGAGGAAAGGGGTGCGGGAAGGCAAAATAGGGGTGCGGGCGTGAATTTGCAGCATGTTAGTGCCAAGAGAAGAATAATCATTCGTACATATGAATATTAATTAGCCATATTTCCAGAACCCCTTGCCCTATAATCATGAAATTTCTTGGGTATATTTATGAAGAGTTGTTCTATGCATTTTCTTCGTCACTCGGGGAGGGGGCGTGAATTTGCAGCACGTTAGTGCAAAGAGAGGAAAGGGGTGCGGGAAGGCAAAATAGGGGTGCGGGCGTGAATTTGCAGCATGTTAGTGCCAAGAGAAGAATAATCATTCGTACATATGAATATTAATTAGCCATAATTCCAGAACCCTTTGCCCTATAATCATGAAATTTCTTGGGTATATTTATGAAGAGTTGTTCTATGCATTTTCTTCGTCACTCGGGGAGGGGGCGTGAATTTGCAGCACGTTAGTGCCAAGAGAAGAATAATCATTCGTACATATGAATATTAATTAGCCATAATTCCAGAACCCTTTGCCCTATAATCATGAAATTTCTTGGGTATATTTATGAAGAGTTGCTCTATGCATTTTCTTCGTCACTCGGGGGAGGGGGCGTGAATTTGCAGCACGTTAGTGCAAAGAGAGGAAAGGGGTGCGGGAAGGCAAAATAGGGGTGCGGGCGTGAATTTGCAGCATGTTAGTGCCAAGAGAAGAATAATCATTCGTACATATGAATATTAATTAGCCATAATTCCAGAACCCTTTGCCCTATAATCATGAAATGTCTTGGGTATATTTATGAAGAGTTGTTCTATGCATTTTCTTCGTCACTCGGGGGAGGGGGCGTGAATTTGCAGCACGTTAGTGCAAAGAGAGGAAAGGGGTGCGGGAAGGCAAAATAGGGGTGCGGGCGTGAATTTGCAGCATGTTAGTGCCAAGAGAAGAATAATCATTCGTACATATGAATATTCATTAGCCATAATTCCAGAACCCTTTGCCCTATAATCATGAAATTTCTTGGGTATATTTATGAAGAGTTGTTCTATGCATTTTCTTCGTCACTCGGGGGAGGGGGCGTGAATTTGCAGCACGTTAGTGCAAAGAGAGGAAAGGGGTGCGGGAAGGCAAAATAGGGGTGCGGGCGTGAATTTGCAGCATGTTAGTGCCAAGAGAAGAATAATCATTCGTACATATGAATATTCATTAGCCATAATTCCAGAACCCTTTGCCCTATAATCATGAAATTTCTTGGGTATATTTATGAAGAGTTGCTCTATGCATTTTCGTCGTCACTCGGGGGAGGGGGCGTGAATTTGCAGCACGTTAGTGCTTAGAGAGGAAAGTGGTGCGGGAAGGCAAAATAGGGGTGCGGGCGTGAATTTGCAGCATGTTAGTGCCAAGAGAAGAATAATCATTCAAACATATGAATATTAATTAGCCATAATTCCAGAACCCTTTGCCCTATAATAATGAAATTTCTTGGGTATATTTATGAAGAGTTGTTCTATGCATTTTCTTCGTCACTCGGGGGAGGGGGCGTGAATTTGCAGCATGTTAGTGCAAAGAGAGGAAAGGGGTGCGGGAAGGCAAAATAGGGGTGCGGGCGTGAATTTGCAGCATGTTAGTGCCAAGAGAAGAATAATCATTCGTACATATGAATAATTAATTAGCCATAATTCCAGAACCCTTTGCCCTATATTCATGAAATTTCTAGGGTTTATTTATGACGAGTTGCTCTATGTATTTTCTTCGTCACTCGGGAGGGGGGAGCTTTTTTTAATGCATCGCTTTTTTTAATGTCAGTCACAGTACCAATCAGGGCTCTGGAGTGCTCTGAAACGTGCAAAACTAAATCAGGCCCACTTTACTCACAGTTAAGCCAGCAAATTTCTCCAAAAATTCCACTGGGGCAAAGAAAATGTCCTCAGTATTTCACCAACCAAGTTTGCAGACTCAATTCAATTTTTAAAGGAGACTTTTCTTTAATATTTTGCACATGAGAGGGAAGTCAGGTGATTTCAAAATGGGGCTAAATACTAGACTGGTACATGTTCAACCATGGTCCAACTATTTGAAAAGACTGAACTCATTTCATTCAAAGTCAATAGTCTGGTGGCTTGACTATGGAGAAATGTGTAGTAAATTGAGAATGGTTCCCGCTAGTTCCTGTTTTGGGACTCTCATACACAGTATTGAGAGTCCCAAATTTTCGGACTATCACGGCACTAAACAACCCCCAAGTCAAAAAAGCTAACCATGAAATTTCAAAGATTCAATACTGTAAATTGTGTATGTAGGTCCTATTAACCCCTTTGCCAAACATGGTTCAGTTGGCTGTAATTGTTTAGACATTAGAGCTGATTTGATACATGTAATGTCAATCACGGTGGAATTGCCCAGATAATGAAGACATTAAATCCTGTAGCTTGCGTTGGTAATCTCGCCGTCGGTTGAATATTCTCTCCCAGAACTTGTCTGCACGGTTGACATGTATACATGTGAACTCCAGTTCTCTTTCTCAGTGAGCGCTACATTTCAGCATATTCCTGTTTAGATTTTCGTTCTCCAAGTTTCCGTACAACCATGTCCAACTAATATATTAAAGTGCAAGCAGCAAACCTTTGTCCAGAAATAGAAGCAAAGAATTATAAGGTTTCAACTGTACAAAGTGTACGTTACATTAACATATTAAGATAGCATGCACATGCATGGCCTTGTGCAGGGCCAGGGCCCTGGCCACAGTTTCCCCGCATACACTTTGTTACGCAACGTTACGTAAATCTCACTGATAGCTGAGCTGGGCAAGGTCACTGGGCCGATGACCACCAGTGATTGTATGCTCTCTCATTGGTTGTATCTGTCAGTGCACAAACCATCGGCGCTGTTGTCTTATTGGCTTATTCTGGTTTGTACACGAACCATCGGTACCGATGGTTCGTGTACATTCAATTAAATGTCACTTCTATCGAGAGTGTCCGAGTAATGAGCCCCTCTGCAAAATGGTTTTCATTTGGTGGCGCACAAAATGATTGAACCAGTCCGGCTGCGAGAGCCGAACTATTGTCTGCGGCAGGCCGGATTTGAATTGTGTGCAGAAATATTACATCAACGTTGGTGAATTTCTTTCCGTGCGTTATGTCTCATCCAAAAAGGAATAACTTGTTTAGGTCTAGGAAAATAGCAATCGACAAAACATTTGGTGAGACTCGAAAATAGCACGGGAAGCATGTGTCAGTATGTTTTTAACTGACCCGATACGGTTTGAGACAAAATATTTCGGCTTAAGCCCATCAGTATTTTGTTGAGGTTTGTGCACAGACGTAGAATTTCTGTCCAAGCCATGACTTTACGAAAAAAAAACCTCCTCTTGCACACGGTTTCCTTATGCGCCTATATAATCAATTGTTCCCCCCCCCCTCCCCCCGGGCTGCCCCACCCAAGACGTGGGGATTGTCACTTTTGAAGTGACAAAATCCCTACCCCTCGGGCAAAATTGTAGTGAAAATTCCCGACCATGCCCCGACTTGCATAACGCATTTCCATGTAGCACGCCAAAGGTAACAATGTAATTTGAGTGACCAAAATCGATCCCCACCCTGGGGCATGAAAAATGTGACCAAATCCCGACATCGGACCTGGGGCGGCCGGGGGAGGGGGGACATTTTTGTGATAGATGCATTACTCAACCATGTGGTTGACATAAGCGTCGCCGTTGTTAAAAGACAAGGTTTATCTGATCATGCACTTATCATGATGAGCAGTGGAAATCATGCAGCCGAAAACAAAAACATGGCCTTTTGAATGTTAATTATGTTTTTCAGAAAAAAATGCTCAGTATGATTAAAATGTTAAATTCTAACAGAAGAACTAGTGAAATTCTAAATTTCATGTCAGTCAAAAAAATCGCCGTCATCGATGTCAAAACGTCAGCCTAGTACTGGTTACTAGCTGGTAAAGCCGACATTAAAGTCGGGAAGAATCGTTCGAAAACGTCCCCAAATCTATGTATTTATCTCAATTTCTAGGAATCCCAATAAGTTGTTATTTGTAGTTGAACACTAAAAGTAATACCACCTAAGTATATTCCAAATTTCAACTTAATCTGTTGTTGCAAACGCTTGTGCTGCACCTTGAAAAAATCTCCAAGGAAAATTTTGACGAGGATTTTTTTCCGACCAAACTCATAGTTTTCAGGTTGGCCGATGTTAGGACAAAAATGACGAAGAGCATTTTATTACAGCGTGCATCGGCTCGACTTCGCGTGGGTCTCGGTATCGACCAATGGAGGCCGGCAAAAAGGGCGATATTTATCAATTAATAACTCGTGAAGGAGGCGATGCTGCAAATGTTTACTGCACACCATAGGGGTTGGAACCTTATTAATATTCGTGAGGCTTGAAAAGATTGACAGATATTGCAAACACCAGTGCTACAGCTTTGAAAAATTGACGTACCAAAGCCTATTTTTCCAATTTCAACGAAAAATACAAACATATCAAAATTAATATTAACACATACATAGTTGGATCATTTAATAAGGGAAACAAACCCTGAAAGTTGTATGAAGATACGGTCTTCCAAACGGGAAAAATTGATTTTCAAAGATTCGCTGGCGAACATCCACATGTCTTATGCGCCGTAAATGTCGTTTCATTAAAAATAAAGTAGTACAATAACCTTTAGAAATCGGCCTTCGCAACAACATGGCTGCACTTGCCCAGTTTTATAATAGTTTATGCGGTACCCGCTGCTATGTACATTAGATTCGAACCAGCCAACCGATCCCGTTAGCTTGGTGGTCGAGTGGTAAGACATCTGCACTAGAAAGCAGGAGGTCGTGGGTTCCGTCCCACCCGAGTGATTTTTTCCAACTTTCACTCGGGAGGTAACACACTGAGTAAACACTGTTTATACGTCGGTGAAGGGCAAACCTAATTTGATTTTTATCACCCCGACGCAAAATTCCATTTTATAATTACTGGGATCTTTCAACCCCTTGACCTTGCATAAATCAACTTTCCTTAAAGGTAATAGACTTATACAATTGTTGCAAGCATAATAAAAAAAAGAAGAGAATATGAAATACCTTAATTGCATCCTGTGAAACCATGGTAGCTGTCATTTTCAAAAAAAGTGGAATTTTGTATTAATTTCAAACAATGGTCGCCGACCAATCGTTGGAAAAACTGACTTTTCAAATACTTCCCCCAATTTACCAAATTTAGTTAGTCTAAATTTTTGTTTGCTATCAGTTACACATCTACGCCGCTCGGCATTTCATCTGGTTCCTTGACTTGACCGTTCCCTGATGTCTATAAACTGCCCCGTTTCGTCTAAGTATAGGGCACGGGAACCACACTACAAGAACGTTTTGGGTTTTTTTTAACAACTATGAACACAAAACAGTGCAACAATTTTGCCATGAAACTACTAACCCCCCATATTTTAATACTTGTCATACTAATTGTAATATTTAATTGATTTCACCAATGTTTACTGATTTGTTTGATTGGATATTTCTTTTCGGCAAACTGGCCACAATTTCAAATATAACTCAAACACACAAAAAAGGTCTCAAATAAGTATTATGAAGTTTACAACAAAATATTTTTTATTGACAAATAGAAATATGGAAAAATAAAAAATTTGCATTGAGATTTTTAACAAAATCTGAAATATTAGTACTTATTCACTTTACCTGATCAAGTCATCATTTTTTCATAACTAAAAAGTGGAACAGCTAAAAATGCAGTTTCCAAATACATCATGGGATCTTCCAAGTGTTACACAATTATAAAGTCATGCTTATCAAAGCATGCAATAAAATTGATGTTTTCAAGCCCTCTGAAACATGTTAAGACGTATCAATGCAAATGGCTAGTACTAAACAATAAAATATTGTTTTAAGTATTATCAAAACACCAAAGTGTGCAAAAGGATACAAAGTTCATATTTCTAAAAATAAGATACAAAAATGATCACATTTGGACCTATTTCATGAATGATTACGTTTGTAATTAAAATACTGAATGGTTCTGGTTCATTTATGCATGTAACAGATACAGAAATTGTTATATTTCAGTTAAATTAAATTTAAATTGTTCTTTGTTGAAATGTTAAATGTAAAAACGAATATGTGCACTGTAATTTTTTCATATTTACGGACAAGTTAAATAATTCATACTCCCCCCATTAGTGCATGGTGAGAGGCTGAGTGGTCAATAGTTTGATCCTAGACACCTTACTATCTATGCTTGTCCTTTTCTGATAAGACTGGTCAATAGTTTGATCCTACACACCTTACTAGGCTTGTCCTTTTCTGATGAGAGTGGTCAATAGTTTGATCCTAGGCACAAATACTAGACTTGTCCTTTTCTGATGAGAGTGGTCAATAGTTTGATCATAGCCACAAAAACTAGGCTTGTCCTTTTCTGATGAGAGTGGTCAATAGTTTGGTCCTAGCCACAAATACTAGGCTAGTCCTTTTCTGATAAGAGTGGTCAATAGTTTGATCCTAGACACAAATACTAGGCTTGCACATGTACTTTTCTGATGAGAGTGGTCAATAGATTGGTCCTACAAAACAGGCTTTGTCAGATTAATCCAAGGAACCCAGTTCCCACCATGAAGTTTTGGATTGCCTTTAGGATCGTTGGGAACATTTTTCGGTGGCACGGCAGTGGCGTTGAATTGATTTAAGCGTGTAATCATCTCTGACAGAATATCTATGGATAAAACAAATGGAAATGCAACATAAGAATTAGTTTAAATCTATTACAATGCAGGGTTGTGGGTTGAACAACTGGGTTAATTAAAGATATAGTCCATCATTTGTAATTTGTGCACTTTGTTCGTTTGAAGCAACAAAAGTGCTCAAAATCTAAAGAAGGGTACTGAACAACTAACTTGATGAAGCTTCAGCTCGAGAAAAACAGCATTCTAGGATCTCAATTTCAAATCAAAAGTTGCTGAATCATGTTTAGAATTGGGCCTGAATTCAGCGTCCGAGACACGTTCTCACTGAGCCGATTGCAGCTACGCCATGTCACGCACTGATCCGACGACTTATAGCAACCGCACGTCGTGCCAATGCTTGCGCGCCTTTTGCCGAATAACAAAACGAACTACTAATTTGAATTTCCTACGGTACGTCTTAAGAAGCACCGTTGGAAAAACCTTCTTTCGTTGATAACTTCAAAATGACAGCTTGCCAGAAAGAATAATTTCACAGGGAGTTTAGTCCCCTTACTATCTTTTAACCAAGTATGTTTTTCAACAATAATTACACCAATTACTTTTCGGATAGCTGCAAATGATGGACTATAGCTTTAATTATGAAGTTGAACAAATATGTTAATATTGGAGCGGGGTTTGAACCTGAAGCCCTCTGAATATGGTACCAAAGCTCTACCAACTGAGCTATCCAGCCCTGTGTTGGCAGTTACAAACTCCCGAAGTGCTTAATTTAATACATTTATTTTTCAAGTTGGTCTTTTGTATTGAAACTTTGTTTTTGGAACTTGACAATGAATGTTAGGAACTTATTGGAAATCAAACGATTAAAACATGTCTGAAATTAGAAATACAACCAGTAACATGGTTCCCACAGAAAATTGAAAAGAAAATTCCATGACTTTTGCATAAATTGCAATAATAGCTTTAAATTTTAGGATTTTCCAGGATTTGTCTAAGACCGTGGGCACCCTGATAAGGATCATGCTTGTTTGGTGACCTTGCTGAGCCAGCTTTCTTTGAAAATCTAGACCAGCTTGTCTCTATACAAGATATATGATGGTGCGTAGGTTCGAACCCAGCCAGGAACATGGTGTTTGTGCCCTTGGGCAAGACACTTAACTACAATTGCCTCTCTCAACCCAGGAGTATGAATGGGTATCTGTGAGGGTAGAGGACCGAATGTACGCTGATATCAGCCGCTGCATGGTCTCTTGGAATAATTGTAAAGCGCTTTGAGACTGTTGATACAATGAAAACCGCTACACAAGCATAATTATTTTTGTCTTCTTTTTTTTCTCCATTTCTTGGGCAATTGATATGGAAAGATATACACCGATCATACCCTGTGGTGTCTGAACCAGAGCCCCATACATTAGGTCGTCACAGAATGTAAAAATTGTATTTTACCTTGGTTCCAGTCGGCTATGTTGTAGAACTCACAAGGATCGTTCTTGATGTTGAACAGACAGGGCTTCTCAAAAGGCTTGCAGTTAGTGGAAGCGTTTGATGGGCGGGGCAAGAGACAGCTTACAACTGGGGGGAGGACGCTACGATCCGTTAAACTGTTGAGACCTTGTTCATTCTTTTCTTGATTTTCTACAAGACACAGAAGTTAAGAATAGGCCTGAGACATTTCTTCTAAAAGAAAGCGCATACATACAGAAGTTGACACATCGGTGCCCAATTTCAAAGCGCTTCTTAACTGCCGATTTTGTGCTAACCGAGCCTCTGTCTATTTCATAGAGACTGCAAGCAGTAGAAGCACAGCAAAAGCACACTTCACCGCAGAGCAAAAAGTTACTGAAATCAGTGACGTAACAATAGAAATTCCCCTGCGCGCGCAACCGTTAGCACGTCCATTCCATGAAATAGTGTTAAAGCAGCAGCATATGATTTCTGCTGTAGTAAGCACCACTTTTCTGCGAACTGTTTAAAGGGAATACACATCATTTGCTTTTGCTGTAATTTTCAGAAATGGATGGAATTGGGGGGTTGGAAATATATAGCAAATATAGTTACACAGACTTTTTTGAGGTTTTGGGTTCGAAAATGCTATATAAACCAAGAAAAACAATCATTTTCCTGTAGTCTGGTTCCCTGACTCCATATAAGAAGAAACAGAGCAGTTTACAGACATTGGGGAATTGTAAGGTCAGGGAACCAGTCTAGCTGGCTTGTACCCGTTCATAGGTGTGTAATCAATTGCAAACAAGTGCGATGGTCAATTGGGGCCAGTATTTGACAAAAAAAGACATTTTTTTCCAACGCTGGTCGGCCGACCAGCGTTGGAAATTGATACAAAATTACCACTTTTCTTGAAAACGACAGTATACCAGGTGCCATGATTTTACATGATGCTTTACACAGTCATTCACTAACAGTCCAGCAAGGTATTTCAAAATGATTTGGTAGTTTTATTTTTTGATGTTTGCAAATGTTGTATTTTCCCTTTAAGCAGGGCTATGAAATTGGGCCCAGGGCCGGCTACTCAACTAGATCACACAACTTCATTTGAAGAACACAATTTGGTTGGCTAAAAAAGAAGAAGCTGCTTTCCACAATTTGATTTGGGAGTTGCCCAAAGGGCGTGGCATCTAATCATTGACAGACCAATCCATGAAGCCCCGCCCCATGATGTTTTGACCAATCACAGCCATGATTTATGTCCAACGTCCATGCAATAATGTCATAATGACATGCGCAGCTTGAACATGCAGTGTGGCATTGGGGAGGCACATCTATTGCTATTGCCCATTTCCCTTTGTGGGCGGGGCTTAATGGATCACTCTATTGCTTGGTTACCTCTTGATACTCCCAGTGGTGGGTACCAGTTATCCCATATTCCATGGTCGCTGTCACCAATGACGATCTTGTAGTCGCCAACACGCAGTGCAGCATACGGTGCAAGAGGGTCTATATTTAGAAGAATCTCATTCCTTGGTGATGGAGCACCCCTGAGGTATTCAAAGTTATGAATAATTCATTAGTCTGTTGTAAAGGAAAGCTTATGAATTGGGCTTTCATATTCTGATAGTGCTGCATGCAGGACTTCACTAAAAGAACAGTCGTGACATTTTGGTTTCCTTTTTTTTTACTCACCCTGTACAAAGGACATCTTTAATTTTGAAGAAAAAAAATGTGTGACAGGTTGAGACAATGCTTACTTAGACACTGTGTCCCAGACGTCCTGTCCATAAATGTCATCTCCCAGGGCACTGACATTGCCACCAGCAATCCTATACATTGTAGGGAACCAATCAGAGACGTGGATCAAGTCAGCTGACACACGCCTCGGTTTCTCCAGCATGGGGCTATTGACGAAGCCCACTCCTCTAACTCCGCCCTCCCAGGGAGTGGATTTCATGCCACGTAGTGGCCAGTTACACCCCACGCTGCCATCGTAGCCGTGACCAGCGCCCCCGTTGTCAGTGGTGAAGATGATGACCGAGTCTTTGTACAGTCCTGCTTCGTTGAGATACATGATGATGCTGCCAATAGAGTCGTCAAGTGCAGAGACCATGCCTAAAAAGATATCAGGTCACTAAAGAATGACCATGATCTTCAACAAAGTCATTTTTTTTGGTCAATGCTTTGAACTATTTTGGGCATCTGCAAACCTCCGGGAAAAAAAAATTGTTTTGGTTGCTTCTTCCAGTTACAAATCCTCCCTGTGGGTAGACTGGTCCCTGGTCCATATTTTGTTGATTCTAAAAGGAGTTGGGAACCAGTCTACCCTGCGAAAACTAAATAATTGTCGGCTGCAAATAATTCGCAATTTGTAAAGGAACTATTCCATAACTAAGCTCGGGCCAATTTTTCATTCAAATGTGGGCCAATGTCTCAGGCAAAAATGAGTAACTTTTGTACAGCCACAGACATGACAGACTACAGCAACAAATCAATCTTTTTGGGGGTGAAACTCAAAAACAGCATAAAAAGTACACAAATTAAAAAAAAGAAAAGTAAGGCCAAAAAAAAAAAGTCTCCGGTTTCTGGTATGCGCGCGCGTCGCCGTAGCCATGCGCGTCGGCAAAATGAAAAAGTTTTTTTTCAATGAAAGATGATGTCTCAAAACCGCCAAACTCACTGGTTTGACTGGAATCCTGCTGCTGCACGATTTTAACGTGTTTTTAGATGGGGTTATGATCGAGAATAAGCTTTATGTGGCCTCTCTGGACTCCCATATATTTGCACTAAGTTTAGTCGGGCACCATTTGCAGTCATCATCCGACATTTGAAGCAAAAAAGTCAGGTAAAAAAAAAAAAAAAGCCGCGTCGCCGCACCACTTTTTGGGCAAGCTCCATACCAGAAACCGGAGACTTTTTTTTTTTGGCCTAAAGGGTACAAAGCTGTGTTAACAGGAACGGAGTGCCCATCTCTCTTTCTTTAGCGATTGGGCCAGACTCATATGCTGATGTGGGGGATCGCCACACCTCCTCCATAATAATAATATAATGCCGGTATACCCATTTAACACCTGGGTTGAGAGGAGTAATTTGAGGTAAAGCGCCTTACCCAAGGGCGCAACACCCATGGCCACGGCGGGGCTCGAACTCACAACCTCACGATCATGAATCCTGTGCTCCACCGCTAGACCACACGTGCCCACGTACACAAACAAATTATTGAATGATAACAAAACCCAAATGCAGTACTTCTGGTTAAGAACTGTTACCCACCTGCGAAGATCCGTCTCTTTTCGTTTGTGATATAAGGGAAGCGTTGAACGTAATTTTCTGGAGCCTGCAGTGGATGGTCCGAATTACCAGCGTGAACAGCTTGCTGGGCTACATACAGAAACAGAGGCTACAAATCAAACAAATCATGCAATTAACATGGGATGCAAATGAAGTGAAACAGAGAATTTCGTCGTGTCAGTGCAACAACGTCGTATCTCCATTCTGCAATAAAGTCGTATCTCAGGCGTATACGCTCCGTGCAACAACGTCGTATCTCGACGTTCATTGACTTTGCGTGTACATCAGGGTTATTTTAAGCGAGATACGACCTACATGTATTAGTGCAACAAGGTCGTATCTCCTAAAATGGCATAAACGAAAACGCGAGTTTCAGAATGTGAAAAGGTTGTATCTAGCTTAAAATAACCCGGATGTACATGCAAGGTCAATGGATGTCGAGATACCACGTTGTTGCACGGAGCGTATACGCGCGAGATGCGACGTTGTTGCAGAATGGAGATACGACGTTGTTGCACTGACACGGCGATTTGTTGTAACATTAAATTTGTCAAACTCTGAATTGTAAACTTGTTTTGTTCTCTAAGGGTAAAGTGTGAACTTGTACGTATATGAGGATGTTGCTATTACCCAGGTTTGCAGCGTTGCTAATGTTGCTAGCATCGTGACGTTGGGCGTGATCCCTGGCTATATGGTAAATACGGGTTTATGGCGCCCCTTGAACAAAGGCATTGACAAAATGGGGAGCCGCCAACATGGGACTGGATAGCAGTTTGTCAGGGATGTAGTCTTGTCCATCATAAGTTCTCCAGTCCCAATTCAACTCACAAGCTGTTCAAATGAGCTTTGACAAAGGCATTCCTTTGTTATTGTTCATCCACTGTTACTTGTAACTGGACTTGTGATGGACTTGACTTCATCCCTGCAGTTAGCAGAGCACTGGAACGGCAACCTGGAGGTCCAAGGTTCAAACCTTGATGTCAATTTCTTTGTTTAACTTTAAATGACATAAAATTGTGTTTATGAATATAACTTTCAAAACAATGAAAATAATGATTTCTGACCTGTGAAGGATCATGACTTGTGATGACCCTTTTGACCTCTGCTGTAAGAATCTCTGTGCCGTATTGCCCAAATATGGGCTTATAAATCTGACTGTTATTTTGGAAGTCATAACCCCAATATAACGGACCCTGAAAGGAAAACAGATAATAAATACAACATAAAACACTGGATCATCTTATCTATTTTAACTCTGTTAAAATTCAATTCTAGCTTTTACCATATTTTGGATGGATGCTGGTATTTTAATTCAGGGATAGGGGTTGAGAGTGGCAACTTAATGGGGGGGGGGTACAGATAGGGGTGTGGGGGGTATAGTGTACAGGGGGGGGGGGGGTAGACACCACCTTAAATGGGGGACAGGGCGCTGTTCAAACATGTACACGGGTGTGGAAATATGAATGTATCTCGGCTGAAGGCATTACACTGTACAATTTTACTTTTGGGGGGGGGGGGGGGGGGGGGGAGGGGAACATGCCCACCGGATTGTCACACATGGTTGGCATTGCATTGGGGATGTTATGATGACATCGAACCTACATCTTGTGCAGTGTGGTCCAAGTAGTCCTCATGCCCGAGCAGATAACCAAAATGGCTGTCAAAACCTCGGTTGAGAGGCAGATACTCCTTGGCAAACATCCCAAGATGCCACTGAAGAACAAATACAAACAAAAACAACACAATAAGTTCTGGTCTGCAGTGGTGGATCAAAGATTTTTCAAAGCGGGTTGGCTGGTATGTGGAAGTTCAATTTTTTCTTTGAGTTTTTAGGTATTCTTTTTTTGGGAGGGGGGTGCATAAAGACCAAAGGCCTCAAGTGGTAAATCAATACATGTACTTGCAATACAGAGTGATGACGTTATTCAAGGAATTTTAGGGAAACAAACATTGGTGAGTTGAAGGGGGCCGGGGGTAATAGCCACCCGAACCAGTTCTTCCTGTGATTATATTTCTATCACGTTTATACATTACACAAATGTGGTAAAAGGTAACACTGCTGATTAGACATACAAAACTTAGAATCCAGAAGATTTGATTTGTTGCACAACTTTAGAACCAAAGTTTTGGAAACCGACCAGATTTTGAACATATGCTCCCACCAGAAAACAATAATAAGCAAGGTAGAAAACTCATCAGATCCACAACCGTGTCTGGTCTTGTCAGACCTAGATGTAACACTGCGCGATACAAGAAATATACTATATCCCATCACTGGCCAGAATCTTAAAATAATATGTTAAATATCAGTCTAGCCTCTGTGATCTACTCTCTTTTTTACTGATAATTTTAAATAATGTTACACTTCAGTTTTAATCAGTAATGTCTTGTCTTAGCATGTTTTAAGTAGTAATGATAATGATTAATTGCTTCCGTCATGATTTGTACATTTTAATTTACAATGTATTGATTGTATATTTAGTACTTTTTAACTAAAAAACCTGTTGTAACTTTGACTGTTTTCAGCCTGTGGGCTGCTTTTAATTCAAATAAATAAACCATAATAATAATAATAATCAACAAACGGCTGTCAATAAAATTTCACATCTTCAAAAATCAAAAACAAAAACATTCCCTCTTGTTCTCCTAACCACTCTGTTTTCACTATTCTTCTACTGTTACAGTTCAATTTGAGACTTTCTGGAAACAATATGTTCCTAAGACATTCTTGTAAATACAAGACTGGTATACATACCTTCCCAACAATGTGGGTCTGATATCCCTGATGTTTGAGAAGCTGAGATATTAACGTTTCATTGAGACCGAGTCCGTAAGGCTGGGCACCGCCGATGGTATTATGCTGTAATCCTTGTAGATAAAAAGGAAGCAAAAGCTACATTAAGGTAAAATAAAATGCACGAGAGCCTGAAATTTGCTGGATTTCCCCCTTTTTTTTGGGAGGGGGGGGGGAGGGGGGGGGTGGAGAAGGGGGGTAAAACAGTTTCCGGAAGTGAATAAATGGATTTACAAAAGGTGTGTGTGGGGGGGGGGGGGCATGGGGGAAGAATTGGGGGGTGGGGATTTTTCTTTTTCATATTTGGGGGGGGGGAATCACAAACCAGAAAAGAATAAAAGTTCACTTAAATAATTTGGTTCATAATGTCTTTTGGGGCTACAGAAAATATATCTTAAGGAATTCCCTTCAAAGCAAAGACAGAAAAAATCTCAGAAAGCCGGTACCTAGATGTATAGGATGTCTCCCTGTCATGAGTGCAGACCGCGTTGGAGTGCAGAGTGGCATGACGTAGTAATTATGCAATATGACGCCATCTTGAGCAAGCTGGTCAATGTTGGGTGTTGGAATCTCAGTAGAGCCGTGAAAACTCACGTCATCCCAACCCTGTCAATTGTGTGACAAAAAAAGGAGTTCTCACTACCCCAGTCAAGTTTTAGGACAAAACAAAAATAAGCCAGTTTGGTATTTAACTGCCTATGTGCACAATAAAACAAGGGTCATTTGAGATAATCAAATGCTCACTGAAGGCGCAGGAACGCACAGGGAGATGGGCGCACGATGTTCGCGTGTTAACGCTATAGTCCATCATTTGTAATTAGTGCATTTTGTTCGTTTGAAGCAACAAAAGTGTTCAAAATCTAATGAAGGATACTGAACAACTTACTTGATGAAGTTTCAGCTCAGCTTCAGCTTCATATTCCGAGAAAAACAGCATTCTAGGATCTCAATTTAAAATCAAAAGTTGCTCAATCATGTTTTGAATTGTTTTGAATTGCAGCTATACGCGATGTTGCGCACTGATCCAACGAATTATAGCAACTGCGCGTGCCTGTGCGTCTTTCCAATGCTTGTGCGCGCTGCGCCGAATAACAAAACGAACAACTAATTTAAATTTTCCTATGGTGCTTCTTAAGAAGCACCGTTGGAAATGCCTTCTTTCGTTGATTTCTTCAAAATGAGCGCTTGCCAGAAAGGATAATTTCACAGGGAGTTTAGTCCCCTTACTATCTTTCAACCAGTATGTTTTTCAACAATAATTACGCCGGTTACTTTTTTTGATCATGTTGATAGCTGCAAATGATGGACTCGGGCTTTACGAGCAGAATGGGCATTCTCGTAACATCGCATAACATCAGGTCATTGATTTTATCCCGAATGACCTTGGACCTGAACTACTTCATCGAGATAACAAACTGGCTTATTCACACAAACTTTCAGGGGAAGAAATTTGTTGTGTGATGATACACTGATAGTGATGACTAGTGAAGGTGACGATGACGGTGAAGATGACACCGACAGTGAAGGTGACCATGACAGTGAAGGTGATGATGACAGTGAAAGGGGGGGGGGGGGGGTTGACAGTGAAGGTGAATGACACTGACAGTGAAGGTGACCATGACAGTGAAGGGGATGATGACAGTTAAGGGGGGGGGGGTGACAATGAAGGGGGATGACATTGACAGTGAAGGTGACCATGACATTGAAGGTGACACTACGGTGATGATGACAGTAGATGACAATTGTCCTTGATAATTATGGGATATATAAAAACTGCTCACCAAGTCATCGGCCACGATCAGTATGATGTGTGGATGTGCTGGCTTAGCAATGCTGACATCAACAGCAGCAAGAAGCAAACCAGCAACTAACATTATGCCCAGCCATGCCAGCGACTTCATTGTCACTATACTTACAGTCATGACAGCTAAACTAGTAAAAGCAAAAATAAAATGTATTTATTAATTTTATTTTTTTTATTGGCAGTGGATATTTTGCCGGAGACGGCAAACCTTAACGTTAGCTTGCCGGATATGCACATGAACATGCACAGTTAATCTGTTAAAGGGAATATACATCATTTGCTTTTGCTGTAATTTTCAGAAATGGATGGAATTGGGGGGTTGGAAATATATAGCAAATATAGTTACACTGACTTTTTTGAGGTTTTGGGTTCGAAAATGCTATAAAAACCAAGAAAAACGATCATTTTCATGTAGTCTGGTTCCCTGACTCCATATAAGAAGAAACAGAGCAGTTTACATACATTGGGGAATTGTAAGTTCAGGGAACCAGTCTAGCTGGCTCGTACCCGTTCATAGGTTTGTAATCGATTGCAAACAAGTGCGATGGTCAATTGGGGCCAGTATTTGAAAAAAAAGCCAGTTGTTTCCAACGCTGATCGGCCAATCAGCGTTGGAAATTGATACAAAAATACCACTTTTCTTGAAAATGACAGTATACCAGGTGCCATGATTTTACAGGATGCTTTACACTGTCATTCACTAACAGTCCAGCAAGGTATTTCAAAATATTTGGTAGTTTTATTTTTTGATGTTTGCAAATGTTGTATTTTCCCTTTAATGGGTTTTTTTTTACTTAGACATTTTCCGGTGACAAATATTAGTCTGGCTCCATGCCAATATTGTCGTTGTAACTTCATATTCACAAGCATGACAAGATGGGAATCAGACCATTTTATAGTTTCGGACTTTATTTCCCTTTAAAAAGTAGGGTACAGGAGTTCAACGCTCCACTCAGTAGAGCTAACAAAATACATTACATTCAATAAGTTTGTATGCCGTAACCAACCCTGCAATAATTTATTTAATCAAAGTGGCTACCGTTACGGCAGCCGTTGTTTCAAGCGCCCTCTACGATACTTTTTTGATACGCACGCAGGTATATAATTATTTGTTTCCCCACGTTTTAGCAAGCAGTGCGACAGCTCATTCGATAGAGGGTAGGATTTTGCACCGCGAGGTTGCGGGTTCGCATCTTTTCTAACCTGAGGCTTTGGAGGATTTTTTTTAAAAGGGAAATAAAGTCCGAATTTCATAACGCTCATTTATATTTTCTTCTCATGTTTTTATAAAAGTTGCAGTACTACCGTAACGATAGAAAATGGAAAATGCGTTACAGCTGCCGTAACGATAGCCGCTGGCACTGCGTTATTTGATAAAACATGTTTAATAATTGATAGGCCCCTAATAAGAACGCAGTGGCTATTGTTACGGCAGCCGTAACGCATTTCCCATTTTCTATCGTTACGGTAGACTGCAACTTTTATAAAAACATGAGAAGAAAATATAAAATTAGAAGGAAAAAAGTGAATTTGAACGTTATGAAATTCGGACTTTATTTCCCTTTAAAAAAAAAATCCTCCAAAGCCTCAGGTTAGAAAAGGAAAAAAATTCGAGTGCAAAACTGAAATGCGAACCCGCAACCTCGCGGTGCAAAATCCTACCCTCTACCGACTGAGCTGTCGCACTGCTTGCTAAAACATGGGGAAACAAATAATTATATACCTGCGTGCGTATCAATTAAGTATCGAAGAGGGCGCCAAACAACGGCTGCCATAACGATAGCCACTTCGTAATAAGATTAAGAAACATAAACTGTTGCCAAATAAAATCTCCCGGGACTGTTGTTCCAAGTGCTTCTACCCAACCCAAGCTCATACATGTCTAGCCCCATAAATGTGGCCTATTTACTGGACTGCCTCCGTAAACATAGGCCACACATCCACATGTACAAAAATCGTGTCGACTTTGCCAAATTTTGATTTTCACATTAAGGCTTTGTTTGTAGGGTTTTTTTTGCTTTAGAAGCATACTCACCCTCTTTATAGGCTAATCAGAAAGTGCTGCCTTTTTCAGATGTATATTTTTCGTGAAATTTCCAGATTCATTTTTACACGTTTGCGTATCAAAATTTCAACATGAAATTTCACAAAAATTAGACATCTGAAGAAGGCAGCACTTTCTGACTAGCCTATAAACATGATAAAGTGGGTGAGTATGCGATTTTGGGTCAACTCGTACCCGAGTTAACTCGTACCCGAGTCAACTCGTACTCTAGTCAACTCGTACCCGAGTCAACTCGTACCCAAGTTAACTCGTACCCGAGTTAACTCGTACCCAGGTTAGCTCGTACCCGAGTCAACTCGTACCCGGGTCAACTCGCACCCAGGTCAACTCGTACTCCCCTCCTTTTTTAGTTTGGAAGTACGGATGGATGGTTAACAAAACTTCCGATTTTACCCTCAAAAACGGCGACTGAGAAATAGTAGTTACGCCGCCAGAAATACAAATATTGAAAAGGGAAAATGTACCGTTCATCGGCAAGGGCTTCATCGCGAACGGACGGGTACCGCGCGGAGAACATTTTCAAAACGGCATCAGTGTGGTACTCGCGAGTCGACGGAGCCCTCGCTGATAAACGGTAAATTTCACTTTTCATCCAGATCATCAGATGTGTTATTTTAAAATTTGTGTAGTATTTTCTCTTAGTAATGATGTTTTCTCTTTCTTTTTCAGAGACCCTGGATCACTGAGATTGCGGAGTGACAGTGCAAACTGCTACGTCTTTTTTTTGTTCGGTCGAACGTGTTTTAAGGGCATAGTTTTCTTTTAACGAATTTAGTATTTAAGACCTCTTTTTTTTTTTAAGAAAGCTGCTATTAAAAAATGAATTTTGTAATGTAAAAGTAATATTTTTCAACGTTCACTCACTCCATTTTTGGCATCATTTATTGAATAAAAACTGCACATGGCACAAATCTCTTTGGGAAGATTGGGGGCCCTGAAAGTACAAATCTGAAGAGAAAATATATTACAGGAAACTTAAAAGAGTCACACGGACATCGTTATTTAATTTATAATGATTCTTTAATATGTTGGTCATTTTTTGTACAATTAGTTCGGTAAATGTAAAAAAAATCTTGTGCAGCTTAAATAAAGTTTCTGCGATAAGTTCAACTAGAATATTATTTTGGTAACAGAAATGTAGGATTTTTAATTATTTGTTTACATTTGAGGCATCAAGGAAGTAAACACGATAAAGGAAAATGGTGGCTCGTTTCATTCAGAGATGCTCTTTCTATAAGTTTTAGGGGACCAATTTGTTAGTTGATCCTTGGGTGTGAAAGATTGTTTGACATTAGCAAATTGTACTTCAAGTGCAAGAGAAAGTTTTATTATCTTAAACAAAACTGAGCTAATCGGCCTGGCAAAAACGATGTCACCGTGCACGGTACGACCACGTTGGCCGATGAGTGCGCGCACAGGCCCGGCAAAAACGATGTCACCGTGCACGGTACGACCACGTGGACCGGCGAGTGCGCGCACGGGCCCGGCAAAAACGATGTCACCGTGCACGGACAACCGGCCATATCCCTCCGATCTTCCGTTCGTTTCACTGATTTTCTTTTCGAAAATAGGCAACTATTTTGAGCTGCGGGTACGAGTTGACTCGGGTACGAGTCAACTCGGGTACGACTTGACTCGGGTACGAGTTGACTGGGGTACGACTTGACTCGGGTACGACCTAACTCGGGTACGACTTGACTTGGGTGTCAATTTTGGGGTACGAGTTGACTCGGGTACGAGTTAACTCGGGTACGAGTTGACCCATTTCCGAGTATGCTTCTAAAGCAAAAAAATCCTACAAACTAAGCCTAAATGTGAAAATCAAAATTTGGCAAAGTCGACACGATTTGTGTACATGTGGACGTGTGGCCTATGTTTACGGAGGCAGTCCAGTAAATAGGCCACATTTATGGGGCTAATACATGTCGTACACATACGGTAAATTGTAATTTAGTGTTTAACTTACAAATTACTCTACCGGCTTTCACACAGCTGTTTGGAGTACAACTTTCCTGACGATCCCTCCCTAACCTAGCCGTGTAGCTGTTAGACCGCCCTCTTGAGTCGGTAAATCGTAAACAATTTTGCATATGTTCACTGAGGCTCTAACTTAAAAATATGAAGAGCAAACATTTAAAGGGCAGATACAACATTTGAAAACATAACAAAACGAAATGATCAGATTATCATTAAATACCATACTGGATTCTTAGGGAATGACAGTCTAAAGCATCCTGTAAAATAATTTTCAACAAAAATGGGATTTTTCAAATGCTGGTCAGCCGACCCAGCGTTTTTCAAAAAGTGCTAGCAAACTCGATTTCCTACACAAACACTGCAAAAACTCTTTGCAATTGATTAGGTTAAAGGTTACAAGCCTACTAGACTGATTCTCTGGGGGGATGATGTCGCCTTCACAGGACAGTCTTCAATAAGTTCAAGTGTTTGTTGAGCTCATCCCTAATGAACCACATTCTCACCATGACTATTCAATGTGTCCAGATTTTGAAAGTGCTGGTATTTGCAAAGTATAATAAAATTAATCAAAGGACGAAATATATTTAAAAGACAGGTAATACAAAAATACACAACAAAAAGTACATGGTGTATTCATATAAAATTAATGCTTTATTCCTTTAAACTTAAAGCATAAAATCTGACATTTTGGGCATAAATTTGTACACAACTGCCAGGTCACTGACTTGATATTAGGTTTAGTTACGGCAGAGTAATACTGCAGTTGAACGAGATATAAACTCTAAATTTGGAAGTGGTTTTAGAAAAAAAACCTGCCTATAACAGTAATATTTAGTTACAAGCGGCAAACAATATTTGCACATTCCTTGAACTGAGCAGGGACAATTAAAAACAACCTCTAGTGTTAATGTTTTATGTAAAATTCATAACTTTATGAAAGGTTTGTACATTTGCTCATTGTTGCAATCTGAAATCGCCATCCATTCAGCACAAGGAGACAATTGCTTACACTTTTTCATTTCTGTGAAATTAAAAATGTTAATTTAGAATCACATGGAATTGAAAGATGCACTCAGTGCTATTTTCAAGTTTCGATCACCTTGATAGGCCTATATATTTTTTTTTTCATTTTTTAATGAGACATTGAATAAAAAAATTCAATTCAATTAGTCATTGAATTGTTTCTTCATTAAATTTCAATTATTATCTGCCAGACAATAATTCGGCTCGTGCAGGGTGGGTTCACCTGTGCACAAAATGGAAGCCCTTTTCGTAGAGCTTCAGATACCCCAAAAATCAGAATATACAAGAAGTAATTTTGTTGTTAACACAAAAAATACAAATGGAAACAAAAACAAAACCGGAGAAAAAGAAAATACATTTTTTTAAGAGTACAGTCGACTGTCGTTAGTACAAACTCTGTTAATACAAAATTCTGGTTATAACAAACATAAATCCTTAGTCCCGACTGTGCATTTATGTGCACAATGAATGGGACTGATTTTCCTCTTAATACAAAATTCTGATATAACAAACAATTTGGCTAGGTCTGAATGAGTTTGTATTAACGAGACTCGACTGTACAGGGTTTGCAACTTTGAACAATCCAAGAATTAATTATCCCCTTTCCTCATCATCCAACCCCTCTCCTCCCCAAGCCACGCCCATAGCTCTCGCCCCCCCCCCCCCACAGGATCATCTGTCTAACGTTGTGTTGCTATGGTTACCACTGAAGCAGATAGTCATCAGTTGTTGGCTGTAAGAATACTCCTCCTGAAAATGAAACGGCGAGAAACAAAAATAACATAAGATTTTATTTAAAACTGAACTTATTCAGAAGAGGGAAATATTCACCAGAGTCACTGTAGCGCACGAAACTGCATGAACACTTAATGGTGTCATTGATTCCTCAGTGAATAAACACAATGTAATACAATGTAATACAATGTAGTACAGTGGAACGCCGCTACAAAGAACATTGCCAGATCCACAGAAATTGTTCGTAATAGCGATCGCTCTGTAAAGCGATTTTAAGCTGCCGGTGCTCCAGTACTCACTTTTCAATAAATAGCGCCCTTCAGAACTCACCCTGCACGCCCTGGTAGTTACTGAAAGTCAACTTTGAACACGTGCCGACTATTGAATTATGTAATTACAGTTTTTGAGCTTAATACCAACAGCAATCAGCAATGGGTGGCTTTCCCCTTCTATTCCTTGGGGAAATAATAGCCACTTGTCGCTCTTGCAAATCAAGATTAGCATTTGCCCTTCACCGAATTATAAACACGGTATACTCATAGCGCTACCTCCCAAGCGATCAAGTTGGAAAAAATCACTCGGGTGGGACTCGAACCCACGACCTCCTGCTTTCTAGTGCAGATGTCTTACCACTCGACCACCGAGCTAACAGGATCGGTTGGCTGGTTCGAATCTGATGTACATGTAGCAGCGGGTACCACAATATAACTATTCATCAGATGAATTTGCGTCGGGGTGATGTAAATCAATATTAGGTTTTGCCCTTCATCGACGTATAAACACTGTATTCTCTGTGTTGACATTTTTCAACAACAACGTTCGATATGTTTTATACACAAAAATCGGGAGCCAAGGACGTTGTTTGGTATAGGTGATTGTTTGGTATAGCGGTGCTCAGTATAGCGACGTTCTACTGTACAAGTGGTTATGGGTCAATGATCATCTTTACAAATCCTTTGTCCAAACGAGGAAAACTCTGCTTATGTAGGATGTAGGAATGGAACACACCAAATATTCTATCAGTCGTGGCATTTTGAGATAAGGGGGGGGGGGGGCGATCCCCCCTCCCCTTCCCAGCTTAAAGATGACAACAATTTAAGAACTATTACATTTTACAATTGACAAACCTGAAATTCGGGTTTTCCGTTGAGAAATTCTTGCCTTGCTGTCAGAAACTCCTTGAAGTGCAGTTCCGGTTGCCTGCAGTCATCGATGCAGCCTGTGTGATCCGTGACTAGGTTAAGCAAAGCGGACATGAAGTGTTCATGTGTTGGGGTGTGATCAGTCTGAAGCAGGCCGATCAGTTGATGCACCATGCCCATGTTGTGTAAGATGTCTGGAGGGGGTAAAAAAGGGAAAGGACAGAGTTAATGGCTCTGTGTCGCCAACAACAGGGGGCGCGTTTTTAACCACTTTTGAGAGCCTCTTAGACGGTACACCACGTGTGTGTACTGTACTGGTTCTTATTTATCCTGAATGTGCACAACGCTAAGCCATAGCGTCTTCCCGCGTGAGCGTCAGGCGTCGTAGGCGCGCGAATACGTTCGAATTTAACTTGCGATGGTCTCCCAGACTAATCGCCGCCCCCAATAACTTTAGATCATTCGAAATACGCAATGGATGGACCGGGAACCAGTCTAGGTCTCCCAAAACTCTCCTTTTCTGGCCGTTGAAGGGGTACTTGTGCACGGAGCCCATAGCATCCTGCTAGAACTTTCAGTCTATTCTCTATAAGGGATGTACCGTTTCAGTAGTCGAGTCCATCACAAGTCCCTGCAAGTCCATCACAAGTCCTCCAATCCCAATTCAACTCACAAGCTTTTTCAAATGAACTTTGACGTGCCATACGCATGTGTACGCATGTCATACATTAGTCATGGCTGTGATTGGTCAATACAACACAGGGCGGGGCTTAATGGCCCGGTCTTTTGCTAGACAAGAAGGGGGGTGGGGGGGGGGGGTTGCAACCCCTCATTCAAACGCTGATTAATGTTATGAAACTAGTAAAATGCGGCCAAAAATAATAAACAGAATGCTAAAGTTTTTAAATTTGTTCTTGAATTGCCTTAGATTGCAGGAGAAATCATTGTAGATTTCACACGTTTCCAGGGGGCATGCCCCCTGACCCCCCTAGCAAAGCGTGCCTTAGACTCAACTCTCACCCTGTATATCAACCCCCCCCCCCCCCCCCGGTTTCCTGAAAGCTACATCTCCCCCCCCCCCCCAACAACCTGTCTGACTCCGAGTACATGTACCTTTCAACCCGGCCGCTGTATGGAAGAGAGCTTTCAGCATAAATGCAGATTTAATTTGCAGTTTCTCCACGTCGCTCTGCATCGCTCTCATCAGCACCGAGAATCCGTCGTTATCTACAAACACCTTCAAGCAGGCTTCATTATCCCTGGCAAGACCTGCAGGAAAATAAGACATATCAAGTTATTGTCATCCTCAAGTCAGTGTCATCCTCAAGTCAGTGTCATCCTCAAGATATTGTCAATTTCGCAAGACATTTAAAAATTGGATGGAAGAACTGAATGGTGCATTTCCTTCTGTACTGATGTCTTTGTCCTGATTCAGTGTCTGATTTCAGACACAAGTTTGAAAACTTTCATGCCTGAAAAAAATTGAGGCATAAATACAGAACTGCGTTATATTTCATTTAAAAGAAAATACAATTTCCATTCTGTAACCTTTCAATCTGTTAGGAATATTTCCATCTTTTTCATGTAAAAACGTTCAATTTTGGTTGTATGCCCAAAAATGCATGGCCAAAAAATATGGCCAAAATTTACCAGAAATGTGAGTTTTTAGGACTTTATTAATCAGGCTTGTTACCTTATCAGCCCTCTAAATCTTTCTCAAATGACAAACCAAATCATGTATAAAACGGTCTAAAAATATTACAAACAAGGACTCGCATGTTTTAATACCTGTTTTGTTGAAAGAAACTTAAATTTCAACTCGCAAATGGAACAGACAATACACAATTTGAAAAAAAAAGCAGAAAAAAGCCCCAAAGTTAAAATCAAACTGAACTGCAATCTTACATGATAAAGCATACAGTCCTTTGACTCTGCATTTGTCTGATGAATCTTTATCCACAGCAGTCAGCAGTTTCTCTACCCCTCCCATCTCCAGCAACACCTTTTGGTTGAATGGTACATTCTGCACCAGGTTGGCTATCAAATCAAAGGTCCTCCATCTGACCTCTGACCTGGCATGATCCATTAGCTGGGGGAGGAGCCGGGTGCCACCAATCTTGTGGAAATCTGTTAGTACATCACATGTGTGAAATAATAAAGTTCTGTTCAAGTAACGATCTATCGATGTGCACATCTGTAATCTTGAAATAAGATTTTTGCCTATGACGAACTGTTAAATAAGGTCCTCTTACTTTTTTGACATGAAAAGTTGAAACCCTGGAACATGTTTGAAAAAATTTAAAGTAAAACAGATTTTCAGGGTGTGACGGTAATAATAATGTAATAATAATGCGGTGCTTACTTGTAGTGCTTTATACCAAAGGTCTCAAAGCGCTTCACAACTTTTACCCCTATTTATCAGGCCATGAGACTGTTGTGCGCTTTCTTGAAAATAAATCATGCAATCTTAAGAATGCGCGAGCATTCTTAAGAATGAGCACGTGTCTTAAGAATGAGCGCTCATTCTTAAGATTGCGTGGGAATATCACGTGCGCAATTTATGAATTTTGCGCAATCTTAACAAACATTGCACGACATAATTATGTTAAATGAAAAAAATACAGTCCCTGTATGTATCATATGCATGCCACGAAAAAAACCCGATGTCCAGAAGTTGCCAAAATTGCTCTTTTGACTAGATAGAATCCAGCTCTGCGGCGTAATGGTGGGGGTGTGAACAATTAATTGGTGGCAATTTAAATGGGAAATAGCATTAGCACTATGGGATGTCATGTCACAGTATTCATTCTCATTCTTCACATTCTTCATTCTTACGTCCCCCCCCCCACTTTTATAATCCCAAAAATCAGAATTCTTTCCAATACACTATTATGTCTCTTTTTTTTCTTTTCGGTCCCCCCCCCCCCCATACACGTATCTTTTCATATCCACTCTACTTTTCAGCGCCTTGCGTTGCAACAGTATAATTATTAAGAATCAGTGAACGAGGATCCAGCTAGACTTGCCAAGCGCAGCCGGTGCTCGGTATCGACAAGACCTTTATCTTGTCGCGCATTCTTAAGAATGTGCGCTCAATCTGGAAGAGTTATTTTTTGCAAAGATTGCACAAGGATCCAGTTGTACAATCATAAGAATGTGCATGCGCATTCTTAAGAATGCGTGATTTTCAAGAAAGCGCACAACAAGACCAGTTTTTGCAGCAGCTCGAGATCAGTGCATTCTGATCTCTACCTTCACAGGTACCCATGCTCCGGGGTGAGGAGAAGCAATTGTAGTGTCTTGCTGAAGAGCACAAGCACTATGTTCCCCGTCAGGGTTCAAACCCATATCCCACGGCATATGAGTAAAATGCCGTAACCGTTGGTAAACACAAAAAACACAGAGAAACTACAATTGATAGACATGAACTATTTTGCCTGTTGAAAATGCTCTTACCTTGTGCATTATCGATAGTGTCGCTCAAATCTCGGAGGTTCTCCAGAGCATTCTCAACCGTTTCTTCATCGACCTCATTCTCAGAGTCCAATTTTTGTCTCACTGTTTCCACTAACGATATCATCTCCTTGGTTTCGTCCTTGTGCATTTCAGTAAAGACCTTGTTCAGGAACTCTCTTCTCTGCAAGGGAAGTGGAAAGGTTCAATAGAAAGGTTACAGGAGTTTTGAGAAAAGGTTGGTCAGAACTAATCTGACCCAAAATCTCATGGCTTGGCTAACCACAGATTTCTGAACTTACAATCACCATCTTGTGCTAGCCGCGCTAGCAATTTGTCCAGAATCTTTAGTTACAGGATGGACACATGCGCGCACATGCCAAAATTCCTCGCTAATTCGTGAAAAACATGTACGCTTACTGTAAGCACAGCCTACATCATTACTTATAGGCTAATTTCTTGCTGTGACCCTAGTCGATTTATTTGATTTTGTTCCACCTCTACATGATCGAATTCACAGAGTATTTTGTAAACCTGGATCATGTCTGCCCGAAGGCGTCGATACTCTAAAGCCGTGGTACCGGACCATGATGTTCCGTGCATGACTACAGTAGCGTATCAGGACGAATTTGGATCGTAGAAAATAACATACATCGGTGGAGAAAGAGAATTTCCGCAAATTAATTCTCAGAACGTGATCTCTCTTCTCTGTGAATGTATTTGTCCGTTGAAATATATATTTTAACGAGATTTTACCGCTCGGACTTGATGATACACCGCAGCATGTTTCTACAAAATGTTCGGCCACTGCACGTGCAGCTTCGTGCGGTCTCTGTATGCACAACAGGGCGCTCGGGCCGGATGTACGCTTTCCTGAGCCGCTTTTACCGACTCGCACTGTACGCACTGGACTTATCGTCTCGGGAAAAGTGACCTGGTCAATTTTCCTGGGCGCGTGGGAAGTTTTCCTGGGCAGCAGTTGGCCAGTAAAAGTAACCGCTGGACTCAGGAAAAGTAACCGAGAGGAAAACGTCCTAGGCTGTCCGCACTGGACTTAAAATGGGAAAAGTACCCATAGTCTCGGTTAGTTTGACCATAAAAAGTCCAGTGCGGACAGGGCTAAAGAGTGGCTAGACCCAATGCCAGCAGCCTCTCAACATAGGTTTTTCCTCCAAGGCCTGGATCCAATGGTACTTGACCGAGTTGCCATGGTAACTAAACAAACGGGGGTCAGGCAAGTCGACCGTTGAGACAACTCGACTCAGGACAAGTCGACCGTTGAGACAACTCGACCATTGAGACAACTCGACCGTATGTGCGATAAATGGAAAGACAAGTCAACTCGCATGTTATTGGGATAGTACCGGGGATTTTGACGGCGGCTGATCGCCGTTTGGGAGTTATGATACCCTGTAAACTAAGAGGTACCATTGTGCATTAGATATCTGTCTTTTGTTGCATATAACAGAGCCGATATAGCGCAGTGTGATTGTCCTGCACATCGTTCGTTTTTGCCGGGCCTGTGTGCGCACTTATCCCCGGCCAACGTGGCCGTACCGTGCACGGTGGCATCGTTTTTGCCGGGCCTGTGTGCCCATTTACATGTATTCCATCCCGAACGTGGCCGTACCGTCACGGTGCATGGTGACGTCGTTTTTGATGCGCTGTTACCGTGCGCATGCAGTTCGGGATTCGGTACCGTTCACGCGCGCATTAGACCGGATCGGAGTGCCCTCTGTGCATCGAGTGTGCCCACGCCGCACCCGGAACCGGTCCTGCCACAGATTTATGCAACTTTTTCCGCTCCACGTGTATACCTTTCCATTAAGTCGAGCTGTCTCAACGGTCGAGTTGTCCCGAGTCGAGTTGTCTCAACGGTCGAGTTGTCCCAACGGTCGACTTGTTCCGAGTCGAGTTGTCTCAACGGTCGACTTGTCTGACATTCAAACAAACCATCTACTCTTATTGGTCAGTGCGCGAGATGGGCAAGAATGGTCTATTATTTGCAGCAAAATTGGTCGTGATAAAGCAGGTGTAGTAGATTGTAAAGTCAGATTTAACTACCAGAAAAATGAAAGAAAAGAACAAATTACTTCAGGGTCCATTTGGGCGTGTTGATCTCCTTGCGTTCCCGGTTCTTCTCCTGTAGGCGTATTCTGAACAGCCAATTTTAACACGTCTTCAAGTGATCTAGGCTGTCTTCGTTCATTTCCAGACGATGAATTGTCATCCTGATTACCACCGGAGCTTGCCATGTCTTCTGGATGCGATTTTTACTGATCTATAACTTCAGGATCCAATGATCTGATGATGGAATCATTACAGGCTGGAAAAACAAAACGTCACAACTGATGAAAGTCAAATAAGATTAGAAGTAACAATAAGTAAGAAAACAGTTTTTTGGGGGCGAAATTAATACAAAACATACCCACTTACATGATTGTATATTCTTTAATTCTTCATTTTTCATGAGAAAACGGTATTATAAATATGTTTATTTTATATATGTAGGCCTATTTTGTTTGTAAGGCCTTTGTTTTCTAAATATATTGTACATGTAGGACCCATAGGCTTTCTCAGATACAGTACTCAGTAGAACTATGAAAGTGTTAGCTAGTGCTAACAATAACATGGCCAAGAATGCACAATTGCAAGTTGAACTTTTAGTATTGAAAATATTTACAAACATTCTTTGTATATTTATTATAATATAAACCTATATATACACAAAGATTTTTTGTAAATATTTTCAATATGTTATAACAAGGAACTAGGACTTAATAACAATCAAATACCAGAGATTCAGGGGACCTACATGTACAAAAAGCACAGCTAGTACTGAGCTAGCTTGTCGAGCATTTTCGAGTGCGGGTCCCCTGAAAAAAAAAAAGATAAAATAAAGTAAAGTAAACATGATGTAGGCCTAACTAACTTGTAAGATACTGATGTCAATTAAGATTCCAGATTGTGCATTTATCAGGTTTATGGTTTATTTATGTTATGCCCCAACTATCGCATCGGTCCCAACTATAGTTGGGCCTGTCCCAACTATAGTTGGGCCTGTCCCAACTGTAGTTCCACAGTTGGGCTGTCCCAACTATAGTTGGGCCTGTCGCAACTGTAAGTTCCACTGTTTGGCTGGCCCATCTATAGTTGGGCCACTCCGATCTTTTTATTTTGCGGTGTCCCAACTATAGTTTACATTGATGTACAACTATAAAACGTTCCCTACAGCTCTGATACACGTCTGACTTTACTGGGGACCACTGAAATTAGCTATTGATGGGGTGAATCTATAGTTGGGCCACCCCAATCTTTTTATTTTGCGGTCCCAACTATAGTGTACATTGTTGTACGATTATAAAACATTCCCTACAACTCTAATACACATCTGACTTTACTTGGGACCAATCAAAATTATCTATGGGTACCGGGTGGGAACCATCTGTAGTTGGGCCACCGCAATATTTTTATTTGGCGGTCCCAACTATAGTTTACATTGATGTACGACTATAAAACATTCCCTACAGCTCTGTTACATGTCCGACTTTACTTGGGACCTTTGACGGATGTCAGACAAGTCGACCGTTGAGACAACTCGACTCGGGACAAGTCGACCGTTGAGACAAGTCGACCGTTGAGACAAGTCGCCCGTTGAGACAAGTCGACCGTTGAGACAACTCGACTCGGGACAACTCGACCGTTGAGACAGCTCGACTTAACGAAAATGTATACACGTGGAGCGGGAAAAAGTTGCGATCCCGGACGCGGCGCGGGCATACTTGATGCACAGAGGGCGTTCCAATCCGGTGGCCGTCGCGTCGGGCCGGCGCGCCCCGCCAGCGAGGACCGGGCCCGGCCCGGCACGTGGGCACATCGACCGGGGCGGCAAGTGGGCGCACAGGCCCGGCATAATCGATGTCACCGTGCACGGTACGGCCGACGCTGACCGGGGATAAGTGCGCGCACAGGCCCGGCTGCGCTATATCGGCTCTGTTATCATGGTTATATCCAACCAAAAAAACAACTCGTGTCATCACTCCCAAACGGCGATCAGCCGCTGTCAAAATCCCCGCGACTATCCCCAAAACTAGCAACAAAAACATGCGAGGCGACTTGTCTTAACGGTCGACTTGTCTCAACGGTCGACTTGTCTCAACGGTCGACTTGTCTTTCCATTTATCGCACATACGGTCGAGTTGTCTCAACGGTCGAGTTGTCTCAACGGTCGACTTGTCCCGAGTCGAGTTGTCTCAACGGTCGACTTGTCTGACCCCCCCTTTGACATAAGCTATGGGTGGGGCCCATCTATAGTTGGCCGGCCACGGCAATCTTTGAATTTTGCAAAATGTTGCTGGACAATAAAACCCAGCAGCTTGACAACTCATCCAACTAGGCAGTACCACCCTGACCACGTGACCGGCCAGCCTTGCGGCATGCATGTACGACGAATACACGGTACCAGCGCCGCGGAATATTCATGACATTTAGTCCAACAAGATATATCATCAAGCATGAAGCATCCAGCGCAAATCCAGTCCTAACTATAGTTGGGCCGACCCAACTGCCGCACTATAGTTGGGACAGTCCCAACTATAGTTGGGACCGATGCGATAGTTGGGGCGCAACATTTAATTATAAACAAGAAATTTAAGAGAGTAGATCTGTTGCAACAAAACTAGGAATCAACGGGATCTATCACCACAAAATGTTCGAGATGAGACTTACCATACACACAATAACATTCACCTTAAGATTGTCTCTAGACTATATGCACATGTGATGTATAATGTTACAAATGTCTGTGCATTCCGTTGTTGCATGTCATGTCACACGTGTTCGAGAAGTTTCGTTTACAAATAAATGGAAACGTGCATAAACGTAGCGCCCTCCATTGACTCTTTTAACTTATTTTCAAGATGGCGGCCCCCAAGTCTGGATAATTTTTTCTCCCGTGGCAAAAGAATATGCTTATTTTCCTCGTGATTTTGTCCCAAATAAATTCAGCAATTTCTAGGTAGATATACAATTGACACTTGTAAGGAGATGGGTACAGTTTATGCAAAGGTAACTTAAAGTTTAAGACCGTTATTCTACTCGAAATCCTACGTTGAATTAGGCCTACAACTTGCGTGCATGGTGTCTGCTGCATGCATACGTTCGTCTGACGATAGAGGGCGCTATAAAAACTCGTACATTTCTGTGCCTGTTTGCTTGTAATTGTTGGAAGTTGTAGACATCATTCACATTAGTTTTAATTGCCATAAAACGTTAACTAATGATAATTTGCATTTGTTCTTTTATGTTTGTTTTTTTAATAAAAAAAAATGGGGGGAGGCTAGATTTGTGAGCAAGAATGTAAATGATGTATTGTATAAATTTGTAATATAAAATTGTAGGCCTACAATTACAAATATAATCATGATAATGATGAAAAACGTGGTGTCCTGTTTTTTTTCTTCTTGGTTGGTTGGTTCTCCTAAAATACTCCACGTGGGAGTTTTTGTCTGAGTTGCTTCTGCTTCTGCTCCTTTCTGGCTGGGCCTGGGCTCTAAGTTTGAGCATGTTGAGCATAAAGGCTAGGCATGTTTTGACAACTGAGTGTGGTAAAGTATTCCACTCCTTCATAGTGCGAGGAAGGTATGAGTACTTGTACAAGTTGAGACGGACTTTCATACATGTAGTTTGTGTTGTTTGAATGATGCAGGAAGAAACTGGGGAAGATATCAATTGCGGATCTGTCTGCTTGAACAAGTGGATCATTGAAATCACCCAGGCAACTGATTTTCAAGCGTTTGTTGAAATGCAACAATTTAAATTCTTTGCTCATGTCTATTGAATGCCGAACTCTGCGATGCAAAACAATCTCACCATGTATGTATGGTCACTGGGTATATCCACTAGATCATGCTGATTGTGCTGATGTTTACATGATGTGGGAAAATATACATTGTGCATTCCTCCCATATCACTAATGTATGTATTTGTTTTTAACTGTTCAGGAGCCTGTAATAAATGAAGACGCCATGAGCAACACAACGGATTCAGAAGACCCTACTGAGGGTCCAGGGACCTCGCCCGAGTCTCGTATCCAACACATCTTTCATGGTGACATCAAGGTAAGTCCTTCAAAGGAAACTGTTGGTCAGAGGATCAGACATTGACGTGTGCAGAGCCACACTACAAACGTCTGATAAAATGCATGTCGGTGTTATGCGACCCAGCCAATCAGATATGCCTTGTAGAAGTTGTGATGTCATTTAGAGCCAACATTTGGCCAAAGCTGTTGATTTGTCCATAGCTGCCGTGTTTTTGTCGTGTAGAACCTCGGGTTACCGAAGACACGATAGAAGGCGCACTCTGAATGGTTAGAATCTGGGGGTGCGTTCGAGCGTGCTACTCGTGTTTACACGAGTATACTCCTGAATGCACGAACGGCAAGAGTACGACCCGCGGGTTAGCAAGAGTATACTCTCCGTCGTACCGGGAGAGTATACACCTGCACCGAGAGTAATACGCACGCAACATTTTCCTGCACTCGGGAGTACATGTAGCAAGAGTAACACGCTCAAACGCACCAGTCAAAGTTGTGTTTTGCATAATCTGCATGTATATCATAGCAAGTGTCTATGTCATAGACTAGGAAACCTTAAGCTTTGTATTAAAAACGGAATTGAGTATGACTGTAACATATTGGCTGATAACTAGAGTTACATAAGAACGTGTAAGCATTTCATTTTTTTCTGACACCAGACATGCAATCTCTTTGATATACTCCCAGGTCAAAGTTGAGCGGGTACACATTGAAGGTCTTGGCCGAACTAAGGAAGACGTCATCCTGAAGCATGTCAGTCAGCTCTTCAAAGCAGAAACATTCAAAGATGTGATCTTTACCTCCGGAGTGGTCAAACAAGAGCTGGAGGAACTGGACATGTTCCAAGGAGTCGGAGTCTTGATCGACACTAGTAAAGGTATTAATTGATCTGTTGATTGATTGATTGATTAATTGATTGGTTATTTGTGTTCCGCATACCAAACTTCAGAACGATATGCCATAAAGATGAAGAAACTGAACATGTTCTATGACATCTAGACAATTTTTGTCTTCTGTGGTTGTTTTATGACTTCTGCTTTTCTCGTTTGACTTTCAAGGACCAAAAGCGAGACAAGACGGTCTTGATGTGACAGTGATTGTCAAGGAGTCCAGACGTATCACAGGCAATGCTCACACATCTGTGGGAAACAACGAAGGGAGTTTAGTACGTCGACCTTTTCATTATTGATTTATTGTGTATAATCAACCCACAATGATGACTCCCACAAATGCCGACTTTTCCAACATTGTTTCGCACCAAAACGTCCCCTGGTAGAAAATGTTCATAAAGATTAAGAAACTTTTTGGTTTTTTTTCTTTTCCTTTTCACTTTCAACGACATCTTTTCCAAGTTGCATTAACCCTAACCCTCCAGGTTATTTTGGCTAGAAACCCTGCCAAACGCAGCAACATGCAACACTTGTCTAAGTGACAAGCCTGCCCAGTGCAGCAAGATCCATCAGGTCAAAAGTCTCGAGGCCAAACTGCCTCAGAGTCTGTGGTCACCCAACGCAGCAGGATACAACTCGGGCATTGTTCCATGGGACTAGCTCTCAGTGTCTCAGAAGTGGCCGGTTTCTGCACTGGTGTTGGTAGCATTTTCCATCAAAGTGCACCAAACTTTTCCACCTGATGCACTGTGCTGCGTCTGGCAGGGTTAGGGTTAATAAATGAAAGACATGTTTTCTTCTTGTCAGGTTTTGGGAGCCAAATGTCCCAATTTATTGGGCAGAGGTGAGCATCTGACTGCAGAATATTCCCGCGGCACCAGGCACTCTGTGGGATACAATGCAACATTCACAACACCTCTGCAGGGAGATATTGGTAAAAGGTGATTATTAACCCTAACCATCCCAAAAATCCTCCAAAATCCTTTTTGCAATTTGAAAGAATTTGCAGGATTGAGGTTACATGGCAAAAGTGCGTTGCTGATTTCGGAGGATGCACTGTGTCAAGGTCTTGGGCCGGACCTTGTGTTGTTTATGCTCAGCCTGGCATAAATTTAGTCCTCGATTATGCTTGAAATCCTCCTTACTGCTCCAGGATGTCACTGGCTAAGCCTCAACATATTGACAGTCATTGCCAGAGGATTTTGCAGGATTGAGGCAGTGGGCATCCCTCCAAGAACCACATTCAAGAAATAATGGAGGATTTTGCAGGATTGAGGCTATATATGCTATTTTTCCATGAGGCCAATTGGAGGATTTTGCAGGATTCAGGTTACATCCTAGCAAAAAGGCCTAGGGAGTTAGGGTTAACTTGGCTTGAAGCATTGCCAAGGGAAATGGTCAAATTTGTGTGAAGTGTAAAATGTGATTGTTAATACGTTGACTGCTGACTACAAATATATTCGTAGTGACAGGTGTACCGGATTTTGCCACTTTGAGTATACTCGTAGTAAATCAAATGCTTTTGTATTGTAAACTGAATATACTGGCGCCGCTGAATATGCAAAAAATTAACTACTGGCAGTTTGAGAACAAAATGTATCGAATGGTTATATTCAAGTTATCAAACGATTGTTTTTTATTAAGTACAACATAAATATGCGCGCATGCGTACATCAATCACTTGGCAAAGGAGGGTGCCCCGTAAAAGTTTCGTCAATGTGTTAACGGGTTGATAGAATCAGGGGACTGCGTAACTAAATCATTTTAGAAATAAGTTGTGAGGAGTATTTCTAAATGTCTATGTGTGCAATCAAAAATGACACCAAGACTTGAAGCAGGCATGCAACTTTTCCTTGGATCTGCTGATTTCCTCGTTTTTTACTTCTCATTAAAGCCATTATAAAACACTGTAAAACGTCTTGTGTGGTTTGGAATTTCCTAATTTTTTTCTAAATTTCCAGTTACATTCCGACTTGAAGAGGATGTGTGCTGTTTCAGTGTTTGTCGCAGGAGTTTCAAAACTGCCCATTTGCTTTTCAAAACACCCACAGTTAAAAAAACTGATGAATCTTGTAAATTTTTGTGACAGGTTTACAGCGACTGTTTTCAGGACGTCGGGTGACTTCCTATCCAGCTCATACAAAGAGATTGATCATGGAACATTGCTTGAAGTGATGGTAAGATGCAACTCCAAGTCTTGTCAATGAAAGTCTTAAAGATGTAAAAAAATACTCGCACATGTATTTGTCAATTTCACTAGCGTTTTGTTGCACCATAAACAAATTCTTCAAGAAACCGTGAAACCACCATAACACACATGTAACGACAGACTTCCTTGCAATTGTTGTCATCATGCAAAGTGCCTGAGGGCTCAACATTGTATGTTGTTTTAAAGACAAATACAGTAATCTCCCATTAACCCACCTTTTGTTTGATCAGTCACAGACAGTCAAATATTCAATCCTGTTCCCCTGCCATGCCTTTTACACAGGCTAGTCACCAACAGTCAGATCATATGTCTTGTAGGCACTGTGACAGTCAAATTCTATCAACAGACAAAAGCAAGTGACTGGTAGGTACAGCTGGCTTATCAATCTCCAACAGTCATAGCATAGCTGTGTCAGGTTTCATAACAATCACAGCCAGTCAATCCTGCTTTATGAAGGCAGGGAGCACTCAACTGTTAAAAACAGTCACTTGATATATTTTTACCGCTGGGCTGGCCTTGTTGAAATTGCCAGCCAGAGAGGGAGGGTGCCAGACCTTGTAGCCCAAGTGTTGTAATGGGATTTGTATTAAAGGGAAGATACAACATTTGCAAACATCAAACAAAGGAAATGATTAAATTATCACGAAATACCTTACTGAATTGTTAGGGACTGACAGTCTAAAGTATCCTGTAAAATCGTGGTTCCTGGTGTGCTGACATTTTCAAGAAAAATTGTATTTTTCCAACGCTGGTCGGCTGACCAGCATTGGAGAAAACTGGCTTTTTTTAATCACTGCTCCTAATTTTTCACATCTAGTTATTTAGGATTTTCTTCGCAATTGATTACACACCTGTACAGGAGTACAAGCCTGCTAGACTGATTCTCTGACCTTACAATTCCCCAAAGTCTATAAATTGCTCTGTTTCATCTTAAGTGGGGTCAGGGAGCCAGACTACAAGAACATGATTGGTTTTCTTGGTTTTTCCAGCATCTACAAGCCCAAAACGTGAAACAAGTCAGTGTAACAATATTTGCTATAACGTTGTATGACATACAAATCCTCCAAATCCATTTATTTCTGAAAATTTCAGCAAAAGCAAATGTTGTACATTCCCTTTAACAAGATTCAACTGAACATTCTGAAATTATGTTTTTGTTTGGTTGCTTTTAGCTTCCAAGTTTCTTGGGACAGCACAGTTTCAAGTGGGAGGGAAACTGGAGAGACATCTCATGTCTGTCACGTACCGCCTCGTTTGCTGTCCGGGAGATGGCTGGCCATTCACTCAAGTCATCAATCAAGGTGAGAAGATGAAACCGCAGCGTTCTCTTCATTGGCAGTGTTACGCCCCAACTACGGCATTGCCCCAAGTACAGTTGGGATCATCCCAACTGTAGCTAGGAATTCCCCAAGTATTGTTTGGACAGTCCCAACTACCATGGGGACTATTGCTGTAGTTGGGGAGTAAGGACAGCACTTGGGAGTCAGGATGAATTAACTCAATTTCATCTAATCGTTCCAGATTTGGCCATTACCCCGTCCACCTTTGGTTTGAGCCCCTCCGTTGGTTTAAGCCCCTCCCTTGGTTTAAGCCCCTCCCACCTTTGGTTTAAGCCCCACCCACATTTGATTTAAGCCCCGCCCACCTTTGGTTTTAACCCTGCCCACGTTTGGTTTAAGCCCCTCCAACCTTTGGTTTAAGCCCCTCCTACCTTTGGTTTGCGTACATTGCTCTCAGTGCTTGTGACGGAGTTTGACCAAGCCACCATGGTCACCTGACCAAAAGTCAGGATCTAATTGGTCAATGTGCAATATTTGATGGACAGGTAGGAAGAACTTGTGAAACTGCCTGAGAATTTGGGACATTAAATTTTGTGAGTACATGTAAAAGACAGGGTGGTTTGTTGCTGTACAGTGCCTATGCTTTGTCAAAACGGACAAAGTTTTGAGGTATTTTCAAATTTGTTGAAATTCAGTCACATTAGGTGCGGGCCGACATCATCCGATGAAAACATCTATTCATTTGCACACCGGTTTTTACGGTTGCTATGTGTTACCATTCAGCACTCCAGACTCAAGAACCATTGAGTTTCAAGAACATAGGTCTGGGAGCTAGATAAGCTAATGTAAAACAATTCCCGGATGTTCGCACTTACTTTTACTATTGTTACTTATACATTTTCTTTGTTTTTTGCACACAGCATGTCTTCACCAGAGACACACGGAATGAACGCATCTATCCAACCAAAGGCTACCTGCTCCAAATCTCCCAGGAGCTGGCCGGGAATCGTCTGGGAGGAGACGTCCAATTCTTGAAGGGAGAAGCTGAGATCCAACTCAACAGGAAACTTCTCAAAGATTGTGTAAGATATACTTTCCTAGTGGGAAGTTGTTATTCAGAGCAATATGTCAAACCCTTTAAAACCCAGCAGGTCAGTTTCAGGTGAAGGGATATGAAGTGTTAAAGTAACTGTGTCACACAGAGAGTCACTGCACACAAAAACAGCACTGTGGAGAGCAGTGAAGCGTGACTGAATCTGCCTGCTTGCCCTGAGCTTAACCACACAAAAGAATTGTGCAGGGATTTGAAGTGTTATCCATACTCCACAGAAGATTGAATTAAAGGAATTTGAAGTGTGGGCACTAACTCTATGGGCAAAAGTGTTTGTTTTTTTAACTTGAAGGGTTGTGAAGTGCAGAAGACTAGAAGAATTAACAGATGATGGAAGTTCGCATGAAGATGAAGACGGTTTTAAAGAACAAGGATCTCATTTCTGTTGCTCCAGCTGGCTGTAAATAGAACGATCTGTTAAGCCTCGTCCGTTGATGTTTTAACCACTCACAGCCGTGGCGCCACAACAAAATGAAAGTCTAATATCTGGGAACAATACAGATTGCATATGGCTGCAACATGCAACAAATGTTGAGAAAGTTCGGGCAAAGACCATTACTCGACTAGTGGTTGATTTGTGACGTGACCAATGCCTGCGCATTAATAGCAACCTGCGAACGCCTTTAGTCAAACGCTAGTCAAAATGTCATCAAGAAACATCTTGATCCTGGGGCCCCATTGTACTTTATGATGCGCGTGGCTATTGGTAACCAGTGATGCAACCATACTTTTATGCCCCATGCTCCGGTTCCAAATACATGTAGTCAGCTAGAGTAGTCTGCAACTATCCTTCGTTCGAGCAAAGTTAGTCATACTATGGTTAAAGGTATAGTCCATCATTTGTAATTTGTGCATTTTGCCCCTTTGAAGCAACAAAAGTGATCAAAATCTAAAGAAAGGTGCTGAACAACTAACCTGATGAAGTTTCAGCTCAGCTTCAGCTGTATATTTTGAGAATTTTAAACAACATTCTAGGATCTCGATTTCAAATCAAAAGTTGATGAATCATGTTTTGAATTGGGCTTGAATTCAGCGTCCGAGACATGTTCTCACTGAGCCAATTGCAGCTACGCGATGTCGCGCACTGTTCCGATGAATTGTAGCAAATGCGCGCACGTGTGCGTCGTGTCAACGCTTGCGCGCTTCGCCAAATAAAAAAACAAACTACTAACGGAAATTTCCTGTTGGAAAGGCCTTCTTTCGTTGATTTCTTCAAAATGACAGCTTGCCAGAAAGAATAATTTCACAGGGAGTTTAGTCCCCTTACTATCTTTCAACCAAGTATGTTTTTCAACAATAATTACGCCAGTTACTTTTGGGATAGCTGCAAATGATGGACACTGGCTTTAACTGTAGTTTGCGGGAACTTTGCGCAAGACTTGATTGTTGATTATGTGTGCACAGTGCAGTGGGCAGGGCTTGTGGCCAAATCGAGCCAATGCATCTTCTGTAACAGATTTGAATGTTACTATCACACAGGTTGTCTCCTGTTCGCTTCAAGCCGGCTTGATGAAACCATTGAACTACACAGAGACACTAATCAATGACAGGTTCTTCATTGGAGGACCGACGTCTGTCAGGGGTTTCAACTTTAGAGGACTCGGACCTCATGCTGACGGTTAGTTTATGTTGGGCATTTATTCTGTATTAGGTCTGTGCATGGGTCTCTGAGATATGGTAGTTTAAAAATTTCATGTGCCAAACCTGTTTGTCCGTGGACAGCTTTATTCCATCCGCTTGACTGAGCTCCTGAGCTTGATTTGAAGACAAAAACACAACACTAGACTACAACGTGGACAACAGTGATTTTGTTGGCTTGTATGCAAATAAGCATAACACTATTCTTACAATTTTTAAATTTTTTTTCACCATGTATGGTTGAAGAGCTATACTTCACTATATTGTAAAAAATTATACTTCACTATATTGTTAAAATTCCTGTCAAAAGTGGGTTTCCTTTTTTTGGGCACCTTGTAGATGATGTGGTTTGTGTTGGGGATTTGGCAATATGTCTTCACTTATTTACCCCTCTACCATGCATGCCAGGGATAAGGGTGGAGGATAGGGCTGGGTTCAGGGTAATGATGTGCATCGGGTCGGGTCGACCAGGCCAAACGACCCGAAACATTAGAGATATAACCAGAATCTGAACTGAAACCGATCTTAACTCCCTCAAACTGACCCGACCCGACCTGACCCGAAAAAACGAATACCTGGCTTGGACAAAGTGATCATTTTTTGTGCCTTCCCTTACCCACGTGGCATGAATTCTTTTGCAAAACCATCGTGTCTCTCTCTGTCATACTCAGTGGGTTGATCGAGAGTAACTCCACTTATTGGACAAACGCATGGTCACCATGCAGTATCATGAAAACTGTTACAATCTATCTATTTCACTGTCAGTCCCAATTCGACTGGAGAAATTAATACCGTTGAAACTCGATAGTGCGCTCGTTGGCCACACCACAGTGGGCTGCGGTCACATTGACTGTTAATAATAGTGGATCACCTGAATTTCTCAACTGTTTCAGTTTATTTCGGTTTATTTCGTTTTTTTTTCAAAAGATGGCTAAACCGACCCGACCCGACCCGAAAATGTAAATACAAAACCCAAATCAACCCAACCAGACTGAAAAGATGGACAAACCGACCCGACCCGACCCGAAGTCGGGTCGGTTTCGCACATCATTCAGGGTTGAGGATTAGAGTTAATAGTAAGTATTGGGGTCAGTTTGTCTTTAAGTCCATTCTCTATGTTTATTAGGTGATGCCGTCGGTGGTGAGGCGTATTGGGCAGCAGGTCTGCACCTATTCACCCCTCTACCCTTCATGCCAGGGAGGGGTGGTCTAGGCGACCTCATTCGCACCCACGTGTTTGTAAACGCCGGTAATCTATGCAATCTTAATTTGGGTGAGTATAAAGTACAATTTGTTAGATTTCTGAATATTAATCAGAATGTTGCCGTTTCAAAATGTGCCTTCATAAAGGAGCGGAAATGTTCATAATTGTTGACATTCACTATCAGGATCTGTCGTCTCATACACAAATCAACAACTATTCATAATTTGAGAGTCATTTGTGAGGGTGATAATGATAATAATTGTAATGCTTATAATAGCGCTTTGCATTGTATCAGTAATCTCAAAGCACTTTACAATTATTGCCCCATTCATCAGGCACGAGACCACGCTGCAGCAGACATCAGCGCACTTCGGCCTCTACCCTCACAGGTACCCATTCATACTCCTGGGTGGAGAGAAGCAATTGTAGTACAGTGTCTTGCCCAAGGGCACAAACACCATGTTCTTGGTAGGGTTCGAAATCGCTCACCATCGTGCACGCGTCAAACGTTGTAATCACTGTACCTTGGCATTCTTACACACAGACAGAATGTCATGAGTATTCCGGTATACAGACATTCGTTTTTGTCAGTAAATAGAAAGTGGTCATATTTCTAGTCCAAGTAAGAAATCCCTCTTCCTGCTCCAGTATGTTGAGATTTTCCAACAACTGTTGTCCCGTTTGTTTTTGTGCATGAAGCAGAGGAGCAAACTGTCCACCAGCATCTGGAGCGATTGAGGGATAACTTTCGCTGGAGTTATGGGGCAGGGATTATCTTGAGACTTGGTCGGATAGCGAGGTTTGAGCTCAACTATGTCATCCCTAAGACAGCACTTCATTCAGACAGGTGAGCTCAATTCATTGTAAGAAGTAAAATACAGTAAACTCCGGCTAAGTCGGCACTCTCGGGACCCGAGAAAATGTGACGGCTTACGCGAATGCCGACATCTGCTGTAAGTCGTCATTTTGCCGACTTACATGAATGGCCTTTTGCACACATGATTCATATTGCACTAATTGGCTTCGATTTTATCTGGTTCTTAATGCTTGAGTTGAATCCAGCAAATTAATCCTCGAATTGTATCATCACGTTTGGGGCATGGATAGTGGAGACCACGATACATATGTACGTGCACGCACAGTAACGAATTAAATACGTGCATGGTCTGGTATATATACCACGCACGCATTGACTGCAGCACTAGTCATTCAATAGGACAACCCCCAAAATGGACAGAGCGCATGCGTATAGACTATAGGGTTATACTGGTATTGATGCATATGCGATGTATGCAGTAGGACACCCTTTTTCGACACCGATACATGCAGCGATCACTGGCCGTGCCAAACCACTTTTCACTCGACACTTCTTGGAAACCGCAGTACAGGAAGTCGATGCCAATGCATGATTTGTTGAATGCCGACTTACACAAAGGATTTTGTAATGCTTTATATGGAAAGGGGACCGAGACTAACACGACGACTTGAGCGACATGGTGACTTATAAAACACGACATCAAAATAAAAAATTCAATGGAAATGCATTACGGACAATTGGGACTTTAGTCAGACGGCCGACTTGAAACGATTTGACGAGTTGTATGATGTCGGTTTAGGCGGAGTTTACTGTAACAAGTTATTACATAACACATACCTTCAAAAAGTACACCAAGGATATCTTTGGTTCTGTTAAAAAAATGTTCATGAGAAAGCTTGTGATATTTTTCTTGGAAGATCTCAGACAGTGCCGAGTATAAAGTGCTAATAACACCCATTAGTGAATGGCAAAAACTGATATAAAAAACCAAACTACATTTATGTTAAAGGTAGTATACAACATTTGCAAACGTCAAAAAACAAAACTACCAAATTATTATGAAATACCCTATTTGACAGTGAGTGAATAATAGTCTCAAGCACCCTGTGAAATAATGGCACCTGGTGTGCTGTCATTTTCAAGAAAAGTGGACTTTTTGTATCAATTTCCAACGATGGTCAGCACTTTTTTTTCAAATACTGCCACCAATTGACCAAATTTTGTTTGTCCACATTTTGTTTGCAATTGGTTACACATCCGTGAATGGGTGCAAGCCAGCTAGTCTGGTTGCCCGACCTGTCAATTCCCCGACATCTATAAATATTGCCCCGTTTTGTCTGAAGTAGGGTCAGGAAACAAAACTACAAGAACAGCATTTTTTTCTTGGTTTTTCCAGCATCCATGAGCACAAAACTTTAAACAGTTCAGTGTAACAATATTTGCTATAAAATGCTTACCCCCAAATCCATCCATTTCTGAGAATTACAGCAAATGTTGTATATTACCTCTAGATCTGCATCCAAGATGTCTCTGGCTGTCAGCTATGTCCTCAAGTAACCTCATGTTAGGCACTTGATAAAGAACTTGAAAGATTTCTTTTATTTATTGTGGCTCACTTTTGTCTTTCTTTTTTCAGTATCAATGCTGGTTTACAGTTTGGAGTTGGTGTGAGCTTTTTGTAGCAAGTGATAAGCCGATGGATTTGTACCTTGGATAATGAATATGTAGGATGTACCATGGATGATAAATGAGTAGGAATGTAGCAACTTTAAGCCAATCGCAGCTTATAAAACCAGTCACATGATCAAAGGTTATGAATATTTACAAGCCAAACAAACCCACCTGACCCCTTTTTAACCAATGGTATATGTTTATATGTAAATGTATCAGGGTAACAAAAGCAAAAATAGCCGCAGAGTTCATGAACCTCTAGCTCAACAACTGGACAATTTGTCATATGGTTGTTTTTGTAGTCTTATTGAAAAATAATGGCATGAAAAACTTAACGATAACATGTAAAATAAAGGAAATTCTGTCACGAGCCAATGTGGCCCATCAGGCTGGCGTTAATCTCTGGTTTCAGTAGCATGAAACGACCGAGAATATTTCCATTCTCCCTGGATGGGATGCTAGTCCATCGCAGGTTACTCCCCAGCTCATGCTTGTACCCATTTATACTCCTGGGTGGGCAGAGAGGGGCAAGTGGGGGTGAAGTGGCTTGCCCAAGGACAAAACATATGGCCGGCAGCTGATTCGAACCCTCTTATCATGAGTCACAAACCCTAACCACCAGGCCACACTCCCCACTAACGATAAGGTACCGTCACTTTATTATTTCTTTATAAAGAAAGCTTTAGACAGTTTCTTGGCCTTAATTTGTTATTCAAACCCTTTACAATTATGACACAGAATGCTGTCTCCATGTTCAGCAAACTTTCGGAAGAAAGTCTGCATATTGTTTTTACAGAATCTCGGGCTGCAAGTGTCCAAAATGCGTATTGTTGTCTATTATGGCTACTGCTATTCACCAAAGTACATGTATATCAATGGCAAACGTAGAGCCATAGCCAAAGAACACTTGGTTTGGACATGGCTATGCTTTCTGATCTCGACCACACAATCTTTTCCACGTTACCTACAATGTACAAGTATAAATTATAAAAAATTGACATGCAATCACTTACTGTTTATTAAAGTTCTCCGCCCAGTTTCGCTAATAGTGTGAATGCAGGAAACAGTATGCATGTTTCATCCAGATTGACAAACATCAAGTTGAGTTTTATGAGAGGAATGTTTACATCCCTACATTGTTAACATCACATTTTGTGAATGTTATAATCAGTGGATAATTTCACAAATTATTGAAATAAATGAACAATGTTGAACTAAACGTAAATTTCATGAATTGCCGAGTTCATCTCAAGGTTTTGGTCTTAGTCTTTGGTTACAGTGCACACACATATAAAGGCTTTGTTTCACACAAATAAAACATGCTCCAACTTGCTGTGGTAAATCATCATAAACTCTTAATTTGGTGGGAAAAAGTAAAGCTGTAGGCAGAATAAATCTGTGTACAAAATCTCTTGAGATAAAAATCTTGTTTCAATACTGTCATTTTTATAAATTGCAACATGCAATACAATTATGATTACATGCCATGACATGATTATATAGTGACTTTAGACAAGACAATGTTTATATACATGCAAAATAATGTGAAAATGACGTCAATGTAATATTTTGTGTTATAACTGTGTTAAAAAATATGATTTTAGTGGAAGTAAAAAGAAAGAAAGGTTAGTGCATAAGGTATAAAAAGAGCATTACATCTATAGTTTGTTTGCCAATTGTTACTGGTGTGAAACCTTTTGAATGTTTTACCAGATTAAGTTTAGTGCTGGCAAGAGTAAATCAAAATGTAAGTCTTCAATACAAATCCATGATCTTTTTTTTATACATTGAGAAAAAAAATTCTATTGAAAGCACAGCCTCAGTAATCACTCAACATTGAGCGGGTAAACCAAATTGCTTAGATTTAAAGACTTCTTGAAATATAAATATCAAGGCGAAAAAGAAAATTTGAAAATAAAAAAACAAAACTTCAGACACACAAGCAAATAATCTTTGAAAGACTTCCGACTAAAAAAAAGACTATAATTTGTAGGTGTAAAATGTACAAATAAAAGAAATGTTCGACGCAAGTCAATAATCTTTGGAAGACTCCCGCCTAAAAAAAGACTTCAATTTGTAGGTGTAAAATTTACATATAAACTCTCTAAAATGCCAGATACGTAGGCCAACATTTCAAACATGGAGCACCAATCTATTTGCATAAATAATTGGAAATTTTAAATCTGCCCAAACTGCCAATAATTTATCATTCATAGACAGTACTCTATTTTCCCAGTAACCAAAAACCTTACGTGGCCACCACCCTGTCACCAACACACTTCACAAACCAGAAACCCAGGATTCATTGGTATTTGACCCTACTACATTTCTACAACTTTGCCCTTCATATCTTCGCTGACCAAATCTGGCTTGTCCTTGTGTTCCTCCAAAGCCTCGTTGAAGTACTCGATGCCTTCTAGGAATTTCATCAGAGCTTCCATGTATTCGTCACGATGTTTGTACATGTGGCTGACGTGAGGGGAATCTTCAAATGATTTGCTGTAGACATTCTTGTACCCCATCTTGTTCTGGAGGGAGGCGATTGCTCGCTGGCTAGCGTCAGCTGTCGCGACTAGATCAGTGTGGGAGTAGAAGAAGAGGGAAGGGGCGGGGACTGGATTGTGAAAGAAGACATCTGAGCTCCGGAGGTAATGCTGAGTGACGGGTCGATACATCACACGAAGATAGGAATCTAGACTCATATGCAAGGTCTTTTGTAAGAGGGGGTTCTTTAGCAATGCCTATTGGAAACGGAAACAAATCCACAAATTTTACATGGTAAAGAAGAGAATAATGGCTGAGACTGACAAGCATCCAGTAAAATGAACTGAACTTTTCTGCTTCCGATCACTAAAACCTGCTATTTCCTGTCACCTTTGTTGGTCTTGTGTCGACAATTTTAAACCGAGATCGAAGCATACAGAAGCAAAACAGGAGGAAAAACAATGGTTGACCCGTATTTTTAGTCCTTTTCTTTTTAAATACATGTAGGCTGAGTTAATACAATGGAAAAGAATCGGAAAGAATGTTTCAATCTGACGCCACTTTTTTCATCATATATTATCTCAATGAAGGTCAGTCACTGCAGAAATGTTGAAAAGACATGAGTCTGGGACTGAGAAACATTTCCAATTTTGTAAGAAAATACTTCGTAGACCACCATCGAAGCAGTGTCTGGATACTACATTCTTTCAAAATAGTTCGCAACGTCAGGCCACATTAATTTTTAGATTTATATATTTCAGGTCCATCCAGTCAGTAAGCAGTTTGCAGCAGTCTTACTTTTTTTCTTCTTTCAAAATAATCATTAAACAACTGCATCTATAACCAAAAAGTCATCAGGCATGCAACTTTTCCTCGGATCCGCTGATTTCCTCGTTTATAGTTTTCATGAATGCCATTACAAATTGAAAAACACTGTCTTGTGTGCTTTGGAATTTCCTCGTTTTTTTTCTAAATTCCCAGTTGCATGCCTGAGTCATGTCCATCCAACCCAAGGTACACAAAAGGTTACAATGTACGGATCATCCAAGTTTACTGACCTTCGACATTCCTATAGGCACTTCATTAAAATCGACGGGGCTGTCGTATATTTGTCCGATGATTCGACTTGTTATCTCCTTGGACTCGGACTGGACAGCTAACATCTGTTGCAGAACCTCGCTGTACTGGTACCCACCGACCGAGAAGCTATGCACAAGGATCTTACGATCACGTATCTCTTCACGCTGTAGGTACTCCACCACGTCTTTAGCGATGACCTTTGACCCTCTGGTTGGAAGCATTATCTAGAAAGATGAATTTGGGTAACTTGATTTTTTTAATAACAAAATATCTTGGGAAAGATTTCCATATACGAAGTTCACTCAACACCCTGTGTTCAAACCCTATGAGATTGGACTGAAAAATTCTAAGTGTTTTCTAAGAAAATGCTTGTATTTTCTCACTGCTCAAATTGACTTTGATGACATGAAATTGCTATCTGGGGGCTTGTTAGTCAATACAGAGGAAAATTAGTGAACTTCTTATATGGAAATCTTTCCATATCTTGAACTTAAAGTACATGTATCACATAGCAGTAATTCCATCCTCAATTCATATCCTAACCCTAAGTCCCTCCTGCCTGTTACTAAGTACTGGACCAAATCCACTAAAATCCATCAATCACATTGCTTCCAATGTATGCTTTGCTTTAGGCCTCCAGGCCCAAGTCCATCATACTCCATCAATATTAAGTCACACCAGGCCTGCAGGATCAAGTCCCCCAAAATCCATTAAAGGGGGGGGGGGGGGGAATGGATTGAACTGATTGCAATCTGGTAGAAATTTTCAGGCAGATATGTGGGAGCTGTACGAGTGTAATTCATAATTTTCAAGATGGAATTTGCGTCGGGAGAGGTAAATTTTACAGAGGTAAAGTTTCGCCCTTTGCCAACTGTATACTCGGTGTTGTATACGGGCTTGCGAGCCAAAAACTCACAAGTTTACTCGGATGGGACTTGAACCCATGACCTCCTGCTTACTAGTGCAGACGTCTTACCACTCGACCACCGAGCTTGCCGGGGTCAGCTGGCCAGTTCGAGTCTGATGTAGCAGCAGACTGGGACCGTGAGTGCATAAAAACGTGCAAAATTACTACTGACGTTCTTTTACTCACCATTAGGCTAATTAATGCCCACACAACACATACATCAAAATGATATAGTTGCAAGCATGTCACCTGCGGAATTTGAGACCTTAAATCCAATTTTAAGGCAAGTTTTTGGCAGTTCAAAAACCATCCACGTCAATCTCCATGCTCTGGAAATGTGTGTGTGATTCCCAATGTATTCTGGGTAGGTGTAGGAAGAGCCTTGCAGCTTACTTGTTTTTTAATCAATGGCCAAATGAACATAGCGCCCTCTGTTAAAAAATGAAACATTCTACATTCACTCAGATCAACAAGAGGGCGCTGTTTTATCTACACGATGAAAATGTTTTAGCTAGGGAGTTTTTTTGCACAATGCATTGCAGTACACATCAACGTATGTCTCACGTTTGGATTTCAATAACTCTCTGCAAAATTAGAATTAAAAGCTGAATTTTTGGTGATGCAATGCTCACAACAGCAACTTTGCGAGGCAGAAGTTTCGGGGATTATTGAGGAAACTGTAGTGAGTAAGAAGCTTGCACATTTGATTCACACTGGTTTTCTTATGCAGCACAAACTTTTGCACAATATGGATACCTTAAGTTTTGGGAATCTCATACACAGTATTGAGAGTCCAAAATTTTCGGACTAATGTAGCAGCAAGTACTACAACAAAACTCTTTCATTTATAATACCTGCAAGGGACGTATTCGCACCGTCAGCACATCACAACCTCGACTTGTGTAGAATGACACAAAGTTGTCTAAATGTCGTTGCTTAGCCAACAACCAACTCAATATGAGCACAAGAGGGCGCTGTTTAGACTCTTGTCCATCTGTAATGGCCGGAGCCTTCTGCAGTGTCAAGCTGGAGGAGATCTTAGTGATGGGTGGGGCTTTTGCTGATGTAGGGGTGGTGCTGTAGAGTTTAGCTAGACTTGGATGATACTGCAACTAAACACAAAAACACAAGATAAGTTTCATGTAAGTGTGAATGAATAGGCCTATAGTCAGTGCAGATCACACACCCATTCAATTCTAAACCGAAGATAAGCCTTGGTACATACACTCCATGGTAAAATACACAGCGAATCAGCGTGCACTGGCAATGTATCCATACTGCTTAAAGGGGCATTACAGCCTGAAATCCCCCCAAGAAGTCATGTGTTGGATTGTTTACTTGATATTGTGATACTATTTCAAAGGTCTGGTTGAAAGTAAACAAACGCGATGGACATTTTGCAGCACACGCATACGTATTTCATTCAAGTCCTGTCTATTCAATCATATGGAGCAAGAAACGAGACGATCGGTCACGCACCATATGTCAGGCAGCATTGCTACACTGCTACAGAATGGCCCCTTCCTTTTCGCCCTTTCATTTATTACACGTGTAGCACTGTGTAGCATTTCATTTGTGCACAAGTCAATGGTGTAGCACTTTTTTGCTACTTGACACTCGATCTTTCGGAGACAAAATGTTGACCCCCGAAATCGTTCTTGCATGGTAATGGTTCTCGGAAGAAAAACACCATAACACCCAGTTAACTTAACAGGATGGTTGCGTGGATATGTTTATACATGAACTAGAGGTAGAGTAGGCTATACTTAGTCCGAGTAACTTGGACCCAACTTATCGCCTTTTTAAAAATTTGGACATGGTCTGGCGATAGTAGGGTCCAAGCCCATTCCTCGACCTAGACAACACAGTCACTGACAGTCCCAAAAACCAACATTTTCCAACAAAAAACATCAGATTTCACCTTCAAAACGGCCTCCAAATTACTAGATATGTCACCTGAGGTACAAGTAGACATAGATGATTAAGATGGTTGTACTTAAGTTTACTTACGATCCGGAAAAAAAGTGAAATTTTCCGTTCAATTCTGGAGACCCCCTCTGCCTAGGTTGTCGTTGTTGTGCTCACGTTCAAAACTGCATGATAATGGCGTCTGACCTCGACCTCATGCAAATGTGGTGCGGCGCGCTTGCGCATAATGCACTGCATGCATACACGGCAGATTCCCCTGCGCCGCGCCGACGACTGTTTCCTGATGTAGAGCGCTGTGTAAGTTCGCGGTACGCCTGGGAGTCGCGCTGGCTAGCCAGGCGTACCGCGAACTTACACAGCGCTCTACATCAGGAAACAGTCGTCGGCGCGGCGCAGGGGAATCTGCCGTGTATGCTGCATTATGTGCATTATGCGCAAGCGCATAATCTAGTGACATATCTAGTAATTTGGAGGCCGTTTTGAAGGTGAAATCTGATGTTTTTTGTTGGAAAATGTTGGTTTTTGGGACTGTCAGTGACTGTGTTGTCTAGGTCGAGGAATGGGCTTGGACCCTACTATCGCCAGACCATGTCCAAATTTTTAAAAAGGCGATAAGTTGGGTCCAAGTTACTCGGACTAGGCTTAGCCCGACTGCGTCTGGCCGTACAGTACTATCGCAAGCTCTGTAGTACGGCCAGACGCCCGATGCTTCCACAGAGACTGAATTTTTTTGGCCGCCGATGTAGCGATTTTGCTACATCTTTCGATCGCGATTATCTTTTCATCCAGGACACAAATTTCCAAAGTTAAGGTTCGTAGATGTAGAGCAACTCATACCTTTTCGAAAAAACGTTCTTTGGTCTCAATATTTTCATCCATCTGGCCAAAAGACGAATTTCAGTCATCAGATTCCACAAATATCGTCCCCCATGCGATCCCCCATGCGATTTCAAAATGGCGGCCGTGCTGTAATGTATGCAATATGCAGGCGCGCCCGCACAAACTCATGAATATGCATAAACAGTCTGTGACGTATGACCTCGTGTTTTTGGACGTACGGCCCCGCCGCACGCACGTCCAAAAACAAGTCGTCTTGTGGCCAAATGGATGAAAATATTGAGACCAAACAACGTTTTTTCGAAAAGGTATGAGTTGCTCTACCACTACGAACCTTAACTTTGGAAATTTGTGTCCTGGATGAAAAGATAATCGCGATCGAAAGATGTAGCAAAATCGCTACATCGGCGGCCAACAAAATTCAGTCTCTGTGGAAGCATCGGGCGTCTGGCCGTACTACAGAGCTTGCGATAGTACTGTACGGCCAGACGCAGTCGGGCTAGGCTAGGACTAGGGCTAGGCTATACTCTACTTTTCAAATTTATGCTCTTTCCAGTTGGCTTAATATAATTTCGTTTATAACGCATTTCGTGGCCCAATTGGGTGCATGCCAGGCCGTAATCTCCCTTTTATCATATTTAAAGAAAGTTATACAACACAGCGCCCTCTACAGTTCTTGCAGTTGCACACACAGAAAGACGAAAGTTACACAGTACACCTTTAAAAGTTTAATTTTAAAAAGTTTAATTATATTTATTTAACAGACAATGGAAATACTAACCTCTGCCAAGCTTGCTACACTAGCAGCCTCACGCATTCGTGATCCTAAAGCTCGCAACATGCTTCAAAATGCACTTAATTCTCAACTTTTACAGTCAAAATTGCTTCAAAATCTGGTAGACCTAATCTGGAAACAACCCCAGCCGCGCCAGCAGACCACGCGGGAAGTAAATAGCGCCACCAATCGCCGGTCCCGATGAAAATTAAACTTTATCAAGTCTTTTCTGCATAGTTTTCCCAAACTGACTGATTAACTTCGGGATTATTCGCAGTTGCAAACAAGAATAAAGATAAGAGATGTTCTTTAGCAACTATTGGTATCCATAATCATGTTAAAAATACAGAAATATTTGGTTGAGTCGGACTTCAAAACTTTAGGTTGACGTAACCAAATGTCATAACAAGGCTTAGCTTTGTACAAGTCTAGTTTTACACCGGCATTTTGCGTGTCACGCCACACACCACGCGGGCGCGAGGGACGACACGTTATTTTAACATTTTGCCCCAAAAACCTTTTTTAGATAAGATCGAAGATGTTGCGAGCAGCAGGTCTTGGAGTTCATCGATCCAGTCTTGCAAGTTTAGCAGAGGTTGTTGTTCAGTTTGTTGATTTACAAGTAAAAGAAATCACGTGCATTTCAGTCATGTCAGTCATGTCGGACAATATGTAATGTTTATTAATGAGACAGACATGACAGAGTCTTTTTATAGCTCCTAGACCATGGTCTCACGATCACAGTGAAATGGCCTCCTCGCCTCTCAAGTTCAAACCGCAGAGGGCGCCATTCGTTTTGACAAAATTACCTTTTGTTATAATGTTATTGTTATTTGTTAATGTTATTGTTAGATAGTGGATATTTTGCCGGAGGTAATGACGGCAAACTAACGATTACTAAATGTTTGCCAGCGGCAATCCATATCAACAGAGGGCGCTGTACTCTTTAAAATAGGGCTGAATTTTAAGATGTATTAAATTCCCACTAAAAGTTGTGTAGCACGTTTGGTGTAGTGGTTAAGCAAAGGCTCTAGAAAGCGGGATGACTCGCGTTCGATTCCGACCGCACCACATTTTTAAGTTTTTTTTTTTTCATCCCCAAATAAATAAGAATATTCTTCTTTTATTATTTTAACATGTCTCAAACATTTTTTGCAGAGTATTACATTTTCTTTTTCAGATTTGTGGCTCTGGAGGATTTTTTTTAAAAGGGAAATAAAGTCCGAAATTATAAAATGGTCTGAATCCCATCTTGTGAATACGAGGTAACAACGATAATTTTGGCATGGAGCCAGACTAAAACTTGTCACCGGAAAATGTTAGAGTACAAAAAAACAGTAACTGCGCATGTTCAGTGCATATCCGGCAAACTAACGTTTACTAAAGGTTTGCCGTCTCTGGCAAAATACACACTGCCTTAATGTTATAGTATTATCTGTAGCATAAATCTCTTTATATGTCTGTGAATTTCAGGCATAAAACCCAATACATATACATGATGTCTGAGCACAAATCGGGCTAGCCCCATAAATGTGGCCAATTTACTGGACTAGCCTATCTCCGTAAATAAAGGCCACACTTCCACCATGTACAATTTACAAAAACATTTCAAACTTTGTCTAATTTTAATTTTCACATTTAGGTTTAGTTTGTAGTTTATTTTTGCTTTAGAAGCATACTCACATTTAACATGCTTTTTTAATAGGCTAATCAGAAAGTGCTGCCTTTTTCAGATGTCTAATTTTCGTGAAATATCATGTTGAAATTTTGACACGCAAACGTGTGCAAACGAATCTGGATCGCACCCCTCAAAACAGAAGGACTGCTTAGTTTGGACTTGGACTTTTTTTCATAGCTCCTTCGACTGCCTAGCCATTGAAGTTTAGGGGGTGATCTTCAAGTAGTGGCGAGGTATTCTGCATTTACTCTGATGTCTAGAAATCCATGGAAAGGATTTTGCAACCTGACGCTACTTCAGCGGTTGTCTGTGGCGAGTCAAGAACATTTTTTAATTATTTCCTAACAAAATTGGAAATGTTTCTCAGTCCCAGATTCATGTCTTTAATAATACCATCATGTTTGCAATGACTGACCTTCATTGAGATGATACATGAAGAAAAAAGCAGCGTCAGGTCGCAACATTCTTTCCCCATTTATTTCCAATTTTATTTCCAACTTTACAAGATATTATATTTGAATAATGTCAAACCAGATCACTCATTTATGACATTTCTTTTTATATAATAGTTTCCATGGCAACCCAACATTGTACGTTGCTATGGTACTCCAGCATCCAACAAGCCAAAGACTCCAATCATCAAGATCAACAATAATCTCTCGCTGCAGAAAGCAGCCACCAGCAGCAGCAGTGACTCTCCCAAAGAGCGCCCTCTTGTGTTGTTACTGAGTTGGCTGGCAGCCAAGCAGCGTCATCTGGACAACTTTGCTGCATTCTATCTCAGCCGAGGTTGTGACGTCCTGACTGTGAAATTACGCCCAATGCAGGTTACTTGAAACAATATTCAGTACATTTTTTTGAAACCAGAACTGTTTAATGTTTTGATTCGTTTAAGTGATGTCATGATGATGTCATCACATGTCATGTGGTGTCACATTAAAGGGGCATTTTTCTAAGGCCTGTATCTACAGAGCTACAGTGAAATCTTGATAAGTCAAACCTCAACGGAACAGGTTCAAAATTTGACTTCAGCAGAGTTTTGAGTTGAGCAGTGTTGTATATCATTGTTTTACTACTGAAGGCAATGGATTCTTTGTTTGACTTTAAGGGAATATACATCATTGGCTTTTGCTGTGATTTTCAGAAATGGATGGAATTGGGGGTTGGAAATATATAGCAAATATAGTTACACTGACTTTTTTGAGGTTTTGGGTTCGAAAATGCTATAAAAACCAAGAAAAACAATCATTTTCCTGTAGTCTGGTTCCCTGACTCCATTTAAGAAGAAACAGAGCAGTTTACATATATTGGGGAATTGTAAGGTCAGGGAACCAGTCTAGCTGGCTTGTACCCGTTCATAGGTGTGTAATCGATTGCAAACAAGTGCGATGGTCAACTGGGGCCAGTATTTGAAAAAAAGCCAGTTTTTTCCAACGCTGATCGGCCGATCAGCGTTGGAAATTGATACAAAAATACCACTTTTCTTGAAAATGACAGTATACCAGGTGCCATGATTTTACAGGATGCTTTACACTGTCATTCACTAACAGTCCAGCAAGGTATTTCAAAATGATTTGGTAGTTTTATTTTTTGACGTTTGCAAATGTTTTATTTTCCCTTTAACAGTTGTTTTGATTTATCAGAGATTTCACTGTATAGGTTCGATTTTAGTTGTAACTTGATATGTACCTAGACTGGGATCTGTTATAGGTGAAAATTTAAGTGACGTCATGATGACATCATCACATGTCACGTAATATCACATTAAAGGGGCAGTTTTCTAAGACCTGGAACTATAGGTCCAATTTGGTTGAAACTTTGTATATAGTACCTAAATGGGGATGTGATATAGATGAAATTTGAAGTGATGACGTCATCACATGTCATACAGTGATTTCAAACAAAGGAAACAGGGAAATGTGTACCTAACCATACCCACTACTAAAACAAGCCAATAATTTGCCTCTGTAGTGTATTAACTATTATGACTTAAATTTGTCTGTTAATTTTACCTCAACTTTTCAGCTTTTACTGCCAACTGTAGGGACGCAAGTCATCGCTCGTGATGTGGTCAACTTTCTTCAGAGCAAAGAGCAGCGTGGTCGTAAGATCCTCGTCCACGGCTTCTCTGTTGGTGGGTACTTATATGGTGAGATCTTACAACGCATGCTGGCATCGCAAACCGAGTCCAGAGAAATAACGAGTCGCATCATTGGCCAGATTTACGATAGTCCGGTGGACTTGCAGAACATTCCTGTGGGAATTTCTAAGGTAAGACTACACAGAGAGCTCGAGTGCAGAAAAACATGCAAAACAAATTCAGGCCAACTTCACTTACTCTTTAGCAGACAAAATTCTCCAAAATTTTCATGAGGCAATGGCAAGGTCCTCAGTATTTCACCAGCCAAGTTTCAGGTCTTAATTCAATTTTTTTATGGAGATTTTTCTTCAATATTGTGCACCTGAGAGTGAAGCCAAGTGATTTCAATTTGAAGCCTAAGACTAGACTGGTACATGTCCGACTATTTGAAAAGATTGACCTCTTCAGTAGTCTGGTGGCAGACTATGCAGAGACGTGTAGAAAAAGAGACTGGTACCAGATGTTTCTTTTGCGCAGTTGATTAATACAGTACTAAAGGGACATTGGACTGGTTGTTTCAGGTGCCAGTCTATTTTCTTGCATTGCATGTTTTGTACTTTAAGTTTTGGGATTCTCATACACAGTATTGAGTTCCAAATTTTCGGACTAGGTAAGACAAGGGTGGCTTTGCTAGGTCCTTGATTGATGTCGTAGCAAGGTTTATGGGGGAGGGGGAGTTGGAAGAGGGGAGAGGGGTAAAGAAAGAAGGAGGGGGAAGTGGGGGGCAGGAAGGAGGGGCTACATAAAAAGAGGCGGTACAGGATCGTAACACTTTGCCTCAAAATTGCATGAGATGTTCTTTTGCCCAAATTATCTTCAAATAGTGTCAATAAAAGTGAAGAACAAAAAATCCAAAGACTTGTACAGCTGTACCCATATACTACCAAAGTCAGATGTTATTGTTCTGGTGCACGCGCTGGTTAACGCACTGATGTCTTCACACACTTGAGCTATGCGCATGAACCAGAATATGCGGCACACTTCAGTACTCCATATGATTTCAGTGCCTCGGTCAGTGACTCGGTCAGTGACTCGATCATTCAGTCATCAGTTGGATCTGAATGATCGAGTCACTGACCGAGTCACTGACCGAGTCACTGAAATCATATGGAAATTGATCATGAGAAATAAAAAACGGGAATTGCTGCCGGTTGTCGATGTCGAAGAGACAGCTTTCACTAGCCGTACTTTTTACCAAAGATTTTTACCGCTCGGTACCTTTTCGTGGGACGTGCTTTCGGTTTGTTAATGACTTTCCTAATTGATGATTTATTTCAGCAACAGATCTTTTCTTACCAGTACATTAAATATACATTTGAATACCATTTTTATTCTTCAAGTCTCGGCATAAAAGCCGCCCAGTGTATAAGCCGCAGTAAACATTTCCATGGGCAAAATCAACGTATAAGCCGCGGCTTATATTCCGAAAATTACGGTACATTGATGGTATTAGTGGTTTGTCTGATGATTTCCCTGACACTCATTACCCAGATATTCAGATATTGATGGCATTGCTGTTTGGTAATAATTTTCTTCTGGCAGGCCTTGACTCAGAACCGTCTTGCCCAGAGGAGCATGCAAGGTAGTCTTCAAGTCTACCTGCGGGTCATGCACTCAGCCGCTACCAAGCATTACTACAAGAGTTCTCACATGTTCCATCACAACCCAGTCTCCGCCCCTTCCCTCTTCTTCTACTCACACACTGATCCTGTCGGTACGGCCGAAGCCAACGAGCGAGTCATCACCAGTCTCAAGACCGTCATGGGCTACGATAACATCTACAGCAAAGCCTTCGAGGACTCGCCTCATGTCAGCCACATGTACAAGCATCGTGACGAATACATGGGCACACTCAAGGCTTTCCTGACCAAGATTGATTACTTCAAGGAGGCACTCGAAGAGTACCGGGAATTGGAAGATTTCGTTGGAGAAGATGAAAGTAAAGATGAGAAATAAAAGGGGAATAAGGACCAAATCTTAAACCAAAAATGATCATTAGTATTATTTTGATCAAGGAGACATTCGACATAGATGTAGCTATCAAACAATATTCACAATTTTCACTGACAGTATCTTAAAAATAAGATAAATCAAGCGAAGATAAGACAAGATGTACATGTAGCAAGATATATATCATTTTTCTGTGTTTCAAAGGATTTTTTTTTTAGTAGAAAGATGGTGCATGAACTATCAAATAAACTGTCACTTGTTTTTTTGTACAGAATTGTTTGGCTGAAATAGTTGCAATTGCTGAAATATTCAGGAACATTGGAAAAATCGTGTTTATCCACTAGTACAATAACATTTATATAAATTATTGTGTGAATTTAAAAAATAGACAACTCTGGGTTTGCCATCAATGTGAATATTTTTGATTTATTTATGTTCATATATTCTGCACAATCTCTGATGACATTTCTTGCCAAAGAAGTGAGCTGCGTGTATGCATATTAAAATTAAATTTTAGAATGTTAAGAGTAAGAATTGTGAAGATATCTAATTTTCTTAGATAAGGAGTACAGTATTTAAAACTGAACACATGACTAGATTTATTCTAAAAGGAATGTAATACAAATACTTCTCGTTCTGTCATAAATTTTGAAAGTAAGGTGTGTGGCCTTGCATCGGCAGTTATGTGTACTAGTAAATTAGCATTTATAAATGGAGTAAATCAAGTGGGCCTGTGTGTAACATTCCAGTTTCAGTGAGTTTAGAGAATATCAAACAAAGTGAAAAGTATTAGGCCAAAAAAAAATATATATTCGGTCTCTGGTCAGACCAAAGTTCCGGAATTGACGCGGGGACGCGGCTTTTTTTTTTTCCTTCAAGCTTGGATTGTACAGACAAGGTGGGGTACTATTTTGCTACTTGGTGTCCTCATGTACATTGGTCACCTCCATAATTTGCCTTGGTGCTCTCGATCATTTGCCTTGGTGCAATTTCCCATTCCTTGGTGCTCTTTGGTAAAAAAAAATTGAGGAGGTGCGGCAATAGAGGGCGCTGTTGGAGCTACCGCGGAACAATTTGGGAAAAAAAAGGTTGACGTACGCGCATGATTAAAATCGACGCGCACGCTGACCAGAGACCGACTTATTTTTTTTTTTGGCCTTATTCAGTATTTATAAAAAAATGTATATGATTCCACATTTCAGTGTACATAGCCATGATACTTGTAATACATGTGATCTATGAATAGATCAGTTGGTGATTATTTGAATTTTGTCTCTCAAATGATCTTGATCTAAATCATGCAAGAGACCTTTATCATGCTGCCACCATTTCAGTCATGTTCCCTGTATTCAATAACAGTACTGAATGATAATGTTTTTATGCAAAAAGGAACCAGACTATTTTTCCTTCCAGCCTCGCTTTGGTTACGTTGATTTGAATGGGGAAAAATTAACACGGTAGCAACATGATAATGGTCTATACCATTCAGTTTGTGAACTTAATTATTTACGCTAGATGATGTAACTTCAGCGCTGAGAAGAACACTTAAGCAACTTCTTGGTCACAAAAACTGCATAAAAATTTATTGAAATTGTTAATAAATAATGACGTTTCTGTAATACATTTATTTTGAAATGTAGCCAGGGGACCGTCTTGTACCAAATCATGTAATCGTTTGTCAGTTTTAAAGCATTACAATAGGATTTTGTGTTTTAGTAGGGCAGGTAGGTGATAGGATTGTGCCTTTGATGATACAAGTACGGCAATTTTTTTTTCGCAGTCAGAGTTTGTCATGAGAAAGATATTTGGCTGTAGGGCCATCGCAGATTTGTCCTTTGAAAAAAATGTAGGAAAAATAACAAACAATGCCAGCCATTTTGAAAAATTTGAAATTGCTTGTTATTCTACCTATATTTTTTCAAAGGACACATTTACCATGGCCCTATAGCCAAATATCTTTCTTAAGACATACATGTACTCCGAGTGTGTGTCAAATGCCATGCTTGTATCATCAAAGGCAAAATTCCACCCCCCCCCCTTCTCCCAATAGTTCTTCTATATGCCCCACTTTTTGTGATATGCCAGTTTACGTATAGACCAAAGTGTACATTATCAATCATGTTTTTTTGTTGTAATGGTTATAATCCACAGCATTCTTGTAAAAAAAATACACTGGAAGTCTTTAAAGGGAAGATACAACATTTGCAAACATCAAAAACCAAAATGATCAAATTATCACAAAATATTTTACTGGATTGTTAGGGAATGACTGTATAAAGCATCCTGTAAAATCGTGGCTCCTTGCGTGCTGAAACTTTCAAGAAAACTTCTATTTTTCCAACGCTGGTCGGCCGACCAGCGTTGGAGAAAACTGGCTTTTTTCAAAACCTGCTCCAAATTGTTCATATTTAGTTATTCTGCACATTCTTTGCAATTGATTACACACTTGTGAATGGGTATGAGCCTGCTAGACAGATTCTTTGACCTTACAATTCCCCAAAGCCTACAAGTTGTTCCATTTCATCTTAATTGGGGTCAGGGAACCAGACTACAAGAACATGGTTAGTTTTCTTGGATTTTCCAGCATCTCCAAACCCAAAACGTGAAGCAAGTCAGTTTAACAATATTTTCTGTAACACACTTATCCTCCAGATCCATTTATTTCTGAAAATTGCAGCGAAAGCAAATGTTGTACATTCCCTTTAATAAGATTGCCAGTGTGGAAGACGTGTTAATTGTATTTTGCAACAGTGTATGGTCTCTGTGTTGGTGCATATGTCAATGAATTTGAGGAGAGTTGCTTAATTTATTGAACACATGGCTAACAGTGTAAAATGTGTGACTTCACTTTATGACCTTAACAAAGACACTGTCCATTTTTCTTTAAGTTTTTATTTATTTATGTTGAACTTACAAACCACTACTGATTCCACTGATTATTTGCAATAATTAGAAGTCGGACAGCTTTCATTTTTATATTATTTGAGAGGAGAGAGGAGTGAATTAAGGCGATATTTAATGTTTGTTTTTAAAGTTTTTCATAACTCATTTTAAAAATACAAAATTTGTCCAAGAAGTTGAATTGCATGTATGCATTGACAGTCAGTATTGCAACAAATAATAAGATGTATAATAAATATTGAAATTCATAATTGTGCCAAAAAGTGAATTCAGTGTGTCCTTCGTTTTTACACTATTGAGTTGCATTTCCCCAACCCCTAACTCGATCTGTCCATAACCCCCATTCCTAAATCAAAATAAACATGATCAAATGTTTTTTGTGATATATGTCACAATGCATTTTTGAACTGCACGATTTTAATTTTAGAGACAGTTTTATTTCGTCTCATATTTTTCTGATCACGGGCGGGGGCGGGGGGAGGGGGATTACTGTTATAGTTCATGTGAGGTGCCCCTTTAATGCGTATGGTATGGTATGGTGCATATGTAAACACGACATTATCAGAAACATAGGCAGATTGTGGTTGGGAACTAGACCTAACACGTGCTCATAAATTTAATGCAAAAACTTGGCGGTACGGTACGGTGCGGTACATCGGGAGTTGACACGGACGTTTTGATCGGGAGTTGCTCGTCTTGTAATACACTTTGACTTGGTAAGACAGCCATACTTTGTACCACGACCACGTTAAGATTATATGGATGGATCATAGAGCAAGGACAGATCGTATATAGCGGTGTGATAATTTCGGAACTGACACGAAATTACCTTAAGGCCCTAGGGAATAGTGGCGTAGCCAGGAATTTTTCGGGGGGGGGGGGGGGGGGGGCCGCTGGGGGGGGGGGGGGGTGGAACATTTCATGGGGGGGGGGCGTCATGTAGATCACTGATTATTTTTTTAAAAACTCAAAATCTCAGTGGGGGGGGGGGGGGCGACTGGGGGCGACAAGGTTTCATGAGGGGATGTTCCCCCCCCCCCCCCTGTGCCGTGGCTGTGCCACTGCTAGGGAAAAATCGATCGTCCTCGCCCATTACCCTGGCCCTAGCCCTATAGCTGGTACTCGATTACGCAAAATACCCATAGTTCTAGGGGTATGCCTAGCTGGAGTTACCCAGCCCTGAGTTTTATCATTGGGTTGTCAATAGACAACCCAATGATAAAACTCGGGGCTGGGTAACTCCAGCTAGGGTATGCCCAGCCAGCTAGGCCTACATTCACTCACCCGATGTACGCGAGTGCATTATGATACAGTGCATGCATGTACGCGTGCGCGTACGCGCGCGCCCCCACTTAAAGTCACATACCAGGTACATATTGTAGTATAGTACGGTGTGGGACTGGATTGAACCTGTGATTGAACATGGACATGATGGAGGTATAGGACTAGGAATAGACCTTTGAACTTAGTCCAATAACTTGGACCCAACTTATCGCCTTTTTAACATTCGGACATGGTCTTGTGTCCAAGCTATCAGGACTCAGGAGGGAGGACAATTGACCTATCATCGTTTGTGATTTAGCCACGCCCCTTAGACAACCCTATGGAGTTTTTGGACACAACATTTTGTTTACAATTAATAAGTCTCAGATTTTGCGCGTCCCGTGTCCATTTGTATATCATATAATTGGACAATATATTTCACAAGCTGCGTTGACGCAATTCTATCGCGATAGGTCAGTAAACTTGTGCAAGCGTCGAGATTGGACTCGACATATCCAACTCCATAGCATAAACGTCGCAATTAGGGGGGGGGGGGGCGGGGAGGGTGGATGGGTGGAGATCCCTCCAACTTTTTTACTGGGGGATTGGTCATCATCCCCCGCCCCCGATTCTGTGTACCAGTAGTCATGATAGTTAACTTTACGGGCACTTAGCGTAGTTTAGTTTTGGTCAAATTAGAGTAGGATATTTTTTTTGTCATTCCAAAATGACTTTTTCAACCTTAAACCAAAGCTGCTTCTCATTTTGATGACACAATTTTTGTCATTTTTAATAGTTTTTTGGGCAGTTACAAGAAAATGCAATTTTATGAGTTTTGCACAATCGCGGTGTGTTGCGCAGTGCTTGTGGCATTTTTCTGTTGCGTTTTGTCGTCATCATCATCGTTTTAACCAAAAAGTTCTAAATACCCTGTCCTCTACATACCAGTACCTGTTTGTTAATGTTGCTGTATACTTCCGTATTCCAATATCTGAAAAAGTGGATTTCTGTTCTCTTATTGGAACAAGGCAAGTAAAGTCTACACAACTGCCAACATTTTGTGTGGTTAGGCCAAATGAAAAAAAACAAACATGTTTAGCGTCCCCGCCCGCTTTCTTTTTGGAGGCCGCCTCCTTTTTTTTGTTTAAACGCAAAAAAATGATAAATTTTAAACAGTGACATCATTCTGGCCTCTTTGTCCATGTTGTCTGTTGCATCTAGCCCATATAAAGCTGGTATGTCATTCCTGAGTCCAAGTTGCGGCCATCTTGAAAAATAACCCGGTCATCAGTTGGCCATTTGGGAAGGAAAAAAAAGGGACTCCTTCTTCCTTAAAAAAAAACAACCCAAAACAGAACGCTATTTAACATTTTTTTTGTTTACTTGGCCTTTTCAGGTTTTAACCTGAATTCAGGTGTTTTTTTTTTAAATGTGACAAATTAAAAGTGTTGGATTTGGTCTGAAACATCCAGAAAACACATTTTGGAAAGAGAGTAAGGGTAGTTTCAGGGTTATAGTAGTGTTTTATGCTTTTTATTGATATATTGGTGGCATCTCTGGGTTATTAAAAAAAAATAATTTAGATTTCCATTGCTGGATTAATTTTAGGATTTTATTGTATGGTCACTTCCCCCCATGAGCCCCGCCCCAACCCCCACCCCCAGCCCCGCCCCCAACCCCCAGCCCCACCCCACCCCACCCCCCGAAACAGATTTGCACGCAAATATAAATACATGTAGCACTCTTGATTTTCTGCTGTTTGATCAAACTGTCCTTTCTTTAAGCTACACCAATTTTTATAGACATTTAGCCTACCCTCAAAACTCAAAAGCAACACAGTCAAGTAATCAGTTAATCAACTCATAAAAAAGGATCAAGTTTGGTTTTGCATTGTGAACACTGCCAGCAACAATCAGTTCAAGGTTATAAAACAACTGCGCAGTCATTTGCTGAATGAAAACCTATAGAAACAGGTTGAGATTGCTAAACTGGCAGGGATCAACATGCCCAACAATTCAAACAGGTAGGCCTATAGTAGATTTAAATTAAACTTTGTCATGTTGTATTGTGTGCTAGCTAGTCTTCATGTTTGGAGCTCATCATAAGATACATTATGTAGCTGTTTTCACTTTTACATTCATTATACAAATATTGAGTGGCTCAGCGTGGAATGGGAGGAATATTATCGCAAGGTAAAATCTGGACTTTTCCATTTCACGAGGCGAAGCCGAGTGAACTGGAAAAGTCCAGATTTTACCGAGCGATAATATTCCTCCCATTTCACAATTTAAAGCCACTCAATATTTGTTTTATATAACTGACATATAGATCCTTGTCATTTGATATATTTGAACTTTTTTGTCAATACAAAATTGGAGGAAAATGTATTTCTCTCTTCCAAACCACCCTTTCACGAAAATGTTTGAACCCAACGCTGTAGCGCTGGCTCTTTGGAACAATATGCGCTACGCGCAACGCTGAACGCGCACACCAGCATGCATTTGCACACAAATACCGCGTCATGATCCTAACTGTTGAATAGTATTTCCCATTCCCCATGGGCGGATAGTACTTTTTGAGCCGCGGCATGAATGGGAGCAATAACAAATGCCACGTGATGTGAGTTCCACCAATCAAATGACAAGGATCTGTATGTCGGTTATATAATTCGAAATATTCTTCATGGCCAATGAAAGTATAACAATAAAAAAGGAATGAAAAGGCTAGTTTAATAGCCTTTTCTTAAAAGAAATTTGGTTGAAAGGTGGGCTTTTAAGGGTAAAACATTACAAAACCTTTCGCATAAAAAACCCTTATAGCTCCAGATTCCATGGCAGGTCCAGTATGGGATATGAAAGGAATATTCCTCCATGGTGTAACATTTCTGCCATGTGTTCAGTAAAGCTGTGACTTCAATTTCCAACATTAAAATTTGCTGACGTACGATACTGTTATTATTTAGACCCCACAAAAATTTGGTGTACAAGTTGGACTTAAAGCTATAGTCCATCATTTGCAGCTATCTGAAAAGTAGCTGGTGTAATTATTGTTGAAAAACATACTTGGTTGAAAGATAGTAAGGGGACTAAACTCCCTGTGAAATTATTCTTTCTGGCAAGCTGTCATTTTGAAGTAATCAACGAAAGAAGCCCTTTCCAACGGTGCTTCTTAAGACGCACCATAGGAAAATTTAAATTAGTAGTTCGTTTTGTTATTCGACGAAGCGCGCGCTTAACATTGGCACGACGCACACGCACCCCCGGTTGCTAGAACTCGTCAGATCAGTGCGCGACATCGCGTAGCTGCATTCGGCTCAGCGAGAACGTGTCTCGGACGCTGAATTCAGGCGCAATTCAAAACATGATTCAGCAACTTTTGATTTGAAATTGAGATCCTAGAATGCTGTTTTTCTCAGAATATACAGCTGAAGTTGAGCTGAAACTTTATCAGGTTAGTTGTTCAGTACCCTTCTTTAGATTTTGAGCACTTTTGTTGCTTCAAACGAACAAAATGCACACATTACAAATGATGGACTATAACTTTAAACTGAAATGCAGATCATGTGATGACAATGCTTAAAAAAGGGGGGGGGAAGGTCATAATTCTGGCTGAGAATTTTGCATTGTCATTTGAAAGATTACTGCACTATAGCACTTAAAGCGTTTTAAGATTAAAGTTTAGGGGTAAACGTGATATCTGTTAGTGTTGTTTACTTTTCATCTGTACTTTGTTCCCTTTGCTTTCTAACAATATTAACACCACACAAAAATGTCCCAGTCTTCAGGAACAGGGTAGGTGTTGTTGTAGTATTCCTGAGCTCAGCTAGTCATTCAAAACTTGAGCTTCACTGCAATTTTGTTCAAGATGAGGTACATGTACAACTGCAGGAATTAGTACTAATAATTTCATTATTTCGTACTTGACTTGAAAGGTCATAATGTACAGTATTTTTTTCTAAATGAACATCATCAGCGATCACTCTTTCAAACATTGCACATTCACCGGTATGTGCATTAAGTAAACATTGATTAGTTGCTGTTTGTGATGATTATAATGTCTGGTAATTAATTGATTTACTAAGAAGAAAATTTCCTTCCTAACAAGCTTTTGCGATGTGCTTCTTAGTAGACAATTCAAGTCTGCAATTTAATTTTTTTTTTGTAAGCAAACATTGCAGCAAATAATAAAGGTCAGGATAATTTTTTTTATTCGTTTCCAGTAATAATTAAGACCACTCAAAATGAAAAGAAAGTTCAAATCTAACCTGTACGTTTCAGCTCTGTGGATATTCCCCTTTTAGAAAGCAGTGAAAAATCATACACTTTCTTGTGAACAATGAAAAAGCCAAATTTCACAGGGTGTTTAGTGCCAGTAAGATCTTTAATCTCCTGACTGACGATGACCAGAGAAGAGTCGAAACATCTCACTCGGTCTCAGTGAAGAGAATTGTGAGAAGTCCCATGTACTTAGCAAAAGTAGATAATAAGCAGGACACATTCCTCTTGAACTAGCAGGACAGTTATCGGAACTATTCTACTGAGCGAAAGTAGACACAACTACATCATGGTGTTAACGCAAACTGAATCCAAGTAAGCTTTTTGATAATAATTCGGTAGCTTTTGGGATAGAAAATGATGATGTACATTTCTATATGCCTTTAATACTTGAATGATTTTGTTGCACATTGCACAGTAGCTCAAGTGACGACATGGCGCTCCCTGCCACATTTAGGAAGCTGGTCTGCAGCAAGTTGACTCAACACTTCAGAGATGCAGTGTCGATACAAACGCTTCCTATGCTCAAACCAGGTCCACAAGACGTGCTTGTTCGTAATAGGTAGGTGGCCCCTAGCTATATTGCGGTGTCAGACAATTGTTACACCCCAGCTATGGCATCATGCAAACTACAGCTAGGATCGGGTCCCAACTATAGTTAGGAATTCCCAAACTATATTGTAGAAACTGTATGTGTCCCGGCCCAACTAATTGGAACGATCCTTGTAATTGTCCCAACTAATTAATGATGTGGGTCGGGTCGACCAGGCCAAACCGACCCGAAACATTAGAGATATAAACCGAATTCGAACCGAAACCAATCTTAACCCCCTCAAACTGACCTGACCCGACCCGACGAAAAATAAGGTAAAACTGACGCGAACCGACCCGACCCGAAAAAAACACACAAAAATAACCGAATACCAGGCTTGGACAAAGTGATCACTTTTTTGGTGCCTGCCCCTTACCCACGTGGCATGAATTCTTTTGCAACCATCGTCTCTCTCTGTCATACTCAGTGGGCTGATCGAGAGTAACTCTGCTTATTGAACAAACGCATGGTCACCAAGCGGTATACTGTCGGTAGAAATTAATATCGTGGGAGCTTGATAGTGCGCACATTGGCCACACCACACAATAGGCTGCAGTGACAGTGACTGTCAATAATATTGCATCACCTGAATTTCTCAACTGTTTCGGTTTATTTCGGTTTTTTCAAAAGATGGCTTAACCGACCCGACCCAACCCGAAAATGTAAATGCAAAACCGAAACCGACCCGACCCGACTGAAAACATGAACAAACCGACCCGACCCGACCCGACCCGACCCAACCCAAAGTCGGTTTCGGGTCAGTTTCGGTTTCGGGTCGAGTTTGCACATCGTTAGTCCCAACTATGCGAGACCATTGCCATGGTTAAGTTGGGGCATAACATGCAGTGTTCCATAGTTAATTGTGGCTATTCATTTCAATTTGACCCAAACAGATTCTCAGGGTTTCAGACAGCTGAACATATATACATTTTCTATAATTCATTCAAAATGAATTGCAACATTTGATCTTTCAACGTAGTCACTTACGTGTAATTGTTTCCAATGTTGACATTTTCATGTACTTATTATAATATTTAGATCTTTGGAATTATTTGGTTTGGTGCAACTCGATCTGGGAAGCAGAGTTTGAGACAGGCCGGTGTTTCTTTGCTCGAGATAATTTGATGATTGAGCGATACATTATCTGAACTACAGAGCAAGCTAGGTCATGGATTTCAGTATCACCTTAGGAATCTTATGAAATTTATTGTCACATTCTTCAATGGAGTTTCAAGCATTTCCTGTTTTTTTTCCCCTTCTTTAAAACAGATTCACTGGAATCAATGCCAGCGATATCAACAAGACAGCTGGCCGATATAACCCAGCAGACAAGCCCCCCTTTGACATCGGTTTTGAGGTTGGTCACAACAGCCCCCTCCCCCCTAAAAAATTGCCTTTCCGCCCCCTCCCCAGTCACCCCCACTGGAAATTTGTTAGTCCAATATAAGTGACCATGGTCAACGCGTTTAACAGATATTGGGTTTACCCCGCGGGGCCCCCCCTCCCCCCCCCAATGTAACATCCAGGCCCCCCTCGCCCCTCCGCCCCTCGGTTGCCATTCCACCCTTGCCCTCCCTCCCTTGCCCCTCCCCTCCCCTCCCTTGCCCCTCCCCTCCCCCCTCTTGGGTCCCCTCCCATGGTGAGAACCCTGGCTATATGCTGCTGGGTGACAATATGCCCCCTTGGGTTTCCCCCGCGGGGCCCCCCCCCCCCCCCCCCAATGTAACATCCAGGCCCCCCTCGCCCCTTCGCCCCTCGGTTGCCCTTGCACCCTTGCCCTCCCTCCCTTGCCCCTCCCCTCCCTTGCCCCTCCCCTCCCTTGCCCCTCCCCTCCCCCCTCTTGGGTCCCCTCCCATGGTGAGAACCCTGGCTATATGCTACTGGGTGACAATATGCCCCCTTGGGTTTTACCCGCGGGGCCCCCCCTCCCCCCCCCCCCCCCCCCAATGTAACATCCAGGCCCCCCTCGCCCCTCCGCCCCTCGGTTGCCCTTCCACCCTTGCCCTCCCTCCCTTGCCCCTCCCCTCCCTTGCCCCTCCCCTCCCCCGTCTTGGGTCCCCTTCCCATGGTGAGAACCCTGGCTATATGCTGCTGGGTGACAATATGCCCCCTTCCCCGCATCAATGCTCTCCATTCCATAAGAACGCGCATTTTAATTATTGGTACATTTTTGATTGTGGGCATTTTTGATGGTACATGTACCAGCAAATCAAAATTTAGCCGAAATATCAATCTAAATCTGTACAGCTCTGTGTTAACACCACACTAGAATGTTCTGACTGTGGACATTTTTTAGGCCAAAAAAAAAGTCTCCGGTTTCTGGTATGGAGCTTGCCCAAAAAAGTGGTGCGGCGACGCGGCTTTTTTTTTTTTTTACCTGATTATTTTGCTTCAAATGTCGGCTGATGACTGTAAATGGTGCCCGACTAAACTTAGTGCAAATATATGGGAGTCCAGAGAGGCCACATAAAGCTTATTCTCGACCATAACCCAATCTAAAAACACGTTAAAATTGTGCAGCAGCAGGATTCCAGTCAAACCAGTGAGTTTGGCGGTTTTGAGACATCATCTTTCATTGAAAAAAAAAACTTTTTCATTTTGCCGACGCGCATGGCTACGGCGACGCGCGCGCATACCAGAAACCGGAGACTTTTTTTTTTTGGCCTTATGGTACATGTGGGCACTTTTGATGTTTTTCAAAATTCAGATCCAATGTACATTGTAGGATCTGAGGATGAAAATAGTTCTGAATTAAAGTATACTGACAATTAACAATGAAAGAAATTTAAAAAAAAAATGAATGAAGAGATATTAATGTCTTAATCTATCCGTGAGCATTTCTTCCTTTTTCATTTAATTCAGTCCCTTTTTTTTTGTTCATTAACTTATCACTAGTACGTTTGGTAATTACTATGTCAATTTCTTAGCCATATTTTATGTACTAATATTAATTTTGTGAGCAATTTTTTTTTAAAACTCATTTTCAGTCTGTGGGTGAAGTTGTTGGCGTCGGTAGCGAAGTGAAACATGTCAAGGTTGGACAGGGTGTGTGCTTCATGCAAAATGGAACATTCTCGGAATATCAGGTCAGTTTGAGAAAACACTGATGCCCTTATTTTACCAGCACAAAAGTCTCAATCATAATGACCTATGAAGTCGATCAAATGAGCAGAAAACCTGTTAAAATAAAAAATAACCAAACAGCTGGAGTGATGTAGAGTAAAAAAAAAAGCAAAACCAAAACTCCAAAAATTACATTTCCTATTTTTTAAAAAATATGTAGCACCAAAACTAATACTGGCTGGAAAGCCAATTTCATAAGCTACTTTTAGATAAAAAAAACTACTGAAATTGCTCAATCCGTTCAAATTGAATATCACCATTTAAACACAATGACCCCAAAATGTCTTTCTTCCAAAAAATGCGATTTCAAGCATCGTCGTCACAATAGTCTTGAAACATTATCAGCGATAAAACCTCAGTTTAAAAGTTAAAAGTATTCTATAAAGTCCTTTTGAATTGGCCGTCGTTTAAAAAAAGTGGATTTTATAAATCATATTGTTTGCCTAACCAGGGTTGTTAATAAAGATATTGTGCACTAGATTTGTTGACAGTTGTTAAAACAAGTATTCTGTCTAATTCCTTTGTTGTTCCAAACAGTAAGACTGCACAATAAAGTTGTAGGGTCATTGTGAATGTGATTAAATGGTAATATTCTTTGAACGGATTGAGCAATTTCAGTAATTTTTTCATCTAAAAGTAGCTTACGAAATTGGCTTTCCAGTAGTTATTATATGTGGTGCTACATATTTTTTTTTAAATATGAAATATAATTTTGGGGGTTTCGGTTCCGCTTTGTTTTTACTCACCCTGTATAATTTTTGGATGCCTTTGAGGGGGATACATGAATATATTGCACGAGCTGTAACAATTTTGACTCGTGCAATATTGTTATGGCAAGTGCAATGTATTCTTGTATCCCCCCAAAAAATCCGTCCGACATTATTATTATTATATTATTAGGCTGAATTGATCCGCAAGGAATAAATTTCAGGATATCGTCTTTATTTCTCAAATTTCATTGAATTATTCTTCACTTTACCAAAGCAAATTTCGCGACACTCGAAGCTGCATTGTGGTTGTTGACAATTACAGTGCGCATATACCTGCTAGTTTTGTGATCTGCATCTGCGTGTGGGCGTGACGCTACCGCGTGCTACGCTCTGTTGACTGGTTGACAACTGTGAGTTTCTGTGGTCTAGATTGTGCAAGAACCAGCGACAATGCCCGCATTACTGCAATATCAAAACATATTGCAGTTATCCTGGTACTTTTTACAAAAGCATAAAATAAATAACCACTAGTACCCTGATATAAAAATAACATGCAAAATTGTTTGATTTTATACAGCCGAAAAAGAAACAATTTACTGGATGATGATGAACACGTACCATTTAATCTTTAGTATTGTAAAAATATTGTAGTTTTGATTTTATCAATTCATCGGTGGTGTGGGTTCTGTTTTTCGTTGATATTGAATATTCATAACTCATGAATTAATGTGCTTACACTTTTGTTTAATTCAAATTTTGTGGGTGTGTTAATTGCAAGCAACATTCCTTCCTGTCCGGTAAATCCATAACTATGCAAGAAACCATTGGCGCATAAGACTTGGTTGGTTCTTCTCCTAAGGACTTAATTCCACCAGGGAGTATATCTAGGAGGCCAGAAACACCGGGGCAAACCCCCTTCTCTCAGCGATAAGTGTTACTGGGTTCTTTTATGTGTGTTAGGCCTTATACAACTCACGGGACCTCCGGCTTAACGTCCCATCCATAGGACAAAGCAATAATGGTTAAGTGCCTTGCTTAAGGGCACAAGTGTCCGGGCCTGAGCTCGAACCCACGCCACTGTTGCCTCTGAAACACCAGAGCATATGAGTCCGGTGTTCTTAACCGCTAGGCCATGACACACCGGACTTGCAGAATGATTGAAATGATCTTGGTTTGTAGGTTCTTCCAGCTAAGTTGGCCATCCCAGTCCCCTCAGTGCAGCCTGAGCATCTTGGTCTGTTAGTAAGCGGAATGACGGCTGATTTAAGCCTAAGAGAGGTAAGGTCAAAGGTCATGTGTAGTGGTGTGCTTTGACGGGCATTATGGGAACCGGGTACCCTATTTAAGTAAAACACGGGTACCCGGTTACCCGTAAAAGAACCCCCACAATTCAAATCAGGAAAGTTACAGTGTGAATTGCACCTTTCACAAGTATCAACTAGCCATGCATTAAAATTAAAGACATATATAGTCCATCATTTGTAATTTGTGCATTTTGTTCGTTTGAAGCAACAAAAGTGTTCAAAATCTAATGAAAGATACTGAACAACTAACCTGATAAAGTTTCAGCTCAGCTTCAGCTGTATATTCCGAGAAAAACAGCATTCTAGGATCTCAATTTCAAATCAAAAGTTGCTGAATCATGTTTTGAATTGCAGCTATACGCGATGTCGCGCACTGATCCGACGAATTATAGCAACCGTGCGCGCCTGTGCGTCGTGCCAATGCTTGCGCGCGCTTTGCCGAATAACAAAACGAACTACTAATTTAAATTTTCCTACAGTGCGTCTTAAGACGCACCGTTGGAAAGGCCTTCTTTTGTTGATTACTTCAAAATGATAGCTTGCCATAAAGATTAATTTCACAGGGAGTTTAGTCCACTTAGTATCTTTCAACCAAGTATGCTTTTCAACAATAATACGCCAGTTACTTTTTCGGATGGCTGCAAATGATGGACTATATAGTTTTAATGCACAAAAATGTGAAATCTGTTGTGGTTTCCCATGTAGCCTGGTTTTCATGTTGAAAATTCCCCACAAATGGTATTCAACTCCTTTCTTTTTCATTGTCTGAGAAGTTATTAAGTAATTTGGAAAGTTGGTTATGGGTACTGAAATCCGCTAATCGTGTAGTTTCTAAGGACACCTCTATGATTTACAAGTTCCGTTCATAAATAAAACCCGGCCCCCTTTGCACAAAATTAAGTTGCAAAATGATATATCAATATGGTATCTCAGCGAACTATTTAGATAATTTCAAACACAAAAAGTGCTGGACTTTTCCTGCTTGTGTCATAGCCAAATGTTTAGGTATTAAGTCCCAAAACATTGAGTGTAGTTTCGTGCTCTTATACAGTTGCGAGTCAAAAAACAACAACTATACACTTTTAAATTGGCCATAGTTTTATTTTGTAGCAATAAAGATAAGATATTTTCATATGTACTTTGAGAGAAACTCTTCCTGCTTTGTTTGGTGACATTTTCACTGGGTTAGTTTTCATGCATGACTGTACAGGAGACAATTAAAGGGGTCAGGTGAAATCTGACTTGCGCGCCAACTGGTCAGGGCCGGATAAGAAAGAGACAATTTAAAAAGCTAGAACACAACCATTGTCTAACAAAGAGACAAAACAGGATTTCATTAGCTTTTAATCTTCGTGTTTATTTAAAACATTTAAATTAAATTAAAAAGGCAATTCAATTTCACGGTGTCTTAGTCCTCAACATGGCCACCATCTCGTTCAATGCACAGCTGGGCTCGGCGCATCATTCCTGCAACACCACGGCGAATCACCTCCCTGTCTTGTCTGAGAATGTCCATTTCACGAGTTATTCTTTCCTGGAGGTCATTCCATGACCAGATCAAGACAATGGTTGTGTTCTTTTATATTGTCTCATTCTTATATGGCCCCTATAGGCATGTGGCATATATTTGACCTCTGCCTGCAATTCATTCTCGGGCAACTGATGAACACACGTACTGGTCTATGCTGACACTTTCTCATTATAAATGTGTTTCAAAAGTGACATTTTTACAGAGTAATACCAAAAATTTACCGTATAATTTTCATATTATATCAAAAAAATTAATATGCCTAATCATTTTTTAAATTGTTTTGTTTCAGTGTGGAAAGATAAAAGAAGGGGAAACTGTTCTGGTGACAGGTTGGTTTTTATTCAAGTACATCTCCAGTTAGGATTGTTTGTTTGTCCATTTCTTTGTTTGTCGTTACCTGTTCCTAGTACCTTCCAGGTAAAATGAATCTAGCTCTGAGACAAGCTAGTTGGTTGTAGTCCTATTTTTGTTGGGAAGCAAAAAAACTTTTGAATCTGTTCATTGGACTTGTTGAGTTATGGTGAAATGGTTATAGATAGTGATTAAAGTACTTATTTTATTCTTTTATAAATTACCTTGTATGTATTTTTCTTGGATATACTGTTTGAGCAGTGGGCATATTTTACTCACCGGACTTGTTTACATTTGCTTTGTTTCAGCTGCTGCAGGTGGCACAGGACAGTTTGCGGTGAGTATCAAATGAATTGGCCGCGTTTAAAAATACTAAAACGATTCGTAGTTTATCTTGGGTTGTGGCCCAGCATTTTGTCTTCATTGTTTGTTTTTATTATTTGTGTTGCTTTTGCCTCTAGAACAATTCGGGCAATTCACAATGCAGAGCGCCACCTATAGTTTGCCATGGAGAGTTCATTTTTCCCAGAGCATTGTGGGAGATGGTCGACAAATTCGCAGCGCGGGACATTTTTTTCGTTTTTTCCGGTCAGTAGTTTCGTAAGCGTATGATGTTTGCCCTTTTCTTTTCTTTGTATCAATATGGTGATTTTTGGAAAGGCAGCAGATAGAATGCTATGCCCTAGTCTATAACAAATAAGCTAAAGTGTCTATGACACTCATTCAAATTGGACCATATTTTGTCGACTGTATAAACTTGAAAAGTTGATTCTCCATGACAAACTCTTGGTGGCGCACTGCATTGTGAATCGCCCGAATTCAACCTTAATATGTTTAGTCCCCTTCAAGATTCCTCACCAGCTTCTTGGCATTATTTACTAAAGCAAAAGTAACTTTCTCGTTTGTATTCAGGTTCAATATGCTAAACAGGCTGGATGTCATGTCATAGGAACGTGCTCATCAGATTCAAAAGCTGAATTCTTGAAGGTAAACAAACTTTTTGTTTCGAAGAAGGTTTGAGTTCAGCAATTCCATAAGAGTTCAGCAATTTCATAAATGTATATCCGCCATCCTGTATCTGTATCTGTATGGTTACGTTGCAGAAACCTATTCAGGCATTATAGTATAGGTACTCAAGGCACTGGAATATTAAGTTATGTATATAATATTAGATGAATGAAGTACATGAGAAATATGAGACCCATTATGTAGCACCTTATTATAAGGGTTTACGAGGTGCTGCGGCCACTGCCAGGACACCAGGGCCAACCCTTTCTCTTTAGTGTTACTGGGTTCTTTAACGTGCATTATACAACACACGGGACCTACGGCTTTACGTCCCATCCAAAGGACGAAGCAAGAATGGTTAAGTGCCTTGCTTAAGGTCACAAGTGTCCGCTGGCGGGCTCGAACCCACGTCACTGTTGCCTCTGAAGCACCAGAACATGATTCCAGTGCTCTTAACTGCTAGGCCGGGACACATCCATTCTGTGTAAAACTGAAATGTCTGTACTGCACATGTCTTTGGAGACGGTGATTTTCTTTGGGAGAATGTACCTTACGGTTCATTTGGTGCCTGTTGTAAATAGTGAAGCACTCTTTGTTTTAACTGATACTGCATTTATCAGAGATGCCACTTTTCCGGTTTTAACTGGAATTCCGGGGTTTTTTTTTAATCTCACAAAATTCCGTCAAAAAAAAAAGCCTGGAAAAAGAGAAGAAAAACTGTTGAAATGCGTTGATTTTTACATCGTAAGGGACTCGAGTTTATTACATGTCGGCCTACTTGCACATGCACGCACGGCACAACGTTGTTCGTTGAAGTAGTCTTAACAAACAAGTCTTTGTTGTTGCCGAGCCTGCATGCGATACAGGCGGCCAACGTAATTGCACGCAGTATACAACGGCGCCTCGCGTGCATGCACAGCGTGCGGGCGTGTTGTGTGCTAAGCACACGTAGCATTCAGCCTGGAAATCGTTTCAGTTATCGGTGGTTCCCGCCGATCGCAGTGATATGTGAATACAAAAACCGCCCGGTACCAACCATTTTTTTTTGTCATGCGCATTTCGTAGTGCAAAGATCAGTGTTGTGGAATCGTGCATGTTTCGTGTAGAAAATGTTGGAAATTCGGATCGGGTAGGCGGAATATATAATAGGAATACGAACAATTCAAAGTGATTGAACGAATCGACAGCTTAAAGGCCATAGAAGCAAAAATAAATGGAACTGGGCTTGGCTACAACTGAAGATGACAACCGGGACTTTGTCTTTGTGTCGGAGTGGCTTTTTCACACACAAAAAGTTCCGTTTTTTTCAAGCAGCTGTTCCGTTTGTTTTTTCAAGCAGACCTGCAGTTCCGTTTTTTTCAAGCAGACCCTGTGGCATCTCTGATTTATGAATCTGTTGATTTTTTCCCCTTTTTCTTCCAAGAGTCTTGGTTGTGACAGGCCCATTAATTACAAGACGGAAGACTTGGGCCAAGTGCTGAAGAAGGAATACCCTGTGAGTTGAAGGCTTATCCTTTTAGTTCTTTTTTTTTGTTTTGATTAGTGGTTCATGAGCTCTTGGTCATTCAGGTTTTGTCTGATTGGCTAGTTGATGGGTTAATTTATTCATTATTTCTTTCAGCCATTAAGGTGTTAATCTGATTGGCTAGTTGATGGGTTAATTTATTCATTATTTCTTTCAGTCAGTCAGGTGTTAATCTGATTGGCTAGTTGATGGGTTAATTTATTCATTATTTCTTTCAGCCATTAAGGTGTTGTTCTGATTGGCAAGTTGATGGGTTACTTATTCACACATTCTTTCAGTCAGTCATGTGTGTTTCTGATTGGCTAGTAGGTCTCGTTCAAATGACGTCATTTCCTACAGACCATCCACGTGCATTAGCATTTTGAGCATCAACTAATACATAATGCGCATCGGCCGCATCATATTTCGAACACATTTCGAGCAACAAGTGCGCGTGTTTGGAACATTTTCAACACTGCGCGATGCGTGCTTGATTGCTTAATATACGCAGTTTCAGTTCTCCTACAGAGATGGCCGACATTGAGGGAGCCCTTAATGATTGGTTTATTAATTCATAAGTTCTCTCAGTCAGTGTTTGATTTATTTGTCGATGGATTATGTTATTCCCATTCAGTGTCTTTGATTGGCTAGTTGGTGTGGATCTCAGTGTTTATAATCTGATCTTTGTTACTGACTTTTATGTATTAAACGTTCTTTGATCCCAGGGTGGAGTGGATGTGGTGTATGAATGTGTTGGTGGAGATATGTTTCATACTTGTCTTCGCAGGTAAGTGTTCAAATAGCAATTTTGGACTTAAGTTTACAAAAAAAAAACACCTCCTCTGACCCGTTTAGATTTTTTTTAATGTTGGTCATAAAGTATGTTTTTCAATGTAATTAACTGGAACTTGAAAGATAGTGAGAATGTTCACAATGAACCCAATTGTAATGTTTGTTAATTAATGAATTCTTGGATGTCTCAAAATCTGCATCAATATACTGGAATTTGTAAGAGAAAGTCATTTGTAGGACTTGTCCGAATTTGTTGTAGCTTCATGATGAGAACAAGTCAGCATATTGTCAGTCATGGCACAGAAAAAAAATGGACGAGGAAAATTAACTAAATCTCAACTATTCCACTAACTGTAGGTAATCTGTTTTAATTGTTGCTGAATTTATGCACAGCTTGGCCCCTAGAGGGCGACTTATCATCATCGGCTTTGTCTCTGGATACAAGGAATCGCAGATTGCAGCGCCGACGATCAAACCCAATGAATTGATGGGGGTAAGGAGAAGTATTGACAGACGTCTTTTGGGAACATTTACTCAGTGGGCGGAGCTGAGAATGGGACGGATGGGGTTTATTAAGTTGGCACGTCATTCATATTGTGCATAACACATAAAACATGTGAGACAATATAAGTTATCCCGCGAGCGCGAGTGAAACACGGAATAATGTAGTGCGTCTGTGACCCACATATACTTCGGCTGAGTGGTATGTGGGACACATGCAGACGCACTTCATTTTCCGTGTTCCACGAGCGTGAGCGTGATAACGAATTTATCTTCAAGCAAACTTGACGCACAGTAAAGATGGAACTATAGCTTGTTTTATACGAAACTTTTAGCGAGTTAGCGCATGCAGCTAGAATGTCGCTCGCATCTTGGAATAGCGCAATATGCAGGGTGCAATATGGACCGCGCAATACAGTCTCATAATCACACTGTTGTTGCCATGGATCGTCCAATCAGAATCGAGGATACATAGTTTACTTGAAGATAATATTTACTGTTCTTGGTTCAGTGCTGCTTTTTGTAGCAGTAATTGTACAGTCCACTCTTGTTGATACCAACACTGTTAATACCAATTCTGGTTATAACAAACATAAAGCCTTTGCCCCGACTGTGCTTGTGCACAATCATATGACAATGAATGCGATCTGCACTCCTCTTAATACAAACATTCTGATATAACAAACATTCTGTCTCAATCTAGCTGAGTATTAACGAGAGTCGACTGTAATTTGCTGTGCAACATTTTCAGAGGAGGCCCATGACATTTTGGCTCGGGTGGTGTTTTTGAGTTCTGATGATAATTAAAAAAAAGGGGGGGGGGGCGATCGAGCTAGCCTAGTCGTGCTGGATCCAGACCAAGTCTGAGTTTAAGATATTATTTGAACTCATTAATTAACCCTCCCTCTCTGGCTGGCAAATTCAACAAGGCCAGCCCAGCGGTCAGAATAAATCAAGTGACTGTTTTTACCAGCTGAGTGCTCCCTGCCTTCACAAAGCAGGATTGACTGGCTGTGATTGTTACAAAACCTGATACAGCTATGCTTTTGACTGTAGAAGATTGATAAGCCAGCTGTGCCTACCAGTCACCTGCTTTTGTCGGTTGATAGAATTTGACTGTCACAGTGCCTAGAAGACATATGATCTGATTGTTGGTGACTAGCCTGTGTAAAAGGCATGGCAGGGGAACAGGATCGAAGTTTTACTGCCTGTGACTGATCAAGTTAAAAAAAAGGAGGGTTAGTCAATCACTCAGTCAGGCAGCCAGTCAAAAACTCAGGAAGTCAGAAAACAGTAGGCTTCCCTTCAGGTAAGGCAAAAACCTGAGTAAAAGTGTTTCTTAATATTGTTTTTTTTGTCATGCAGCTGCTTGCGAAGTCTACCAGCATCACCGGTTTCTTCCTCTTTGCATTCGCTAATCAGTGGCAGGAGTCATTTGCTAGACAAGCCGCTCTCTTTGCTAAGGGAGCAGTCAAAGTGGGCGTTGATCTTGGCAAGAATAGTGAGAAGGGAGCATTCAAAGGAGTGGATGGAATCATGGATGCACTTGATGTAAGTATGGCCGCGTCTGATCGGCTGTGGCTGGAACACACAGGTCTATTGGAAGTGGCTGCAGTCGCTTCCGTAGCGTGTGTGTAATTTCCAGCCGTAGCCAAGTAATTTGGATGCAACCTATGGCTGTGTCTGGAATACTTGGCTATGGCTTACAATGACACTGATCAATGGAAGCGGCTGACACCACCTCCTATAGTCATCTGTGGTACTCAGCCGTAGCCAAGTCATTTGGATGCAACCTATGGCTGTGTCTGGAATACTTGGCTATGGCTTACAATGACACTGATCAATGGAAGCGGCTGACAACACCTCCTATAGTCATCTTTGGTACTGTCAGCCGTAGCCAAGTCATTTGGATGCAGCCTATGGCTGTATCTGGAGTACTTGTCGATGCATGGCTTACAGTGACACTAATCAATGGAAGCGGCTGACACCACCTCCTATAGTCATCTTTGGTACTGTCAGCCGTAACCAAGTCATTTGGATGTAACCTATGGCTGTGTCTGGAGTACTTGGCTATGGCTTACAATGACACTGATCAATGGAAGCGGCTGACACCACCTCCTATAGTCATCTTTGGTACTGTCAGCCGTAGCCAAGTCATTTGGATGTAACCTATGGCTGTGTCTGGAGTACTTGGCTATGGCTTACAATGACACTGATCAATGGAAGCGGCTGACACCACCTCCTATAGTCATCTGTGGTACTCAGCCGTAGCCAAGTCATTTGGATGCAACCTATGGCTGTGTCTGGAATACTTGGCTATGGCTTACAATGACACTGATCAATGGAAGCGGCTGACACCACCTCCTATAGTCATCTGTGGTACTCAGCCGTAGCCAAGTCATTTGGATGGAACCTATGGCTGCGTCTGGAATACTTGGCTATGGCTTACAATGACACTAATCAATGGAAGCGGCTGACACCACCTCCTATAGTCATCTGTGGTACTGTCGGCCGTAGCCAAGTCATTTGGATGCAACCTATGGCTGTATCTGGAGTACTTGTCGATGGCTTACAGTGACACTATCAATGGAAGCGGCTGACACCACCTCCTATAGTCATCATCTGTGGTACTGTCAGCTGTAGCCATGTCATTTGGATGCAACCTGGCGGTGTCTGGAGTACTTGGCTATGGCTTACAGAGACACTGATCAATGGAAGCGGCTGACAACACCTCCTATAGTCATCTTTGGTACTGTCAGCTGTAGCCAAATCATTTGGATGCAGCCTATGGCTGTATCTGGAGTACTTGTCTATGGCTTACAATGACACTGATTAATGGAAGCGGCTGACAACACCTCCTATAGTCATCTGTGGTACTCAGCCGTAGCCAAGTCATTTGGATGCAACCTATGGCTGTGTCTGGAATCCTTGGCTATTGCTAACAATGACACTGATCAATGGAAGCGGCTGACACCACCTCCTATAGTCATCTGTGGTACTGCCAGCCGTAGCCAAGTCATTTGGATGCGGCTTTAGGTTGATAACAAACCACAGCCGGGGATTATGACCAAAATCGTTAACAGTTCAAAAGTGTGAATGAGTGACTAGATCTTGCTCATTGTGATTTCAATAATTTTCAAGCCGGTTCTGGACTTAATACAAGCCAGTATCAAACATTCTCCTCGTAAAAATTGAGAAAACTGATTCCCAAAATGTTGAGCCGAGTTTTGTTTCATACTTTCAAAATTTTGCAAGTTTTCCTTTCTGCAGGAAATCTTACACGAGTCTTGTTGCATTTTCATCTTCTTTTTTTAAAATTGGTTTCTGATAGTATTAGTGATAATTCCCCTAAACATTGTTTTGAATCTGAATTTTTTTCTTACTTTCATTTTTTTGCTAGTTTGCATTCCAGCAGGAAATCTTAGTGCATGAGTGTTAATGCATTTTTATCCTTTTGTTTCTGACAGTATATGTATAGCGGCAAAAGTCAGGGAAAACTTGTGGTGGAGGTGAATGAACCCCTTCCATCTCCAGGATTGTGATTGGCTACTCAGCAAGATTAAAGAGCTATGATTGGTCAATTTAAAACATCAAAGGAAGATGATTGGTCAGCCAATAAAGATAGTAAATCGACTGGAAAATATTGATAATAGATATAGGTTATAGGCAGTGGTATAAAGAGGAGAAACAAGTTATTTTTCAGCTATAATTTGATTAAAAAAAAATGTTTTCATTAGTTAGCAAAGTTACATTCCATGACAACTCATTTCAGAGAAATCTGAAAGATATTACTTAGTTTTTGCATAATAATTTATATTTTTTTCAATAAACTTGAAACTAGCCACGGCGTAAAGATTTCATTGTCCTTTCTGAGCGTGACCTCCTGAGGGCGCTGTTCACCATGTAATGAATGGACCTTAACATTTCAAATTGCCGAGGAAACAATTTTTTTTTTGTAGTAAAGGCAGTGTTACAATGGAATTCTGTCAGTTCAAAAGCCATTCATGAGAATTGATTCCATTTGGGCTTAAAGGGAAAATACAACATTTGCAAACATCAAAAAATAAAACTACCAAATCATTTTGAAATACCTTGCTGGACTGTTGGTGAATGACAGTGTAAAGCATCCTGTAAAATCATGGCACCTGGTATACTGTCATTTTCAAGAATAGTGGTATTTTTGTATCAATTTCCAACGCTGATCGGCTGACCAGCTGGCCCCAGTTGACCATCGCACTTGTTTGCAATCGATTACACACCTATGAACGGGTACAAGCCAGCTAGACTGGTTCCCTTACCTTACAATTCCCCAATGTATGTAAACTGCTCTGTTTCTTCTTAAATGGAGTCAGGGAACAAGACTACAGGAAAATGATTGTTTTTCTTGGTTTTATAGCCTTTTCGAACCCAAAATCTCAAAAAAGTCAGTGTAACTATATTTGCTATATATTTCCAACCCCCCAATTCCATCCATTTTTGAAAATTACAGCAAAAGCAAATGATGTATATTCCCTTTAACAGACTGTAGGTGGTTGCAGAGACATTTTAAGCACACGACGGTTTAGGAAAATGTTATCTTACAAATACACTTGGGTGAGACTGCCGTTAGAACTGTTAGATATTTCCAGTGGGGTCCCTTGGTAGAAGACGTGGAAGGAAATTAGTTTCAGTAGTTGTAGGAAAACACTAGAATGATGTACTAGGGAAAACACATGGAATCAAGTATGGACTGAAGCCCACTCCATGTTGGCCCAGGCAGGAATTGAACCCAGGACACGGCGGTGAAAGGCACAGACAGTGACCGCTATGCCAACCAGACTCCCCAAATTCATACAGGGGTGTGAACTCTCAGCTTTAAAGCTGATTTCAGCTTTTTTGTTTTGGATTTCAGCTTTTCTGTTTTGCATTTCAGCTATTTTTCCTCACTTGCTGTGTAGAAAAGTAAAGCAGATTTCCAAAGTTCAGCTTTTTAAACCCTTTTCAGCCGTTTTTATCAGTGGTCACTCACACCCCTGTTCATATCTATGCACATGTAGTTCTAAATAATTAAAAAAAACTATAAATAGGAAGATATTTTATGAGTAATTGTGTTTACATTATATTGATGTTTTCAATAAAGACAGAAACTGATGAGAAGTACATTTTTACAATCGGCACGTATTTGTCACCTTTCTTGTCTAGTGAAAGTCAAGGAATGCTGTTTATAATGTGGAGTGTCATGGCCTAGCGGTTAAGAGCACCAGACTCGTGTTCTGGTGTTTCAGAGGCAACAGTGACGTGGGTTCGGGCCCGCCGGTGGACACTTGTGCCCTCAAGCAAGGCACTTACAATGCAACCATTCTTGCTTCGTCCTTCGGATGGGACGTAAAGCCGTAGGTCCCGTGTGTTGTATAATGCACGTCAAAGAACCCAGTAACACTTGTCGCTAAAAGAAGGGGTTTGCCCCGGTGTCCTGGCAGTGGCCGCAGCACCTTAACCCTTAAAAGGTGCTACATAATGGGTCTCATATTTCTCATGTACTTCATTCATCTAATAATAGACATACATGTAACTCCCAGTGCCTTGAGTACCTATACTCTGTTGCGATAATGCCTGAATAGGTTTCTGCAACGTAACCATACAGATACAGATATAATTGACCTATCACCGTTCACAAGCATTATCCAATCACAGCATCTGTTGAATATCAAGTGATATTCCAAACTTTGGACCCCCCGAAAAATTCCAAACACAAGCAATTCAGTGGCATGTGCGTCTGTCCAGCATGTTCGCGAACGCACGTCAAATTTGAATGTGTTTGCTTGGTTGCAACTGCGGTTCATACATCATGTACATGGTGAGAAAAGTCGTCTCAGAAATCTGAGACAACTTCGCATGCGTACGTACGTGCAGCAAGCGCTTTGAGAGAGCGTGTGTAATGCGGCGTTGTACTTACTATTAGCGCATACCACGCATTGCACACACAAGTACCCGTGAGGGCTCATGGTCCAAGTTGTCTGAGGGGCGTGGCTAACTCGCAAACGGCAATAGGTCTATTGGAATAGTACAAGATGTGTCATCTTTTTTCATTGGTCAATTTTGTAACTTGAATACTAGCGAAAAAATTCCACACACTCATTTGGACAAGATTTTCCCTTCAAATGAACAACTTTATTGCAAAGAAATCTGGGGGAAAAAAGGATTCAGAATTTTTAATACAATGCGGATTAAAAACTCAATGATTTGGGTTTTTTTGATGCAATGATTTTCTAAAACCACCACGAGACAGATGTTATGAGCTTCCCCATTGTCCATCTTGTGTGGTATCCACTGAGGGTAAAATCCACACATGGAATATTTTATGAATGGGTACATTTTTTTTGCATTTCCACAAGTAGTGGTTTGTGGGGTCTGAATGGGATTTTTAATTATTCAAATTTTTGATAAACATCTTGCACCCCCAAATGTTGACTACCACACTGAACAGTCCCTGAAAGTGAGGTCCACAGTGAATATCGCATGAATGTGTCCGATAATGTGCCTATCTGCAAGTTGGTGTTTGTGGAGGGAAAGATTTCATTTATCGGGATCAGGTCTCGCATCCCTGCTTCTGTTAAGTGGAATATCACACGCTGAACATTCCCTGGTGTGCTGAGGATGATGAACGCTGGACCATGGATAGGTCCTGGTTCCCTGGCTGTGCAGCATCACAGAGTTGCGGAGTGATTCTTGTATGGATGATTGATGCCTCCTAAGATCTTGTGATCTCATGTTTCTGGTTTCCTGAAGATGTCAAACACTGTGCATCTTAGTAAGCAACATCTCAAGTTGTCCATTGGAAGGGAGAATCCTGTAATGTGCACACAGCAGCGTCGTCCAAAAGCTTAGAAGTTCAGCTTGGTACGTCTCCAGTGACGCCGCTTAGCATTGTATCTGTGCAAGAAAAATAGAAGGTAACAAACTTCATTACCGTCTTTCCTGCATCCTGAAACGCAACACTGAGCAGTAATGGGAAAGATTTCCATATACGAAGTTCACTGAACACCCTGTGTACAAACCCTATGAGATTTGACTGAAAAATTCTAAGTGTTTTCTAAGAAAATGCTTGTATTTTCTCACTGCTCAAATTGACTTTGATGACATTAACCCTTACCCTACTAGACCCTCCAACGCATGCCAATATGTGCCTCAAGAAAATCTCCTATGTTTTTTGCATGGCCCTCCAATATCTGCCATGTCATTTCAAGGGTAACTGGACAGGCACTCCAATACATGCCACAGAGAACAATGAGAGTCCTCTGATAACAAAGTGAGTGCCCCCAGCTGGTCAGTATCAGGCACCCTCCAGGGCCTCCAACTCCTGCCAATTGGAGCCTTCACTGTTAAGACTTGTTATCTGCCAATACACTGCAGCTGGAGGGCATTGGCATAACCAACTGACATGCAGTAAACTACCCTCAGAGAGTAAGGGTTAAATTGCTATCTGGGGGCTTGTTAGTCAATACAGAGGAAAATTAGTGAACTTCGTATATGGAAATCTTTCCCAGTAATGCGCCTATGAAATGTTAAACACCCCCCCGCCCCCCGCGCTGCCCCAGGTCCGATGTCAGGATTTGGTCACGTTTTTCATGCCCCAGGGTGGGGATTTTGGTCACTCAAATGACATTGTTAACATTGGCGTACTAGGAGAGAGACAATCACTAATGCGCTATGTCGGGACATGGTCGGGGATTGTCACTTAAATATTGCCCGAGGGGTGGGGATTTTATCACTTCAAAAGTGACAATCCCCACGTCTTGGGTGGGGCAGCCTGGGGGGGGGGGGGACAAATGATAGGTGCATAAGCATAAGAGTACACTGTACTTTCATTTTTTTTGGGTGATTTGACACAGAATGACCCTGTTGGTTTTTGGAGGGCTTAGACTTTTTGACAATCAACAATTGCAGTCTTGCATGTTACAGCCAGATTGTATCATCATGATTGTTATGTTACCTGATTTTGTTGCCGGTTCTCATGCGTACCCATTGTGGAATGGGACGATTCTGCTTCTGCTTCTTGGCAAGCTTCTGCTTGATCTTGAACGTCTTGTGGGCCGGCTGTGTGAGTAAAAGACAAAAAACAATCAGGGTTTACTTAGATCAGACAACTTTGGAAATCTTTGGAAATCTTTGGAAATCTTTCAAAAACCCGTGAGGTTTATTGCAAATTTGCAGTCACAAACGTCTCACTGAGCTGAGCTGAGCTGATCGCCACAATTGTTGATTTGGCTGTTGTGAGACATGAAACAGCCGTCCACGTGTGTAAAACAACACCCGTGGAATCATATACGCATGTGCTACCTCCATGTCAGACCTCAGACAGTTCCTACCACTGCACATAGAAATTCAGGGTGCCGTGCTTGGCCTTCCAAAAATGTTGTTAAAACTAAATGTCTACACGTTCGCATGGGGCCGGGGCTCCATTTGTCCCCTCAAATTTCTTTGGACATGTTGGAATGACAGAATCTTGGCCATCGGCCTCAGGCTCATGTTCATTGTCTATTGACAATGATTGAGATAATTGATACTGATAGGCCTAGGCCTATTATATGAAGAAAAAAGGGAAAAAATGTTGCAACCTGACATGCCTGACGCCACTTCCGCAATTAGGCCTATGTACAAAGTCTTATTATTGCCTTGGACAAGAACATTTTTTAAGAGATTTATTAGGCCTAGGGCCTATTTCCTAACAAAATTGGAAATGTTCCCAGATTCATGTCTTATCAAAATTTTTGCAATGAATGACCTTCAAGTTCAAGTTCAAGTTCATTCCCCATTTTAGCCCCATAAATGTGGCCTATTTACTGGACTGCCTCCGTAAACATAGGCCACACATCCACATGTACAAAAATCGTGTCGACGGAGCCAAATTTTGATTTTCACATTTAGGCTTAGTTTGTAGGGTTTTTTTTGCTTTAGAAGCATACTCACCCTCTTTATAGGCTAATCAGAAAGTGCTGCCTTTTTCAGATGTATATTTTTCGTGAAATTTCCAGATTCATTTTTACACGTTTGCGTATCAAAATTTCAACATGAAATTTCACAAAAATTAGACATCTGAAAAAGGCAGCACTTTCTGATTAGCCTGTAAAGAGGGTGAGTATGCTTCTAAGGCAAAAAAAACCCTACAAACTAAGCCTAAATGTGAAAATCAAAATTTGGCTCCGTCGACACGATTTTTGTACATGTGGATGTGTGGCCTATGCTATGTTTACGGAGGCAGTCCAGTATTTTTAGGCCACATTTATGGGGCTATCCCCATTTGAGATCACAAAATGAAGAAAAAAGTGGCCTACTGAACACATAGTTGCTCGTTAAATTTGGGGACTGTAATGCATCGCATTAATCATGTTATGGCATTTGTAGATCATGAAGATATAAAAAAGTATCGACAGCGACACTAGAAAAACTCGACATTAAACATCTTGCTAAACGGTGGTGGTGCAGAACTCCATCGAGTCGCAAAGTTGAGGCGATTTCAAGCCTCTTCAATCACACTTATTTCAAGGTAATCAATTTCAAATGTTTCAATACATATATTATATAACAACCAAAGAATACGTAGCCGATTGTATTTATTAAATATATCTCATTATTGAGGGACATATTTACAGTAACTTATTACCATTTTTGAAGCAGTCCGTAGCAATTCTGTCTGCAAATAGAAAGGCCGTACAACAGCGCCCTCAATGGCAATAAATCATGCGTGATTGCTCTTGAGGGCGCCATTTTCACTTTTGGAAGATCGCAATCAAAAATAAAAACAGCCGTCGGCTCATGATGACAGGGAAACTGTTCCATTTCATAATGGGGAAACGTTTTCACTATTTCCTTATTTGTGAAATAAATTTTCGTCATATTAAAATGTGACTCAATAAAGTTTTTACTTTGGTGAAAACATGCGAGAATAAATTCCCAACTTTTCTATTAGCCAAAAAAATTCTTCAAGCAATCTGTCAAAATGAAAAAGTGAGTTGCACTTTTTATTTCTGTATCCTTTTAAGAAACTTCGATTCGTCCCAATTAAAAAATAATTATCTATACGCAAATTATCTTAAGTTTATTTTATTTTAATGAAATGTTTTTCTTTAATGAAATGCTTCAGGTAATTACCACACAAAACATTTTTGTGCATTTTACCAATGACTTTCACGAACTTTTTAGTTATTGTTGAAATTATAAGATTTATTTTTCGTGGCGGATGTACGGTTGACATGTGTTGCTATCGTCAACAGTTAAGTGGCGCTCTAACCAAAATGTCTTCCAAAACATGGTTTTGAGTTTAAGAACAAAGTCTCATACTTTCATAGTTTGTCGTGGTTTAGTCTGATGAATTTACAAGTTTTCACTATTTTTCACAATGTGTAGGTATCGCAGTTTTACACTTGGTGGTTCTAGCAGAAAAGGCTGTGGATAATTTTGAAAAGTAAGGAGTTAGTTGGAACATTACGTGCGAAGTTTCTGCGATCGGACGTCCCGTGTCAGCGCCCATGCGAACCGCTGGGCATGCTGGGTGAGCTGCCGTGGTTTTCGTACTCTTCACGGTTTATATGAGACAGTCAAGCAGACCGCAGAGAAGAGCATTCACGGACGAACCAAAAATGTATGGAGGTGGCAAGCAAGACTACGTATTCGACTTTGACTTGGTGAGTATGGTGGCATATTACACGACGAATTGTAATGTTCTGATTGTCAGTCATGTCAGTAATAATTCATCATGTTCATGTGTGTAATTTGAACAATTGAAATTGAATATTTACTTTATTTTGATTTTTGGTAAAACTTGTAAAACTTTAAACATGTTAAAGGCCTCCTTTGCTTTAGCCCATACCATTACCACCCATGGCAATGGAGGTTGCCACTGGACAGCACTGTTTACCATGGTTTACACTGTCAAGTGTAGGCCTTAAAATTATGCACTAAATTCAATAATTTGAAAATTAATTAATTTATTACCAACATGTACTAGAGAGAATAATTCATTTTCTTATTTGTCAGTGTTTGTAAAATTCTGTGTTAACGTACTTTAGTAATGTAATCATGTAATCTGTGTAGTTCTCAGGACACCATGTTTTACAAGTTCCGTTCATTATAAATGAAAACCCTGCCCTCTTTCCGCAAAATTAAGCTAGCTGTCTTAGCAAACTACATGTATTTAGATGATTCCAAACACATCAAGTGATTTTTTCATGAGTCCTGCTTGTATCGTACTATCAAAGGGAAAGATTGCATTATCCAGATATCTGGTCATCACTAATTTTTCCCTTCAATGACCTATCAGCCATCAGAAAGTGATAATATGTCCTAAAAAGTCATTAGCAGGGAAAATATTGAAGTTTTTAGTACTAAGAAAACACTTAGAAAATTTCAGACCAGTCTCATACTCATAGGGTTTGTGCACAGGGTGACAAGTGATGGCCAGATATGGGAATCTTTCCTATCAAAGCCAAATGTTTAGGTATTAAGTTCCAAGATTATAAGACCCAAAACATAGTGTCTTTTCATTCTCTAGTTACATATAAATAATATAGTTTTATGTGCAACAGGGTCCTAAACTACACATTTACGGTAATTTCATTAAACGTCATTCCCCTATTTTTTTAAAGGGAATGTACATCATTGGCTTTTGCTGTAATTTTCAGAAATGAACTATTTGGGGGGTTAGTATAATAGATCAAATATTGTTACACTGACATGTTTGAAGTTTTGTGTTCGAAAATGCTGGAAAAACGAAGAAAAACAAAAATATTCAAGTAGTCTGGCTCCCTGACTCCACTAAAGATGAAATGGATCAAACATACCAGAAAATTGTAAGGAAAGGGAACCAGTCTAGCTGGCCTGCACCCGTTCATGAGCATGGAACCAATAGCTAGCAAAACAAAATTTAGACTAAAAAAGAATGGTAAATTTGGTGCAGTAATTGGAAAATAGTTAGGTTTTTCCAACGGTGGTCGGCCGACCAGCGTTGGAAATGTAGACAAATATACCATTTTCTTGAAAATGGCATCACACCAGGTGCCATAATTTTACAGGATGCTTAAGCATGTCATTTACCAACATCCTAGTAAGGTATTTCGTAACAACTTGGTAGTTTTATTTTTCGATGTTTGCAAATGTTGTATTTTCCCTTTAAATACTTAAAAAAAAAAAATTGTTTATTAAGGAAATATAGCAATGTTATATGCACCTGCTTTGTCTCCAAATGAACATTCCTTTGTTCTGTTGTGTGCAACATTTTGAGTAAATTGTTATAACAGTAAAATAGAACAGGGTCATTCCATGCCAACTCAACAAATGGTGCACACCATCACCTCTTGGATTTTTTTCTTTTTTGGTGTACTGAAAGATACTTAGGAGAAATGCAAATTCTGAAAATTTGGGGTCTCTACGACTTTTCGTTCTTGCGCAACAGCATTTTGAAATTTGAGGTGGGCGGGGCCAACAGCGCGTCGCGTCACGAAATTCAATGTTTAAAGGGCCATATATTTAAAACTATACCCCCCAGACATTTCAAACTTGGTAATCTGGGTTATTTTTTGCTGTAGATTTCAAATATTTTAACAGAAAGAAAGTAGCTTGTTTCATTTTTAAGTTAGAGGGGCCCCAAAATGGCCCAAAACTCATCTGGACCAATGTTCGGGGGGGTGTAAGTCAAAAATGGAAAATATTTTTTTCACCAAATTTTTTGCCTGTAATAGCCCCCAATTCAAACTACTTTCATGTAAAATCTTACACTTATATTAACTTCATTGAATGAGATACAGCCCTTGCAAAAAGCAAATTGTTTATTTTTACGATAACTTGACCCCCCCAAAAACCAACGTCAGACATTCCGCACCAAATTTTGCTTCACATATGTTTGAGGTTGGTCCTTAGTGAAGTCCTCTGAAAAGTTTCATGTTGGTGTCTAAATGTCTTTAGTGGATAGCTGGGCTTTATAATTAGTCTATATGTCTTACGATGCTGGTTCCGTAACATACAAGTACACGTACATAGAATAACAGCAGTCGGTACATAAAGAATATAAAGTTGGGTATGAAACTTAGCTTACATTTGTACATGTAGACAAGACAGTTGATATAATTGTTTACAGTTTCACAGGTGAAATTATGCATTCCTTGTGATGTAGTTTTGATGAAGTTGAATGAGTTGCATGATGGTTGGCTCACTAAGTTTGTATTGCCTTCCACCGCTATGTAGAAGTTCTGGTGTTGGTACGCAACACAACACATCAACAAATGGAATGTTACATTTATCCTCTCTTTGTGGCCAATAGAGAGTATTTGTTGATTCTGTCCTGTACATGAAGCGGACATACACATCCTCATGAAGTTGTGATACATCTTCTACAATAGCAATGTACCAAACATCATCATAGACCACACAAACATATTTTCCTGGGTTGAGGTCAGCTGCTACAATTGGTGCATGATGAGTTTCCTGCATGAACTAGGTTTCCCCTTATCCATAATGAAAACTAAGATCAATCAGGTTAAAACCATAGACCCTTTACTCAAACTGAATCACTTCTCTATGGTTCAGGTTAGTGCTATACTATGCTGTGCAAGTGAGAACTGGTTAATTACTACATACATGACATGCATGCTGTGTGATGAGCACATGGAAAGAATAAGACTCTCAAGTCATTTAACCTAATTTGCATATATTGCACATGTAGGTCTACAAGCAACTGTTTATTGAGCAGGAAATGGGTAGTCTTGACCCAAGTCTTTCAACAGTCGGGGGATTTTGTTGTGCTGGTTCCGTAAAATACAAGTACATCAGTACATGTACATGTATGTTACGGAACCTGCAGCATCATAAGATATAGACTCTTTATAAAGCCCAGCTATCCACTGAAGACATTTAGACACCAACATGAAACTTTTCAGAGGACTTCACTAAGGACCAACCTCAAACATATGTGAAGCAAAATTTGGTGCGGAATGTCTGACATTGGTTTTTGGGGGGGTCAAGTTATCGTAAAAATAAACAATTTGCTTTTTGCAAGGGCTATATCTCATTCAATGAAGTTAATATAAGTGTAAGATTTTACATGAAAGTAGTTTGAATTGGGGGCTATTACAGGCAAAAAATTTGGTGCAAAAAAATATTTTCCATTTTTGACTTACACCCCCCTGAACATTGGTCCAGATGAGTTTTGGGCCATTTTGGGGCCCCTCTAACTTAAAAATGAAACAAGCTACTTTCTTTCTGTTTAAATATTTGAAATCTACAGCCAAAAATAGCCCAGATTACCAAGTTTGAAATGCCTCGGGGGTATAGTTTTAAATATATGGCCCTTTAAACATTGAATTTTGTGACGCGACGCGCTTTTGGCCCCGCCCACCTCAAATTTCAAAATGCTGTTGCGCAAGAACGAAAAGTCGTAGAGACCCCAAATTTTCAGAATTTGCATTTCTCCTAAGTGTCTTTCAGTACACCAAAAAGGAAAAAAACCCAAGAGGTGATGGTGTGCACCATTTGTTGAGTTGGCATGGAATGACCCAACATTGTGTGCTTTATTTTATTTAGTTATTCATTCGAATGAAAGAAGGAGGGCCTAATAATGTTACGTATCGCAGGTGACAAACATGACCCTGATGACATTAACAATTGGGTTTTCTTGAAATTCTGATTTTTGATTCAGTTCGTAAGCTGACACTGCTGCGCTGACCAATTCATATTAAAAATTCTGATAAATTCCTCAAATTAGCTCCGCTTGGGAAGAATACCAGATTCTTTGTCACGGAACATAATATCAGCAAGCTGTAAGCGATCATGAAATAACATCTGCGGGTCAATGAACCTGATATCACATGAACTGACATTTAAGAAATCCAGACTAGATTGTTGAAACAAATTAACTACTACATGTACGGGAATGTCATTAGTGTGTTTAGAAATTGAATACTGTTCTTATTTACTAGTCACCTTTTGAATGCTACTAACAAATTGAATAACCACAGATTATAATTTGATTAATTATTAACTTTCTTACACAGAATATCAAATACAAATTGTTTGAACAACAATATTGGTGGCCAGTGAGAGCTAAATATTTATGAATATAAAAATACAGTCAAATTTTAATAGCACACATCTTTTGTGAGAGAACAGAATTGTTACAATAACAAAATTCATCAGTTAAGAAAATATTTTATATCAGCCATTTTTAGTTCAGAACTTATTGGCAAAAATGAAATTTGTTTTATTTGTCAAATTTCATTTGCAGGATCCATATCAGAGTTTTATGAGGAATCACCTGAAGCATTATGGGTACTACACAGGTAATGCACAAATTCTTTGATGAACAGTTAAATCTTTATTCTGTTTAAAAATTGGTGTTATTATTACTGATTGTACATATACAGATTTTGCAGACTGTTTAAATACTGAATAAACAAATCAAATGCTGGCTGTGGGTAAACTTGAACAAATAATGGATGAACAAAAAGCAGAAAAAGTAGGCAAGGAATAAGAGCTCAAAGGTGGAGTCAGCAGGTCCAACATTAATCACAACTCTTGTCATCGTGTTGATAAGATCAGTTGTTTACCGGTAACCAACACTCCGAGGTGCAAGATATACTGGCTACAATCAGGGATCCAGTCTCAAGTACCATTTAGCAAGAGCTGAAACATTTACTGTTGAAAGTTATAACCCTAACAATTTCCATTTAGTCAAACTCCAGGGTTTGTTGGAATCTGTTGGAGTGAGTACTGCACTGGTAAACTGATAATGCTTTACATTGGGTCATATGTAGATGTACCAACAATAATCAGCATGATCAGAGTCCAAACGTTTTGAGAAAGGTTCCTAAATTCACTCTGAGGTGCTTGGATTTTAATCATGCAAATGCCAAGTTGATTTTAACATTTGTCCTTAAATAAATAATTGAACTCAGTGTGTGTTTTACAGAAACCTTTTTTGCAGTTTTAGACCTTTTGTATTTTTTTAAATGGCATTTGATTAGGCCTAAGTCACCTGACAATGCCTGAGATGGAATTTCTGTTAAACTTTTCTGATATTTTCTCAAATGTTGGCTGTAGGGAATTAGCATAGCCTACTGTGTTAGCTGTACAAGTTACCAAGCACTTGTAACAATTCACCAAACTGCCTGGGTAACTGCACAATACACATGACATACTTGTACCACTGCTGTGGATGGGATGTCCACAGTGAATGACCACTGTGTCACACCATATCCATAATTGATTTAAGTGTTAAAGGAATCAATATAGGCATCTACTGCAACAATGCAGCAGACAAATTGCATGTTTACTGATAGTTGTTGCATTGGGCATAGCATCTTGCTGCTAGCAAAACTAGGCACGTGTTTATTTGAACAAGTGCCATCTGATTGTGAAATCATTGTAGTACCACCTCCAAGTCTTATTGTCTTCTTTTCAGTAGATGTACACGTAGGATATTGTGGTGAAGAGCCACTCAGTCAGTCACTCACTTTCTTACAATTGTAAATTTTCTAAAAAAGCCTCTTCAGTTTTCTTGAATATTTAAGGACCCAATTTTGTTGAGATGCTAGAAAAAACAAGGTACTTGAGACAATGTTATTTTGAGCAACTCTTGATAGTATTCAAGTACATGTAATTCAACAAATTTGTGTGCTTTGAAGTATAACTGACGCCCTATGTCTGTTTCTTGAGAGTGGATCAAGGATACGAAATAGACTTTGAAGATGATAAAAGTGTCAAGATGAGTTATGGAGAGCAGTAAATAATAGTTGAAAATTCTCTTTTCTTTTAATTTGCTGTACAGTTTTGAAAGTCCTGTACCCGATTTCATGAAACTCATCGTATCTTACGATGCATCGCAGCGCTGCGACGCGTCGCATCCCTACGATGCGTCGCAGCTGCGATGCGACCTGCGATCCATTTCACAAAACATGTCGTACATGTAAGTGCGACGCGTCGTAGGTGTATTTATTCAGTGACTGTTTTATGTATTTAGTCAGCGTACAGTAAAAAGTCGTCTGAAATTCAACAAAGAGTCCTCGGATCTCCGCTCGCAATTTGTTAAAACGAAAAACAAATTGGCGGCTGTGTGATTCAATTTTAAAGGGAAACAAGCTCTCAGTCGACTGTATGTAGCTACTTTGAAATTTGGACTGCAATATTCAGATATTCCATGCTAATTCAAGTATTCAATGAATTTTCTATTTACAACTCTGCACACATTGCCTAGGTATTATAGTCTCGCTTATGTAATGTTTATGACATATAACTGGCTAAGAAAAGGACTCTTGTTATTTTGCGATGACCACTAGACACATCGTAACTTGCGACGTGTTTTAAGCAGTTGTCAAGGAACTTACGACGCGTTTAACTCATCACATGTTTCGCGAAATGGATTATACGACGTGTCGCAAGTTGCGACCTGTTACGCGTCGTAACTCGAGTTGCGACGCGTCGCAGCGCTTCGTGAAATCGGGTGCTTGTCTTACAAAATGTACATGGTCTAGCTTTTAAAATTATAGATTATATTTTGACGGAATGCTCACAGTTGTTTCATCTTGATTTGTTTAGGACGTAATGAGAGTTATCGGAGCTCTGCCCATACATTCGATGAGTGGGATTGTACCCATGGATACGCCATCAGTGATCAAGGTTCTGATACTGAGTATGAGAACCAAGCACTCAAAGACGACAAAGGTATGAGTAGGGTATTACTCAGATTACAACTACTCAATTTTAAAACTACTCAAATCTCTGTTTTCTGATGAGTTTTTAAAATCAGCCTAAGTTAGCCGTGACATGTACTAAAGCAATTTCTATTGTGAATGTGGTACCGTACTTGCTCTTTTCATCATTTCAACCAAGTAGCCTATACATGTACATGTTTCTAAAGTCGACCTTTTTTCCCCTGCCGAGACTTTTTCTCTCGGATACTAACTTCTTAATTGCTAAATAACTTCATGACTAACAAATCTTGAGCAAATTAACTGCTGTGTGCTGGTTTGTTTTAACAGTGCTATTCAAACATGAACATTTCGCTTTTGCTGTTCAGTTACACGTGATTCTAACAAATGTGCATTAATTTTTACATGGCAGCTTCCTAGCAGTTCCTGCAGATATTCCAATTTTATTGTTTGGTTTCTTATGATCGGACATTTACAGCTTTGTTGGGGTTCAAACTGAGACAAACACAGTGAGTGGTAATCCGTGAGGGGTCTTAAAGTTGTCCATTCTTGAACCTTTCAGGCGCCATGTCGCCCTATGCTTCCTTACAAACAATATGGGACTCCATTATTGCACAGTGTAAGTTGCTATTACAGTTATCGCATGGCAGCTTCATCAGTCATTTCATGTATGAACATAGTACAGCATGCATGCATGGTCATTTTGCCCATAGGCCTGTTAGTCCCTGTACCGCCCCAAACCGCCCAGCCTATAGAGTACCGAAGTGTGAAGTCATCTGTCTTTGTTTTGGTTCATGCGCTGGTACGGTTAGCGCGTTGATGACAACACACACTTAAAGCTACAGTCCATCATTTGTAATTTGTGCATTTTGTTCGTTTGAAGCAACAAGAGAGTTCAAAATCTAATGAAGGATACTGAGCAACTAACCTGATGAAGTTTCAGCTAAGCTTCAGCTGTACATTCCGAGAAAAACAGCATTCTAAGATCTCAATTTCAAATCAAAAGTTACTAAATCTTGTTTTGAATTGTTTTGAATTGCAGCTATACGCGACGTCGCGCACTGATCCGACGAATTATAACAACCGCGCGCGCGTGTGCGTCGTTCCAATACTTGTGCGCGCTGCGCTGAATAACAAAACGAACTACTACTTTAAATTTTCCTACGGTGCTTCTTAAGAATCACCGTTGGAAATACCTTCTTTCGTTGATTACTTCAAAATGACAGCTTCCCAGAAAGAATAATTTCACAGGGAGTTTAGTTCCCTTACTATCTTTCAACCAAGGTTGTTTTTCAACAATAATTACGCCAGTTACTTTTTGGATGGCTGCAAATGATGGACTCTAGCTTTAAGCCATGCGTCTGAACCAGAAAACTCGCGAACATTTTGGTACTCTATTACTCCCTGTACTTGTACCACCCAAAACTGCCGGAGCACTCTATTTTATGTGCTATAATTGGTTAAATGCTTTCACATCTACCATGCAGGAGTGTGCTGGTATGGCAGTCATTGGATGTGGATTTTGCCTTGTAATGAGTGTATACATGCTTGATCTGTTTTGAATGGCTTTAAAGTTCACATTTCAACGATACATGTTATCGTTGTTTCATTAGGGCAAGTAAAAAAAAATTCCAGTTGATCGTCCCCGCCCGCTTCCTTTTTTGAGGCTGGATCAGGTTTTTTGTTAATTTCAGGCATATAATAGGCCCTAACATTTTTTGAAAGATTTTTGAGAAGTTCAGATGCTTCTAAATAGCTTTGCTAAATAAGCACTCTAAGAAGGTTTTGTGGTCATCAACTAGTAGAGAACTACCCAGAGCTATCAAATAAAAAGGGCCTCCTCCTTTATGAAGGCACATATCGTGCTAGCTAAATATGGCTATTTTAGCCTCTTTTTGAGAAAAAAAGCCGGACGATCAACTGGTGTTTTTTTTTCACTTGGCCTTATCGTTTATGAATTGCTCAGTTATCCAACTCTAATGCGACAAGTTATGAGCATACATATACATTCTCTACTGGTAGAACCATAGGATACTTTTAAGGTTTGTTGTAATTCAATACATAATAATAATTTTTGTAATGAACGCCACATATCTTTTGCATTTTCAATATGCACATCCAGTAATTCATCTGCGTTCATTATGCACCGGTTTAAACCCTTAAATAGGTCACAAAAAGCCGCACATTTCCCCTGAGTTTAATGGATGTCTCTGCAGGTGTCTCCTCTGAACTCAACCCAATCATTCTGTGACCATAACAATGACGTACATCAGCTTTATGTTTTGACAGATCTATGCGTTCATCTAAATTGATGCACATGCCTTGAGGCTAAACAGGATATTTGCTCATGAATACGCTGTATATTATGAATACATTTCATTGCAGTTCTTATTACAAATAATATGGTAGTCAGCGAATTGTTTATCGAAGCTTTTTCTTTGACTGAATGGCATGTTCATTAGACTGTGAGTCAAATCTGGAATTACTTAAGTCAGAACGTTGCAAGATTTTGTTCTGTTATAATTAATGGATAAAGAATGGAGCCTACATGTAAAACAGGTACACGTTCACAGTGTCGGTGCTGAATTTGGTTTTATTTTAGCTTTTTGCGAGCTGGCATTTTATGTACATTATATAGGCATACATCTTCAATATTTAACATGTAATGGAAATTCCATGTAAAAGTTTGTGGTCAAGTTGACCAATTAATATAATATTTTAAAAAGTGTAATTATGATTATTATTTTTTTTTAAATAGTAACAACTAGATATTTGAGATTGTGATAACTTTCAACTCTAGCGTGTTGATTTAGTATTCCGATTTTGTTCTTGATGTATACATATGTTTTTAATACCCCTGTGAACAGATGTATACATGTAAAGTCTGATTTTCTGGGAGTCCTTGTTACTTCCTGAGTAATCAAATACCCAGCTCGGAGCTGTCAAGTGCTGCTCATGTCAATCAACTGGGAACAATTGGCATTGTTTGTCTAATTGTTGCACAAACTCACCATGCAGTAGGCTGTTGTTGAACCAGTAGCAGGGACTTGTAATTAAAATGGATCTTGTCAATTTGCTTAAGTGTCCGCTTGTTGACTTAGCTTGTTATTGGGATGGTTCTTACATTGTACATGTTGCAGTGGACACAGTTCATTAGCATTGTAGTCTTTTTGCTGGAAGTGTGTTCGTGACATTTGCCGTGTGGATGTCAGAAATGTAACATTCATCAGAGCATATAGCAAGGAGTGATGCTTGCATAGGGGTTTTTTGAAATCTTTGCTTCGTCTTCGGCTTCGGCTTTGCCTCCGACTTCTGAATCACTGAGAGGCAAACATCAACCGATTGAATGTTCCTGAAGCATAACAGGCACCAAAATGTAGCTGGAGTTCCAGAAGTTGGGGGCCTAAAATCTCCTTCAGCCGAAGCTGAAGCCGAAGCCAGTCGTTTCAAAAACGCTCATAGTAGTGGTTTGATCACCTTGCAGATTTTTACATTAAACATCATTTCTTCATCTTGTTGGAAATGCTTATTTCATGTTTATCTTTTTAGTATTAGGCCTACCTTAGGTGGCTGTTTGTGTGTTTTTGCTAATTTGTTTATTCTGCACAGACCTGCTTTTGCAAAATGCCATGAATGTGTGTGTTTACATGTATGTGCAGTGTTTTGCCTTCATTTGTCTTTTGGCGTCCGTTTATTGTTGTCAGACACGAGGGTGATCTTTATTTTATTTCATGTTTGGTGATTTTATAATGCCAGCAGAAAATGAAATAACAGTGGAATGATGACATTTATTCATTTGTAATCTTTCAGCCAATGTACAGGAAGAGAAGAGAACAACTCAACTTACTTTCAAATATCAAGCTGGAAAGATGGTAAGTCAATGCAAAATTTCAACTTTTACACTGTTTTATTCAATTGAATGCAACATTGTTAGATTGTAAATGTACATGTAGTTATAAATAATAAACTTCTTGTTATAATGGCAGTTTATTTTGTCATGATTAAAGGCATATAAGATCATTTGCTTGTCATGCATTTTGTTCGTTTCCAATCATAACACCACTTTGGCACTTAAAATCCGAAGAAGATTGTTCACAACCTAACCTGTTGATGTCTCAGCTCAGTGGATATTAGTACTACTGTACACTTTTCGAGAAAACAATGCAAAACCATGCGCAACCTTTTGATCACGAAACATGATTTTTATGATATAACTCTTTATTTCCAACAATTAGTCCATTGACTGATCGTTGGAAATTACCCAAATTTCTTGATTTCTTATAGATGACCAGCCAGACGGAATAATTCCACAGTGTGTTTTATACCAGTACATGGATGATCTTAAAGGGAAAAAAACATTTGCAAACATCGAAAAATAAAACTACCAAGTTGTTACGAAATTCCTTACTAGGATGTTGGTAAATGACAGTCTAAAGCATCCTGTAAAATTAGGGCACCTGGTCTGAGGTCATTTTCAAGAAAAATTGTATTTTTGTATACATTTCCAACGGTTGTCGGCCGACCACCGTTGGAAAAACCTAACTGTTTTTCAACTACTGATCCAGATCAATACCGAGGTTTTTTTTTCAGTCCAAATTTTGTTTGTTATTGGTTCCATGTTCATGAACAAGTGCAGGCCAGATAGACTGGTTCCCTTACCTTACAATTTTCCGGCATTTTTGATCCGTTTCATCTTTAGTGAAGTCAGGGAACCAGACAACTTGAATATTTTTGTTTTTCTTGGTTTTCCAGCATTTTCGAACACAAACTTCAAACACGTCAGTGTAACAATATTTGATCTATTATACTAACCCCTCAAATATTTCATTTCTGATCAAATTACATACAGCAAAAGCCAATAATGTACATTCCCTTTAAATCCATATAAATTTTTGATAATAATTTGGAAGAATGCAAATGATCCTACATGACTTTAATCTGTGATTGATATTTGGACCAACAGGTGCCTAGACTCAGGGAACCCAGGCATCTATACGCACAGTCTAAAGATGGAGGCTCGCAGCAGGCCCCTAGATGGTCAGTAGCCCCTCCCCCCCCCCCCCCCCCCCCCCCCACCCATCCCATCACAAATCTGTAATCGTACAGAATAGTGCGTGCCTCTTTTCAACAGTAAATTCATATGATTAAACAGAGAATTTTGTAATTATGCCAAACATGTGATATCTAATTTACTGGTTTTGTTTTGATTATTGAAAGTTATATTTCCATCTGTGTGGCAAGCATGGAGGTCTTACATGTATACAGGGTGAGTCAAAAAAAGCGGAACCCAAACCACCAAAAATGTATTTCATATTTAATAAAAATATATGTAGCACCAAAAATAATAATGACTGGAAAGCCAATTTCAAAAGCTACTTTTAGATAAAAAAAATTACTGAAATTGCTCAATCCGTTCAAAGAATATCACATTTAAACGCAATGACCATAAAACCTGTCTCGTCCAAAAAGCAATTTATTGTGTGTTTTGACTGTTTGGAACAACAAAGAAAATGACACAGAATACTTGTTTCAACAACTGTCACCAACTGTAGAACACAATATTTTGATTAACAACTGTGGTTAGGCAAACAATATGATTTATAAAATCTACTTTTTTTAAAAGACGGGCCTTCAAAAGGACTTTGTTGCATATTGTTAACGTTTAAACTAAGATTTCATCACTGGTGATGTTTGAAGACAATTGTGACGACGATTCTTGAAATCGCATTTTTTGGACGAGACAGGTTTTAGGGTAATTGTGTTTAAAGGGTGATATTTTTTTAACGCATTGACCAATTTCAGTATTTTTTTCATCCAAAAGTAGCTTTTGAAATTGGCTTTCCAGTCATAATTATTTTTGGTGCTGCATATTTTTTAAAATATGAAATATGATTTTTTGGGGTTTGGGTTCCGCTTTTTTTGACTCACCCTGTATCAAGCCTGAAGTGGTTCAAGTATTGTTCAATTACATTGTACATGTATTGGCTTACAGCAGTTATTTAACCCATACGTTTCTGCACCAACCAGAACTGTCCTGCCTGTTGTCCTGCCCCAGACCACCCAAACAAATCATTTTACAGATTCTTCATAACACCATGTACAGCAATGTTGTACACATGTTAATGGTTGCTCTGTATTTTCCTATAATTGTAACGCTCAGGCCAGCTGATGTAGAGGTATTATCAAACAGAGTCTGTCATGTTCCTTACGTGCCAAAGGAAAGGGAAGCATTCTATCAACCAAGTAAGTCAGCACTCAAGTTCCAATATTAAACTAGGATCGATCTGGTGGATAATAGTTGCTGTGACATCTCTCCATACAATTAGTTGCTTGTTTTTGATGGACTTGGAATGAAAAACGTTAAAACTTGATTAAATGCATCAGCTCTCTGCATTTGCTGCCTTATTATGGACCAATAGACTGAATTTACGAGTCGGCCATACTAAATTTGGCTTTTGAAAGCGAGGTAAACTCTTCATTTGTCATGTTTGTAGAACTTGTGAGTAGAAATGAAAGCAATGACTTAAAAGTTCATTACAAATGAATACCAGCCTGCTCTGATGAATACTTAATAATTTGTAATTCAACATACCCTAATGTTTTAAGCCACATTTAAAAAAAAGTTGAAAGTGAGGCTTGGAGCACACTCCAATCATAAAATAGTCTGTCACCATCCCATTCAACACATTGCAGTTTATAAAATGGACTCAGGGAACATGACTGAAAATGGTTTCCTTGTGAATAAGGTATATTTGCTTGAGTTCGAAGCACACCCATTACCTATACCCATAGTATATTAGCTTAGTGAAAAATTGGTCTGGTTGGTGCCTATCATCTGATCATCCTCAGACCCACCGTTCGTAATAATGTGATGTAATTTGACGTGAATGTTGACATTTGATTTCAGCTGGTTATGAGAAGATGCCTCAGCCATCTGCTGAAGGAGAAGGGAGAGTCGTGTACTTCAGCCCACCAACCAAAGAAGCATATGTAAGTCTCTTATGTACATGTATCTACATGTATGCTGAGAACATTCTGATTGCGTGGACTGCTGTACATGTTGCCTCGTGGTTAAGGGCATTGGGTTCGTGGTCTGTGGGTAAAGCTGCGGGTTGTGGGTTTGAGTCCAGCCTGGGTCATGGTGCGTGTGCCCTTGAGCAAGGCACTTTGTCACTCGTTGCTTCTCTCCACCCAGGAGTAAATGGGTACCTGTGAGGGCAGAGATGGTTATTGTGATTGAATTAGCTTCCTTGCGCCTAACAGGCAGCATCGAGCTGTATACTCCCCAGGGAGCCGAGATGGTATTAGGAATGTTTCATGGGCCCAATGAGCAGGGGTAATAATGATGTAGCGCCTTGAGCACCAGTCCTGGTGGATACGTGCGGTTTATAAATATCCACTACTATTATTATTCTTATTATGTGTTTAAGATAGAGATGAACATGTATAGTCCATCACAAGTCCAGTCCCATTTAAATCACAAGTCCATCACAAGTCCTGCAAAACTTGTGATGGACTTGTGATGGACTGACAGGAGCTTGTGACGGACTGGACTACATCCCTGGTTCAAGACAATAAACTGAGTTTGCAGAGTACATTGTATGTGAAAGGAACAAATGATTTGTAAATCTGTGTACATCTGTATACACCAAGTTGCCAATAAGCACCTTTCTGATACCAATGTGCAATTTTATATAATGTGTAAAAAAAAACAGGGTTGGGCATCAAAACCGGGTACCCAAGTACCCGATCACAGGTGTCAGGGACCAGCCCTAGATTATGGGATCGGTTACCCGGCTGTAACCAACTTTACAAATTACATTTAGTAACTCCTCAGACAATGAAAACGAGATTTCCCATTTATGTGCGTTTTAAGCTCTCCAGACAACTTCTGGGATTTAAATCTGGGTTGGGTATCTTTTACGGGTACCGGGGTACCCGTGTTTTACTTCACTAGGGTACCTGGTACCCATACTACCTGTAAATGCACACCACTTTTCATTAAGTTGGTTACACAACTTAGAGAATGCTTCGTGTAACCAACTGATCTGATACACCGTGCCCTCTGGAGACATGCACACAATAGGGAACAAAAGATTGTGTACGTCTCCACAGGGCCATTTCTATAGATGAATACGTCTCCACAAGATTTTCACGAAATAGGGATTTTACTCAAAAACTAGGAATTTCCAAGGTGGGTTGATCTGTCGCAAATGGAAGAGTTTTAGAAAAGGGATATTAAGTCCGAATTTCAGACAAGGAAATTAATTGTGGTTAAAAAAGAGCATTTTGAAACTTCACTTTCAAACTCGAAAACTTTACTACACGAGAACAAAGAAATGTTTCCACAAGAATACAAATTTCAATATGCGTGTGTTGAAGTGTGTACATGTACATTAGACTTTTCTATCTTTCATAATTTTAGATTCATATTTCTGATAGAATATGCTTTGCCCAGTTGCATACAAACTAATTCAGTCTGTCGGATTTAACTTAGAACTTTGACCTTTAACCCCTTCAGTTTCTGAGGTCAAGGGTCGGAGGTAGTAGGAGTGGTTGTCCACTGAGGGCAGTCAAGATCAAGACTCCAGAAGACACGACGCTCGTCATTGAGGCAAGATTTGAGAGTGGGAACCTGATGAAAGCAACGCAAGTGTAAGTGATTGCATTTCACAAATGGGTTAGAAAATAATTTGAAAACCAGAAAACTCACACATAAAAAAGACTAGCACCAACAGAGTGGTTCTATCAACTGAACCCAAACTCAATGCAATAAAATCTACATGAAAAGGACGTTTACAAATTAGGGAACCGCCAACATAGGGCTGGATAGCTCAGTTGGTAGAGCACCGAAACGGCAATCCGGAGGACGCAGTGTCAACTTCCGCTCCAGCCAATTTCTTCGTTCAACTTTTCACTTGTTATAATTCACCTAAATTTAGTTTCAACTGATTATTCACTTTAAGTTATTTTCAACGATCTGTGAATTGTTTCAAGTACATACTTCAACTTCTGATATTTTTTTTTTTTTTTTTTTTTTTTCACTGGCAGATCTGAGAACGAGTATGAACTACAACTCCGCTATGATCTGTACACCAACAAACACACACAGTGGTTTTATTTTAGAATACAGAACATGAGACGAGGCTTCAAGTATCGGTTTACTATCACCAACTTCATGAAGGTGGGTTACGTCAGATAGGGGAGTCAGATTGGCGTACTTTCCTCGCCTTCCACCGCTGTGACCCGGGTTCGAATCCCGCCTGGGCCAACATGTGGATTGGGTTTTCAGTCCCTGCCTGATTCCATTGGTTTTCCCCAAAAATATTCTGGGGTTTCCTTCCACCTCTAAAACTGTAATTTCTTCTCATTCTCTCCTCTCTACAAGTTTCTTCAGGCTTGCGAGCTACAGTGCCTAGGGTGCTTTCGAAGAATCCTTGGTTTCATTACGAGAAATCAATAAAAATATAAGTACACAAAAAAGGCGTACAAATGTCAGAATTTTAAGACAACTTAGCATGGCTGTTTTCATTAATTTACTTTTTTGCCTTCAAAAAAAGATCCAGCTAGGATCAAGAGGTCAGGCCTTCTAGCTTTTTGATGTGTATTTTCCAGGTCGGTTTAGTCAGTAAGGAATTTGTAACAGTTTGTTTTATGTTTTTTGGGATTTTTTATTCTTACCTAGCCTGGAAGTTTGTACAACAATGGAATGAGACCATTATTGTACTCAGAGATTGATGCGCAGAAGAGGAATATTGGTTGGCATAGAGCTGGCGAAGACATCAAGTATTACAAGAACTATCTCAAGTAAGTACTGACTAAAGCTTTAGTGAGATAAGTAGCTGGCTTGTTAAGACATTTTGGGTAGGGAAAGAAAGACCAATGTTGGTTGCTTTATGGGATGCGTGCATTGTTCTCTCATTGTGGGTGCTGTGGTCTAATGGCTACGGCGTTTGAATCCTGACGGGGAACATGGTCCTTATGCTCTTAAGCAAGGCACTTTACCATTATTGCTTTGTCCTTTGGATGGGACGTAAAGCTGTAGGTCCCGTGTGTTGTGTAATGCGTGTTAAAGAAACCAGTAACACTTATCGCTAAGAGAAGGGGTTTGCCCCGGTGTTTCTGGCAGTGGCTGCAATATGCATCGCAGCACCTTGTAAACCCTTATAAGGTGCTACATAATGGGTCTCATATTTCTCATAAACTTCAATTTCCTATCTTTGATAATTTAGTACCTAATTGTTGGTAGATATGTGTGCTATATAAGACTCCAGTATTATTATATTATTATTATCCTTCTTCTCTTCTTGGGTACCGCTTTACAAAGACTGACTTGTGAGGTACCATTGCTCCGTCAGTGCGAGTACCCCACCAGGCAACTCTCGTAAATACATGCGTATGGACTAATCTCACTAAGATGATAATTGGCTCTTAAGATGTGGTAGGTGTTTTCTCAGTTCGTGATTTCTCCTTGTTTACTTCATTTTATTCCTTCAGGAGATCTGATGGCAAAGGTGACAGGAATTTCTACTCCTTAACGTGGACCTGTGTCTTCCCTCATGATAACGATGTGTGTTACTTTGCTCACTGCTACCCATACACCTACTCAGACTTACAGGTCAGTTTATGGTAACAGACCAGTAAATAAACTTCCATAGACCCCAATGGTAAATGCTCCCACTTCAGAAATTCGGGAAAAATACTCGCAACTCTCCAAGGTGTTCGAGACACACATCAAATTAAAGCTTATTTCATCATCTTTCATTTTCTTTTCAATTTTCGGGGGGTCAACTGATGACTTTTAGGAGAAATTTCCATCTGAAGATGACCATCCCTGAAAATAGTCCTGAAGCCCATCGCCATTTTGAAAAACGATGCCTACACTCCATTGCAAAATAGAGCGCTTTTAGGGTCCAAATTACATCCAAATTACACAGAACTGCAAGCTCCCAGTCCTGTGCACGGCTTCCACCCATATGTTTTACAAACCCTCAAGTTCATGGCCCACAGCATGCTCAAATACTGAAGATTTTGAGGGCATGCAAATCGTGATTTGGCCGGCGTAGGCAATTTCCGACCGATTTACTGGTCTGCACCCTTATACATGTAGTTAATCACATCAATATGGGTCCATGCATTTACTATGGAGGGCGCTATGCTGCCTGCTCATTTCAACATAGTGTGAATTCGGGCACAAAGTATAGTTAACAACCATAGTCCGACTAACTAGTCGACTATTATACAAATATTGACTGCATCGAGTGGTGTAGTAAAAGTAGCCTCCCGAGGTGATCCATGGACATTCGCCTTGGGAAAAATGTATTTCTTTCTTCCAAACCACCCCTTTAGGAAATATTTGAACCCAACTCTGTGGCGTGAACAATACTCGCTACACGCAACGCTCAATGGGCACACCAGCATGCATTTGCACACAAATACCGCGCCGTGGAAATAGTACTTTGGTTGCTAATGGTATAGTACTTTGGTTGCTATGGGTATAGTACTTTGGGCAGTGCACTGAAAGATAGCACAAATAGAAAGTAGCATGTGACTCGCTCTCGGCCAATCAAGACACAGAATCTGTGGGTGAGGTTTTATAATTTGAACTGGAGCATGGGGCAGGGTTACATCACTGGTTACCAATAGCTGCGCGCATCATCCAGCACAGCAGGGAGCCAGGATATTTGACTATGGTTTGACTAGAGGCGTTTGTGCAATGCTATTACTTTAGTGCGCAGGCATAAGTTACATCACAAAATATTCACTAGTCAGTCCACACTCAAACTTACTCATGGTGGAGACACTTCAGTGGTGTTGTTCGAGTCCGTTTGTCCACAACAATACAAGACAAACCTCATGCTTGACAGGTGCCAAATCCCAGTGTAATCAATTTCTGATTGAATGTTCACATAAAATACACAAGATTTAATATCAGGTCGCACTCCCTTTTTACGGTCATGCGAGGTGTCTCCAAACTCCAGTCCCCTTCTAGACTCGCTTTGGATGTTGCCGTCAAGTTTCGTCATAGTCACCAGCCTGCTACCTGGAATAGACCTTGAAGTCGTCCCCGGCTTACCTAGCTAAAGCAGGTCACTGTTTAGTTGCTCCCAAGTGGCTGTTGGTAACTTGCTTCTGATTGGGGAGGTCGGAGGTCACTACGATCCTTTGATGGACTTGTGAAGCAGTAGTGGTAGTGATATATCATCTTTGAAAAAAGAGAACATATTAAAAACTTTGAATCATTGAGGGTACTCACTTTTGAATGCTCTCTGTATTTTTCCGTACAGGACTACCTTCTTAATGTGTCCAACGATCCCGTCCGTAGTAAGTTCTGTAAGCAGCGAATCCTGTGTCGCTCGCTGGCTGGCAACATCGTTCACATCTTAACAATCACATCACCTGCTAAGAACCCAGAAGATGCCAAGGTGTGTTGTCTCTACCTCCTTGTTATATTTCTGAAAGTAGCTGGTTCGAATCCCGTCCCATTATCATATTCATGAGTATGGGTAGAATAGGTTGGAGCATTACTGTTAAACTGTTGATGAGGGTATAACTGTCGGGTGGGGGGAGGGGGGGATGCTGACAGTAATTCAACTTCTGAACCAAAAGGATGAATTTTACACTCAGTCAAAATTGGGAAAATCCACTACCTGCCTGTAATCCGACCTACCTGTAAGTAAGATTTATTTGTGGTGTTAGTAGTTGTATTTTAAAGTTTTTCTGATCGTGTTTTTATCAGATGAAGAAAGCGGTTGTCTTGACTGCAAGGGTTCATCCTGGCGAGACTAACGCTAGCTGGATGATGAAAGGATTCTTAGACTTCCTGACAGGGTCATCAGGAGATGCTAAGGTAGGTCACAAACACTGCAACCCACCCCACCCAAACAGCCCCCAACCCAACCCCACCCCAACCCCACTCTTGCTGGATGATGAAAGGATTCCTAGACTTCCTGACAGGATCATCAGGAGATGCTAAGGTAGGTCTCAAACACTGCAACCCACCCCACCCAAACAGCCCCCAACCCAACCCCACCCCAACCCCACTCTTGCTGGATGATGAAAGGATTCCTAGACTTCCTGACGGGATCATCAGGAGATGCTAAGGTAGGTCGCAAACACTGCAACCCACCCCACCCAAACAGCCCCCAACCCAAACCCCCCCCCCCCCCCCAGCCCCACTCTTGCTGGATGATGGAAAGATTCCTAGACTTCCTGACGGGATCATCAGGAGATGCTAAGGTAGGTCTCAAACACTGCAACCCACCCCACCCAAACAGCCCCCAACCCAACCCTCACCCCAACCCCACTCTAGCTGGATGATGAAAGGATTCCTAGACTTCCTGACAGGATCATCAGGAGATGCTAAGGTAGGTCTCAAACACTGCAACCCACCCCACCCAAACAGCCCCCAACCCAACCCCACCCCAACCCAAATCTTGCTGGATGATGAAAGGATTCCTAGACTTCCTGACAGGGTCATCAGGAGATGCTAAGGTAGGTCACAAACACTGCAACCCACCCCACCCAAACAGCCCCCAACCCAACCCCACCCCAACCCAAATCTTGCTGGATGATGAAAGGATTCCTAGACTTCCTGACAGGATCATCAGGAGATGCTAAGGTAGGTCGCAAACACTGCAACCCACCCCACCCAAACAGCCCCCAACCCAACCCCACCCCAACCCCACTCTAGCTGGATGATGAAAGGATTCCTAGACTTCCTGACAGGATCATCAGGAGATGCTAAGGTAGGTCGCAAACACTGCAACCCACCCCACCCAAACAGCCCCCAACCCAACCCCGCCCCAACACATCCCACCCCAACACACGTCACACCACCCCCAACCCTACCCCCACCTAACCCCATTCTGTATCCTACTAACTCTAGCTGGATGATGAAAGGGTTCCTAGACTTCCTGACAGGGTCATCAGGAGATGCTAAGGTAGGTCTTAAACACTCTAGCCCCAACCCAACCCCCAACCCTACCCCTGCCCCACCCCACCCTGTATCCAACTAACACTAGCTGGATGATGAAAGAATTCCTAGACTTCCAGACAGGGTCATCAGGAGATGCTAAGGTAGGTCTCAAACACTGCAACCCACCCCACCCAAACAGCCCCCAACCCAACCCCGCCCCAACACATCCCACCCCAACACACGTCACACCACCCCCAACCCTACCCCCACCTAACCCCATTCTGTATCCTACTAACTCTAGCTGGATGATGAAAGGGTTCCTAGACTTCCTGACAGGGTCATCAGGAGATGCTAAGGTAGGTCTTAAACACTCTAGCCCCAACACAACCCCCAACCCTACCCCTGCCCCACCCCACCCTGTATCCAACTAACACTAGCTGGATGATGAAAGAATTCCTAGACTTCCAGACAGGGTCATCAGGAGATGCTAAGGTAGGTCTCAAACACTGCAACCCAACCGTTACACACCCCACCCCATTCACACCCAACCGTCCCACCTCCAACCCCACCCCTGTCCCCACCCCACCCCACCCTAACCCCCATGATTTTCTCTTTAATACATCTCTTGAAAATTGAAGTACACTGCAGAGAGTCATGAAAACCTCAGAATTTCTTTCTTTTTTGTCACTTCCCAGTTGCACACCATCCAACATCCAAACCTTTCCATATTGGAACACTTGTTCCCAGGTTGTTTCACTTCAACAACGTACATGTACATGTCCCCAATTGCAACAGGTGGTTTTTCAAACGAATGTTCTACGCTTTACAAGATTTATGAGACTTCCTATGAAGTTGGCATCAGATCTGAACAATTTCTAGTTTCTAGTCCAGTTAATTGTATACGTTTATTTCTCCACAGCTTCTGAGGGACACGTTTGTCTTCAAGATCATACCCATGTTAAACCCTGACGGTGTCATCGTTGGTAACTACCGATGTTCCCTCGCTGGTCGTGATCTGAACCGTAACTATAAGAGTGTCCTCAAAGATTCCTTCCCTTCAGTCGCTCACACTAAACTCATGATCAAGAAGTGAGTAACTATAAGAGTGTCCTCAAAGATTCCTTCCCTTCAGTGGCTCACACTAAACTCATGATCAAAAAGTGAGTAACTATAAGAGTGTCCTCAAAGATTCCTTCCCCTTCAGTGGCTCACACTAAACTCATGATCAAGAAGTGAGTAACTATAAGAGTGTCCTTAAAGATTCCTTCCCTTCAGTCGCTCACACTAAACTCATGATCAAGAAGTGAGTAACTATAAGAGTGTCCTCAAAGATTCCTTCCCTTCAGTGGCTCACACTAAACTCATGATCAAGAAGTGAGTAACTATAAGAGTGTCCTCAAAGATTCCTTCCCTTCAGTGGCTCACACTAAACTCATGATCAAGAAGTGAGTAACTAAAAGAGTGTCCTCAAAGATTCCTTCCCTTCAGTGGCTCACACTAAACTCATGATCAAGAAGTGAGTAACTATTAGAGTGTCCTCAAAGATTCCTTCCCTTTAGTGGCTCACACTAAACTCATGATCAAGAAGTGAGTAACTATTAGAGTGTCCTCAAAGATTCCTTCCCTTCAGTGGCTCACACTAAACTCATGATCAAGAAGTGAGTTTCTCGTCTCTTAATCCCCTTCTTAAACTTCTTGTGAATGTTGATACCAAGAAATAATTGCTTGCACTATGAAGGCTTTGAAGGCCTTCAACTGCATTATTCCAAGCTAATTCATATGAACTTTTATGGATTTTCATTTACAACTTCACACACATTGTCTCGATATTAAAGTCTGGTTGTGTATTTTTTATGGCATAAAACTGGCCAAGGAAAGGACGCTTCATGTTTTGCGGTGACAACAAGACACGTCGTAACTTGCAACATGTTTTAAACCGTTGTCAAGGAATTAAGACGCGTTTAAAATATTGTTCAGTTTGGCAAAATGGATCATACAACATGTTGCAAGCTGCGACGTGTTACTCGAGTTACGACATGTCACAACGCTTAATGAAATCGGGTGCTGCCCCCCCTCCAACATCACTTTCCACAAAATTGCTAACAATTTTCCAAACTTAGTCTAAAATATTTGAATTTCTTGCACATTTCAAAAACCCACCATCACCTATAGTATTGAAAACAGTATTAGCACCTTTTCTCTTTTAGCTCTGTTCGGTAAGTATTATCAGTCGGAATTTGTCACATAATTGTAACACATGCATAGACCAGAACATCCATTGCATTTACCTGATGATCTCTGACCTGTAGGTTGATGGAAGAGAGAGAGGTTGCTATCTATTGTGATCTCCATGGTCACAGCAGGAAACAAAACGTCTTCATCTATGGATGTGAGAACAAAGACAATCCTAAGAGAAGGTTACGAGAACGCATCTTCCCTGTCATCATGGGACGTAATGCTGCAGACAAGGTAATTGAGATTTATACCTGACCTCAGCTTTTGTTCAGGCCCCAAAGTCCATCACAAGTCCATCACAAGTTCATCACAAGTTCATCACAAGTCCATCACAAGTTCATCACAAGTTCATCACAAGTCCATCACAAGTTCATCACATGTTCATCACAAGTCCATCACAAGTCCATCACAAGTTCATCACATGTCAATCACAAGTCCATCACAAGTCCACCACAAATCCATCACAACTCCATCACAAATCCATCACATGTCCACCACAAGTCCATCACAAGTCCATCACAAGTCCATCACAAGTCCATCACAAGACAATCACAAAACAATCACAAAACAATCACAAAATTTCACAAATCCACCACGTTCCCATCACAAATCCATCACAAGTCTTTCAGTGTCAAGTCAAGTCACTAGCCATGCTAGCTATTCAAATGAACTGTAACAAAAGCATTCCTTTGTGAGCGAATCATGATTGACTTTTGACCTGAATTGTGATGGATTCTTGATGGAATGGACTACAACACTAGGCATAGAGGTAGAAGTCACAGGAGATACTTCTAGGGTCTTCAATTTTACAAATCAGTCACAGGAGGATGAAGAACTTGCCTTCTCCACTTAATATGAAACCGGATGGCTTATGGCTGACCCCTTTTTTAACTGGTGAAGACTTGAGAGGACTAGACTGTTATTACTCCTTTACACAACTGACTGAATTCTTTCTTTGGCAGTTTTCCTACGACATCTGTAAGTTCAAAGTTCAGAAGAGCAAGGAAGGAACGGGCCGTGTGGTGGTTTGGCAGATGGGAATAATGAACAGCTACACCATGGAGGTAAGTCTGCAAACCTAACTGGCACACTGGCTGTGTTGTTGTTACATGAAGCTGCTTAAAGGGTCAGCTTTTAACAGATGTATGTCTCAATCAATATATAAACTTGAGCAATCATACATAGGGCTGGATAGCTCAGTTGGTAGAGCACCGCAACAGGAATCCGGATGTCACAGGTTCAAACCCTGCTCCAGTCAATTTCTTTGCTCAACTTCAACAAATTTAGGTGAACATCATGGCAAATAACTGGTCTGACCTTCACTCCCGGAATCTTTCCAGTTATATGACAATGTTCTAATTGATTTTTCCTCTCTTCTTTTATAGGCCACTTTTTGCGGTTCCACGTTGGATGATAAGAAAACAGGTCATTTCAGAACTGCTGATTACGAGGCCATGGGACATCACTTCTGTGATACAATCCTGGATTATTTTGATCCCAACGAGTCCAAAGTAAGTTATGGTCTACCTTCCTTCCTGTCAATCAAACAGATCATGACGTTTGGTCAGACGACCGTAGTAACTCAGTCAAAGTCAGTCACAAGCACTGTGAGAAATGTACACAAACCAAATGTGGGCGGGGCTTGACAGTGCGCATTGACCAATTGGAGCATGACTTTTAGTCAGGTGACCATGGTAGCTCAGTCAAAGTCAGTCACAGGCACTATGAGAAATGTACACAAACCAAATGTGGGTGGGGCTTGACAGTGCGCATTGACCAATTGGAGCATGACTTTTAGTCAGGTGACCATGGTAGCCTGGGCAAAGTCAGTCACAAGCACTGTGAGAAATGTACATAAACCAAAGGTGGGCGGGGCTTGACAGTGCGCATTGACCAATTAGATAATGACTTTTAGTCAGGTGACCATGTGAGAAGTGTACACAAACCAAAGGTGGGCTGGGGTTTACGACTAAATCTGAAACGGTCCCTTTCCATAGATATCCACAGAATACTTGATTAGGGTGTTATGATTAGGGTGTTCTTATTAGGTTAATACCGGGGAAAAAAGGCACGTTCGTGTTCAGCAATTGCTGCTATTTCATATTTTATGATACCAAGTATTCATTCAAGATAATGCTAATTTTTCAAATTATCTGTGCAGATAGATGCAAAACATTCCTATTTATTAACATTTCTTTCAATCCTTCTTTCCTTCATTGTGCTTACATCTGCATTATGGTAATTTGATATTTATTTCTTATATGCTTTGTGTTCAAAGTACATGTCTTGAGTTGTCTTTCAGGTTGCATTGTGATTTTAGTCTTTGCATGAATACACTTTTTGTATTTGTAAAGTAGTAAAGTAGTAATGTAGTCATTATAATAATGTGGCGCTTTGGTAGCACTCTATACTTTAGTTTCAAAGTACTTTAGTTTCAAGGTATCGCAATCAGTCGGGGTTCGACCTTAACTTATTTTTTCACTAGCCAGCCGGGCTACTGAAACAGACTATTAATTAGCCTGGGGCATTTTCACTAGCCCGCATGTTTTTCTTTTATAGAGTGTCTCATGAACAACAATGTGCATACGTGTAAAACGTGTATCCTGGGGCAATCTTGCCAGTGTTTTTAATAAACAGATCTGATAATTTAACCCTAAACAGTTAATAAAATTAGACACAAATTAATACAGGTTTGCTTTCTGAATTTAAAGATTTATTTCTTCCTGTCCTTTCACCTTTGCCGTAGCCCAATAGTTTTTGACTCGCCAGCTACTTAAGGAATAGTTTGACTAGCCTGCCGCTGTTTTGACTAGCATTTGGCTAGCCGGCTACCGCTAAAGTCGAACCCTGAATCAGTAGTTTTGCACAAGTCAAAAATGGTATGTGTTGTGCTGCTCTGTTTAATCATTTTTGATATGATTATTGGCTTAGATTTTCCAGCATTTTATTGATAAATGGTTGTTTTTTTTTCAGTGTGAACAAATCTTATCTGATCTGGAGGAGAAACTGAGACAGCAGATTCTGCGTCACCTGGAGAGAACCGGATCCCCCCTACCAGCGAATGGAATCATCGACCTCAGTGAAGACTACTCATCAGCACTTGAGTCAAGGTATGGAATGTCAAATCTTGGACTGGTTCATTGTTTGTAAAAAGGGTGTTGCAAATACTAGAAGAAGAATATCTGGAAGAAAATGATCCTCAAGAATGGATTCTCAGATATGTAATATCTTGGATTAGCTGATATCCTCATTTTTCAATTCACACTTTTGCCATGAAAAATCGAAAAACATTGTGTTTAGTCTTGAAAAGCTTGAGATTTCCTGCTTTTTTGGTGTCACTTTCTTGTTGCATGTCTTGACAGGCAATAAATAAATTCAGCATTTTCTTCGAGATATTCTTCATAAGGGGTACAATAACAGCGTTCCATGACAGAGCCAATTAACCATGATATCTAATTAATGATTCAGAGAAATGATTACAGACTCCTAGTCTGTAATCTCCTTGACCATAACTAGATGATGGATATATAAAATTTGAAAAATACATTTTCAGGTTTATTCGCTGAGCTGAATTGCATAATGCCAGAATTGCCCTTGAGTTTTTAATAAAGAATTGTAGGGATTTTCAAAGTGAAATTCTAAGGAGTTTACTTTGAATCTTGTGACTTGTCTTTCTGCAGCACAACTGGTTCTGACAGCTCCGTTGATGATGGATTGCCTGTTCATCTGTTAGCTCTGGCACCTAAGGTACATGACTTCTACATCTGTGGGTTTTTTTTTTAATTTAACGGGTTAAGACAAGCCATTTTAGCTCTTTATAATCATGGATTATATTTATAGAGTTTGTATTGCTTAATTATAACATGTTTACTTGTATTTATATTGTCTGAGTATTGTGTTTTTATGATGTTTTACTTTAGAATTTATTTTTTGTTGCTTTAAGTGATTGTATCTGAGTTTTCAGTGTTCTTTCAGCACCTGCTATTGATGAGCTTAGGTTTATTATGGCTATTCTTAATTAATAGTATTTCCTTCTATATTTTTCCATATTTGTTTTTCCTATGCATTCTTTATGTTGATTTCCCTCATTGTACATGCTGTATGAACAATTTTTTTGTTCGTGGTTGAATAGAAATATAGAAATAATTGTTGTTTTGAATTGTAATGAATTTGTTTTGTTTCATCCACGGTTTGGCAAGGTAAAACATGTTACCATATATTTCCTTTTTTTAAAGAGAGTTAAGTCTTTGAACAAACTCAACATATCCTTATATTCTTGCTAGGAGTTAGTGAAATATTACAGAAACTCTTTCCTTTGTACTGTATTAACTATTTCTGAAAATGAGACAACATATTTTGTGTATCATCTCAAGGTCTATTTATATGCATAAAAGTCTATTTGATATGCAAAAAACGGGGGGAAATTATTCTTAATGATTCTATCATTTGTCTATGGAAACACCTTATTGTTTGTTTCAAATAGTTGACCAAGAAGAAGAAGTTGAAGACAAGAAAGGAGCGAGACAAGAAGAGGAATAGCTTAGAGAAGAGCAAAGAGAAAGAAGAGGAAAAGAAACCGCCTACACCCAAAAAGGTAAGGAAAAAAATCATCCAAAAATGCAGCTTGGCTAATTAAAATGTCAATTACGTTGCTGCAAGAATAAAGGAAAATCACCAACACCCCCAAAAAGCATGCAGAGATGCCACTTTTCAAGTTTTAACCTGAAATCAGGTGGTTTTTTTTTCTCAAAAATGTGACAAATCAAAAGTGCTGGATTTGGTCTGAAGCATCCAGAAAACACATCTTTGAAAGGGGGTAAGCGTAGTTACATTTTTTTTTTTAGCAGTGTTTCAGGTTTTTTTATTGATATATTGGTATCATCTCTGAAAAGGGTAAAAAGACCACTCAAAACTGATGGATTTTGCTCTGCTTATTTTGTTTTTCTGTAGAGCCACAAATAATCAACGTTTTAGGTTAGATGTTAACATTTTGCAATTGAACATTAAGCGTTGGATCTTGGGTTGAAAGACCCTTTGGAGAGTTGAACGCAGTGGGTGGGGTTTAGTTGATCAGTCTATGGGCTCCGTGCGCTGACGAAGAGGGCGCCCTTATACCTAGCAACAACGTCCCTTGGGTGGGACATGGTTGACGCACACCATTCCTTGTGTGTGGCGCACGTACACCAGGGGATTTGTACTATGTACATGCAGTGGCCGTGCTTCGTGGCAAATAAAATTGCAGTCAGGCAAGATGGCGTCGGTCGGTCACCCCAGCTGTACTCTCTTTGCCGGTGAGAAATGGTTACGTCATATGCCGCCGAGGTCACGCGTCGCCTAGGATGTGTCCACACACACCTGGTCTTACGTAGCAAACCACACTGTGCCCACCATTTCATCAATTCTTCATCCGTTGGAAAAGAAAAATAACGGCATCCGTCACGTTCTGAGTGGTGACTACAATCAGCTACAAAGCACTGTCCCATTTTCCAGTCTTATTTATTCGTAATGTTTGAGAAATTTCAACTGGAAAATGTTCATCTAAATCACTTGTTCAAATTGTACGGCAAAAATGGCGGACGAGACACTGTTTGGACACATCACTATTGGAGACGACCCCGCGTGACCTCATACTTATCTACGGCGTATTCATATGTGAGAAAAACTGTCTTTACTGTGAATGTTGATTGTGATTTAGTACACAAAATTTCGATGAGAACTGTCTTTTTTTGATATCCAGGATAATCAGAAGATGAAGTATCGTCACACTGATCGTTCCACGTTACACTCTGCTGGGAAGACCAGACCTGTAGTCAACAAGACTGGAGATGGGATGCCTGTATTTGCACAGGAAAGATGTGAGGAGAAGAACATCAAGAAGGTAAGGAGAAGAGTTGTTTGCTTGTACTCATGCACACAGAAACAAAGGAAGCTGGTATGGGCTAATTTTATAAGCCTTCTCATTGGATGATTCGTAAGTGACATCACGGTGAGGTCAGAGCGTAATGTTAGTGATTGGTTGTCATGTAGGGTCATATGACAGGAGTCGTTTGCTTTGACTCATGCACACTGAAATGAAGGCAGCTGGTACAGACTAACTTTTAAGACACTCTCATTGGACAATTTTGTTTTGAGTGATGACATTCAGGCAAGGTTAACATAGTTGGTTTTAATAGTAGTAATGCCGTCAGTGGGTAAGGTGGGCGTGGACTTCCATTATTTTTTTTAGATTGGGTTATCTAGCTCCCAGACCTATGTTCATGAAACTCAATGGTTCTTGAGTCTGGACTACTGAATGGTAACACATAGCAACCAATGAAAACTGACGTGCAATTGAATATATGTTTTCATCAGCTGACCTAATCCCGCCCATGCCAATAGAGTTACCCATAATCTTTGGATTTCCATCGCATGTTGTGACATCTGATCAGCCTCTATAACCTTTTGTTTGAACTGAAATGCCCAGATTGTATGATTTTCTATTTGCATTTACTGTCAAGTCAGCTGCTGTGTTGAATGCAAACTTTCATTTAGTTTTCCTTTTGTATTTATGTATTTATTATTGTCAGTTTCAGTTTTCTATTGGTGGAGAAGGGTTGAGGATGTAATATTTATTAAATGGTGTGTGTAACATTGAACAACAGTCATTTTCATATTTGGATTTTATTATAGACTGAATACTTGGAAGCTTTGACTAACGCCTACCTCATGAGCGGAGTGCTGAAGCCAAGCCAAGGTACAGGAAATCATTGCACTGTTGCATCTTGAGTGATCTGATCCAGTAAGCCCCACCCACATGGGCAGTTAAAGCTATAGTCCATCATTTGTAATTTGTGCATTTTGTTCGTTTGAAGCAACAAACTTGCTCAAAATCTAAAGAAGGGTGCCGAACAACTAAGCTGATGAAGTTTCAGCTCAGCTTCAGCTGTATATTCCGAGAAAAACAACATTCTAGGATCTCGACTTCAAATCAAAAGTTGCTGAATCATGTTTTGAATTGGGCCTGAATTCAGCGTCCGAGACACGTTCTCACTGAGCCGATTGCAGCTATACGCGATGTCGCGCACCGATCCGACGAATTATAGCAGCTGCGCGTGTGCATCGTGCCAACACTTGGGCGCGCTTTGCCGAATAAAAAAACGAACCACTAACACATGACTAATGGCAATTTCGAACGATGCGTCTTAAGACGCATCGTTGGAAAGGCCTTCTTTCGTTGATTTCTTCAAAATGACAGCTTGCCAGAGAGAATAATTTCACACGGAGTTTAGTCCCCTTACTATCTTTCAACCAAGTATGTTTTTCAACAATAATTACGCCAATTACTTTTTGGATAGCTGCAAATGATGGACTCTGCCTTTAACATGTGTCCTCTCTATTTCCTCACTGCATGTTTCAGCCATGCGCGTCTTTTGCGTGTGCACGCATGTCAGACTTTTGTGTACGCACGTCAGACATAAATCAAGGCTGTGATTGGTCAGCACACGATGGGGTGGGGCTTAATGGACTGGTCTATTGACCTTCCAATCTGGCACGCCTTGTTTCATATGATGTCAACTTCCTGTGTCCTTCAGTGTTTTTTTTTCTGACTGCAGACCGACTGTGGGTCTCACTCGATCACCTCTCACGTTTGGTTTTCCAACCTTGAACTGTATTATTCTTTCGGATCACTGCATCAAGAGCATTTTGTACTATTTTATCCTTAAATTGGTCCAGTAACTCTCACGTGTTTTTTGTTTGTTTTGTGCACTGCAACATTGTGACTTAGGTTTGAAGCCTCTCAAATTTTTGTTACTGATTTTTTCCACAACTTTAAATCTGTTCTGTGCTGTTAATCCTTAAATCTGCATGAACCAATGAATCTTGTTTTGTGTGCGTGAACTCGTCTTTCATTGTTTTTTCCTGTCACGTCTTGATTTCATCTTTTGACCTGTGTTGCCGTGACTACACCATCACCATCTTCACCCCTCATCGTCATGGTGACCATATCTAGACGTACCATCATTCCGCTATTCTGCAGGCAACGCATCATTGAGTGCATCAGGCGTTCCCTTAGCGCACATGGATGGCCTGTGTCCTCATCATGAGAAAGCCTTAGCGCAGCAGTATGTAGCCAATCAGCTGGCTGGATTGTCATTCACCGGTAAGAGGATTATGTAACATCCGTCTAGATTTGAATCCAGGTTTGGGTTGTTCCAGATTTGGCCATAAGTTCCCACCCACTTTTTGTTTGGGTAGCCCCGCCCACTTTTGGTTTGTGTAGCCCCACCCACTTTTGGTTTGTGTAGCCCCGCCCATTTTTGGTTTGTGTAGCCCTGCCCATTTTTGGTTTGTGTAGCCCCACCCATTTTTGGTTTGTGTAGCCCCGCCCACTTTTGGTTTGTGTAGCTCCACCCACTTTTTTGTTTGTGTAGTCCCACTTAATGTTGGTATATGTAGCCCCACCCACTTTAGGTTTGTGTATATTTCTCACATTATTTGTGTCCAAAACGGGCTTCCAGAGCTACAACTAAGTCTATTGTCAGCTTGTTGTCACATAGTATATAGTAACGGGCGAAGATCTAGAAAGTAGCTCTAGACTAGAGATTTGGACGCGGCCGGAGTTTGACTGAGCTATCGTAGTCACCTGACCTTAGGTTGTGATGTGATTGGTCAGTGTGCCCCGTTTGATTGACAGGCAGGAGGAGTCCATCCTGATTTTTGGAATTTCAGATCATATCATTACATTGCATGTTCCGCATGCTCACATAAGGCGACAAGTTACTTTCATTCACTCCTTCCTTTCACACGACTATATATAGGCCATAATTCACAGACTGTGTGATCAGTGTTCTAGCCAGGGTGAAATTATAGCGTAGGGGTAATTTTGGTTCGGCGACTAATGCGAGCGCGGAGCGCGAAGCCCTTATGACGTGGGGTCCGGGGCCCGCTTAAGGGCCCCGGAAAATTTTGGACTCTAGATGCTCTGTGGTGCAATCTGAGGCGATTCCCTGCCACTTTCCCCTGATTTTTTTTTTAGCAGAAGTGTTTAAAATTATAAGAAATTTTGTTTTATTTGTTTCAATGATTAATACTCTTGCTCCTGTAAAGTTTCTTCTGTTTTCAAATTTTACGTTTACAATGTATAAGTTGTTCCAAGTAACCATTTTTAGTAGTTCCTCAATGTTTTATAAAAAATTGGGATTTACTTTGTCAAATAAGTGTGAGAACAAATCGCATGAACATTTCATATTTCAAGAAGCCTTGTGTTGTGTAGCGCTGCCGTAGTAGCAGTAGTTCCGATTTTAAAACCATCCGATCGGCAGGGAGAGAAATTGTAAAACCATGGAGGTCTCAGACATAAAAAGTCGTCGGCGATTGCAATTTCAATATGCTACAACACAATGTGAAGGAGAAATCTCATTTTTGCTATGTTGAAAAATATAATTGTAGATAATGACTATGAGAAATAATCACCGGGAATTGCTTCCTATCCCGGCCGCGGCCGGCCCCGGCCGGCCCGGCGTGCGGGCGCGGCGCGGGCCAGCCCACACCGGCTACGCCGGCGAACTACGCGACCAAATTTCCCTCAGCATTCCCTCAATACTTGCTGATTGGTTTTGTCCTAAGAACAAACAGATCCGTTTTTACTACCAAACTTATTGAACTGTTATTATCAGCAACGAGTAGTGAAGTCAAAAATCCAAATTTTCGACAGCGACATTCTTCGAGAAGAATTCTTCACGTGCGGCCATCTTTGGGGACGGATCCATTGATATCGTAGGGGTGCTTAACCTTTCTTTGGACATCGTTTCTCGAATAAATCCTTTACAAAAATTATGTTCCGACGTTGAAGGACTTATTTTCAAACAGTTATATGTTTCGGACTTGATAAACAGTATTATTTATAATTTTAAAACAGTTGAAATGCTTGTAAATATTGACCTTAGGAAAGCACACCCGATAGCGCAAAATGGTGTGGTCCACGTACGTCCGTACGGAGCGCTGTATCTACGCAGCACAAAACAGCACGTGCTTATTGCTATCATAGCGAATGCGTGTGGCGCAGCATCACGGTAGGGGTGTCGTACGGGGCACGTGCGGTGGGATCGTTGTTTAATTTTTCGCTGTGTCGTACGGCCAGTGCGCAATGCTCAAAGTCGCTGCGCTTCTATACGAACAAACGGCAGATTTTTTTTTTCGCAACCAAAATTTATAGCGTAGCGGTAGCGTAGCGGTAGCGTAGCGGTGCGATTTAAGCGTAGCGCTTATTTCCGAAAGCGTAGCGGGTGCTAGCGCTATTTGATGCCTGGCTAGAACACTGTGTGTGATCAGGGAAAGAAGTGTTGAAATGTGTTGTAAATGTTCTGCACTAGTGAAGATTTTGTTGACGTCAGTTTTGTCGATGTATGACCATAGGCATAGAACAAGCATGGCTAAAGTAACTGGAAATTATTATTATTATTTATTATTATTATTAATCATTTCTGGTAATGAAACCAAGGAATCCTCAAAAGCGCCCTAGGCACTGTAGCTCGCAAGCCTGAAGAAACTTGTGGAGAGAAGACAATGAGAAGAAGTTACAGTTTTAGAGGTGGGAGGAAAAGCCCAGAAGAATATTCTGGGGAAAACCCATGGAATCAGGCAGGGACTGAAAACCCAATCCACATATTGGCCTAGGCGGGATTCGAACCCGGGTCACAGCAGTGGAAGGCGAGGAAAGAACCGCTATGCCAACCTGACTCCAAGTAACACTAATTGTAGTTTTATGGTCTAAGAACGTTTTCCTTTTTAATATTTTTTTTTCCACAGATAATTGGAATCGTTGTGCAGATGAGCCTCCAACCACCGTGGAAGCCATCCCCCAACCAACCCTGTCACCATTCCAACACAGAAACTTCAATAATCACATGGTTACCATGAACGCACTACAGCAGCAACAGAGACCACTGAATGAGTACATACGACAAGCTGCACACCATATCAAGACAAGGTAAATATGGGGTCAGGTCAGGTCAAAGGTCAAAGGTATTGTGAACTGGCTTGCACCTTAAATAACAGAATTGACTAAATGAGTCCATATGACAAGCGGCACAACATATCAAAACAAGGTAAAGATGGAGTCAGGTCAAAGGTCAGGCCAAAGGTCAAAGGTATTGTGAACTGGCGTGCACTCAAAATAACAAAAGTGACTATTAAATGAGTACATACGACAGGCTGCACAACATATCAAAACATATCAAAACCGTAAAGATGGGGTCAGGTCAAAAGTCAGGTTAAAGGTCTATTATGAACTGGCTTACATTCAAATAACAGAAGTGAACACTGAATGACTACAAATGCGAGGCTGCATAACAATAAAACAAGGTAAAGATGGGGTCACGTCAAAAGTCAGGTCAAAGGTCAGGTCAAAGGTCAGGTCAATATATTGTATACTGGTTGCACTCAGATAACAAAAGTGACTACTAAATGAGTCCATATGAGGCTGCACAACACATTAAAACAAGGTAAAGATGGGGTCATGCTAGATCAGAAGAGGGTCAGAGGTCAAAGAATAGGTCAGATTTTCAAATCACACATGAGGTAAATGGTTTGAACTTGATGACATGTTTTTAGGTTCTGCAAATTGAAGATTTTGTGCTGTGATTTATGTTTATGACTCATCAGACCTCAGACGGGTAAGAAGGCAAGAGCAGGTTCAGCGAGTCCCATTAAGACGCATCCATCGCCGTTTGATGAACAGTCTGAAGGATCAACGGGACAACAGAGTAACTCCTCCAAGAGAGGTGGGTATAGTGTAACTAGACTATTAAAGCAGCTTGTAAATATGAGAAAAACTCACAAGCTTACTCGGGTGGGACTCGAGCCCACGACCTCCTGCTTACTAGTGCAGGCATCTCGCCACTCAATGTTGCTCGCAAGCTCTGAAGCAACAATCGTCAACCAAGGGCAAAAACCCAATTTAAAATTTACATCTTCCAACCGCAAATGCCATCTTATTTAAAAAAGAAAAAATAGCTGCTTGTACAATCAAAGTGATCGCTATGTGGACACTCTGAAGGCTCACTAGGACAACCGAGTATCTCAGACATCACTGAGAGTGGTAGGTAGTGTAACTAGAGTGATGTAGCTACTTGTACAATCAAATTGATCTTTTTTTGAAGTCTGAAGGCTAACTTTGTATTAACAGAGTACCTCAGGAAATCACCAAGAAATGTAGGTACAGTGGAACGCCGCTATAACCAACATTGTGGTGTCCACAGAAATTGTTTGTAATAGGGATCGTTCCGTATAGCGATTTTAAAATGTTAGTGGCGCCCTTTTTTTACCATTGTTATTTACATTTACAAACCACGCGCGGAGTCGCCTAACATGCCCATTCATCTTTTCAATTCTGTATAAAGCAGAACTTCACCCTTTACGCCCTGGTAGTTACTGAAAGACGACTTTGAACATGTGTGACTATTGAACCATGTAATTACACAGTTTCTAATGAGCTGACAAATGTACATTGGTGGCTTTTCCCTTCTATTCCTTGGGGAAGTAATTGCCACTTGTCGCTCTGCTGTTGACATTTTGCCACAACAATGTTCAGTACGTTTTGTACACAAAAATTTGGAGCCAAAGATGATGTTTGGTATAGCCGAATGTTTGGTATGGCGACGTTCCACTGTACCTGTAGTGTGACTAGACTGGAATACATGTAGCTGCTTGTCTAATGAATTTGGGCAATTCACAATGCTGTGCGCCACCAAGAGTTTGCCATGGAGAGTCAACTTTTCAAATTTACGGTCGACAAAATATGGCCCATTTGAATGAGTGTCAGTAGACACTTGAGCTATTTTGTTATAGATTGGGTCATAGCGTTCTGCCGCCTTACCAAAAATCCCCATATTGATACAAAGAAAAGAAAAGGACAAACATATACTCCAATCATACGCTTATGAAACTACTGACCGAAAAAAAACTGAACAATTTCAAATGTCCCGCGCTGCGCATTTGTCGACCATCTGGCAAACTATTGGTGACGCTCTGCATTGTGAATCGCCCGAATGAATCAATTTATAAAAAGTTTTAGGCTCAACAGGACGACAGAGCGACTTTGGACATCACTAGTTGCATATTTTCAACTAAATGGCCTGTGTTCTCATTGAGCTAGCAAGCCACCATGAGTTTTTAATAACTTAGTTTTTTTTGTGTTTCTTCTAGGAGCATCAAGTAGAAGCGGTAGAAGTCCATCAGCCACCAGCTTTGCCGTTTATGATGGGTCAGTATGAACATTTTTTGTGGGTCTATAGTAGGGAGGTCACAACGAGTGTTCTATACAGTCATGCATATATCGTATGGTCCGAATAGCTTCGCGTTGAATTAGTACCAACTTAAAAACAAAAAATTACGTATGAAAATGTCGTCCCAGAATAATTTCCTTTTGGATTTCAGTTCCTCAAATACTAACCTAAATGACTTCAAAGGATGGTTTATCTGGGTGTATTAGATCTCTGAACAGAGAGTCGCAAGTTTTGTATAAAATGCGTGATTTCCATGCTTCCGCGATTCACTGTGCAACAGTATACGCTCAGGCTCCACAGACAACTCCGATCCGCCGAACAAAATATTGTAAAGCCTGTTTTCAAGCGCCCGGCCGACTCAGTGCGAGAGGGCGCTACACTTCCCGGCTCTGCTGCGTTTCCAGATAATAATTCAAGGGGTCACTAGGTCTTTCAATAATTACAATCCGACTTTTGGTTCATAGGTTACAAATAAAACAAATATTCATTCGTAAATAAAGTAAATAATAATTAATTCAGATATTATGATTTTGGTATCATTTTAAAGAGCAAGTTTTCATTAAATAATTTCTATTTGGATCGATTTCTCACAACGCTTTGCACGTGGTCGGAAAACAGGGTGAACGAACTATATGCAGTGAGCCTGGCAACGTTGTGCGTTGTGACAGAAATGGCGTCTCATTTCGTGCGCGATGATTTGCGCAAATTCGTGTTACTAGATTCAATTTATAGAGCTGCGGGGACATCGCAAAAGGAAACCGAGTGTCTCTTTTTGAGAAATCTACGACCAGGTAATTATTCAGTCTTTTATTTTATACAAATATCAGGAGAAAAGTATAATTTAAAGTGATTAAAATCGTCATGTACTGAACGTTAGTATGAATTCACTGGGAATCCCGATGCGAAAATGGAAAGTATGAAAAGCTGTCCCAATATTTGTTCGGATGGCTTATTTCTCATTATCAAACTTCCTAAAGTATTGTGATAGGATAATAATACCAGATTTATAAATATAAAGCATGACAAAAACATCAAATGTTGTACATTTTGCCCTTCAAGTTCATGGTTCGGCATGGTACACTTTCACTCGTCTCAACCACGATTTTAGTGTTACACACAGCTCGTCATCCGCTTTTTTTTGGGGCGATACCATTTTTAGTATAGGTGTGAAAAACGAATGTGCATTGTAAAACTAATGAAATATTATTGATATTGTCTGCACTTTCCATCAGAAAATATTTAGTTTTAGGAAATTTGTTCCATAATATTACAATTTATAATAGTGTTGCACATTTTCTGCATATTTTCCATATTGTCTACTTGTGTTTTTTTTCTTTTGCAAGGTCGTCACCCCTATTTTACCTATTGGCTGAGTCCAAAAAGTTAAATCCCAATTATTACATTTAAAAACTTGTTTTGACAGGTTTTTTATATATTTTTTTAAAATAAAAGTAGGCTTTAGGCTACTACACTAGCCTAGGTCTAGGGTGAATGAAAACATGCCAACCACTGATGCCAAAATAAAGTGAAATGCAACTCATAATTAGTATTATTATGTGATTGTGAAAACCTTCCAAAACAAAATAACATTTTATATTGTCACTTAGTTTTTTTCAATATCTTTGCATCCCACAATGACGCAAGTCATCTTTTAATCTTTATTGAAATTAAATTATTCAACAATAAAAACAATTGTTCTACTTGTGAGTTCTTGTATTTTTTTTCTTAATCCAGATTCACTTGGAAGCGATTTCCAAATTACTTACGCATGGGTGTATATCCTTGATGCTGGTATTCGTACTCGTGGATGGACCATTACGCGTGCCTTACCTGAGTGTCTACACATCCTTGATCCAGCAGCCATAATACCAACCAGATTGACATCACTTACAAATACAGCAAAGCGACTTTGTGATGCTTGCCAGAATGATAATGATGTTGCATCAATGATTCACACAGTGGCTCATCAATTATACCCGAAGGATGCAACCATCATAGGGGATGAATGTGAGGCAGCTGCTGTATACACAAATTGTTTGGAAAAAGAGCAAGTTCCACCAAAAGATATTACCGAGATGATGGTGTACGAGTTAGAGCTGTACAGAAGCAAGCAGGGTCGATCTGGAAAAGACCTACTCTCCTGGTTAGGAAATCTACTTGGTCACAAGCAAATCTCTTCAGTCAATAACAAATCCATTCTCTCAACAATACAAGCCATAAAAAGGAAAAAGCAAGATGCCGACCACAAGAAGAAAAAAGAGATTCTGATAGAAATGACACAGACATTGTTTGTCCCCTCTAAAACAAATGTGTGTGTAGCTACAGGTGATAACAAAATGCTCCAACAATACAAGGCAGACCTGATGAGAACCAAACAGAAAAACAGGAAACTTCAACTGGAGGTAAACGCTAAACACAAAGAATTGGAAAACACAACTAAGCAGTTAACTAAGGCCTGTAAAGACAGAAACGCACAATCTGCTATTATCAGCAGTCAAACAAAACAGACAGCTGCCACTAATAAAGTCAAGAAAGAACTGAAGAAAAGAAAGCGGGAACTCGATAATAGCGAAAGTCGATATAAACCCCGGAATGTTGAGAGGAGAGAATCAACAATGATGAATACCATACAGAAGCTAGAAAAACAGCAGAAGGACAGCAAAGCCAGACTTCAAGGAGAGCTGACAAAGACAAAGAAAAGGTTGGAAAAGAAATTGGATGACCAAACTAGATCTTGCCTATCCAGACGGTACTTTGTAAATAAGTCTAAAAGTCTTCATGACAAGCTGTCAGAGGTCATCACTTTAGAAGATTACAATAAGTTGAACGACAAATATCTGCAACTTAAGCAAGATTTTGCAACTCTGCAAATAAAACATTTTGAGAAAGAACTGGAAATTGATCACCTGAGAGAAAAGAATAAGCCAGTACTGAAGGAAGGGGGTCGAAGTGGAAAGACGTGTGCATATTCGGATGATGTCCATGATTGCTACATGCGCTTGGCAAGCCTTGGTGTATCGTCAAAAAAACTATCAAAAGTTGCTGTTGCTGTTCTCCGAACCATTGCGCATTATGACATCTCAGAGAGTGATTTGCCAAAAGCTACTTTCAGGAAGACAATACCATCAGAGGCCAATGTCATCTCTACAATACAAGTAGCCAACGAAATGAAAGAGTGCGTCAATGCAACAATACACAGTGATGGAACCACCAGAGATGGCGTTAAAGTTGTAGACTTTGAAGTGACAGTCGGGCCAGGCAAAACCAGAACCATGGGCATCACAGAAGTAGGTAAAGGGGATGCTGACACTCAGCTTAGCGCCCTTTTGTTCAACTTGGAGAAATTGGTGATAGTAACTCAGGAGTCTGAGGAAACGAGTGAGGAATGTAAGAAAGAAGAAGTAAAACTGTTGTCTAAAATAAAGAATACAATGGGAGACCAAGCAGCTACACAAAAGTCCTTCAACGCCAAACTGGAAGCTTACAGAAGTGAGGTGGTACCAGCAATGATGAATGGATGGGATGAACTTGGGGAGGAAATACAAGTGCAAATTCTAACAATGAACCACTTCTATTGTAATTTGCATATATTGATAGGTATGGCAACATACTGCGACAAAGGCCTCAAACAACTGGAAGAAACTGTATGGGCCCCTAAATTTGGGCGTCTTGGTGCTGAGGCAAACCCTGATCTACAAAATACCGATGGCTCTTACAGATACCAGCCAGGAAGTTCTGCTACCCAGCGATTAGCAAGGACAGCATGTGAAGCACTGGCTCCTGGCGGAAATCAACAAGCAAACGCAATTGGCCGCTTCAAAACATACCGAGAAATCCACAATATTAAGTTAATGAAGATGGCGTCTTTCCGGGCAAACAGATTTAATTGCCTCTTCGATCGAGCTGCCGGAGTGTACTACCACCGACTACACATTGTCGACGCATTAGGTGAGGGATTTATTGACTGTTCAACAAACAATCTTCTCAAAGCAGTTCTGGACGACTCAAAATCACTACCTTTGCTTGCAGGTCTCCGTGCACTTGGAATCTTGCACAAGCAGCTAACCGAGCCATATTGGCTACTCTGCGAGCATCGTAATGTGCAGATTTTGGATTTTGGACCTCATATCCAAAACCTGTACCAGCGTCTGGATAGTTGGAAGTCTGATGCAAGTCCACTGTTGAGTGCGGATTTTCCACCAATTTTCGTTCTTGCTGATGGTGAGATATTGGAACCTGTTAAGGACGAAGTTTTCATGGAGTTATATGCCAATCAAGGTGAACAAGTGGACACCATTACCAAGGAGGCATTAGAAGTTATGGCTGCAGAGATGATGATCTTACTCAAGAGGCGATTTGTAGACCAATTGGAAGGGCAGTACAGTGGCAACATACCTCAACATATCCGAGAAGAAACACAACACACCATGAAGACGAACAAGAGGGGAGAAAATGACTTTGCATATTGGGCCCATGTCAAGGAAACCAAACCTACGCAATTGGATGTAAACATTGAGGGCACTGCGATGTTTTCACTTAACTACACCGACAAGTACCTAGACCATCTACGGAAGGCTGAGCCTTTAAAGTACACGAAAGTCATCAGACAAGGTAGACGCTTGCGCAAGAAAGTTCAGGGAATTTACCATGCCCGTGCTCAAGAGAACAAGATATCCCAGCAAGAACACATGCTTGCCAAACAGAGGGACCATGAAAGGAAGAAAGCAAAGAAAACAGAATTAGTCCAGTCTCATGTCAAATTCATCAATGACCATGGGGGTGAATGCAAAACACCTGACGACGTCTCCAAATTTGCAAGTCAATTTCAAGCTAAGACAGCCAAACGCCAAGGTCTCAACATCCTGATGCAGTACATAAAACATAAGTATAGAAGAGTTATCACTAAACTGAGAAGAGAGGACAAATCACTGGCCACTATTGGCAACAAGACAATAGAAAACATTCAAGATGACACTAGCAAGCTGCTCGACCTCATTGGTGAAAAAAGCAAGGTATTAGACGCGGAAGTGCTACAACAAGCATCAACAGTCCAATCCTTGAACTTGGAACAATTGAAAACATCCATTTTGGATAATTCTTCAGCAGAGGACAGCTCTGTGGATGTTGCCCACAAGGTAAAAGTTTGAAAGAGCTTTTTAAGACATTTATTTTATTAACTTTGTAAAGCGCATTGAGATTGTGTCAATGATGTAATGCGCTATATAAGAATAAATTATTTTTATTATTTTTATATCTGGACAGTTGAAGGAGCTAGCCCCAAAATCATCCGACTCAGAGTGTGAAGATCAAACGTCTGACTCAGAAGAGGACACTGCCACTTCGGACTCTGAAGATGACACGGCCACTTCGGACTCTGAAGATGACACTTCCGCTTCGGACTCTGAAGATGACGACGACACTGAACCACCCAAGAAGAAAGCCAAAATGACATGTTGGAAGCGTGGAGACTACATCATTGCAGCGTGGACAGTATATGGAAACTGGTTTCCAGGCATAGTGAGCTCAGTGATAAGCGATGAGATGGCCATTGTTAAATATTTTGTACGTTCAAAAAATAAGGATAACATTTTTGTATGGCCACCAGACTCTGACATTCAGACTACTCATACCAGTCAGGTATTGGCTTATAATGTGGACATGTTCCCATGTAGTAACCTCAGATTCCACCAGCTGAATATTGACATTAACAAGATGAACCAGGAATTTGCTGCATTTAGTAACTCGTCGTAATTTTGTGCAACTGATTCAACTGGACAACAAAATGAAACTCAGTCAAAGGTCAGCACAAAGACATGTACATTTAACTTGTGATGGATATCTTTATTATGAAATGTAACATGACAGTACTTGTGATTGGTAGCATGGATGATTATGACAAACAATTTTATTTTGATATGATCTATCAAACTTTGGTAACATGTCAATATGCAAATTAGTTATAAATTACTTACCATATTACCAAAACACACATTTCTGCTCATCTGAGTGTAAAACTGATGATTTTATTGTGTTCAGCACCCCCCAAAACCCCTATATGACACACATTTTTTTAAATATCTGGTACGTAGAGGGAGTTATGAGTCATACGCATATTTAATGAGCTCGACATAGCCAAATTTCCTGACGACCCATTTTGCCGGAGGCTCAATTTGACACAAAGTAGTCATTTTGAAGGATCAAATTTAAAAAAATAATATTAAACACATACTTTCTGCTTTATTTTCTTGATTTATGTATCAAATACTTTACATACACTTAATATTGGACATTTTAAGGCACTAATTGTTACATATATATGCCTTTGAAAACGCAAAATCTTCAAAATCATCGTTTTCACCCAATTTCGCATGAAAAACCACGCTTTTCTTGACAGTTTGATTGAGCATATTTCGAAAACGCTTCAACCGATTTGAACGATTTAAATTGCATTCTTATTTTTTTATCTTACTCTTTCAAATAAAGTAATTCCCAGCATTTTCTGGGAATGTTTAAAAAATAGTGTGTCCCCCCTATTTATAGTCGGGATTTGGGAGTGTTTCCTGCATGGATTCATCTCAGACTAAAAAAATAGAATAGTAAAAAATACTCTTTTGAAGGTGATCAATTCATAAAACAAACTTAAGATGATAAAGTTTTAGCTGGCGGAAGCTTTTACTACCCAACTTGAATAAGCAACAGCAGTTCTACACGGCTACACTAAAACAGATCCAAGTTTATAATTCGCATTGATGAATGTGCTTGCTATGCAACGTTATTGGGAATTTTCTTTTCTTAAAGCTATAGTCCATCATTTGCAGCTATCCCAAAAGTAACTGGCGTATTATTGTTGAAAAACATACTTGGTTGAAAGATAGTAAGGGGACTAAACTCCCTGTGAAATTATTCTTTCTGACAAGCTGTCATTTTGAAGTAATCAACGATTGAAGGCCTTTCCAACGGTGCTTCTTAAGATGCACCGTAGGAAATTTAAATTAGTAGTTCGTTTTGTTATTCGGCGCAGCGCGCGCAAGCATTGGCTTCGGATCAGTGCGCGACATCGCGTAGCTGCAATCGACTCAGTGAGAACATGTCCCGTACGCTGAATTCAGGCCAAATTCAAAACATGATTCAGCAACTTTTGATTTGAAAATGAGATCCTAGAATGCTGTTTTTTCCGGAATATACAGCTGAAGCTGAGCTGAAACTTCATCAGGTTAGTTGTTCAGCACCCTTCTTTAGATTTTGAGCACTTTTGTTGCTTCAAACGAACAAAATGCACAAATTACAAATGATGGACTATATCTTTAATCCTTTGATTGAATTTTCAGGCATTCATATGGAAGTCTACTTGGCCATGACAGACCCTCATCAAAGCACAGTGCACAAGGTAAGACACACTCAACCACTTCAACATGATTGGCCAATCCATCCATTATTGATTGATGAATCATTGATCAATTGATTGTTTCATTTATTGATTATTACAAATGATTTATGAAATTAAACTCTTGCATCAATTCATTTTATGTGGAGCGCTGTGGTGCAATGGTTACGGTGTTTGACTCATGTGCCGTGGTACGTGGGTTTGAACCCTGACGGGGACATGGTGCTTGTGTTCTTGGGCAAGACACTTTACTTCAATTGCCTCTCTCCACCTAGGAGTATAAATGGGTACCTGTGAAGGTAGAGACCAGATTGCGCTGATCTCGAGCTGCTGCAAAAACTGGTCTCATGGCCTGATGAACAAGGGTAATAATTGTGAAGCGCTTTGAGACCTTTGGTATAAAGCGTTATATAAGCACCACATTATCATTATTGTGTAAGATGACACTAGACGACAAGTTACAGTTTGTTCAACGTAATTATTTCAAATTTCATTTCATGCAACGGTAGCGGGATCCCACTATAGTTCATTTGTAACCAAGAAAAAACTAAACCATGAAGATGATAAACCAGGTTAGTAGGCTGTTTAACCCCGGTTAATTCTGCACCGATTTGCACAAACCCAGGTTATTGGTTTAAGCACCCATTGTGCACTGGTTACATGGTTAAGGGTATTTTGGTTCTGTTGTGTGTGTCATTTTTGTACAAATTCAAAAATTTCAAAATTTTATTTCTTCTTTTTTTGCAAGGGTTTTAGATTTTTGAAGTGTTGGTGTGAATTGTGAAATGATTTCCATGAAATTTAAGAGCTTCATTAATTGTTGAAGTGTTCTCAAACTTATTTCTTTGATTGGTTGAACATGATGTCGTAAAAGTCAAGGTTTTTGAAGTGTTCATAATGTGGGAAATATTTCACACCCAAAAATTACAGTTGCAAATAAATCATATAGAGAAAAAATTCACTAAATGTGTTAGGGATATGAAACTGACACTTTATTGAAAGGTTTAGGACAAATCTACCCTGTTCAGAAGAAAGATGTGCAGTAATGTGTTTATAAACACTGTTTCCTGCCCTGCAAAGCTTTCCCGCACTAATTCGTACGTAGTCTTGGGCCAACACATCAGTCATCAATAGTGATTTTAGTTATTGTTGTAGAGCGCCCACGCACATCTGTTCTTGACTTTCTCTCGCTAACATCTTGGGAATTTCGCAGGAATGGAGGCGTGGCAGTTTTATGTAAATTGATCGTTGGTGTAAATATTAATATCGTCGAACAAAACGGTGGCTTTCAATTTGATACCAGTTGGCACACGCAGGTATAACTGAGTTACATATCTAATTAGCGATGCTTGATCACCAAACTTCACAGTTGAATTTCTGCACATAGCTCGTATATTTACAGCCATCACGCAGTGCGCGCAGCGGACGACTGACTTTAAAACCATTTCATGATCGTTGATTGGTTCCCTAGGAAAGCCTAGGGAGAAAATAAAAAAAGAGTTAAACTGCTACTACGAAATTCCCAAGACGTTAGTGTGAGCAGGTGCGCTGGTCTAATTATTGTGTCGTTAGAGGGCCCACTATGCACGTTCCGCTGTGTCCATCACTACCGTCTTGGACCAAAGCTAATACTTGCCCAGAGCATGCTTGCTGAAGAAAAATAATAATGCTTCCATTTCTGTCAACTTCATGTTGTCAGAGCAAAGTTCAAAAAGATTGCTTGCAAGGAGTTAGGCAATAGCCATGTAGCATGGCATCGGCAAGTAGTTTATAACTAGCAAAGCTCAGAGAGAAAAGTAACCAATGCCTGAAAGTTTATTCCCTTTATCAGTTAATAGGTTTTTTTGCAGGTATAGGTTGGTGATCTAGTTGGACAATTTATTGTAAAATTTTGTTCAGTAGAAGTTATTGAGAACTTATACAATGAAGGGTTTAAGGAATATAGGATTATTTGCATTTCATGCATTTTTGTTTGTTAAAAGCTAAACTGTTGAAGTTTCAGCTCAGTGGATATTACACTTTTCGAGAAAACCATGCACAACCTTTTGATCACAAAACACAATGTCGTCCATAACACTCTAGTTCCAAAAATCATTGAATTGACTGATCGTTGGAAATCACCTACATTTCTTGATTTCTTCTAAATGACAGCAAGGTAGACAAAATAATTTCATGGTGTGTTTAGTATCAGTATGATCTTTAATCCAAGTAAGCTGTTTAGTAGTGATTTAGTCAGTTACTTTGTGATTAATGCAAATGATCCTATATGCCTTTAAAGCCTGGTTTCCATATCGACGTTAAAAAAATACGCAGACTGTGCAGACAGTATGCAAAACCGTCGAGTTCAACTTTGCCGATCGTCTGCCAGACATCGAGATAGATGTCTGGATTGTCGGTGACATTTACGGATGAAATGTAACTATGATCATGATCGTTTCGGTTTGCGGTAACACCATGTGGTAATAACTACTGCTTAGAAGATATTAGTTCTGAGAAGAACTTGTCCTGCTTATTATCAACTTTGCTAAGTAGTTTTTGTTCTGTTAAGAACAGTCTCCTGACGATGACTAGAGCAGGCTAGTCGAAACATTGAGACCAAAGACAAGTTCGTTTAGAACTTACAGCAGGACTGTTCTTAACAGAACAAAAAACTACTTAGCAAAGTTGATAATAAGCAGGACAAGTTCTTCTCAGAACTAATATTTTCTAAGCAGTAGTTATTACCACATGGTGTTGCCGCAAACCGAAACGATACCGATATCCCACCATGCAAAGCCTCAAATCTTATATAATCATGATGATATGTCTGGTTGCTGTTTGGGTCTTGTTTGCATAGCTCTCTGCGTTTCATGTCGATATGGAAACAAGGCTTGTTATCTTGTTATCTCTAGCTGTCATGTCTTACCATTGCCATTGATCACATAACAGGCTCCTCAGGCAGTGTGATAGACCCAACCCATCCACCTGTAGCTTCATCCAGTGCCTCCAGTCTCCTCTCAGAGACTGCTAGAGGCTCTAGGTAATTCTAGTTGTCACTTTCTGTCTAGCGATTGTCACCGCGTTAATAACGTTGAAATCAGATGACAGTAGAGGGCGCTATGACTCTGGTACAAGTACATGTGATGCAGAACAGCCAATCATCAGAATCTAGTCTGAGTATGAGACGTTCACGTGTGCAGAGCCACATGACGAATGTCTGATATATCCTAGCATGCCAATTGTATGTGACCCCGTGCGCGAGTTGATTTTAGAAACTGTGACGTCATTTCAATCAGAAATGTGGACTAAGCTATTGATTGGTCAATTTGGTTACCATGTTTATAATACAATCGGTTTAAGACCCCATGCAGCAATAGAAGGCGCTGCTGAATGGTCAGAATCTCGCGGTCAAGACGCAGTCTCGTTTTGCATAATTCATTGCCGAATCTGCTCGCATATCGTAGACCCTTGCTGTGTCTCGCAATGTACCAGGGTTATGTGTCCTCCATCATTGTAAAGTAAAGCCAGTTTGCACACGCATCCTGTTTCATTTCAAAATTGTCAATTCTGCAGTCAGAATTTAATCTCATTTTCCTTCTGAGTTCATTTTTTAAAAAGCCACCAAAGCATGCAAGGATGATTAGAAGGAGGCTCAGTTCCTTTAATTTTTTTTTCTCTTTGAAAAATGTTTGAAATGAAGTGTTGTGTGTTATCTTTGAAGAAAGCAGGATTAGTGCAAATTGGCTACTTCAACATAAATTCACATGATTATCTACACTATTTTGTTACCCCACCGTTTCACATGCATGCATCATAACAGAAGGACAACACACTCACTCATTGAAAACTGTGATTGCTCCGCCTACTAATTTGCATAATCCCACCCATTTTCTCCATAAATGGAGTGTAGTATAGCAGTAACAAGATTTTGCTTGTATGCAAGTTGTGTGTGGTAGTGTAAAACATTAGACTTTCCTGTGATGTTTTATAGATAGCACCTTTTTAGCGCTATTTATTTTTTCAAAGGACTCACTGTTTCTTTGTAGACAAATCTCTGTTTGAAAGATTGTTTTATATTCAAGAAATTTGCAGTTTAAATTATCTGTGAATTGATAAGAACAGGTGGAGATTGAAGCAAATTGCTAAGAAGAGCAATCCATACAGACACACAGTAAGCCCCGCCCACTGCACACATAGGAACAACATGTGTGCCTCTCCAATGCCACATTGCATGCGCCATATGCAAGTGCACCCATATCAGACATGTGGACGCGTTGGTCATGGTCATTGGTCAAAACACCATAGGGCAAGGCTAATTGGAATGGTCTATTAGCACAGTAAGCTGGTATCATCACTGTAAAATCCTCTGTAATTCGGGCGATTCACAATGCAGTGCGCCACCAAGAGTTTGCCATAGAGAATCCATTTTTCAAGTTTACGGTCGACAAAACATGGCCCATTTGAATGAGTGTCAGTAGACAACTTGAGCTTATTTGTTATAGACTGGGGCATAGCGTTCTGCCGCCTTACAAAAAACACCATATTGATAAAAAGAAAAGAAAAGGGCAAACATATACTCGAATCATACGCTTACAAAACTACTTACCGGAAAAACGAACAATTTTAAATGTCCCGCGCTGCGAATTTGTCGACCATCTCCAACAATGCACTGGGAAAAATGAACTCTCTGTGGCAAACTCTTGGTGGCGCACTGCATTGTGAATCGCCCGAATTGTCTTTAAATGTGAACTGGTGTATTGTCAATACTGTTATTTGTGGGATGAATAAGATGTATGTGAACCCAGAACCATATGAACATTGTGTACGTGCTTTACCAAGCTGTTGGCTGTTGCAGTTCCTTAGATTTATTTGAAGATTTGAAGATTTCAATTTTTGAATGTTTGAATATTTGAATTGTGCTCTTTATTTTCAGACATGTACATGTATGCACATCTTTCAATATGTCATTAAATGACTAATGTCAACACCTCATCTAGATCATCGTCCCAACTTAAGATGAGACGTTCTCAACTAAGGTGTTCCAACTTGAACACTGGGAACGTACGGTCCCATTTTCAGTTGGGTCCAATATGGTCTAGTTGGGGCGCAACACTCACACAGTATATTTTCTTTTAAATGTCATATTTATATATATGTATTATTTCACAGTTGCACATTGATGTTGGTGTTGTTGCACCTATCATTCGATATTCATTTTAACCCGCCTGCTTGCTGAACAGTCACAGACAGTCAAAAAAATCAATCCTCTTCCCCTGCCATGCCTTTTACACAGGCTAGTCACCAACTGTCAGACCATATTTTAAGCAAGCACTGTGACTAGTCAAATTCAGTTAACAGACAAAAGTAAACAAGTTGTAGGCACAGTTATCAATCACCTACAGTCAAAGCATAGCTGTATCAAGTTGCATAAACAGTCCCAGCCAGTCAATCCTGCTTTCGTGGGCTGGGATCGGAGCTCTTTACTGTTAAACTTGTTGAAGTCACTTGATTGACTTTGACTGAAAGGACAACTTTGCACAGAATGTATTTCTGCATAGGAGGGTTATTTAACGCCATTAAGGAATCTACACTGCATCACAAATTGTTCAGTAAACATGATGAACATCATTTCGGCAGAATCTACACTCTTTCCTTCAACATGTTCAATACAGTCATATTATATCAAAGATTTTATATTTATTCTGCCTCAAATGTGAGTGGTCAATCTGTCATTTTAAATGACATTTTTAAATTGTTGCTCTGTCTTTGTTGTTTGTGTTTTGAAGGAGTTAGTTACCGTCTTTGTGTGTTTACAACCAAATCTTGTTTTTGATCCTATTCATTATTTCCTGAGTTTTGTTGATGTTGATTTCTTGTTTTCTTACATTAACAATTCTGATTCCTGGTAACTAACCGGTCCACTTTCTTTGACGTGCAGTGGAGTGAAAATATTAACAACACTTGATCAATTGAACAATCATTTCAATAAAAGAACAAATAAAACAGATGTTTTTCAGCTGACAAATGAGGATAGAGTTTCCCATGTTTCATGGATCATTTGCAAACTGTGAACAACTGTCTTCCAATTTGATATACATGTAGTGTGCAAACTTCTCCATTTTTTTGTACACTTTAATTTTCACAGCAGGCACTCAATATGTTTCATTAATATTTCTGAAACGCTGAAATGGAAGTTCAGAAAACTCCATTTGTTTATGAGTTCAGTTAAGTTTACTTTGCTAAACCAAATTCATCCAATCTTAACTTTGTTGGTTTTTAATCACACTTATATTTCAACTGATGATGATAAGCTAATATTCAAAACACATTGAATGCTTTTCATTGTGATTTAACCACTTACATTTGGCACTCCAACTCACAAATAATGCTGTATATCTTGATGGTTTCTATCATATCAAACCCCTCCAAATATTAAGAATGTGTAGTTTTCTGGACCAAAGTAAACATTTTGTTGTTTTCCTGTAGTGCCAACTCAGCCCAGGTCAACTCGGAGAGTCACCGCTCCAATCAAGGGACCGCAACTCCCAACGCAATGGAAACCCAAAATCTAACCAGGGGCTCAAAGGTTAGGCAGATTCAATCTCAGATGTTTCTCAAATCCTGACCTTGGCTCTATTGCCAAACTTCATGCCTGAACCCGAGACTGAGAGAAAGCCTGGGTTTGAGAAATGGCCCTCTTTTCTCATAAGTCATGTTTAAAAATAAAGAAATTGACATCTGCACTAGCAAGAAGGAGGTTGTGGGTTCGAACCCTTCCCAAGCAAACGTGTGTCTTATAAAATTGTGAGGATTTTCAGTAGCACATGCGTTAGGGCCCATCTCCATTCATATCCGACACATAAACAAGTTCCAGACAAGTTGTGGGTAGAATCATTCACTTCGTTCTTAAGAAGCTCTGCATTTGTCCCTGACATGTTCCCAGGAAATGCTCATTTGCAACTGATTGATTCACCAATACTGATAACTTCATTGCGAGAAGATTATACAGGGAAGTTGTTCAGAATCCTGCAACTTACACTGCAACGTAACTCATCCTGCAACGTAACTCATCCTGCAACGTAACTCATCCTGCAACGTAACTCATCCTGCAACGTAACTCATCCTGCAACGTAACTCATCCTGCAACGTAACTCATCCTGCAACGTAACTCATCCTGCAACGTAACTCATCCTGCAACGTAACTCATCCTGCAACGTAACACATCCTGGATATGAAATGAGATGGGCCCTTACATTCTAGCTGTTTTTATTAACAAATGCATTTGCCAATTCTGTTTTGTAGGGAGCAGTCTTATGTACAGTGTGATTTTTCTTTGACTTTTTTTTATAACGAATGCTGAGTATTGAAACTTGCTAATGTCAAGGTTCTTTTCATTTTTTTTTTTGAAATATGACAGGGTGAGAGTGAGGTCCGTCGTTATCGTGTCCCAACCCCTGTATCATCCTCTAAATCCCCACACACTGTATCCAAGATCCATCGTTGCTCAACGGAAGCCACTCCAATCACGGACACCTCGGCTTTCACACTTCAACAACGAAACACCAAGAGCTCGCATCACTTCCAAAAGGCTCAGAATTTCTACTCCGGATCCGTGGTCACTGCCAAGTCAGATCAGGGGAAGAGAAATGGTACCTCACCCTCTAGGAATGATAAGAAGGGGCCAGAAGGTGGAAACGGTGGCAGCAGTGGGATCAGATCAAAGCAGACAGGATCTCCAGCAGAGAATCTTACAGGGTATCGTATGAGTGTTGCCAGCTTGAAGAAAGCTGGTCTGGTTGGTCAGAATTATGCCAACACAAACAACAATGGTGAGCAAACTTCAGCAGATGGAAACGATAATGCTGAGGATAAATCTGGGAGAAAGGTTGAAGGGATGGAAGAGGTTAACGACGTAGCTCAGCAACGACAGGTTTTGGTTTCGCCGGTTGGAGCAGAGAACGGAGACACTATATCGCTACATTACAAGAATGAGATTGGTGGTAAGAGTAGTGACACAGAAACAGATTCAGAAGCCTGGAAGGAGATTCGCAAACCCAAGACATTCCGTGATAATCTCAATGGTTCAAATGCAACCGAAAATGAAGCGCATCACAGAACAAGACACCAGTCTCACGAACAGCAGCATAGACAACGATTTGAAAACAGGGTCAAATCAGCCGGTCAACGTAGCGTCATGTCTAGTAGATCAGAACCAAGTAACCCTGATGGTAGATTGTTAGAATCCAATCTGAGGAACTCAGTTCAGACTAGCGGTATTGTTGGGCGACCGGTAGCCGGACGGCCGGTAACCCGCCCATTATCATGCAGTAGTAGTGTCCGCTATACGCCTACATCATCTGTGAAGAATGTTAACGGCGCTCGACCTGTCGTGGATGGTATGCAGAAATACAAGCCTGTGACGGGTACCGAGGAAGCGATATACGCTACAATGTCTGTTAAGCCGTTTCCTAACAGACCGCAAACCCCTGTTGGCAGGTCTGTTGTTACAGGGAACCAGGCAATGAAGGGACAGCAGCCAATACGCAGGAATAATTTGAAGCAGGGGAGATCACGGAGCCCAAGGAGCCAGTCTAGGGATCGCTATGACGACGACCTCTACGCTGACCGGGTCATCTCACCACAAAGCACCAGCAAGTTCGTCCACGTGCAGCAATTGGCTTTGCAGATGCGTGGATTCGGTATAGCGCCCTCCAGTGACCAGGGTGGGCCATGTGATGGGGGAAGTAGTTATCATATTGTGATGGAGGGGGCGGAGTCTGCTGGGCCGAGAGATGAGAAAAGTGGGCGTAGAACCAGTGAGGTGAGATCTATGTGTACAAGTGTCAACAGTGTACTTTATTAACAGCGTGTAGAGTTTTGTGCAGACGTACATGTGTAACTTATAAAAGCTTCAGAAACAAATAATCTTTATTTGGTGAAAGAAATAATGTTGTTTAAAGGCATACATGTACATTGTAGGGTCATTTGCTTTTTTTGCATATTTCCCATTTCCAACAACTCAAAATGTTAAAAACCTAACCTGTTGAAGTTTCAGTTCATTGGATGTTACACTTTCCGAGAAAACTATGAAAAAACCATGCACCTTCATTTACAATGTAATCATAAAACACAATTTCATCATAAAACTCAATATTCCAAAAAATTAGTCAATTGACTGATTGTTAGAAATCACTTACATTTCTGCTTTGTAAATGACATCAAGCTAGACGGAATAATTTCACAGGTTTTTTAGTAGCAGTACTTTTTGATAATAATTCGGTCGGTTACTTTTGGGATAAATGCAACTGACCCTAATATTAATGCCTTTAATACCAATTCTTATTACAAATTTCATATTGTTTGGATAAGATAAATTGATCTATTTTAAGAATTTCCCCTCAAAGATTTTGTTCATTAATTTCAATAATCTGTCCATTTTATTTTCCCAGCCTCCTCGTAGTGGTCGTCGTTCAGCAAAAGGTGTCCGTTCTCCCATGATGCACGAGTCCAAGTTCTCACCTGAGGATGCCACCGCTGAGCCTAGCGTCGTCGTGGAGTTCCAAGGTGGTTTCCAAGGCAATCAGAAGTCAGCTGCCATGATGAGATATGCAAGGAAGAAATGATTGGACGATATTGGGATCCTGAATGGACTGATCAACTAGCCCCACCTCATGATCCTTTTATCAATCGCAGCCTTCATTAATGTCCAACATGCTTGCACAAAAGTCGGACATGCCTGCATGCGCGTATGATGTGCGCGGCTGGAACGTGCACTGTGGCATTGGAGAAGGCACGTTGTTTCCCATGCGTGTAGTGGGCAGGGCTTATGTTGTTTCCCATGTGTGTAGTGGGCTGGGCTTATTGTCACCTTGCTATGGAATCGGTCTCATTTACCTCATGGTATCAAGTTACTCCAAAGTGCCCTCTATTAACCAACAGGAAATGGAGTCTTAGTCAACTGAGAAGGGGTTGGGGAGAGGGGGGATGTAAGATCTCTTAACAATGTATGTGCCAAATTGTATAGTACCGGTAGTTTGATTAGAGTGACAGGATTTGACATTAGCATGAAGGTTTCCTCGCTCTATCTACAGTCAAATCTCAGAAACCAGCATGTGTGATCAATCTGAGAAGGGGTTCTCATTGATCTCGGAAGAGAGATGTTTTATTCTCTCTTTTCTTCAGTCTTGTCTTTCAGTGTTTGCGTAAAAACCATAGCTCTATATTAAATTACCAGAGCGCTAACTCCTCATTCCCTGCGGAGATACATGTACTTTGAAGCCATCCTGTGCACAGGCATTTTGAATTCGTGTGCGTGTTTGTAGTATTTAATTAAATCAAATAGAACGAATTTCAAATAATGTACTCTTAATGTTGATGCGCAAGTATAACGCTTGCGTTTGCGTTGTTTGCGCAGAGCAAATGAAACGCTCATTAACTGATTGTGTGTTTCGGTTTTGTGCGTATCGGCTTCGATAACGCACCTGTATAGAAAACACACGCAGATACAATGTATGCAAAAAGCCGTACTAAAGCCTTAATAAATTTTGTGTTTTCCATAGTTGTGCACAAACATGGATGCGCCCAGCAGGCATCACTTTGTACACGAGTCAGCGCTCTAGTAATTTAATATAGCTCTATGGTAAAAACAAACTTGATCAAGATTTTTAGCAGAAAATACTGTTTGGAAAAACATTTTACCAACACGTACCAGTAAGCAACAGAGCCCACTTAGGTAAATCGTTTTTGAGTGGAAAACAAATTTAAAATTCCAGCAGTATTCTTTCTCATGTTTCAAAGAATCAAACTGCTACTGGTTCCTGTCCTACATGTAAGGCCAAAAAAAAAAAAAGTTCTGCTTCCAATTACATGGCTTTTGAAAATAGGGTAGGTAGGTAGGGAATTTTTTTTTTTTGCCAAATTTTTTTGGTGTACGATCATATGGAGGTGTCTGCGTGAAGTCAAGGGTAAAAGGTAGAAATTGATGGTTTTGGGTGTTTTTTCTCATTTTTCCCAAAAACAATTAGGGAAGGGGTTGTCAGAATAGGGTAGGTAGGGAAACCGGAAGCAGAACTATTTTTTTTTTGGCCTAAGCAGTATATTTTGCTGAGAAATCTTGAAACGGGTTTTGTCATTTCAGAGTCTGGTTTTACACAAATGTTTATGTTATTTGGTTGTGTCAAGGTACTGTATAAATATTGTTTGACTTGCTGTGAATGAAATATTATGTTAAACTTTAAATAAAATGTGTTTGTATATAATGAAGAGAATTATAAATTTGTATATTTGAGCTTATAGATCATTTTATATTGAAACTTTCACAGTTTTTTTCCATTAGCCGATAAACATGATAAATTTGGGCAAATTTATTAAAGACGACTTTACCTCTGTGTCGCCAATTTAAAAGTACTTCAACTTAAGATCTGGGATCCGATTTGTCTTTCCAACTTGGAAAAAAAGAGTCGTAGCTTTCAAAACAATCACTGCAGGTCTGTTTGATATTAAGGGTCTAGAATGTGTGTGTTTTACATGTACATGTAAGTCATGTACAGGTTGATGAATAAAAACCAAGTTCAGCGCTTTCCTTCAATTTTGCTGGTTCTCGTCAGACGTTTTTTTAAGGATTAGTGTTTTAGTAATTGTTCGAGCCTGGATGCTTTATTTCTTAGCTGGTTCATTCTGTACATTTAGGGTCCAAAATGTGACGTCGTTCCTGTCCCTGTTACCTTTATACTTTGTAATTAGCCAATTCAAGTATCACCAAGAATGACTTCAAACAATTTTATATTTAATCATTGCTTCCCCGCCTTGTTAATTGCTGGTTGTTCAAGTGATCCCTTCCATTTTGGCTTACTGTTTGTTCTTCCCATTTAATTTGCATTTGCTGCTGTGTGTGACATACTTCGTTTTTAGTTTGGTGTGTCCACACGTAACAGTAGTTTGCTATTTATAATCACTCTTGGAGGATGACTGCATTAAAGCCCGAGTCCATCATTTGCAGCTATCCCAAAAGTAATTATTGGTGTAATTATTGTTGAAAAACATACTTGGTAGAAAGATAGTAAGGGGACTTAACTCCCTGTGAAATTATTCTTTCTGGTTAGCTGTCATTTTGAAGTAATCAACGAAAGAAGGCCTTTCCAACGGTGCGTCTTAAGAAGCACCGTAGGAAATTAAAACTAGTAGTTCATTTTGTTATTCGGCGAAGCGCGCGCAAGCATTGGCACGATGCACATGCGCGCGCAGTTGCTATAATTCGTCGGATCAGTGCGCGACATCACGTAGTGAGCGACATCACGTAGTGAGAACGTGTCTCGGACGCTGAATTCAGGCTCAATTCAAAACATGATTCAGCAACTTTTGATTTGAAATCGAGATCCTAGAATGTTGTTTTTCTCGAAAAATGCAGCTGAAGCTAAGCTGAAACTTCATTAGATTGGTTGTTCAGCATCCTTCTTCAGATATTGAGCACTTTTGTTGCTTCAAACGAACAAAATACACAAATTACAAATGATGGACTATACCTTTAAGGAGTGCGTCAGAATTGTAAAAGCATAGATGTCAGATGTAACAGGGACAGGAAAAAAATAGTTAAACCCCAAATGTATAGAATGACTTGACTACAAAATGCAACACACTCCCCGAAAGAATTTCTCATGTATTAGACACTGGATATAACCCATTTTGATTTCAACACAAAGAACCATTGATTTCAAACCACGCAAACCAGTATGACACTTCAACAATACATTTTATTTTTTACTTTCAGGCACTTTTCATATACAGGACGGAATATTAAAAATACTGGACGATGTCAAATTGTATAGGCACATATGCATCTATTGATACATCAACTGACCAATCAATTAATTCAATCAATTTAGCCAATCAATCAATTTATTGACAGATAGATCGATCATTTGATGAACCAACTGGCTACCTGATTGATTGATTGATTCCCAATCAAAGAACTCTCCCAGGCCAATTAATTAACTTATTGCAATAGATATGGGAGACTGGTTTTACACAAATGTAATAAAAAAGTAAAACAGTTTACATTTTCATCAAAATTATTCATTACAAATTTATATTTTTCGCCGCTTTGAATGCGGGCAAGTTAAGCCACGATGGCCTTGGTGAAAGGCTAACCCTGGTCAAAACTTTTTTATTACAAATTTGAAAAGAGCACAATCTCAGCATTACTGCTGTGAAAACCGCATGCTGATACCATCTTTAGTTAAAAAATTATGGAAGTCGGAACACCAAGAGATGTGATGCAGTGATGTGATGAAGTCGCCCTATTTTGGCCTGTATCTCCAAGTAAAAATTCCCTACAAACGACTCATTTAGCTTGATCGCATCACATATTTTTTATACAACACCTGAATAAATCCTTGTCATCTGATTGGTCAGAGCCACCAATCGTGTGACTGTGCAATGGAAATCTATTTACCGTGGAATAGAACTTCTATTTTTGTGGTGCTGCGGGGTCGTGGGTTGGGATGAATAATTCAATGATCAACGACCCATAATATTTATAAGTAGCAGGCCAGCATATGGAGCAAAAAATACATCATACAGATCAGGAGAACTACAAAAAATGACTTGAACATGAGCAATGGAATGAATACATGTAGTTTCATTGGGGAGTCAGGTTGGCGTAGCGATACTTTCCTCGCCTTCCACCCCTGTGACCCGGGTTCGAATCCCGCCTGGGCCAATATGTGGATTGGGTTTTCAGTCCCTGCCTGATTCCACGGTTTTTTTCCCCGGAATATTCTGGGCTTTTCCTCCCACCTCTAAAACTGTAACTTCTTCTCATTGTCTTCTCTCCACAGGTTTCTTCAGGCTTGCGAGCTACAGTGCCTAGGGCGCTTTTGAGGAATCCTTGGTTTCATTACCAGAAAGATTAATAATAATAACAAGTATTCTCTACTTCATTGTTTGTGCCGTTCTGTACCTTATGAATACAGCATAGTCATGATAGTAGAAACGTGCATAGTTTCTACCACTTAAATCACCACACAAGTTTTTTATCCAAACTTTATACATCTTTCCTAGAAAGCGTTCTAGGAATGAAAATATTCCTTGTAGTTTACAAGTAATAAATAGTAGTTTTATTACCTTAATAATTTCACATATTTACATATAAATTCTTTTGTAATCGAAAAACAATTTGATTAATGAAATTTTTGTTGCTGTCTGTTCTCGAGTCTGGACGGAACATTAAGGCCAATGTACACATATGCCATTCTGTCGCGCGACTCTGTTGCGCGACAATGTCGCACATTTTTATAAATACAAACAAAGAAGTGTGTTTAAATTTATGCGAGGTCGTACGACTATCCCACTTTGTTTGATTAAAGTCGAAGTGATTACGTGATTCGAAGTCATGGCATACACATTGACCCTGCACCAGAAAAGTGATTATTTGTAAAAAATCGCGAGCATCTATGACACTGCGGCAACGTCGTTGCGACAAAATCGCGTAGGTCTAAATATGCATTTAGCTGGCACCCAACACTGCATAAACAGGCATGAATACAGGTATGATAAAAGCAAGATGAGTACAAAAATGTATACAGTACAAAATAATTTGACAAAGTAAAGGCTAACTGGACGGAATGGAATGAATGTATGAGTAAACTGAGTGGTAGCAAACTGGACGGAGAGCTGAATTACAAAATTAAGCTTCACAATCGACTACAACTTGTACAAGTACTGAACCAGTACATGACGTTTAAAACAGCAACTGACGCCCAAAATGACTGTCAAGACAAAGCACTTTATAAATAGTAATAATTCTATCATGGACGAATTATTAAGGTCATGAGTAACCCAGCTTATGTGAAGACCCACGTTGGAATGACCCAGGTCAAGTGAATATGACCCAGGTCGAGTGAATGACCCAGGTCAAGTGAATGATCAAGGTCAAGTGAATGACTCTGATCATGTGCCTCAGGGTGACCTGCAGCCCCTATGCGTTTCACCTCAATGTGGATGTATTTAACTTTCAATTGACACACAACTATACAGACCCAATTGAACAGTACGATACTTGATCCAAACCTTGTTATTGTTTCACTGTGATCATGAGAAGTCATAGGAGTTATATCGTGGCTCTCTCGACGGTAACGTAGGAGGGCGCTGTAACTGCATTGCTGCTCGCGCCGTGGACGGCCGCGCCAAGCGAGACAATCGATGAGCTAAGTTAGGAGGAGTGTTGATTGATGACCGGATGATGGGCTGATGACGATCGATGTTCTTTGGTTCTGGCATAGCGTGTAATGGATTAATCCTATTCAGAAAAATACAAAAATCAAAGATAACTGTTCTGGTGATGTAAGGTAAAAAAAGGTAAAGGGGACGAACCTGTGTTCACAGGAACGGAGTGCCCATCTCTCTTACGAAGCAATAGGGCCAGACTCGAGTCCATGAAATGCTGCTGTGGGGGGATCGCCACACCTCCTCCACAGCGAGTCTGTTACCTTCCCAGCATTGAATAATGCCGGTATCCATTTAACACCTTGGTCAAGAAGAATAATTGAGGTAAAGTGCCTTACTCAAGGGCACAACATGCATGGCCACGGCGGGACTCGAACCCACAACCTCACGCTCATGAATCCTGTGCTCTACCGCTAGACCACACGTGCCCTTGTCCGGTTATGTAATCAGTTTTAAGTTTTTTATCTCGTTTTGTTCATTAGAGAAAGGTTAACAATTGCATTGAGGGAATTATTTGCAAGTACTGAGTGATCAAGTTTCCACTTACTTGAATTTTCTGGTGCCAACGATAGGTCCAGAGAGTGGTCTATTCTCTAATGGGATGATTGGAGGCGGTGAGTAAGGCATCGTTGCTGGACTTGTCTGTCCTGAATCACTAGGATCCATCTCATCATCCATGGATAAATGCATGTGTTGAAGACGTTGATCTAGGCCTTGGTGCTCCTCAAAGGAACGAGCTCGCACTCTCCGGGATCGGAAATCATCTGCAACGTGGAGAGAGTGCTACACAGTTACAAATCAGAAACCGATTGGGAACTCCAGCTCAATTTGGATTCATTCAATCCTATAATACGAGGCCAATCTGGCCAACGTTTAAAGTACTCTTCAACAAATTTGATCTTTTACATTAATACATTTTCAACTTGTACGATATTGTTGTGAAATTACACAGACTTTATTGCTCATCGATTACTGATTCATAGCTGGTTGATTAGTGGTAAATAATCCTCTGAATCACTTACGCAGCGATGACTTGTGCGTGCGCTTTTAGCGCAGAGCGCCTGCCCTCTTTTGACAGAGCGCGTAACGTTGTTTTGCCGCGCTACACGCTACCTTACATTATAGAATTGTATCATAAATATTATGATTAGAATGTTCGATTGTTTATTCCATTGTAAACACTGTGTTAAATACGTACAGCTTTACAAGAAAGGAAATATTTCGTTGTTCTGATTCTATAACATACATCTAAGCGTGTAGCGTGGCAAAACAACTTAACGCGCTTCGTCAAAAGAGTGCGCTAGCGCGACCAAACAAGTTTGCGCTGCTTACATGCGTTTCTCATTTACACGCAGCAAGAAATGAATCGTCGCTGCAGGTGCTCTGCGCTAAAAGCGCACCCACAAGTCACCACTGCGTAAGTAATTTGAAGGATTATTTACCATTCATAAATACCTCAGACAGTTTAGCTATTCCTATTGGTCGAGAGCCCGTCACGTGGCCGGTCTTAAACGGATGATAAAGACATGGCTAGCTGGTCTTAAACACTTTTCCAGTGTCACAATAAAATGTGGACTAAAAAACCAGTGCCTCTTACGGTTTTATTGGTTGAGCGTTCACAATCCTCATGTAGGCATACGCAACACTACAAGCGAGTCAGAATTTGATAGTTCCAAATTCAAACGCAACGCCCCAGGTGCGTTCTGCGTGACATCGCGCAGAACATGCTACGCGCGCGTCAATCTCCATAAAAGGGTTGTTTACATCTTACTCGCCAGCTGAACACTCCATTATTTTGCTAGAGGGATGTTTCAAAAAGCATGAAGTGAACTTGTTGAACAAAATTGGGATTTTTTGAACGAATTATTTGATATTTTTCTACGGATAAGGTATTTATGAATGGGAATAAATATGTGCTCGGTCGGTATTTATCACTCTGTTTAATACCGCTTAGAGTCTGGGTGCTGATAATTACCCTCGCCTCCGGCTCGGGTAATTATCAGCACCCAGACTCTAAGCGGTATTAAACAGAGTGATAAAAACCTCCGGAGCACACATTTATTCCCTTAATAATCAATTAGCTATTAATCAATAATCGATGAGCAATAAAGTCTGCAACCCTCTGAAACAAGGCTCTTTGTTTTGGTCACAAACAGATCCGCTTTGCAAGCAGACTGGCTCCTGGATGGTACATTATTGATACTGATTGTGAGGCAGGAACCAGCCTACCACTCGAGAACACAATTATTGACTAACAGCGAATAATTCCAAATTGTAAAGTAATAATTCAATAACTAAACATGGGCCGATTTCTTTTTCTTTATGTTTAATTTAAAAGTGAATAACTTTTGTACATTGCTAGAAAAATAGGACTTTAGAAAAAGAATCTATTTTTTTTCAGGAAGAAACTCGAAAACAGCATGGGGAATGCAAGATTAAGAATAACTCCATTTAGTTTTGACATAAAAGCTTGGGAAATATTGTTGAGCCAGAGATGAAGGTGAAACTGGAGATGAAGTGGACGTTTTGAAACTCTAAGATCCTGCAAAGTAATTCACATTTATTGACAATGAGTGTTCTGCATTACACCTTTAGGTCCATAGCAAAGGTATTACCGTGTCTATCCAACTTACTGGCTGTCTTAGGTCTGACTGCTCTTCTCTTCGGCGCTTGCGGGATTCTTGGAGATGCAGAGCGAGGTGGTGTGGGTTCCCGATCCAACCCTCCTGATGCTAAGGATTCTGGGTAATCTGATGTAGGTGATGGGGAGGCATCGAGTCCGTAATCTTCGTCATAACCTAGGTCGTTGTTGTTGGAGAAGTAATCTTGATGAGTCTTCATGTTATCGTCATCGTCATCGCTGTGATGAATCTTCAAGATCTGGGGCTCTGATTCCTTGATGCGAGCCAGTATTTTTCTACGGAAAAAAACCCATAATTAACCATAATTACAATTCCTTGTTTGGTTAATTATTCAGTGCTAATGGTTTACTCTTTAGAAGACTGTTACAATGTACAGGTTAATTTCAATTACAGAATAATAATAATAAAAATAATAACAATAATGTGATGATTATAGCGCTTTATACCGAAAGTTTAAAAGTGCTTTACAATATTACCCCTGTTCATCAGGATTAAACCATTTTTCTGCAGCAGCTCGAGATCAGCACAATTTGGTCTCTACCTTCACAGGTACCTATTTATACTCCTGGGTGCAATTGTAGAACAGTGTCTTGCCCAAGAACACAAGCACCATGTTCCCCATCAGGGTTCGACCACTGTAACCATTGGACAACAGCGCCCCACGAAAACTTGCTATTTTAAATTTTTGTTCAAGTGTTTCTCCCACTAACTTACGCTTCGTGTTGTTCCTTCCATTCCTTCAACTCTGCAAAGATATCTTCTTTACTTTTCCCGTCATCTTCTTCTTCTAAGATGTAGGAATGCTCGGGTTGATGTTGGAACATTGAGAAGAGACTTGGTGCCTGGAAGGCCGTTACTGTGTCCTAGAAAATCAAAATTAATCATTCAATAAGATAGAAACGGTTTAAAGACTCATATAAATTTCCATCGATATTTCATACATTTACGATGCAGTTCCTGTACTTTTGTGTCTTTACAAACCCTGTACATTTTAAAGTGGTTATAGCAGCATCATCAAGGGAATAATGATCACTTCAGATACACTTGTAAAGTATTTAGGATTCCATCAATAATTTCCATGTTCGCAATATGCTGTCTCTATTTAGGCCAAAAAAAAAAATAGTCGGTGGTTGGTCTGCGCGTGCGTCGATTTTAATCATGCGCGTCAAGCTTTTTTTCTTTCAAATTTTCCTCGGTAGCTTCAACAGCAATCTCGATTGCCTCACCACCTCCAATGTTTGTACCAAAGAGCACCAAGGAATGGGGAAAGTGCACCAAGGCAAATGATCGAGGGTACCAAGGCAAATTATGGAGGACACCAATGTACATGAAGACACAACAAAAGCAAAATAGTACCCAACTTGTCTGTACAATCCAAGCTTAAAAAAAAAAATTGCCAAAACGAAAAAAAAAAACATCGCTTCGCCGCATCAATTCCGGAACTTTGGTCTGACCAGAGACCGACTATTTTTTTTTTTGGCCTTAGCTTTAAATTTGTTTTTTTTTATGCTGAGAAAAAAAAAAAGTCTTACCTTATTGTTTCTGCGCCTATTCCTGAGCGCTCTGACTGGGTTACCACAGATCACTCCCCCACTGCCATGTGTCAGATCACTGGCATCTTCCTGCGTTGGGTGGATGTCTGAACCTGCAGAAACGGGAAATAATAACGCATGATTGAACTTGAGGCTGTAACCAAATCTCTTATCTACACCTGTCATCTAGGTCTTTGAAAATGACAACAATCATAGCCATAGCTACAGAGGCCTATTTCAGACATGGCTTATAGGTAGGGGCGGGCTGACGTCATCCGATGAAAACATCTGCCCATTCGCATACCAGTTTTTATCGGTTGCTATGTGTTATCATTCAGAACTCCAGACTCGAGAACCACTGAGTCTCATGAACATAGGTCTGGGAGCTAGATAAGCCAATGTAAACAATTCCCGGATGTCTGCGTCCACCTACATACACGATGTGCCCAGTCTGGTACCCTGATGTTGCCAGATCTACTGCCCAGACTACTCCCTGATCTACTTCCACACAACCCATGCATTAACAGTCCAACTTGGAGAAGAATACAAAAGGGTCTGTCCACACTAACGGTTACAACTTATAACTTTATGGGTGAGACATGGGAGGTGGATTTCAAGCAGGTTTTTTTGCTAATTTTTTTTTAAAAACATTCCTGTATTATCCGTGATTGCACTGATAAATAATGAGGCTGATTCACTGGATATGTAGGAAATTACTTGGCCCTCAATATTCAATGAAGAATTAGTATCATTCAACATTAAAGCAACCTGTTAAGTATTAATGAAATTATGATGCGACTCGATACATGTTCATAACATGGACAGAAATGTGTGACATAATTTATGTCCCTGTTATGAACATGAAGTCTTGAAGATGTGTACACTCTGTAGTTAAAAATACCTAGAGGTTTAACCTGAGATTGGCCAGTGGCAATCTCTCAATGGGTAGCTTTACAGTAGGAACAAATTGGGGTTAATTCATGTATTTTATTTACTGCTTCCCACCACTTAAAGATGAAATGTCTGTCCATGTTATGAAGGTTAAATCTTGAAGATAATCCTCTGTAATTTCTCGAAACCTGAGAAATGTATCAAACTTGTTGGTGGGCAATGTTCTTACCAAGATATTGGATGAAGAAAGACAGAAAATTTAACATATTACTTCATGTATCGACTCCTGTCCATGGTTCCCTCTAAATAGCACACTTTTGTAACCGTTAGTGTTGACCGACCCAAAAGTAAACAACCAATAACTCGAGGTTGAACCCCATGGTACCCTACACAACATGGAGGTAAACCTCACGTGACCACCCGTTCTCCTTTGCATTCTCCCTTACCTCCTGTATCTGGTCTCTCTCCTTGTGCTGTTCCTGGTCTTCTACCTGAAGCTGTACCAGGTCTAGTACCCAGACTACTCCCTGGTCTACCACTAGATGATCCTGGTCTAGCTGAGCCAGGTCTCCGTCTTGAAGCAGAGGATGGTCGGGCAGTTCCTGGCCTACTCTCTGTATTTGTATGAGAAATCGATGAATGTTTAAAATGTAGAAAATGGCCAACCACTCCGTAAAACTATTTGTCATATGATTTCACACTGTCACGCTAAGACGCACTGCAGACAAGTCTTGTCCTGTTTAGTGAACAAAACCAACTCCCCCACTCTCCCACCCCCCCCCCCCCCCAAAAAAAATCACCTCAAACCGTTTCACCTGTTTAACATGAAACAGGTGTTTGGCAGATGGGCGACTTTGCTTTGCACGTTATTGGGAGCAACACGACACTGCAAACTTGCAAACTGTTATAAGTTTGGAAAACTCTACCGAGACAGTAAGTAGCAATCACTGCACTATGATGTTACCTTCATTGTGCTTCAATGTTTCTTTGTCCTTAGCTTTGGAGGACTGACCACCTACGTTCAATAATAAATTGACAATTCATTTCTTGAATATTGGTCTTTTTTCCTACCGCTGTGTTTGACATAAGCTCATAAAGGGTAAAAGCTCACCAATTTATTAAATTCACATCCTTCCCCACAAAAAAAAATCCCATCACACAAAACAGTGAATTTAATCATTAACCCTAACCCTCCTCAATTCTCCAAAATCAACCAGGACTGAGGCTGAATGGCAAAACAATGTCAGTTGATTTTGGAGGATGCATTTTGTCGAGTTCGTAGGCTGTACCCAGCATTGTTCATGTTCAGCCAAGCATAACTGAGGCCCACATGAGTTGGATATCATTCACACTGCTTCTGGATATCATTGGCAATGCCTCAACATATCGACAGTGATTGTTGGGGGATTTTGAAGGATGAGGCAATGGTCATCCCTCCACTGAACAAATTCAAGAAATAGCAAATTGATTTCGGAGGATTGAGGCTGAATCCAAGTTTTACACGGTGGCAATTGGGGGATTTTGAAGGATTAAGGATGCATCTTAGCCAACATGCGCTGGGCGGTTAAGGTCACTTAAAAAGTATTCTTAATATCAACACAGGCAAGTTTATCTTTCAAATAAGATAACTGACTTGAATATTAAGTACTGACCTTCGACCTCTAGCTTTTCATTTGACCCCTGATCTTTGATAGCCTCATTAACCAGCAGCCATTCCATACTGATGTTTGCTGAGGTTCTGCCCAGGCTAGATGGCACAATGGATAGAGGATCATCATCAAGTATCTTGAGTTGGGGAATGGCCTTGGATGTTGCAGCTCGGTAGTCAAAGTCACCGTCTTTCTCCTGTTGAAAAGAAGAGTTTTACTTCATAAAACAGTGAAAGAGTATTCACAGGAGCAGTGCCAGTATGTAAACAACAAACCAGCTAAGCAATCAACCAACTAACAAACCAACTCATAAACAAAGGGATCAGTCTTATTTTTGTCTGATAAAGTCACACTAGAAACGCTTAATGCCTGAAATCCATCCAGAAAATTTACCCACTTGCTAGGACCTCAACCAAATTAATTGGCTTCAGCTTGTTACAACATATCTGTCAAGCCTATATGCACGGCTAAGGCTACTTCTCAAAGATGCTTGTGTCAATGTAAGCTGTAGCCACGTTATTTGGAGGTAGACTTGGCCAGGGTGACCATAAGGTCATGACTAAATTCTGCTAAATGCACTTCAAAAATCTGCCAGGTTTATCAAAAATCTGCCAAATTCCCCAGAATTACTCGAAATACACTATAAACCTTGAAATCACATGCAGATGCTGTAATATTGCCCTAATTATTGTTCAAATTACATAATAAACAATCTATAGCCACATACAGATAATATGAAATTGCGTAAACCGGGCAAAACGCAGTTGCGTCACGACGAAATCCGGTGGATCCCAGTGAACTTCAGCAACTACACCAGGCAACCTGTCCTATTTTGCAAGGGTTTGTTTGAAAAGATTGAAGCTTTTGTAAACAAATGTACTATTTTTTGTCAAATGTGCTGTTTTTCTGTCAAATAACCATTTTTGCAGAATTCTGCCGGAAATCTGCCAAAAAAAATCCATTTGCAAATTTTCTGTCAAACTCGTTTTTTAACAAAAAAATCTGTCAAACTTAGCCGAAAATCGGCTAAAACCAAACGGTCACTATGGACTTGGCTTACCTTATCATAGTCAACAGAGGGCGCTTGACACACTGGGTTTCCTTCTAACGTCAGAGTGTTGAGTTTTGGACATAAACTCAGGAACTCAACTTGAGACATGTCATTAATGCTGTTCCTGCGTACAAATAGTAACACGTTAACAAAACAAATAAATGTATACATTTTTACCAATTTGACACAACTTCTGAAATTTACATGGACTGATGTCCTTCTTTCCAAACATACCCCTCGAGATCCAACAACTGCAGGCACTCCAGCATACTGCAAGGACTAAGATCCGATATGTCATTATATGCTAGGTACAGCTCCTGCAAAAATGAAGAGAAAAGAGAAAAAAATGTAACCAATCTAAGAGCACAAAGGTTAGTTGAACACACTTCCAAGTATTTATTGTAATGGAGTATTCCCGTCCGTCAATTTAACAGTGCCTATTCCATCTAGGTCACACAATGAACACCGAGGCATCCATAGGACCTACCTGAAGGGATGACATGGAGCCTATTCCATCTAGGTCACACAATGAACACCGAGGCATCCATAGGACGTGTAAGTTTTCTAATGAGGTGCCCAAATCCCGCACTGTAGCAATGATGCTGTTACTGAGTTTCAGGTACTTCAGGTTGGGCACCATGGTTCCTGGAAGAGAGATCAAATCAATATAATACTGATCACAAAGAGTCAATTACAAATTCAAGTATTGGTTGAATTTTGTAATTAAATGAGTTCTAAATTGTTACCTCCGCAACTTGAAATTTTCAAACTTCCAGTCACAAAAGGAATCACAAAAGTTCAATAATGACTAACGACTGAAGAATATGGTACATAAGATGGAGAAACTTTGAAGACAAGTGAAAAGTCATTTCTAACAGACATAATTCCTCACCAAAATTCCCCAGACTTGTTTCCGTGGTATCGACCCTCATCTCCAGAAATTTGACATCATCGAGATCATCGACACCCGTCATTTCTTTCTGCGATTACAAAAGAGATTTTGTGAAGTAACTAGCGATACAAAAAAGGACACATAAATTCTTTATTTATTTCAAACATATGTTATTTGCTATCTCTGACACTGCCCTCCTTTTAATTGTTTTCCTGGACAAGCACCATAACCCTAACCCACCTCACTCCTCCAAAATCCTCCTGGCGGTTTTGGAGGATTCTAGAGGATTGAGGATGAATGGTGATTGAATCAAATGAGGATTCTGGAGGATTGAGGATGAATGATGATTGAAGCACATGAGGATTTTGGAGGATTGAGGATGAATGGTGATTGAAGCACAAGAGGATTTTGGAGGATTGAGGATGAATGCATTTTGAGGCAGGACTGTCTGATGATTTTGAAGGATTTGGCGTTGGTTATCCTTCATTTAAACACGAGTGCAAAGTTTTGGGATGAGGAGGATTTTGGAGGATTGAGGATGAATGCATTTTAAGGCAGGACTGTCTGACAATTTTGAAAAATTTAGGCGGAGTTGCAAAATTTTGGAAAATTTTGGAGGATTTTGGAGGATTGAGGATGGTTGTAAGCAACAAGGGCCTAGGGGGTTAGGGTTAACACGCAGGATTTACCATTTTTGCCGATGAGAGGTAGTCTTCCAATAAGAACTCCGTATCTTCTTCCACAGGAATCGGTTGAGGGTTGACAGCTGTGCTGCCAAAATCAGTGATATGTACAGATGCCATGATGGGGAGTGTACGTACACGTACTTCCTTGACAATGCCTGTTGAGAGCATTACAAATAATTGATGAATAGAATGAAATGAAACGAATTATATCGACCTTACTTCATTGATTTGACATGAAAATCATGACGATCACCTCAAGTTGAAGTTACTCACGATAAGTAAAAAATAAATAAAACAGAACTTTTCTAACGTAAATCCAGGTGTTTTTTTAAATGGAGGAGGCAGCCCTGTTTGTTTTTTGCCAAGATGGCCGATATTCCAAGATGGATCCTTTCATTTTCTTGACACTTTAAAAAGTCTTTTGCTAATATGTTTGTGTCCAAATGAGCTGTAAACCTGTTTCACGGCCGGTGACAACAAGTGCCACGCCTGGCCGCACAGCGCACATGCCCTCCGGCCATCACCACTTGCACGCCCGGTGACAAGTGCCACGCCTGGCCACACAGTGCCACCGGTTCCAGCACCCCCCCCAAAAAAATAAATGAACAATAAATAAATAAGTCTATACGTATAAATAATCGAGATGGGGTATGGGTTGTGAATAACGGCAAAACAGCATTTTGCTTTCGGGATGACACTGACAGGTGCCGAGTTGGTCAGGTGCCGAGTTGGAAGTTGTAAAGAGGCAAAATTATAAATAAATGATGAATATAATGAAATGAAGCAAAATTCGGGTGCCGAGTTGGCCAGGTGCCGAGTTGGCTAGGTGCCGACTAGGTGCCGAGTTGGCATGGTGCCGAGTTGGCAAGGTGCCAAGTTGGCAGGTGCCGAGTTGGCTAGGTGCCGAAGTGACCGACATTCGACTTAGCCCGACTGCGTCTGGCCGTACAGTACTATCGCAAGCTCTGTAGTACGGCCAGACGCCCGATGCTTCCAAAAAGACTGAATTTTTTTGGCCGCCGATGTAGCGATTTTGCTACATCTTTCGATCGCGATTATCTTTTCATCCAGGACACAAATTTCCAAAGTTAAGGTTCGTAGTCGTAGAGCAACTCATACCTTTTCGAAAAAAACGTTCTTTGGTCTCAATATTTTCATCCATCTGGCCACAAGACGAATTTCAGTCATCAGATTCCACAAATATCGTCCCCCATGCGATCCTCCATGCGATTTCAAAATGGCGGCCGCGCTGTAATGTATGCATTAGGCGAGCGCGCTTGGGCAAGATAATGAATATGCATCATAGTTTATGACGTATGTCGGACACTCAGCGCGGCTGGCCATACAAACACGAGGTCATGAACTAAATAATGCATATTCATTATCTTGCCCAAGCGCGCTCGCATAATGCATACATTACAGCGCGGCCGCCATTTTGAAATCGCATGGGGGATCGCATGGGGGACGATATTTGTGGAATCTGATGACTGAAATTCGTCTTGTGGCCAGATGGATGAAAATATTGAGACCAAAGAACGTTTTTTCGAAAAGGTATGAGTTGCTCTACGACTACGAACCTTAACTTTGGAAATTTGTGTCCTGGATGAAAAGATAATCGCGATCGAAAGATGTAGCAAAATCGCTACATCGGCGGCCAAAAAAATTCAGTCTTTTTGGAAGCATCGGGCGTCTGGCCGTACTACAGAGCTTGCGCTAGTACTGTACGGCCAGACGCAGTCGGGCTACATTCGACTGTACAGCCATGATTCATGCATGATGATTGCAGTTTGGTTTGTGCATAGCGATGTGCGCGTTGCCAGGAACGCTAACTTCGACCATTCTGGAAAACAGTCAAAAATAGCACTAAATTCAATCTCAGAATACTTAGTTTTAACACTTATATAAACCTTAAATAAATATGATTAAAATAAGGTGCACTGACTTACAATATTATCTACTCAAAGTGAAAAATTGGCGAGTATTGGAAGTATTTTCTGTCTCAATCCAGCAGACCGCGACGCCATTTTGCCTCTTAAAATATTTAAATCGATTGTTTGTCTTTTCGTGTCTCCAGTAAAGAAAACATTAAAGAGATGATTTTCCTCAACAATTCAAAGTTTTTTTCCAACTTTTGATCGTGTTTTCGTTCATGTTGTTGAATGAATGTCTAAATTCCCACCTGTGATTTTAATAACCTAATTAATGATAACATATTAGGCCTAATTCTACCTCCATGATTCAACCCAACACCCCTTGGTCGGAAATGGAATCGCTTCCGCTTGTAACCTTTGAACTTGAACATAAAGGCCGGAATATAAGACGTCACTTGCAAGCAAAATGGCGACCACTACGGAACTGACGCTGGAAAGAGGTAAAGGAATCCCCCTTTTTCGTGTAATTTTGTGTAAATGTTTGTATTATTTTAATGCTGTTGTTGAGATCAAAGTGCCAAAATTGTGATCTACCTGGTGTTGTATCACTGCGTTGCTGTACAAAGATGTTCGCGACAAGCGTTCGCGGTGAAAATTGAGTGGGTGCGTCGCCGGCCGATCGCTCGCGGCTTTGCGTAGGCCTACATGATCACGAAACAGGCTTACAGCCTCGTACGCACGAAACAGCCTCGTCGCACACGTCTTGCACGAATGCATGGACCAACTCGTCTGCAGCCAGCATACTTACTTAATATGAGTGCCAACTCGTACGCTTGCAAACTCGTACGCTTTACGTACGGACTACGGTATGTTTATATAAACATGATTAAAAGGCAAAAACGTTTGATTTGAATTAATCACTGTTCTGACATTGAAATTTATTGTTTCTTTTATTTATTTCTAGTATTTTTCCAGGGTAGCCTTAATCTGTATTCACCATTCAGTGGTCTTCCATAGGCATGATAGGGCCCTGGCATCGATAACAATGATTAAAACAAATTTAAACTTAATAAAAAGAAGGTTGTTGTGACATTAAAATGAACCAAAGTGAAAATAAACTAAAGAGAACTACACACAAAATTTAGAAGATGATAACATCGTAAAAATACATTAACAGAAAAGGTAAATGGTGCAAAGTGATACACAAACAAAAAGAAAATAATTAAAAGAACACATTATAACGCCAAAAAATCAAATACAGTCGAATCTCGTTAGTACAAACTCTGTTAATACAAAATTCTGGTTATAACAACATAAAGCCTTAGTCCCAACTGTGCATTTATGTGCACAATGAATGGGACTGATGTTCCTCTTAATACAAAATTCTGATATAACAAACAATTTGGCTAGGTCCGAACGAGTTTGTATTAACGAGACTCGACTGTACTTAAAACAGTAAGACTTGGTAAAATTAAAAGTCACTTAGTTAAAAAAAGGATGCCCCCACTAAAAATCATTTAGGTCTAAATACTAAAACACTCAGTAAAAAATACGAAAAAAATAGTAAAATATGAAATACGAATATAAAAACGCAAGAAAATTGTACAAGGACCCCAAAAAACAAAAAAACACATTAAAAAAACCCATTAAATTACAAAAAAATGAAAACAAATAAAAAGCACAGGAATTAACGAACTCTTGGAAGATTGCTCTTAAACTTAAAGCTGGCAGGCTGGCAAGCGATTTGAATGTAGCAGCAGGTGAACATGCTTTAGGTATGTGAGATTTCTTTAGCGAAACCGTAGACTCTCAGATCCTCCTCTGGCATGTCGGGAAAAATGTTGCAACCTGCTCCACTTTTTTCTTCATATATCATGTATATCATCTCAATGAATTTTATTCATTTACAAAAATGATGATTAGACATGAATTTGGGACTGAGAAGCATTTCCAATTTTGTTAGGAAATTCTTACAAAATTTTCTTGACTCTCCGTAGACTTTGTACACAATCGCAAGTGGCGTCAGGTTGCAACATTTTTCCTCCTTAACAGCCTTGTTTTTGAATTTTTCAATGAGCACTGGACGCTGGAGAAGATAAGAATTTAACATCGACAAATTCAGGGTTATAAAAGCCTTCAATTTTCAACACGAAATTACCTTTTAACTCATATTCAAAATGTATTGATCTTCCACATCCGTGCAAATTTTGAAGAAAATCTTTCGATGCAAACATACTTTTCTAGGAAGCAGAAAATGTTCAAGTATTATGACAAATATGGCCACTTTTCAGCGTACACTGAAGAAATGAGCTTTGACATGCCCATGTGTACACATGAACAGCCTAACAGGTGGTTATCATGGGTCTGGCATCCTAGGCCGATATGAGGATTTGAATGGGATTAGTATATTGTGTTATCTCCACCGCTGTTTCCTGAGTTTATATCAGTCTGTTCCTGTGCACTCTGCTGATGTTGTTCCACTGGGATTTCCTGGATTACTGGGAAAGTCCATACACGCAAGAGCGTTGCACACTTATAAAATACAAGACCGACATTTAGCATGTTTACAAAAATGTAGGTCAGTGTTTTCCAACCTGTAAAAATAACCTGGTGCCCTGCCATGCTTTCTAAGGCACCCGCCAAGCTTGAAAAGCTGCCGCCATGCTTACAAAGTTGCCGCAATGCTTTAAAAAAAATGACAAAATAATAAAAAAAGACAAACAAATGGGACTTACCCTTACCCTCCAGGGTATAGTTTGGCCAGAAACTCTGTCAAATTTTGTCAAAAGCAGTAACATGCAACACTTGTCAAACTGACAAGCCTGTCCATTGTAGCAATCCATCAGATCAAACGTTTCAAGGCCAAACTGCCTCAGATTCCCTGGTCACTGATGTATTAAAAAGATGATGCTGAGCCAGTATTGAACTTAACTGTTACTGTGTTAGAAATGGCCTAAAAAGCTGTTATCCAACTTACATGTTCATCTGCAAATAGTGCCCCCTAGCATAAAAAAAATTAAGAAATGTATGACTGCAAATAGTGCCCCTAAAGTAAACATAGCGCCCCCCTCCCCCTCTGCTTTTTGATGTCACACCGACCTTTAATTTTTGAAGTTGGAGAACACTGGTAGGTGTAGCAGCTAAAATTGTAGTGTAATTTATGGGATGAATGGAGAAATGTGAAAGGTCTTTAAATAAAGTGGGGAAAGAATAAAGAATGGTGGGGTTATAGCCAGAATCATGTGATAGATAAGGCATACTTGTAAACCTCAACAACAAAGTACCAGTGTAGGATAACATAGAAATGTCGCTATTATTTCCCCAAGGAAAAGAAAGGGAAAGCCACTTATTGCAGTAGGTACCAGTAGTAAGCTCACAATCTGTGTAATTACATTATTCAATAGTTGGCACGTGTTCAAAGTCATCTTTTAGTAACTAGAATTACCAGGGCATGCAGGGTGAAGTTCTGAAGGGCGCCAGTTTTTGCAAAATAAGTACCGGAGCACTGGCAGCTTAAAATCGCTATACCGAACGATCACTATTACGAACAATTTCTGTGGATCCCGCAATGTTCGTTATAGCGGCGTTCCACTGTATACCCAGAGGCCCCTATTGCATTCCGCGTGTTCTACAACAAATTCCATATTTTTTTCTACATGTATATTTAAATTTCAAAATTTCAAACCAAAAACTGCCTTTTTTGACACCTGCAACCCAAGGAAAAACAACTTTTTTTGTTTTGGGCGCAAACATCTGCGAGGAGACTGGCTCCCAACCTCGACCCCAGGGTGTCGAGCAGTACGCGCCCATCACTACCTACTCTCTCACCCTGGTATTGGATCATTTGCATATGTGCAAGATTTTTGAACACGTATGCAAAGTCTGGTGCCTGCATGTGCGTTACATTACCGTTCGTTTTTGTATGCGGTGTCTGGGGTAAAAACAGAGTCAATTCGTCGCAGCGTGAGCACAGCGTGAGTTACGAAAACGCGATTTATTTAATTAAACTGTTACGATCTTATCGAGACAACATGCAGTATCACATTTCATATTAATACGAACAAATTGGAAAAGGAAAGGAATGTTTTTGAGAAGGCGTGGACGAATGATCGTGAAAACACGTACTGCACGTTGTGAATAACAACACCAAGTACACGATACAAATCCAATACTAGCCAATTGCGATATCGAATCAGGATACAGGAAGAAAGTTTACTATCCAGGGTTTACTATTGGAAACACGGTTGGAAATAAAGTAAGCACTGGGGACGAGGTTGACTGGCTCCCGATCCCTACTGCGCGAGAACACATTATCGTCTGGCAACCAAACATTTGTGTTAGATGTCTCATTCAAAAGTGAATAACTTTCGTATTGCTTAAAAAAATTGAAATTTAGAAAAGGAATCTGTTTTTCGGGGCGATCAAACCTTGAAAGTAGCACAGGGAACGCATCCTTAAGAGCAATGATCAAGGATTTCCTCGACTTCAATCCCCAAAAGAGCTCCCACTTTATGATAAGACTGATTTATTAGACCAGTTGCTGCTATGAGTTTGATGCTCTAAACAGCTGGCTGGTCTATCATTGCTGGCAGAAAATTAATACTGATCGCTCTGCGTTGATTCTGATCTTATCCTAATTACGTCTGCCATCAGACTATTAGTCTTGACATGTCAGACACGAAAATCTTGAAGACATGTTAGAGGTGCTACACCCATCTTAGAAGGAATTTTGAAACCAATGGGACTAGCCATACTGTGTGACACTTTTGCACTGAATCACATGGTTCATTTGGGTGGGTAGGCTGTTTCTAATCATCACATTAACCTATTGGAAATAGTCATGCCATTGTTCAACAGTGGACTGAAGTTGAAGTTCACTGGCTGTATTGCTGAACTTATGTAGTGGATCTAACGCTGGATGTGTAGAAGGATTGTTAGTTAATTGTCATCCATCTCTCCACCACAAAACTGAGGAACTCATTGTGCTCGCTGAGATCAAATTGATTGTCGGGAAGATCTCTTAGCTGAACTTCAGGATGAGCACTATGTTGACGACTTGTCATTTTTCCTGTTTTGCAGATGTCTCCCGAGCCATTGAGTTACTGCAGCACCTACAACAAAGTAAGTACTTCAACTGTATTAAAAAATGCATTATTCATTGTTATTAAAATAACAAAGAACACTCTCCCAGGAACCTACAAGGCCTAAGGTGGCAAGGTTTATTGTACAATGTAGATGAAGTGCACCCTCTGCTTGACTAAACAGTGGCAGGCATCAAAGTAAACAGTCGGTGGCAAGCGTGAATGTAACAACTTATGAGATTTCCTACAATGTACCGTAGGCCTATTTGCAATTTTGGAATTTCACATTCAATTAGTTTTATTTTAGTGAGGCAGGAACTTTCCTTCTTCGCTCCGTCCTCTCAAGTGCATACTAAGATGTCAGAAATTAAAGAAGAAAGAGTTTTGGCTCCTTGTAATATTGTCAACAAGGAGAAATATGTCCTTTGAATGAGCAAATTTAAACCCTCCGAGTCTTCTGCATTTCACAACCCTTCAAGTTTTGCAAAACCCATTTGCCCATAGAGTTTACTATAGCACCCACACTTCAAATTCCTTTGAGGTAACCTTCTGTGGAGTATGGATAACACTTCAAATCCCTGCACAGATTCTTTTTTGTGTGGTTAAGCTCAGGGCAAGCAGGCAGATTCAGTCACGCTTCACTGCTCTCCATAGTGCTGTTGTTAGTGCAGTAACTCTCTGTGTGACACAGTTTACACTTCATATCCATTCACCTGAAACTGACCTGCAGGGTTTTAAAGGGTTTAAAATATTGCTCTGAAATTCTGAATATGAGCGTTAACTTAGCAAATTTTTATTGAAAATGCAGATAAGGACTTTTAAGGATTCATTTCTTGTGCAACAGTGCAAGCATATGGCTGCCTCCTGGCAGATTTTGCTTCCACTAAGCAAGTAATTTGGAGCATCCTACACACATTGATGATTCTATAAACAGACCGCTGCCCCACCCTAAGACACCTAATCCCCCCACCCCCCACAGGAAGGGGAGCCTTGTGGCTTAGCATTGTAATCCCATAATGCTATATCCTCTCCAGTTATACTACATCTAATCATTGTGATTGTGATTTGATTTAGGGTAAGCCGTGCCATTATTATTGACTTTCGTGATTCTGATAGATGAAAATGTAGACCTCGGGAAAGAAAACAACCATCACAAAGCATGCAAAGATATCGTAGTTTTTCTCCCAAAAATGGTTTTGAATTTGAAAAAAAGAAAGAAGTACACATGAATTATTAACCCTAACCCCCTAGGCCCTTGTTGCTTACAACCATCCTCAATCCTCCAAAATCCTCCAAAATTTTGCAACTCCGCCTAAATTTTTCAAACTTGTTAGACAGTCCTGCCTCAAAATGCATTCATCCTCAATCCTCCAAAATCATCCTAATCCCAAAACTTTGCACTCGTGTTTAAATGAAGGATAACCAACGCCAAATCCTTCAAAATCATCAGACAGTCCTGCCTCAAAATGCATTCATCCTCAATCCTCCAAAATCCTCTTGTGCTTCAATCACCATTCATCCTCAATCCTCCAGAGTCCTCATTTGATTCAATCACCATTCATCCTCAATCCTCTAGAATCCTCCAAAACCGCCAGGAGGATTTTGGAGGAGTGAGGTGGGTAAGGGTTAACCTATCGTCATTTGCGAGTTAGCCGCGCCCCTTAGACAACCCCTTTGGACAACCCTCTGTATGTTAAGTTTTGTTTGTCTCAGATTTAGCGCGTTCCGCGTCCACTTGTATGTCATATAATTGGACAATATTCGACAAGCTGCATTTCTACAGCTGAAAAAGTCTCTTTATTTCTAGTATTCAAAATCCCACATGTTGATGGAATGAAGATCACTGTATCCTCTGTTTTGTCTTGCAGATGTACGGGATGTGCCTCCACAGAAGTTAATTGCTCTTCAGAAGGTTCTTGAGAGTGAGTTTTTTACGGCAGTCAGAGAGGTTTATGAGCATGTATATGAGACGGTGGATATACAGGGGGATCCTGAGATCAGAGCGAATGCAACAGCTAAGGTATGTACGTGTTCCTGGCACAGTTGGCAAATAACTCATTGGCTTTAGATTATGCTGACTGTTTCAGAATGCTATCTTGAAAACAAGACTACTTATAATCACTTGTCAAGTACATGGCGGGCCTTTATGAAGGATCTCATTGTAAACAATACTCATACAGAAACATCGATGAATGCCAAAAAAACAATCAGTGTTCTCCAACATGTAGAACAAACCTGGCGCCCCGCCATGCTTTCTGCGGCGCCCGCCATGTTTAAGAAGTCCCCGCCAAGCTTTAAAATCCTGCCGCCAGGTTTAATTTTTTTGACTCTACAGTGTACGTTTACAACTAAAATAATTGATATCAGTTGTTTTTCCACACATTAACAATGTATTTCGATGTCATCCCAGCCCGATCGGGGTTGTCTTAAAATCTCGCTGAATAAATCACACGCACGGCCGGCCGTGCAAACACCAGCGATTCCCCATGCACTGTACGTACTATACTAGGTACGCGCGATGTACACACACTGACAACTGAATCCCCAGTTCCGGAGTGTGCCGATACTTCAAGTAGCGACAACCCCGCCGCAAAAATATATATTTGTATTAGTACACACACACACCAGCAGGAGTACGTACGGCAGATCTTACGTGCAGCCAACCGACTTTCTTTTTCTCAGTGCTTGCACGCACGGTACACAATATAATACGCATTGATGTTTTTGTACGAGGCAAACGAGCTCGAGGCCAAAACACGCGTGCACATAGCTATATAGTGTTCCGATCATGCCGATTGTCAAAAGTTATAAATGGCGACCGTGTATGGGCCCGGTTCCCTAAGAGAACAAAATCCACTTTTAATTTATTTGACTTACCAAACTAGTTGGCGACATTTAAGAACATTAAGCCACAGAGAGTTCATTTTACCCAGTGCATTGTGGGAAATGGTCGACAAATTTGTAGTGCGGAACATTTGAAATTGTTAGATTTGTAGGTCAGTAGTTCGTAAGCGTATGATTTGAGAATCTGTTTGCCATGTTCTTTTCTTTTTCTCAATATGGTGGGTTTTTTTAAGGCGGCAGAACGCTTTGCTCAAACAAATTAGCTCAAATTGTCTACTGACACTCATTCAAATGGGCCAGGTTTTGTCAACCATATAACATGTATAATGTATATATGTAAACACGAAAAATGGACTCTCCGTGACAAACTCTTGGTGGTGCACTGCATTGTGAATCGCCCGAATTCCAAGTTGGGCCACTTGGTATACATGTAATGAAAGGTATTCACATACCAAGACATGCAAGAAGGTAAAGAAAGTGGTCCAAACAGATTTTGACAGTTGTTACAACATGAACAAACTTTGTCGTCACTTTTAAACAAAATGTCAAAATCACACAGAACAAAAATTCCTGTCAAGGGTAAAGACAAACTTTGTCGTCACTTTTAAACAAAATGTCAAAATCACACAGAACAAAAATTCCTGTCAAGGGTAAAGAGACACTCATTCATCTCATGGTAATATAAAAAACCCACATTTTAAATTTCTCAGAAAAAAATGTTGTTTTAATGCCACTTTCTATTTTGAGACATGCTGTATATTCCTTTCCTTTCACAGTACCTGTACAGGCCACCATAGCAGCATTTGCAGCAAGATATTGTTCAGTAGTGTTTGTTTAATACTTTTCCTGACATCTGCATATTTGTATTTTTTCGGGGGTGACCTCTCCAGGCCACTGTAGCAGCTTTTGCAGCAAGATATCATTCAGTACTATATGTTTAATACATTTCCTGATATTCACATATTTTTATCTCCCCTGGTTTGACCTCTCCAGGCCACCGTAGCAGCATTTGCAGCCAGTGAAGGCCACGCCCATCCCCGCGTCGTTGAACTCCCTAAGACAGATGAGGGTCTGGGCTTCAATGTCATGGGAGGCAGGGAGCAGAACTCACCCATCTACATCTCTCGTATCATCCCTGGGGGCGTGGCTGATCGACATCGAGGACTCAAGAGGGGGGACCAACTCCTATCAGTCAACGGAATTGTAAGCTCACATTTGTAATTTGAAGAGGATCCATGTTTTATTTGAAAGTATAGAACCCTTGCATGCAGCGTTCTTCTTTGAGACAGGTTTTTGGTATTTTAAAAACCTTCTTCTGATAGAACTGTCACAAGCTGTCAAAACGTTAATCATTTCCTCTACCATAGCTTATGTACAGGCTGGTCACCAAATGCCAAAGCCCTGTGGATTAAACCACATAACTGTCTAAACCTGTTGAAAGGCTTTGATAGATTTATAAGCAGTCCTTCTGTTTTGAAGCCTGCGATCACACCCCCATGCCATCACACGCCTAAATGCTTCCTGAGAAGTGCGAATAATCGCACGCCTGAATCCCTCAGTACCGCACATCTCGGCATACATGTACATTTACGGGCATAATTATACTTCATAATTTGTGAAAAACAAAGTACGTCGGTGAAGAGAAAAGGGCTTTATTGTAAACCAAGATGAATATTATGAAAAAAAATACCAGATTGTTCAGTCCCAGCTTGAACCACAGAATCACACACCTAGAAAAATCACACGCCTTTAAAAATCACACGCCTAGAAAAATCCAGGTGTGCGTTTTTTCACACACCTGTGATTTTCAAATCAGAAGGACTGCTTATGATAAGGTGTGCTTGAATACTGCTACAACTTTACTGCCATTCTATAGACCTTATGCGTAGCAGCCATTGCCCTCTAACAGAGGGCAACGCCTTTGTTTTGCTGGACATGCATGAGTGAGCCTTTTGTGCCTTCATTGTTACTGAATTAAATCAATCATTGCCAGGCACTCAGCAGTACTTAAACCCACTGTATATTACTGTCAATCAAGGCATGGGCCATTCAGTTGACAAAAACAATACCCAGGTTTACCATCAAAACCGAATAGTGGAATTCAAACAGAATGTTACAAAATCCAGATTTAAAGGTATAGTCCATCATTTGTAATTTGTGCATTTTGATTGTTTGAAGCAAAAAAGTGCTCGAAATCTGAACAAGGATGCTGCACAACCAAGTTTCAGCTCAGCTTTAGCTGCATTTTTCGAGAAAAACAACATTCTAGGATCTCGATTTCAAAACAAAAGTTGCTGAATCATGTTTTGAATTGGGCCTGAATTCAGCGTCCGAGACACGTTCTCACTGAGCCGATTGCAGCTACGCGATGTCGCGCACTGATCCGACGAATTATACCAACCGCACGCGCGTGTGCGTCGTGCCAATGCTTGCGCGCGCTTTGCCGAATAACTAAACAAACTACTAATTTGAATTTCCTACGGTGCGTCTTAAGAAGCACCGTTGGAAAGGCCTTCTTTCGTTGATTTCTTCAAAATGACAGCTTGCCAGAAAGAATAATTTCCCAGGGAGTTTAGTCCCCTTACTATCTTTCAACCAAGTATTTTTTTCAACAATAATTACGTCAGTCACTTTTTGGATAGCTACAAATGATGGACTCTGGCGTTAAACAACAACTCCATTGATATTTGGTTTACAGTCGGTAGAAGGTGAGCAGCATGAGAAGGCAGTAGAGTTGCTGAAATCGGCCAAGGATCGCGTCAAGCTGGTGGTACGATACACACCCAAGGTGCTGGAAGAGATGGAGGCAAGATTCGACAGACAGAGAGCGGCACGCAGACATAATGCTAACCAGATGAGTACATTTGAAAAGTGAGTACAATCAGAAAGGAATTGCTGTTGCATGATGGTTGGAACTTGGGTTAAGATCGTGGATAGTTCATATTAGGGACCGCTAGAAGTGATGCGTGTATGGGATATGTATGCAGCTCACAAATAGTGGTCTATTAAAGGGGAATATACATCATTTGCTTATGCTGTAATTTTCAGAAATGGATGGAATTGGGGGGTTGGAAATATATAGCAAATATAGTTACACTGACTTTTTTGAGGTTTTGGGTTCGAAAATGCTATAAAAACCAAGAAAAACAATCATTTTCCTGTAGTCTGGTTCCCTGATTCCATATAAGAAGAAACAGAGCAGTTTACATAAATTGGGGAATTGTCGGCCGACCAGCATTGGAAATTGATACAAACATACCAGTTTTCTTGAAAATGACAGTATACCAGGTGCCATGATTTTACAGGATGCTTTACACTGTCATTCACTAACAGTCCAGCAAGGTATTTCAAAATGATTTGGTAGTTTTATTTTTTGATGTTTGCAAATGTTGTATTTTCCCTTTAAATCAGCATTTTGTAGGATAATTTCCCCCGGCCCACAGATCTACATCTTTATAGTTAGATATGAGATGCACCATTGCCGATAGTGTTCTGATAAAACAACATTTCAAATTGGTGGTTTAATGTACACCATTTGTAAACATAAACTAAACTAAACTACCAAATTATTATGAAATACATGTACCTCACTTGACTGTAAGAGAATAATAGTCTCTAGCATCCTGTGAAATCCTGGCACCTGTTGTGCTGTCATTTTCAAGAAAAGTGGGATTTTTGTATCAATTTCCAACAACGGTTTGCCAACCGTTGTTGGACAAAAATGGACTATTTTTCAAATACAGCCCCCATATCTCCAAATTGAGTTAGTCCACATTATGTATGCAGTTGTTTACACTCCGTGAATGGGTGCAAGCCAGAAAGTCTGGTTCCCTGACCTGACAATTCCCAACGTCTATAGATAAATTGCTTTATTTCATCCCAAGTAGAGTCTGTAACCAGGCTTGCTTATGACATAACTGGGCAATTCCAGCGTTATGAAGGAAGTGATATGTTCATGACAGAGCCAATTAACCATGATATCTAATTAATGATTCAGAGAAATGATCCAAAACGCCTAGTCTGTAATCTCCTTGACCATTGCTAGATGATGGATGCATAAGATTTGAAAAATGCATTTTCAGGTTTATTCACTGAGCTCTTAAAGGCTCTGTCACAGACATTACACACCGCTGGAATTGTCCATCAGCAGAATACTCGTAACTTGCTGCATTGTTGTCCGGTAAAGTTAACAATTTACCCAAGTACTGTTACTTCTATTTGTTGTACGAATCATGATTTCATTCTTTTTGTTCTCCAGTATTTAACTAGATTCCACCAGATAATCATCCAGCTTCATAATCTCGTTAATCAACCAAGCAGTTAGGCCCAGGATAGACTCCTTATGAAAGAGATGTCAGACTATTGTGCTATTTATACAGGGGTATATATATCCTACATTGTATTCACTGTTTAATCTCTGCCAGTCATAGATGGCAGTGTGTGTGTTTGTTGGTCAGTTACATTGTGCTTTGTTTGTATGTTATTGTAAGAGTTGAACATGAAAGTACAAGGAATGAGCTGCAATGGGCCGACAGTTCAACATCATTTCCGGACATTTTTATTGTATTTGTTGGGCGCGATCGGTGGATCTACACAATCGGTCGATCGTGCTGCGCTATTGGTCAATCGTGCCCTCATTGGTCAATCGTGCCAACGTCAATCGATCACATTTTCTTTCTAATTCATGTAATCCATGGCTCCTGGAGAATTGTTTTGAAATGGGAAGTATAGTCTGAGATTTCTTACAGGAACGACCGATAGCACAGATCCACCGATCCGGCCCAACATACACGTATAGATGCAACAAATTCATGTAAGCATTCATATTTCGCTAAAATATTTAAACTTTCATTCATGTCATTTAACCATTCTGCTGGCCATTTTTATACATATTGTAGACTTTGATTTTTCTGTGTTTAGAGAAGTTTGTTAAATTTGTACAAAACAATTTTAATTGACTAACATTGGAGATGGTTGGAACGCCACATTATTGACAACATTTAAACAGAGCTATCAGGCATGTACGTAAGCATTTACCGTAGCACCATGTGACAAATCTCTTGAAATATGAGTTTGTGGGGTTCTGGAAAGAACCGGTGGGAAACTCAACACTTCGGTCAGTATGCTCTGCCTGTCGTCAGGAGACTGGGTGTGGTTGAAACATTATTGACAACAATTCAAACTGCCCATCAGGGATGTAGTCGAGTCCATCACAAGTTCAGTCACAGGTAACAGTGGATGAACAATAACAAAGGAATGCCTTCGTCAAAGCTCATTTGGATAGCTTGCGAGTTGACTTGGGACTAAAAATATTGACCTATTGCGGTAGAATTGCGTTAGAATCGTGTCAACGCAGCTTGTGAAATAAAGTCCAATTACATGATATACAAATGGACGCGGAACGCGCAACATCTGAGACAAGCAAAACTTAGCGTTCACAAAATTTCATAGGGTTGTCTAAGGGCCATGGCTAACTCGAACACAGATTTGGTAGGTCAATTGTGATGGTCTTGTGACCGGTGCATCCCTGGTGCCCATGAACATATATGTCAGGGTCATGTCAAACGAGGCAAATTTACAAGCAACTTGTTTCAGACAATCTCCAAGGAGAAGAAAACAAGTGACTTTTTGATTGCATGTGAAGTTTGGAGCAATTTCAATAAAATGAACTACAATTTTGGGTGTTTCTCTGTTATCAGTAACTTGCAGTGCAAGTGCTTGCCTTAAAGAGTTGCGAAAATTGCCTCATGTGACTGGACCTGAAGTAGACGTCATTTCAAAACAATCACCGACAGTGTATAGGATGTATGTGTCATCATCGATAGTAACTGTAGGTTAATGGTAAGGGCTCTATTGTCTGTTATTAATTATATAAACATGGCTAGTTGACCAGACAAATGTACATACTGTGCTTTGTTTCCTCGGAGGGATGGGACAATCACGGTCAGACACCGAATCGTTTGTTCATTTAAGAATGGAGGAAGTTGTTCATCAATCTTTCCTGTATACTGGACTCCACCTTAAGGAGTACAGGTGTCGTAAGATTGACCTCAAAGCTTAAAGGGGTACGAAGATGCACTTAACCTTTAAATATCTTAAAGCTATAGTCCATCATTTGCAGCCATCCGAAAAAGTAACTGGCGTAATAATTGTTGAAAAACACACTTGGTTGAAAGATAGTAAGTGGACTAAACGCCCTGTGAAATTAATCTTTCTGGCAAGCTATCATTTTGAAGTTATCAAGGAAAGGCCTTTCCAACGGTGCGTCTTAAGACGCACCGTAGGAAAATTTAAATTAGTAGTTCGTTTTGTTATTTGGCGCAGCGCGCGCAAGCATTGGCACTTTGCACAGGCGCGCGCGGTTGCTATAATTCGTCGGATCAGTGCGCGACATAGCGTATAGCTGCAATTCAAAACAATTCAAATCATGATACAGCAACTTTTGATTTGAAGATCCTAGAATTGAGATCCTAGAATGCTGTTTTTCTCCGAATATACAGCTGAAGCTGAGCTGAAACTTCGTCAGGTTAGTTGTTCAGAAACCTTCATTAGATTTTGAACACTTTGTTGCTTCAAATGAACAAAATGCACAAATTACAAATGATGGACTATATCTTTAAGCTGTAGCCTGTCTAAAAATGGATTATCAAAATAAGCATGTTTGTGTGTTTGAATATCAGGTAAGGACATTTACAGGGGTTAACTGCACTCACCATAATAAACCTTACTCACGAGGAAGCTATTTTCGATCATGTTCCCGGAATCTGTTTTATAAATTGTAAACTGTTAAATGGGATGGCGCCAGACTTTTTTTTATTATTGGCTTGCGTTCCAAGCCTCACTTTCAATTTTTTTTTTAAATGTGGCTTAAAACAGGGTAGGTTTAATCACAAAATTTAAATTATTCAACACAGCAAACTGGTAGTACTTTGTAATGAACAGGCATGCAACTGGGAATTTAGAGAAAAAACAAGGAAATTCCAAACCACACAAGACTTTGTACAGTGTTTTTCCAATTTGTAATGACATTCATGAGAAATAAAAAACGAGGAAATCAGCAGATTCGAGGAAAAGTTGCATGCCTGAATGAACTTTATTTCATTGCTTTTATTTCTATTCGCAAGTTCCAAATATGAAGAGTTGACCTCGCTTTCAATTCAATATGGCTGACTTGTGAATAAAGTCTATAGAGTGTTCCATTTGACCCCGCCCACAGCACGCATGGGCAGCAAGACACGCGCATCATATGGGAGTGCACACAAGTCCAACATTATGGCACCTGTCAGATGTTAATCACAGCTGCAATTGGCCAAATCACCATGGGGCGGGGCTTAAATGGACGGTCAGTTGTCAGTAAATGTCTAGGATACGCTGAAGTATTAAAGGGCCCCCCCCCCCCAAAAAAAACCAGTAATCAATCAAAATGCAATAACTAGAAAATATCCATTTACTTTAAAATGCTGTCAAAAAGTGCAGGAACACTTGTTTTTTAAATGTACATGTACAATTTAATTTTTGTTTAATACGCAGAAATTAACATTTTTGATGTTCCTCAGTTTGTGGAGTTTATGTAATTGTTCCCAGATATGTGTAGCTTAACCACAGTATGAGACTAATACATGTGATACTGAATAAATATACATTATGTCTTAATAATTGTAAAACGAAATGAAGGAGTTTGTGATCATTGGTTATTCTGATTTTTTAGTTCTTATTCTGTGATTTTTAACGGTCATATGAAACAAGCTCTAAATGATCTGGGAAGCTGTGGGCCAATGCAGTTGTTGACCCCGCCCAATTTTGGTGATGCAATTTTCCAGGACTACATCAATTGGTAGGTGGTCAGTGGAGACTCATACAAGTGAACAAATTGTGATGCGATCAGGCTACATATGAGTCGTTTGTTGACCCTGGTCAAAATTGTTTGTATTACAGATTTGAAAAGAGCACAATCTCGGCATTACTGCTGTGAAAACCGCATGCTGATACCATCGTTAGTTAAAAAAATTATGGAGGTCGGAACACCAAGAGATGTGATGAAGTTATGTGATGAAGTGGCCCTATTTTGGCCTGTATCTCCAAATACAAATTCCCAACAAATGACTTATATAGCTTGATCACATCACAATTATTCACTTGGTCACGATTGTCAACTGCAGGAGTTGGCCAAGGTGATTTATAGTGCGCAAGTGCACGCCAGGTGTGCGCATTCCAACGTTTGTTACTTACTAACCAACCAACCAACCAACAGAGAGACGTGATGATTTGTTAAGCTGCTTTCCGCAGCTAAAAACATGATAAAAGAAACTCATTAAACACTTCAACACAAGTAATAATAAAACGACAAACAAATCTACTTCTCTGAGCACTGTACTGACTTTTTAATAACTTGGTACACTGTACCTTCTTTCAGTATGCAACTTGCATTTTACACTTTTATGCTTTTTAGGAGTTGATAGAAATGCCCGACTCATATTCATACAGGCAAGCATACAATTATTATACAATGTAGTGAATTGGATAAACTTAATACGCATATTAGTGAAACTCTGGGAAAGATTTCCATATACGAAGTTCACTCAACATCCTGTGTACAAACCCTATGAGATTGGACTGAAAAATTCTAAGTGCTTTCTAAGAAAATGCTTGTATTTTCTCACTGCTCAAATTGACTTTGATGACGTGAAATTGCTATCTGGGGGCTTGTTAGTCAATACCATGAATACAGAGGAAAATTAGTGAACTTCATATATGGAAATCTTTCCAAACGCTGCAGTTATGGTTGATTATTACTAATAATTAGTCACAAGGCAGAATAAGCCATAATATTTTAAGGATTTTCATTACGCCCCATACAAGCCTTAGCACCCCCCCCCCCCCATTTGGTGGCTGCCTCCTCCCCTTTCGAGGGACGCTAATCCCAAATAAGCTACCCACCCGTAAGCTGATACTTTTACATTTCATTATTTTTACAGCTGTTAGTCCAAGAATCAATCATTAGATTCACACCTCGCATACATTTGTAATTGTTCCAACACCTCTGACAAAGTATTATCATTAGTTAAGTATTATCATCACTGTTACAAAGAAGTCAAACACTACAAGTTTACTCATGTACATGTACAACACAAAAGCTGGGCGTGTGAAAGCGCGTGCGGCAAAGGCCATAATAATGTAACCTTGGCTGGTCCTGTGGACAAGGGTGTCTCTTTTGGTGGATGACACTGGGGGTTGTTTTTGCGACCATAACCGGAAACATGATTGGTTGAACCACCACTGTCATTCACGCACAACCACGCTGCGCGGTGCCATACGATCTTTGCGCAGAACCAAAGTCGCCAAAACGCTTAACCCAAAACATGAAAACAATCCCCAACATTTATTTTTAGAACAATGTGGCGTGAGGCGTGTGATTACGATTGTCTGGCGTGCGAGCGTTATTGACACTCAGGCGTGTGACACATGCAATGCAGATGCGTGAGACTTACATGTAGTAAGTCTGTTTTTATCATTTTTAAAGGTTAATGTCAGAATGTTATACACAGGACATAGATGCGCAACATTTTAATATTTTTCACTTTCTATATGCCATCTATATACTTGACACTGACTCTAAATATGGGCTGTCCCTAATATATTGACTGGTTTTCATTAGCACTTATGAGATAATATATATTCAGGGATCATATCATTGACAATTCTCTCCAATTGTTCACAATATACCACAGATTCTCAAACCCCTGATCTGCCATGAGTTCTACAACGCCTCATTATATTGTCATTTGAACTGTACGTGAGACACCTAGACAGTTTTAGTGTTTGCTGCAATTGTCAAAATATACCATTTTACACATGTTTATACTATTCCTATCCAGAATAACTTGAAATGATTACTACATTTTGTACAAGCTACATCCGCTTTACTTCTCAATAAATGTCAACTTTTCTTTTTAAGGAAGTTTGACAGATTTACTAGTGAACCCTATGTACCCTCGACCTTTCATCCTGTTCAGTTAGCTTTTGGCAATAAAATAAGAGCAATATTGTCATTGCCAGGGAAATCTAGTGCCAATACTTAGGGCAGTCGGCTGTTCAAAAAGAAATTCTGGTTTACTATTTGTGCCATTCCCATTTGATTTTGACAACAATTTGTTTCTTGGAGCAACGGAGAAGCAGGGAGCATTGCATAATGTCGTCGTCATGGTGAAGTGATTTGGAATATAAACTAATAAATTCTATGCCTTCCGTGATTTTGTTGTGGATGAGCAATAATTCTTTTTGAAAAATTAGGAATAAGAATAATACATCAAATAAAAAAAAAATGGGATGCCTGCTGATAAACAGAGATTTTTGTATAGTGGGCCAAGTTGAGTGGGACATGCAAGGGGAATTCCCTTGTCTGAGTGTTCAGACATGTGCATATAGCCTATGTATGATTATGTACAGCACGGCTGCACTAAATTCTCACTGAATATGTGCAAATCGCACTGAATGTAAAAGAATATGACTACATGTGCAAACATGGCAAATATACAAAGGTTTAATCCTAGGGCGGATCCAGAGAGGTTACTGTCAAGGGCGGGGGCGAGGGCGGGGGCGGGGGGGGGGGGGGGGGGCAGGGAGGGGTGAAAGGCCTCTCTTATGTGAAAATGGCCTTATTTGAGAACATTTTGGTTTCTGCTGGGGGGGGACCTGTCACTGCAGTCACTCTAGTTTGATCGCAGCATGCTGGCTTTTTCAATATCACAAACTAGACTTGGGTAAATAACTTGATGTTCTACCGTGTAGTAATTCAGTAGTTTAAGCAGAAATAGGAACACCACTAGATAAGTATGTTAAACATTAGGAATCCTGAACTGTTATAAGCGATAACATGCAAAATACAGGGTTAGAGAATTTTCATTCCAATATTGAGAGATACTAATGAATCAATATACAAGGAAATACAAACATGAAACAGCTAAATATTATTGCCTAATTCCATAATGAATAAACTCCTTACTAATAATTAGGGCTAAACCAGAGTACCCGCCGACTGATGTCAGGAACCGGTTCCAGATTATGGGATCGGGTACCAGTAACCAACTTTACATATTACTTTTAAGTAGCTTCTCAGGCAATGAAAAAGAAAGGCTTTGAATGTCATTTTGTGGGGAAAAACAAAACAGGTTTCACGTTTGTGACACTTGCGGAAGATGCATTTTTCATCAGAAAACTATACATCTCACTTCAAATTAGGTTTTGTCCTTCACCGACTGCACTAGAAAGCAGGAGGTTGTGGGTTCGAGTCCCACCCGAGTGATTTTTTCCAACTTTCACTCGGGAGGTAACACACTGAGTATACAGTGTTTAAAAACGTTGGTGAAGGGCAAAACCTAATTTGAATAATATCACCCCGGCGCAAAAATTCCATCTTATAATTATACAGCTCACTGTACAGTGTACACACTTGCATCTTTCTGCATTGACGAACATATGCGGTAGTATTATTACATGGACCTTGGTAAACAATCTGAAAAGCACAACCTCTGAGATTTGAATTTTGGGGTTGGGTTTCTTGAATGGATACCCGGGTACCTGTGGTTTCTTTCAATCGGGAGCCCGGTTCCTGTACTACCCATAAATGCACACCCCTAGTTATAATATGTATTAATGAACTCTAACTTTGATTATGATGCTATCGTTCTTGATATACGCTCCACTAGTCAGCATTTCAAGGGGTGCAAATTCCATGTATCCAAACCCCTTGTGATTACGATTTGTTCGAGGTCGTAGGAAGGCAGCCAGCTCTGGTTTGGCTACGAGCGTTTCGCTGATAGGTTTCCGTTTCAACGTGTCGTCGTTCTGATCTAGAATGGACAACGTGATGGTGCCGCTGAACGGCCACTCCAGAATATCATCAAATTCACCTTTCATGAAGTGAACAAAGAGCGAGATGTGCTGACTGTGCCCGCTATCGGGGGAGTTGAAATTGACCCGCAGACAGAGTTTGTAGCCGTAGAAACCAGTGTAGAATCCCTGACTATGACGTACACTTGTCTCTCCCCTTGATGCTTCCTGTAACAACCCGGAGTAGCCCTCTAGTCTCCAGTAGAACTCACCACCACAAAGTCTAGTTTCTAACTTTGCTACGGAGTCGGTCAATTCCTTGATTCTGTGCTGGGAATTCAGATGCAGTTCAATCATTTCTTGTTTTTGCATGGCTGCTCGCTGCTCTTGTACCTTCATTTTCTCCTTCAACGCTCGCAATTCTTCCGCCATTTTCTGTACGGTTCTGCCGACATCAACGTCTTGATAGTCAGATTCGACGGATGGGAACCGGCGAAATTGCACACTGAGGTCTCCTGTTGAATACCGGTGATCTGCAGCGGTGATTCGTGGGTTGACAGAGGAGCTTTTAGACTCAGCGGCGGGGTACCGAGGATCGGCAGAGGGGAATCTTTGCATGATGTGAGGCTTCTCCCTTTGATGAGGAACACTCATAGACGTCTTCAGATGAGACGGTTGCAACTTTTCTTGATCTAATGTCTTGGCGGCGTGTTTCTCTGTATCCGTTACTCCTGATTTGAATGTCGGGGCAAAGTTGACTTCCGATGTCTTCGCGGGAACTGGAGAAGGGCTGTAGACTGATGCAACAGATGGCAAAACGGTACCCATGCCACTGGTGCCCATGTCTGCGGTAGCTGGTCGGACTTTGGGGCTTGCATATGGTGGATAAACTGAATATTCATAATGCTCAAACATAGATAGGTCTGGTACCTCGTGTTCTTGATGTGATGAGGAACGATTGGGTGGAGGTTGGATCACTTCTAATCTTGAGGCCATTAACTCCATATGTTTCTCCATTGACATTGTCAGGTGATCTGTCATCAGCTCACGTTCCATCTGCAATCAACGAATAGAATTCATACCAGATTCTCACGAGTGAAACTCTGACCATAAGCTGTGAAAAAAGTACAATTTCCAGTCTTGAAGGCCCTCACAAGTCCATCAAAGGTCATCAAGTATCAACGCAAGTCACGAATATTCAAATTAACAGTGACCAAAACATTCCCTTGTTATTATTCATCACGTGGTATTTGTGACTGGACTCGTGATCAGTGATGGAGTTGTGATGGGCTTGGGTTGGGCTTGGGATGGACTTGTGATGGACTTGTGATGGACTTCAGATGGGCTTGGGATGGACTTGTGATGGACTTGTGATGGACTTGTGATGGACTTGTGATGAACTTGTGATGGACTTGTGATGGACTTGGGATGAACTTGTGATGAACTTGTGATGAACTTGTGATGGACTTGTGATGGACTTGTGATGGACTTGTGATGGACTTGTGATGGACTTGTGATGGACTTGTGATGGACTTGTGATGGACTTGTGATGGACTTGTGATGGACTTGTGATGGACTTGGGATGGACTTGTGATGGACTTGTGATGGACTTGAGATGGAGTTGTGATGGACTTAACTCACTACAACACAGTATCTTATTCAGATTTGGCGGGTTCCCACCTACCTTTTCAGTACAGCCAATGGCGTGGAATCGACACAAGACGACCATCTTAGGGCAGAGATTTTTAAGATGTACCATGAGTCGTTCTCGTATCATCGCCTCTTTGCAGTACTCACAACTAATGGTAACCTTTGGGCATGTATCTAGATGGACCTGAGATATCAAAAGTTAAAAAACAAGAAATATTTAGAACAAAATAGAACAAATTTTAGCCAATCTTAGCTAAACAAACAAATGCATCTTGTTTTTTTCTGGTACAAGAAAATCAACCCAATAAATCCCAACAATAATTGTGTTTTTTAAAGTGGCATACCTGCGTGTGGTCCAGGGCGATGACAACGTTACAGAATTCACAGTTGATGGGTCGTTTTGAGCAATCTTTCTTCATGTGGTTGTCGATACGCCGGCGTTGTAACATTTCACCGCAATGATTGGGGCAAGGTTGTAGCCCATATGGACACATCTCTTGGTGAGCCTACATGTATGCAGATGAAGGGGAAGAAACTCTCAGCAATAATATGTTTGTTTTATAACCTTTCTCACTAGGCTAAGCTTCTTTGCTGCAGTAAAATAAATCAAGCTATCTGTGACACATGGAATATCCCTTATGAGAGGTACATGTACAATAATTAAAACGTGAAGGGTCTCATCAATCATTGCTAACTTTGAATTGCAGCACATTTTTGTTGGGATAGGGAGTTTACTTTTTGGGGGCGAAAACTGATGTCAAAGGACAAAGTAATTTGCTTAATGCAATCCTTGAAAATGCACTTTATGTCTCATTTAACCTGAGTTTCAACTTTCCTTTGGCCATTTTCAAGGGTAGTTGGTACCTGTTTTGGTTTTATGGTAATGCCAATTTCCATATTCATGTTTAACATGTTTAAAGAGGTTCACTTTTCAATAAAATTAACCAAAAATGGATTTTCATACATTCAGAGGAGTAGAAATTTGCACAAAATGTCTTCCTATTAAAAATTCAACTCATGGACCCTTTAACTTCTCAGAAATTGAATTTATCTTTTGTATATGACATCTGGATATCATTTTTAGTACTACATGTACTCTATTGAATCCTTCAGGTAAATTTTAATGGTAGACTTTTAGTTTCTGCCAAGATGGTGTACACCTTGAAGCCACAATCATAACAAGCTCAATCCACTTGTTGCCTTACTAGGAAGAAGGCTGATTGCTTCATCCAACTCACCAACCAATAAACACACAAGGGAAAATCCCTCCACATCCCATGAGACCGAAATAAAGATATCGCTGCAGATGAGGTTACATTGTTCTACTTTCTGTATGAAAGATGTGTGAAATATTCCGGTTTTTTAAATATTTGCGGCTTGAAATGATGGCTTGATAGTTGTTATTTCTCGCGTGCCATTATGTTCTTTTCATGACTCCATCCAGAGGTGCAATGTAGCACTTCTAATGATAATCATTTGTGACCCTTTCTGTCAAAAGCAGATGCTTCTGGGCAGAGGTTGAAATTGAGAAAGGGCCAAAAACGCTGTGGGGTAATTTTTTTTTTTTGATTTTCTAATTTTTGTATATTTGTAATCTTGAACATGTCTAAAATATACTATAAAAGTTTGAAACCCTAATTTGAACTCTAAATGTAGTATTTTTGATGATTTGTTAAGGTATATCAGTTACAGAAATGTCACTTGAAAAAGGTCTTAAAATAGAACCCAAACTTTAACTGCCATTTTCTCCGTTATCTACTTTTCGACATGATGAACTTCAAAATAGCTTTGCCTAGGAATGACCGGTTTCAAAAATTAAACCACAAATTAAAAGGAAAATGTACATATTTTAACACTAAGCAAAAATATCATCTTTGACCTTATGCCCAGAAAAGTCTGATTTTGACAGAACAGGTCACATTTGTCATACAGCGTGCATTACATGTAGTACAATGTAACTCTTTGTCTATACAATGTACGGGGTCTACCCCATGTTCCCAAATACCTATGTTCCCCGAAATCCTTAGAATTAGGGTTAGTGTAAGGGTCTGGGTTAGGGTTAGAGGGTAAGAATTTCGGGGAACATCGGTATTGGGGAACATAGGTATTCGGGAACATAGATATGCACCCCAATGTACATGCGGTTTTCCACTTATTGGTCAATTGGTGTATGAAGGGGGGGGGGGGGTGCAAAGGGGGGGGGGATCTTACCTCCATATTTCTGAGTTCTACAATCTCGACACATTCCGGATGAGGGCAATGAGCCATCAGATCCATGATTTCCCGTCTCACACAAAGATCAGGAAACATCTGCAAATTAAAGGTAGATATAATTATCAACACCCATCCAAATTGCAACTACATACATGTAACAAAATTATTGACCAAAAGCTCAGTTGGTTTAAGGATAGTCATGGCACTAAACTCCCTGTGAAATGATTCTTTCTGGCATGCTGTCATTTTAAAGAAAACAATAACAGAATATGCCATTTCCAAAGACACATTTTTGGAAATTTCCGTTAGTAGTTGGTTTGTAATTCGGCGAATTAGTGGGTGCGCGCCAGCTTTGACATGATGCACACGTGTGCATGGTTGCTATTTTTTCTGTCATTTTAGTGCATGATATCGCATAACTGCAATCAGCTGAATGAGAATGTGTCCCAGACGCTGATTTCGGGCGCAATTCCGGGCGCATGACTCAGAAACTTTCGAATGGAAAACAAGATCCTAGAATATTGTTGTCTTGGAATAGGCCTAGCATTCACAGAGCTAACATTTCATCAGGTTCGTTGTTAAGCACCCGTATTTAACATCTGAGTACTTTTGTTACTTCAAAAGAAAACAAATGCACAAATGACAAATGATCTACCCTACCTTTAAAAATCAAACCAGGGCACAAAACTCAAAACACACAACTGCGGGTATTTTTTTAAATACAAAACCAAAACTAATGACTAATGACTAATTCCTTGCCAAGCTTGACCAAAGTTCGGTCACCTATCCAGCTTCAGTATATTTCATATTTCCTCCAACTACGTGGTCCACATTTGTTTGTATTCAACCAATAGTTTTCCTTTCCAGTAATTGGCAGCGCTTCCAAAACCACTAACAAATACATACATTCCAACTTGTGGTTTGAGTCAAGTATCTGATGATGCAATAACGTTTGTACCAACTTTTTCATAGACACAAATTCACCGCGTCCATGTATCATTCTGTCGATAATATAAATATATTATAAGATGGAATTTTATAAAATCTTATAATAGTTTATGCGGTACCCGCTGCTATGCACATCAGATTCGAACCAGCCAACCGATCCCGTTAGCTCGGTGGTCGAGTGGTAAGACATCTGCACTAGAAAGCAGGAGGTTGTGGGTTCGAGTCCCACCCGAGTGATTTTTTCCATCTTTCACTCGGGAGGTAACACACTGAGTATACAGTGTTTAAACGTTGGTGAAGGGCAAAAGCTAATTTAAAATATTAATATACAATGCCTTAATAAATCCTGCCATGTGATTGGTGGGTCCTGGGTCACATGTCATTGAATTACTCGTCCCAACCCATGGCCCGGCCGCACCACAAAATTAAAAGTTCTATTCCACGTTAAATAGAAGTTCCATCGCACAGTCAAACTATTGGTGGATCTGACCAATCAGACGACAAGGATTTATTCCGGTGTTGTATAAAACAAATAATGAATGTTTCACATTCGTGCAATGGAAAGAATAATTTCATTCAGTGACAGATGGAATGTTCCATTGCACTTGGCGAACATCCAATTGTCACATCATGCAATTACTCCTACCATTGCACTCATAAACATTCATCGTTTATATACTATGGCGTTTCGTGTCAGTTCTGGATATCAGAAGAAGGCTTAAATTTCTAAGGCAAAACTTCCAATCTGCCAATTTTCATCGAAATGTCCTGGTCCTCTGAGAAGATCATCATATTTTTTGCAATTGTTGAAAATACTTTTGATTTCAACAACACAATTATTCCACATCAACTCTTTTGTCCTCTTTGCGACCTTCCATGTTGATTTGAAATAGATTTCTCTGAATAAATACAAAATAAAAGAAACCCAAAAGTTCCCTGAGGTCTTTTGTCCCGGCTGGATTTCCCCTTCAGAATTTCGCAACCCTGAAAATCTAGTGACCACCATTAACAAAAATCCAGTTTGGCCAGGGTTTCCGGATGCTGACAGCTATTGTATGGTTTAGGCATACAAATAGTGTACTTGGAATAGTATAATTGCACATTGGACAACAGAGCAGGGAAATCCCCCATCCTGGGAAAACCCCTGTGTAGTTTATAAAGGAGGCACTGTTCCAAAAAAGGTCATTCAAAATATGCAGCCAAATCCGTCCAAATAGGCCCATATAGGCCTACATGTACATTGTATGCCAGCATAACCAGGCATCAAAATGGAAAGATTTCCATGTATACGAAGTTCACTCAACACCCTGTGTACAAACCCTATGAGATTGGACTGAAAAATTTTAAGTGTTTTCTAAGAAAATGCTTGTATTTTCTCACTGCTCAAATTGACTTTGATGACATGAAATTGCTATCTGGGGGCTTGTTAGTCAATACAGAGGAAAATTAGTGAACTTCGTATATGGAAATCTTTCCATCAAAATACTCAAAACACAAGTGTGGACACGAATTACTCTGGTTTTTAACTGTCATCAGTGCCATGTTTTACATTGATGCTGTGCATAAATGCACAGGTGCATGCAGATTTGTTTATGGTGTAAATCAAGGATTTCCTAGTGTTCCTCTTTTGTGACATACATGTACTCTCAACATTTGTTTAACAGTTCCCATTGATTTTGTGAATGTTTTTAATCGAGGAAAACCTTGATTGGACTCCTGTCATCAATTACGACAGGGACGTTTCACATGGGTGTCCTCAATTTACACAATAATAACATCGGGCATGTGGGGTATCACATGCTATGAGTAGCGCAAAGTGTGGGTTTGTGTCGGTGTATGTGTGGGTGAAGCCTTGTTCTATAAATTTAGGGTCCAAAGTTTGAGCTTTGCCTGTCCCTGTTCTTGCTGAACCTTTTAATTTGTTGTACAGCAGGCATGTGCTCAAACTATCCTGATTTGTTGGGTTAAGTTTGTTTTTCACAATCACTCTAGCGGAAAGGAATGCCTCCATGCAGAATTGACAAAATCAGACATGTCAGATGTGGGACGTACAGGACAAAAGTAGACCCCAAATTTATAGAATGAGCCATTATATAGTGCTCTAAAGTTTGAATACAGTATGCTAACATCCTGGAGCTATATCTCCACTGACTTAAAGGGAATGTACATCATTGGCTTTTGCTGTAATTTTCAGAATTGAACTAATTGAGGGGTTAGTATAATAGATCAAATACTGTTACACTAACATGTGTGAATTTTGTGTTCGAAAATGCTGGAAAAAAAACAAGAAAAACAAAAATGTTCAAGCAGTCTGGTTCCCTGGCTCCACTAAAGATGAAATAGATCAATATTTGTAGATGCCGGAAAATTGTAAGGTGAGGTAACCAGTCTAGCCTGCCTGCACCCGTTCATGAACATGTAACCAATAGCAAACAAAATTTGAACTGAAAAAAATGGTAAATCTGGATCAGTAGTTGAAAAATAGTTAGGTTTTTCCAATGGTGGTCGGCCGACCACCGTTGGAAATGTACATGTACATACAAAAATACTATTTTCTTGAAAATGACTTCACACCAGGTGCCATAGTTTTACAGGATGCTTTACACTGTCATTTACCAACATCCTAGTAAAGTATTTCGGAAAAACTTGGTAGTTTTATTTTTCGATGTTTGCAAATGTTGTATATTCCCTTTAACTGTAATGTTCATAAATGTTGAGTGAACTTATTTTGACCCTCTTTATTGACCTCAACTATTGAATGTATCAGTTAAAGGGAAAATACAACATTTGCAAACATCAAAAAATAAAACTACCAAATCATTTTGAAATACCTTGCTGGACTGTTAGGGAATGACAGTGTAAAGCATCCTGTAAAATCATGGCACCTGGTATACTGTCATTTTCAAGAAAAGTGGTATTTTTGTATCAATTTCCAACGCTGATCGGCCGATCAGCGTTGAAAAAAACTGGCTTTTTTTCAAATACTGGCCCCAGTTGACCATCGCACTTGTTTGCAATCGATTACACACCTATGAACGGGTACAAGCCAGCTAGACTAGCTCCCTGACCTTACAATTCCCCAATATATGTAAACTACTCTGTTTCTTCTTAAATGGAGTCAGGAAACCAGACTACAGGAAAATGATTGTTTTTCTTGGTTTTTATAGCATTTTCGAACCCAAAACCTCAAAAAAGTCAGTGTAACTATATTTGCTATATATTTCCAACCCCCCAATTCCATCCATTTATGAAAATTACAGCAAAAGCAAATGATGTTTAAGGTCTTCCCTATAGATATAAAACCAATGTATCTGCAGCTCCTGAACAATCAAAAACTCGATATCACAGGTTTTTTTAAATGCCATTCAGAATTTTACATCATGAATGTATTGATGTAAAGCTGTATTGTAGTCGAGTCTCCAGGGTCAAGTCTGAGTCCGAGTCTTTAGCTGATGTGACTCGAGTCGAGCCCAAGTCACAAAAATTGCGACTTGAGATGGACTGGAGTCGGAGTCCTGGACTTGAGTCCTACAACAATGTAAAGTCCATACTCAAGCATACATGGATTCCAATAAATTAACAACATTGTCTTTCTGGGTGCCAAGATAAATGAAAAGGACCTAAACTCTCCAAAAACTATTTACTTATTCATTGCGTATAAACCTCTCCATAAAATAATGCATCAATTGTAAGTTCATTGGTATAAATCTAATAAAATACTCATATCAAAACAATCATGCATATTTAACTAAGCAGTCATGCATATTCAAACATTTCTCATGCATATTTATAGACTCACCTTTTGCAGTGGTTGTTGGTCTACAGGGCATCTGTTGCCTGCATCCCTGGATTGGACAAAAACAAAAAGCACTGTTCATATAAGATGGAATTTTGCGTCGGGGTGATATAAATCAAATTAGGTTTCGCCCTTCACCGACGTTTGAACACTGTATACTCAGTGTGTTACCTCCCGAGTGAAAGTTGGAAAAAATCACTCTGGTGGGACTCGAACCCACGACCTCCTGCTTTCTAGTGCAGAAAGCACTGTTGGAAAGGCAGGTTGATAATGCAAACAGCTGTCTGTGTGATTTTTTGAACAACAAAAATCAAGAATGTTATGGAGATAGAAGCAAAGATATCAAGTATCAAGATGAACAATTATTACAATCTTTCTGAACTTACCTTTTGGAACTTGCATGTGCACTGTATAGCAACTAAGTAGCAGAATTTAAGACTTAATATTGAGCCTTAACTTTCCTAAGTCACTTTTGGTGTATTAAGTTGTAGATGATCAAGGATCAAGATGAACAAATAATATCTTTCTGAATTTATAACTTACCTTATGGAACTTGCATGTGCACTGTATAGCAACTAAGTAGCAGAATTTAAGACTTAATATTGAGCCTTAACTTTCCTAAGTCACTTTTGGTGTATTAAGTTGTAGGATGAGATTCCAATGCAAGAACCTTTTCAACTGCTTGAGGTACGTGCTACGCAAGGGAGCAACATGATTGACAAAAGAGCTCAAGGAAGTCAGCAGTGCAGTGCAGAGATCGGGAATGATTCTTGGGAAGACAAAATTCCTGTCAGGAAACTAGATCTCCCCGTCTGCTTCTAGCCAAATCCAGAGTTAGGAATGACGGAAGCAGGGAAGGCGGTTGAGCTAATGCCACATCTGATGGATGCTGTTAGAGGAAGTGACTCAGTGCTTGGGTTTAACATCGTCCTAACGACTAACTCTTCTCACTTTGAAGTCTCAGATTAGCTGTGGATTTGTATGCATAGTTGGGTCCAGTTTTTCTCTGATTATCGCGCTTGTTAATAAGACTGTGTCCCGACCCCCTCCCCCCAAAAAAATATGGGGAGCAGTAGCGAGCTCCCAATTAAGCCATTGAATGGGTCACCTCTGCACGCGTGCAGCATGATTGTTTCTCAAGAATCGCTGGCTAGCTTTGTTCATGGACGATGATTGAACACACAAAATTGTCCAAAAACTCACCAGTGCATTACCACAAAAAGTACGCAAACTCGTCAGTGTCTCCATGAGGGCAACTTTCAAGCATTTCAACTGCATATACTGAACAGTAACTTCCCTCTCTTTATTGATTTTTGCCAGAGACACTTCCAAATTCAGCAAAAATCAAAGCTCATCACCTTAAGCTGCACATTTGTGGCGCAGCCTATTGCCATTTTGCAATAGTCTGGTTGCGTGCAACCATACCGTTGTGATTTTGAATTCATGAGGCGAGATTCAGACCTATAGGGGCCTACACGTCATGCATGTAAATTGCATACATCAGGAGGAATGCTTCATGATGTACATGTAGCCAGGTTCACTGCTAACTACCTGTAAGATTTGCGCTTAACGCAGTGGCCTCTCGCGCGTGCAGCTGCGGTGCAGTGCGTTGCTAACTTGTTCCCTTTTTGACACGCGCACATAGTGTTCGAATATTGTTTGTAGATTTTTGTAGTTTGAGTGTATGGAAGGAAACAGTTTTTCTACCGTTGTTACCGTTGTCACCGTTTTAGCCGTTTTTAGCTGTTTTACTGTTTGGATCAATAAATTACTGGATATCAACAGCTTCGAGTCTTTCTTCAATGGTATTGCGGAACGCATCAGAATCTGTGAGAACTCGTCGTACACTCATCGGTAAGGAAGATCTTACATTACATGTACCTGTCCCCATATTTGAAGTCCGAAGGACAATAGGGACAGGGAACCAGACTAGCTTGGCAATCTGAACTTCTTATGTACCTCAACCTGATTTGGCTCATGCAGAAAATGCCAAAAAGGAAATAATTTACCCAGAAAGGTTTGATAAAAAACACATTTTGAAACACCTTTGAGCCTCCCGAACAGGTATAGTTTAACCCTGATAAGAAGAGCACTGTTAATACAACATCCTGCTTATATAACAAGGACATTTTTCTTTGTATGTCATTACTGATAAGACAAGGTACATTTGTACCTGTTATAACAAGGCAACACTGAGCAATAAGTATTGCTTCTTCTAAAGAATAAACAAATTTAAAACCCTTTTTTTTAATGACTGAATGGTCCCTCTTTCCCTGAAACTGGAATACACACTTAAACATTCTTGAAGCCTGAATTCTGTCAAATTTCACAAATCACATTTGTAATTTTGCCATTTCATCATCAGAAACTATTTCAAACAATTTGCTTCTTTAGTTCTGGGAATCCAATGAAAGGACACAGCTTTTTATTTGTGTTCTGTTCAAAAATACGCAGCCAAAAATGCCACTCATCGTGAAAGTGAAACAGAATTTTAAACGTAATCCTGGTGAATTGAAATGAGAGTGGATTTCAAGCTTGAGTTAATATGCAATTTTTTGGCTCTTTTTAAAAATATTTTTGGGCTTTTGTTGAGGACAAATTCCTATTTGCATTGGTCGTCCTTCACCTGGGTGGTTTTAAAATGGTTGACAACGACCATCGTGCAGTATGCGTTGCACGCGCGCCAATCTTCATAAAAGGATATTTTTAGCACAATGTGCGCGAGGCGTGTACCATCTATGGCAAGAGGCCGAGGGGTGTTTCTCCGAACATCAAGGTACACGTACATGTAGAACATGTTGAACAAAATTGTTGGGAAGTTGTGAATTGTTGACTTTTTGACCGAAAGATATTTACGAATGGAAATAAATACAAGTGCTTGTTTGGCCGGTATTAAAAGTGTGTTTAAAACTGGCTAGAGACCTTGTTTGCGGATAATGGGCACATACATTGTAACACGCTGTTTCAAATATGTCACTGAAAGTGCTTTTATGAACGATTGCAGTTTTAGGTATGGCATATAGTTCCTTGCAAGTCTTTGGGTGTGTGGGGGGGGGGATGTTGGCAAGCCAAGAGGAAAAACTATGCATGCCTCATGTCAAAATGTCTGTGTCACATGTAATACTTGTAAGCCTTACCTTAGTGAACGCAAAATACACGCACGGCAAAACCGGTGTCCACATTCAGTTTGCACTGGTTCCCGCAGACACATAAGACAGATGGGACACTCGTACTTCTGCTCCAAATAAGGTTCAAACTTCAAATCGTAACCCTCCGTGCTGTCATCGATGCTCATGTAGGAGTCTAGCGTTGGTCCAGGCGTAGGGTGAACTGCGGCGCCTGGTGGGGGTGGGGGAGGGTCTTCTTCTAGGGCAAGTTCCTTCTCACTTTTGCCCTCCATTGTTGCGTTTCTTACTTTTCACGGTTCGATGGAAACTCAAGCCATTGTGGACCTGTGGGCAGTGTGGAAAAAATAATGGAAAAGATGGAAAAGGTGAAAAAGTGAATTTTGTACCACGCGGCAAATCTGTTCTGGTAGGGACAACGTAACACAATCTACACCATACCCACTGTTAGAGAGGAGAAGGTTATTATGCCAGCATACCAATGTATGCTGGCAGTTCTAAATGTTCGGAGGAAACAAGAATTAAAAAAACACAATTTATTTATTTATTTATTTTATTACACTTCTCCACTGGCTGATGTAAAAAATATCACAAGATATACAGAATCACAGATTAAAAAATACAGAGAATGGAAAGATTTCCATACACGAAGTTCACTCAACACCCTGTGTACAAACCCTATGAGATTGGACTGAACAATTATAAGTGTTTTCTAAGAAAATGCTTGTATTTTCTCACTGCTCAAATTGACTTTGATGACATGAAATTGCTATCTGGGGGCTTGTTAGTCAATACAGAGGAAAATTAGTGAACTTCGTATGTCATTGGTAATCTTGCCCAGAGGATTTACAATTTCAGTAAATAGTTAAAAAAGAGTTTATGCCAGAATACGGACTAAGCCAGTGAGTGGCAAGATGGAACAGGTGACTAGCACCTCTACAGAGTCATCCTTCCACAGAAAAACCAGATCCTATTGATTTTTTCTTTCTTTTTTATAAAAAAAACAAAAACAAAAAACCCCAAAAAGCCAAAGGGGAACACAAGGAGAAGAAGAAGGAGGAATTAAACAAAGGGGGGGGGGGGGGGGGCGGGGGCGGTATGCAATACTAAAACTGAAAAGCTTTAATTTCAAGTGGAAGACTGGCAAGCGGAATAAAAGAAATTGGAACTTATTCAAACCTGCAGCAAGCACAACGACAGTGAGACACCCAGGCATGCCAGGTACATGTACGAACATTATCAGCTTCAAAGCTGCATTTGAATTTTGTTCAATGACGTATGACCCAAGTACATGTAACTGAAGTAAGACCATTTTGAATCAAAGTTTTTATAATTTCTCAATGTCAGCATGGTTAGTACATGGTCAAGTCAGCATGGTCAGTACATGGTCAATGTCAGCATGGTCAGTACATGGTCAATGGCAGCATGGTCAGTACATGGTCAATGGCAGCATGGTCAGTACATGGTCAATATGTGTCAGCTTGGTCAGTACATGGTCAATGGCAGCATGGTCAGTACATGGTCAATGTCAGCATGGTCAGTACATGGTCAATTTGTCAGCATGGTCAGAACATGGTCAATTTGTCAGCATGGTCAGTACATGGTCAATGTGTCAGCATGGTCATACATGGTCAATGTCAGCATGGTCAGTACATGGTCAATGTCAGCATGGTCAGTACATGGTCAATGTCAGCATGGTCATACATGGTCAATGTCAGCATGGTCAGTACATGCTCAATGTGTCAGCATGGTCAGTACATGGTCAATGTCAGCATGGTCAGTACATGGTCAATGGCAGCATGGTCAGTACATGGTCAATTTCAGCATGGTCAGTACATGCATCAATATATTATTATTAATGTCAGCATGGTCAGTTTCTGAAAATTACAGCCAAACAATGGCAACTGTTCAATGTAAAACAAATAAAAATTAAAGAACCAACCAAAAACTATGAAGTTGAACATGTTGAACCATGGAGCTATTGGCTCCATGGTCGAATGAATTGAATCATCCCTTGTCAGACATCGCCATGCCCATTTGCGGCATTGCTGATTGCAGGCTCATGTTGGTCATGTCAACTTGATCATCGATGGGCTTGTCGTATAAAACTAGTTAAAGTAGACAGGCAAAACTATCTCTTTACGAATCTATTCTATACACATTTCTACAAGAATGAATGTAAAGTTATCGTATATCCGGGTTATCAGGGTTACGCGATCGAACGAGCACGTACCGGGCACACTGGAGTCCCAAGGTCATGGATTGGGCTGTGCATACACTGAACTACGTACACTTCCCTCACCACCTACAGTCTGTTGCACAATGACTAAAACTATAAACCGCCACGTACCTTATTTCCTGATCGATCAACAGCACAAATCGTCTAATTTCATCATGGACCTATCGACTTCAACGCCATCCTATAAGGTCTACTAATTCTGCTATGGTGTTACGCATGCTGATGTGGCAACTTTTATATGTCGAAATCACAAAATTGATATGCGACGTTCGGCGCGCGCGACGAGTGATAAAAATGGGGAAACCCCCACGTGTGCTTCTGAGAATAGGGAAAACCCCCGACTAATGAGGGCGCCAATACGATCACGTGATTGGACGCGGATCCCCCGGCCCCCCACGTGCCACCACCAACACGCAACCAAAAACATTGGCTTTTTTTAACAAACGTTTGTTGAATAATGTTAAAAATAAGTTCAACAATTACAATGCAATAAAACGTGAGAAAACTTGATGAACCTCACAATTAAGGCCAAAAAAAAAAAAAAATACTCGGTCTCTGGTCAGCGCGCGTCGATTTTAAGGTCAAAGAAAAAAAAATACCTCGGTCTCTGGTCAGCGCGCGCGTAGATTTTAATCATGCGCGTCAACCTTTTTTTTCTCCAAATTAACACGGAAGCTACAACAGCGCCCTCTATTGCCGCGCCTCCTCAAATTTTTGTACCAAGGAGCACCAAGGAATGGGGAAATCGCACCAAGGCAAATGATAAAGGGCACCAAGGCAAATTATGGAGGACACCAATGTATAATGAGGACACAAAAAAGCAAAATAGTACCCACCTTGTCTGTACAATACAAGCTTGAAAAAAAAAAACCCACCAAAAAAAACCCCGCGTTGCCGCATCAATTCCAGAACTTCGGTCTGACCAGAGACCGACTATTTTTGTTTTTTTTTGGCCTAAGGCCAAAAAAAAAAATAATTCGGTCTCTGGTCAGCGCGCGCGTCGATTTTAATCATGCGCGTCGATTTTTTTTTTCTCCAAAATGTTCCGCGGTAGCTCCAACAGCGCCCTCTATTTCTGCACCTCCTCAATTTCTTTTACCAAAGAGCACCAAGGAATGGGAAATTGCACCAAGGCAAAAGATCGAAAGCACCAAGGCAAATTATGGAGGACACTAATGTACATGAGGACACCAAAAAAGCAAAATAGTACCCCACCTTGTCTGTACAATCCAAGCTTGAAGAAAAGAAAAAAAAAGCAAAAAAAAAAAAAAAAGCCGCGTTGCCGCGTCAATTCCGGAACTTTGGTTTGACCAGAGACCGAATATTTTTTTGGGGGGGGGGGGGGGGGGGGGGGGGGGAGGGGGCCTAACCTACAGCAGCAGGATTTTAAAGAATGCAGCATAATAACATTTTTAAAAGTGAGGGCGCACTTCTAGATTTACGGCGTAAAGCCAAAAGATACTCGCCCAAAGAGGGCGCAGTTTACATTCGATGTAGTCTGCTAGCTCATCATACACACGTGTGGCGTGGAAGTGAAACCTTTTTTCCGGTACATGAAGCCAGTCCAGTCTATCAAAGCAAATGGAAAGTGTGCGTGTGGGTAAGGAGTGTTATAATGGGTTTTCCTTTCAGAGTTTGAGTTTTATAGCTGAATTCCACAACCTCATTTTCGGTTTTCAGCGATGGGTACTTTTTTTGCGCATTTTTTTCTTTTTGTGTAAAACCAAGACCCTAAAGATCTTAAATATCGTGCAACACTTGCTGATCTAGAGTTAGAGACTTCGGATAAAACAGCGCATAGCCAGGGGCGGATCCAGGAATTTTTGCAGGGGGGGGGGGGGGGGTCATCGGCAAAAATATTCTCCGGTCACTTGGCCTCCGAAAATCAATAGGGGGCCGGGGAGGGGGATCGTACCTTACTTTCAATGGGGGCGCTGTTCAAATCCGACGATTATTAACACTATATTACAAAACAGTGAAGAAATACCTCCTAACAAAGCTGGCTGTGTATTTTGTGCACAGGTGGACATTATTACCATCATTATTTTTTCGGTGTCAGAGCAGGTGGGGGGGGGGGGGGGGGGGGGGGTTCGCGTTATTTTTAATGAATTTCTATGAAACAAAATTTGGGGGACAGACCCCCCCCCCCGGATCCGCGCCTGAAAGGCCACTAGCACATCCTTGCTGAAATGTAGACACGTTCTTTCCTCCGGACAATTGGCCTCTGTAAAATGAAATAGTGTGGGGGGGGGGGGGCTGGTACCATCTGTCGATGGGGGCGCTGTTCAAAACTGACGATCATGCACACAAACGGACAATATATGGTGCTTTTCAGGGCGATACAGTGCGCGAAATTTAAAAAAAAAGTACCCGGAACGGCCGATGGGACAAAAAAAGAACAGGACTCTTTTTTTAAAAGGGCACTTGTTCAGAAAAAAAATTGGCACTTGTTAAAAAAAGGGCACTCTTTAAAAAATATTGGGGGGGGGGGAGTAAGCGCAGGTAAAAAAAAAAGGACATTTAATTGGGAAAGGGCAGTCTTTACACAATATAGGGGGGGGGGGGGGAGGGTAAATACCTCGGCTTATTCCCCCCCCCCCCCGGCTACGCCTATCCTAAAATGAAAAAAAAACCACCATATGCCTAGAAGTTTGTCGTTACACTGAGTAAAACACTTCCTTTCATTTATGTGTGTACGACGTTGTATGTTGCAGGCCTAGAAATCAAAAGAAAATAAACACATACAATTGAAACAAATTCAACGTACGTTGTTGTGACATGTTGGCGTGGGTTATGAGCACCAACGTGGATATCCTCATCTCATTTAAGTTTCAAAGGAAATCACGTGTTGCATCGAGAACCTTGAGAAGTATATAGCAGCAATTCATGAATGGGATAATGGTTTCTGACGTCAATGGGGTGGATCGGAGTGACTTGCAGAAAAAAAGGAACATGACCCCAAACACAGGTGAATAGACCCGGAAACGTTCCGATCACGTTCTGTACAATCTGAAAGGCAATTTTTTGTGGCTACTGTATTTTTCACACGTCTAGAAGTTTCCGTGCTTTCTCATGCAGATGATCCACACTTGCTGGACAGCCAGTTGGACAGCCTTGACTTGAGGTCAACAACGTGACAGTTAGCATTCCTTGCCTTCAAAAATGAAAGGTTTTTTTTCTGAACTGATTTCAGCATTGTATAATTATTGTCTATAGTCCTTCATTCATGCATCATATAACTTGGGAATATCGGTATAGCCGATCCATATTACAAAGTTTGTGCAAAGTTTGGTGTATTTTGAAATATCCCATGCATGGTTTTTATTCTTTGGCATGGCGTCCATCATCAGTGCTCATGAGGCAAAATGCAAGCCCTCTCAAGAGCCCGAGAGCCGAGTTGCAGACACACAAAATCGAGAAAATAAATTCTTACTTTTAAAACAAAACATACAACATGAAAATTTATTCGAATTTTTTTTAAATATTTTTTGAAGAGCACGGGGCACACATCTGTAAGCCGGACTCATATATTTGTCTGCAGAATATTTTTCTATCGTTGAATGTATATGTTAAGGGAGAAAACAAATTGTGCTGAAAAACAAAATTGGAGATGGACGAGTTTAGGTTCAATTCAAGACACTTTGTTGAAATGGCCTCTCATAACTCCGAGGTAGCAGAAAACTCATCAACGGCAAATTCTTGTCAAGGATATAGTTTCAAGAAATTGAAACGCTTTCTAAAATGTTGACCCCTATATGTAAAGCCTATGACACTGCCTGCAATTTAAAAAAAGAAAGAAAAGATATTCGTGTTCCGAGGATTTTTTTTGTTAGTTGGGTGACATGTTGCTGTTTTTGACGAAGGAAATTTACTCGAGTTCAAAACCGTTTGCAGAGTAAACAAAATCCACATCCATGGACTTAAGTGACTTTAATTTTCCAGGCCGGTTTATTATTGTAGAAACTTTGAATAATAATACTTTAGGAAGATTTTGGACTTTTTTGGCGATTGTCAAATTAAGTTGATGTTACCTTTCTCATGGATTAGTATTAAAAAAAGTTAAACTTTTATCTCTTGTAATTAAAATGATTTTTCGCCTAGGCCTAACCTTATTAAAAGTAAAAAAAATGCGATGAAGTGGTGACGTCAAGAATAGTAACTGGGGTTTTATGTATAGGCAGAAGATAAGATGTGGACATTGGGTTTAGGATATGGAGGTTGGGTGTGTTGAGGTTTAGGTTTGCTCATGGAGGAACAATAAATCTGACGAATCTCTGTCGAGTTTATAACGTTGAAAATTAGGGTGGAAGGAGCTAGTATTGGTTTTTCATAGACAAAATAAAATAGTCTCCCTAGTTGCAGTAAAGTTAACGGCAGTAGCTAATCGGGGGGGGGGGGGGGAGTCGCAACCACTGACGTATGTTATTAACCTTGTAAAATAGGGCCAAAAATAATAAACTGGGTGTTAAAAGTTCCCAAATGTATTCTCAAATTGCCTTAAAATGCAGGAGAAGGCACCGTAAATTTCACAATTTTTCCCGGGGGCAACCCCTAGAAAACCGTACCTTCACTCAACCATCCCCTCCATCTTCATATCACCCCCCTCGTTTCATGAGAGCTAGCTCTGCCCCTGAAGGGTATCGTTACGTTTGCCTCAAGTTGCTCAAAACGATTTTTGGTAAAGGCTCACTTCTTATTCAATGGCTTCGTTTTTTATTTTTGTGTTACACTTAAGACAAGGTAAGTTTGCGGTAGCACCATGAGAATAAATCTCTTTAGTGAGTATGTGTGGTTCTGAAAAGAACCGGAGGAACTCAAACCTTTCAAAATGTTTACTCTTCCCGTCGTCAGGAGAATGAGGGATTCAAACGATGATGCGATGTTATAAGGATGGGTGCGGTGAGGCGTGAGGAGGATGCAAACTGGTTAAGCTCGAAATTGGTGAAGCTGAGAAGGATGCAAGTTGCCTGAG